CTACGCGTTGTCTGGATCGTACATATTTCAGCAAGTGGGTGCAGCATCCAGACATGTCCAGTCTCGCATAAGAGCCTGGACTAATTCTACAACAACTGGTCAGTGTGTAGACGCACACGACTCCTGACAGGTCGAAGGATTAACATTAGGATTAGGACTGCAGGTGAGGTCACACAGGGAGAGGATCGGAGAGGGAGGGAAGGGAGCAGGGAGAGAGTAAGCCAGGGAGGGACTCGTGAAAGTGACACAAAGGGAGACGGACAGAGAAGATTAGAGTAAAGCTTTAGTAACCAAGACAATTGACCTTTGCGACACATGTCATCAATGGCGACGCACAACGGCTGCAGACAACCGTCTGTCTCTCTGTCTGTCCTCCGTGTCCTTTCAAGAACAGGGTTATGAAGTTGGATTATATTCTTGCATATAACACACTGGGCTTTATAACAAGTTGACATTACAAGGATTTAGAGATGCACCACATATCGAATGACGACCCTTCCCCCCCCAGGCTGGTACAGGAGCATATATGGCCCCTGAGCTGCTGACAAAAACCCCGTACAGGACATCAGTGGACTGGTGGGCTCTGGGCTGCAGTATCTACGAGATGGTGGCCGGCTACACACCTTTCAAAGGCCCGGAGAGCAAAAAGGAGAAGGTGGAGAAAAAGGAGAGGTCGCAGCGCCGCCCTCAAATTGAGAACCCAAGTGGGAGCACAAGTGCTTTGATGCTCCAACCTAGGACATCATCCAGCAGTTCCTCAGAAAGAAAATTGAGGAGCGCTTGGGCATGAAGTAAGTTCTACTCTTGTAATCCACATTTAAACCGTTTGACGTATAAAACTGGTTTCCCGTATATTTACTGTAACCAAAATGTTCCCATGAGCCAGTTTAGCCACTTTCCTCTTGATTCATTAACTCTGACATTGTAGTTTTTAAAGAATATTGTTGCTCCGTCATTAGAAACAACATGGAGGATCCCAGGAAACATGAATGGTTCAAGAAAATCAACTTCCCCCGTCTGGAAGCCGGGCTGGTGGATCCTCCGTGGGTCCCCAAACCCAACGTCGTCTACGCCAAGGACACCGACGACATCGCCGAGTTCTCAGAGATCAAGGGCATTGAGTTCGATGCCAATGACAATAAATTCTTCAAGGAGTTTAGCACAGGTGCTGTACCCATTCAGTGGCAGCAAGAGATGATTGAGACTGGACTGTTTGACGAGCTCAACGATCCCAACAGGAAGGAAGGTGGAGGAGATGCTGATGGCGATAAAAAGTCTGGCACGTGTATATTGCTGTGAGAAGTCACTGTTTGGTATAATTTACCAGTAATAATACTCAATAAATTGTTGTTTTTTCAATCAGATGCACACCAATGTTGATATTGATGAGCGTCTTTGTTAAAAAAGATGAACCATTCTTCTCTTTTTAACGATGCTCAGGGAGACGCACTGCTTTTGCGATGCGGTTCGGTTCGGTAAAATACGGAAGATGTGATGATGTATTTTGAGCATCATCACTTGGGTTCACATCTTCTCTTCTCTTTTTTGGATCAATATTTATTGATCTAGACGTGCGACCACGTTGACTGCTAGGAGTAATTTGTACAACCTTTACATGAGTGTTAAAATAGCAAGTGAAAAGGCCTTTGTGCCGTAAATGCGATGATTAGAGAAACCTGTTGAAATTCAAACTTGAGAAATACACTTTTAACAGTGTTTTGCAGTAGAATTACCCGCTAAATTGTTGATGTTGCATTGAATATTGAGCTTTAAACCAATTGGAACCAACATGTAGAGAAATACTTTGGTCTCTTTCAATAGTGTAAAAGCATTTCTCAGCCCCCCGCTGTGCGCTTTATTGATGCCATCATACAGTCACACTGATTCGTATTGATTGAGCGCATGTGTTAGTCTTAGGGTTTAATATTTTATCTTGCAATCCTAAACCTCTTAATTAAGGATGGTCACCGCATTTACATGCAGGTGGTTACTTCCTGACCATCGTTTCAGCTTTCTAAAAAGCAGCTGTATGTATTGTATACAAAGAAATGCATCTAGCTATCTATCTATCTATGCACGGAGAGAAAGGCAAGTGCATAAGGTGTCTAAAACTATTTGAATGAAGATGACACTGAACACCTCCTCACTGAGTCCCTCTACTGTTGGTGCTATGAGGCCTCACTTAGTGGGACTGTTTAGCCCTTGGATACAGAGAGAGGAAAAAGTGCAGCAGGTCATTGCTGCATAGGAAGGAGGAGAATTTAGAGGAGTTGGACAATACATTCCTGTACCAGGCGTGTGCAGGTTGTCCTGTAAATGGCCCTGAAACACTGTGATACTTCAGGGCGCGTTTCTTAGTTTGAGATGAGTGTGAATCACTCAAACTAGACAGATCCTCAAAGAGTCCACTGCTGTGGTCACCAAGCTGAGTTTAGAGACTGGGGATAGTTCAAAAGAAAATCTTTGTAATTCCTGTTTACTTGTCTCAGGGTAATTATTTGCTTTACGTTTTAAAATTTCCAGATCTTGGGAGTTGAGTTTCCACAGTTAATGTTAATAAGATAAATATATATATATATATGATCCATGTACTTGTAAATATAACATAAGAGGAATTGCTACTAGACTACCAGATGTAAAGAAATCTCAAATCCTTGAATAAATTAAAATATATGACTTTTGCAATGTGTTTGTCCCAATTTGTTGTAGATTTAGCAGAAGTTGAGCAAGCGCATCTGCCACGGGTGTCAGAGAATGAACATAACTGTGCCATGTTACGCACGTTCTCAGTGCCATGTTAAGTGTTGCTGAGGGCTGTGGAGTGAAAACCTAAAAATATCAACTGCATTGATTCCCTTCAAGAATGCTGACTAAAGCCGCGCTGTTCTTCAGGCTTCTGCAAATCGGCAACTTCAACTCTTAGCTGATAAGGCGATAACCAGTGTTATCCCTGCGCCTTCTTTGCTTAAATCAGCTTCAAATCCCTGAAGCATCTCAATGTTACTGCCAGAGGACGGCTGTCAGTAGAGAACAGAGCTACAGCGAGGAGGGACTTTTTGACACTTGACAAAGAATGTAGTTTGAATTTAATTAAAATATATAATCTTAAAAATCAGCCAAATGTTTGTGAGTACTGAAAAGTGAGAAAACGTATTCATTTATTTGAGCGAATCTTCACAATAATAGAAATAAAATACATAAACAGATACAGATCTTTACATTTCAGAATGTGAGTTCTAATAATTTTAGACATTTCCAACATTTTCCAATATAGACTTTAGCAGACGCTACAGCTGATCCATGATGCAGTTCAACCCTGAGAGATGATCTTACATGTAGCAGGACACATGACAGCCACGCACAGAGCTGCTGCTGCTGTGGAAGCTGGATGGATGGAGGTGAGATACTGACCTGACATGTCTAGTTACAGCTACAGCCATACACAAAGCGATGAGAATATAGTCTGTGTTTCAGTAAACAACCAAATAATTAGAAATATCGCTACAGTGAAGCTAGTATACTTGGTCCATGCGGCTGACACTAGCAACCAAAGGATTACTCACCTGGTCCAGCCAGCATTTCCCCAGCGACTATCACCTGATATCGTGGAAACCAGTGTTAGGTTAAATATTTTTTTTGCCACTGGATTGTGGAGTCAGAACAAGATGAAGAAATTGGAAATGTTAAACGCCTCACTAACCTCACCCAGTTTCTCTGTTGATGGAGTCGGCCTTTGAGAGCGTCTTGCTCCGCCTGTGTCCTCGCCTGCTCCCCCTGTGGCTACGGATTTGTGCTACAAGGACTGCGAAAATGGGATTGAGTGGAAATAATTTACATTCTAAATCAATATGTTGCAATTTGTTTGTTTTTTTTCCACTGTGATGGGAGTTTCTCTGTGACTTGTTTGCATGGCCGGTAGCCACATCGTTGCCAGGTCTGAAGATTGGGATCGTCATTGGGTGTGGCCGGGGGACGCCAGTAAATCAGCTCAGTAAATAATCTCATCGTGTGTACATTTTTGGTTAAAATAAGGTATACGCAAGTATCTCACAGTAAATACGTTACCTATTTACATATATAATATAAGCACGCCGGTTAAATATAGGAAACATTCCATTAGTTGAAATGAGGAATTTTATTTTAACCACATCCAGTAGACATGAAGTAAAACAGTAACCTACTTTCATGTAGTCCAGGAAGCGGGGAGGCCCGGTGAAAAGCAGCAGAGTGCTTTGGGCGTATCGGTCATTCACACTCACAGAGCTACGTTGTATTTATGATAACACCATAACTAATTACACAAGGCCATTTTAGAACTGAGGTAAGACCACCGTCATTGGGGCAATGTTTGGCAGAGGCTCATTTTGAGTTCTGGCAGTGGGCTGTTTATTCGTGTTCCTTCTATTGGTTGCCGGATGGGCTTTGTCACGCAGACCGGGAAGCCCTGCCGGGCCCGCTGCACGTGCCCTTCACTGCGCATTAAAGCATGCGAGCGAACTGCACTGGCCTGTAGCGTCCCGGGCAACCACGTCCCTGCAGATGTTATGTGTCCATTCTCTGGTTTCCTCCAAGTAAACGGTGATATCTGTGCGTCAGCAGCACCGTTGCTGTTGTTTGCATCTCCCTGTTGATAGCCATGTGGAGTCAATGGATAATGTCGCGTTCAAAAGTCATAGTTTATTTATCCACGACCCCATGTTTTATTTTTAGATTTCTATGAGTAATTAGCAGTTCAAACAAAGAGTTTTATTCTCATGACTACACAGTTGTAGGGGTCATGCATGTCCAAAACAAGTTCGGAATAACTGAGCTAAATTACTCAACTTAAATTTCTTACACTTTGACTGTTAAAATGTTGCTTCCATGTCGATGCATCTATGTTATTAGTTGAACAATGTATTGTATTTTAATATATCAAGGTTTCCTTTAAAGTAGAACTGGAGGAATTTCTGTATTTTTTACTCGTAGGTAATGTGATGAATAAAAATGTACAGAAAATCTTTTTTTTCTTCAAAATCACTTTTATTCCACAATTTATTTTATCAGGTCTTAAGGCACCCTGAAGAGATGTTAGAAGTTGTTCTTTCAAATGCGGGCTCCTTTTAAGACTGTGTAAACATAGCTTTGAATAAGATAATTTCCTGTAAATCTTTGCTTAAATTATTTCTTTACAGTGCACAGACATTGTGTTTTGTGACAAAAATACAGTGTGAATTAAGTAAATATGATAGTGTATATATACATTGAAGAGTAATAGATTGGCAGACAATCAGATCAACAGGCGAAGAATAGAGAAAACTAACAAACAATCTTTGAGACCCAGATAGATATACAGATTACAGTAAGATATACAGTAGATTGTTACAGTGAACTTTTATTTTTGCAACACTTTTCCTTGAAAGCGTTCTTTTCTTTTTTTTTTAAACTGTACCTTCTTGTGTATGTGTGCGTGTTGCCTCGGCCACCATCACTGAGCAGCACCCTGCGAGGTGGAGCAGGACCACTTATCAAGTCCCGGAGGGCTCAATCACATACTGGCTATTGCAGTGAAGAGGTGAGAAAACGGGCAGACGGGAGGACAGACAGACGGACATGCAGACAGACAGCTACGCAGACCACAACACAAAGATGTGTCTATAATTCTCTAAATATGGATCACAATGTATTTATATATAGAAAGGTCCTTTGTAATTGGCATTTCATATACAGGGATATAGTGGCTACACTTGATTATCAAGGTACGTTCCTCTGAAGTCTTTGTGATGTGAAAGGTGAAATACTCGACGTGTTTGGAAATGTTCTACTTTCTCAATTACGCTATACAGCAAGATAAAAATCTTCACCAGCAATAATACAGCCGTTCACACAGTTTGGAGAGATGAAAACAACACTCTCTTCCTGACAGCAGAAAGATCTATAAATCATTTAAAAAAATGATATCTGCAACAACACAACACCTCCAAATTGCTTGGTTGCAATGGCTAAACGTTATCTAATCACATCAATACTACAAATAATAATAATAATGTCAAGAATAAACTGAGTGGAGAATGAACATTGCAACGGGTGAGTGAAAGAATGGAGGGGGTTGAGGGCCAGAGCCCTGTGACTTTGATCTTTGAGGAGGAGATTGTAAAGGAAAGAAGGTTCAGAGAAGTCAGCAAAGCAGAATTCAATATGTGCATCAAGGCTGTCCTGCCTGCATCCCGCCTCTCAGGCCAAATGCCGTCTTTGTGACACATTCTGACACTTCTTTCCTTTCCCTTTAAACACAAAGCCTCCGTAAACATGGCGGGCTCTGCGACTGGTTTCCATCCTACGGGGCGGCCCGTCTCTGTTACTCGACCACCGTGACCCTGAAAGTAACACGACCCAGGAACTTATCCCTTTCGTCGTTGTTGCGGAGGTCCGAGCCCTCCACCCTGCACTCCACCGGCAGCTCCTTGTTGTAGTCGTCCTTGGTGAGCAGCAGCTCCACGGCCACCAGGGGCTGAACGTAGCTCTCCTGCATCAGGGGAGACGCAGCTGTCCCTCAATAACACATCGAGGTGACCGTGTTAGCGTGCTTGATCCGAGCGGGGGGGGGGGGGGCGAATACTTACGTGGGCCTTCTTGCCGTAGTAGGGGAAATACTTCTTGTCAATGCGTCCCTCACTGGGGAAATACTGCATTTGAATCGGGGTGTCTCTCTGCACAGAAGAACACTGTGTTAGCCAGCGCAAAGTACACATTAAATGAAATGCCTCTCATCGTGGTAAATGAATAGCAAATGAGATATTTTTCCAAGATCACCAGACAGGACTTGAAAAAAAGCAAAGGAATGTTGTTCTGTTTGTTAGTGAGGAGATTCAAATGAAGTGGAAAACATGTAGTGTTCTGGCTAAATCTGTGAAGGGACATTTTTTGGAGTTTATTAGATTAAGATGGCTTGAAAATGGCACTGGGATGCGTTCAGAGGCACCTGCTTCATGACTTGTTACATAATACGAATGTGTTAACACCCCTACTGGCCTTATCCTGATGATTTACATATTATCTTACCCTAAAGCCGTCAGTGACAGCATGCAGAAAGAAATCGGACACAAAAAAACAACAAAAAGAAGGACAACATGAAAGATCAACAGAAAGAAAATGTTGACACTGTTATGGACATCGGGGATTCTTGATAGGGACAAAATGAAAAAACAATACACATACAGGTAACTGCGACATGTAGAGTACCGTGGGGAAAACGTATTTACTTTTACTGTGCAGTTGATGTAGGGATCCCCACGAGGCTTCAGGCCAATTATCTATGAGGCGAGGGAAACAGGAGAAGTTCAAACTGATCGTCAAAAGGCTGCAGCATGTGCAGAACCAAAATTAGAAATGAGTCAAATGAATTGTTTATTTTGGGAACAGTCAGCAGACGAGTAAACAAATGGAGAGTACGACCTGTGGGAAGGAATGAAAGGTTAAAAGGACAAAGAAAAAATTGTGAATTCGTCAATTGTTTGAAAAGCAGATTTCAGTGATTTTCAGGTCACGGAGAGCGGGAGGTACCCTGTTCATCTTCAGCAACACGCAGGGTTTTCCTTCAGAATATCCAAAGTTGGTGTCAGAGAGCCCAGAGCAGAGACTCAGGAAGCCCCTCTTGAAGAGACAGGCTTTCTTTGACATGTCCTCTGTGTCGTCCTGCAGAAAATACTCTCCTGGTGGGCAGTCGTCATTCTTGTCCTGCTGTGAATCATTATATCCTTTACGGAGAGAGGATCAGAGATATATTGAGGTTAATGGAATGATTGGAGAGGAATGGAGTGGAAATGGTTTTTATTCCATCAACCTTTCAATCCGTTTTATTATAAATGTATTTGCGTATCGGCAGAAAGTACACTTACTTTGCAGGAAAGACTCCAGGTGCTTGACATATTGTACATACTTTAAGGGGTCAGATTTGTTGAACGATAAATCCAGAGAATTTGGACGAATCACCAACCCTGCAACAAAGGCATGAAGTAAACAAACAGAGTAAAGGAATAAAATATTCCCAGCAGTGGAAACAAAAGCCTTCATCGGAGTTCGTCTCAAATTACAAATAGCATTCTCTGATTCAAACAAGCTCTGCTGCTGATGCACAGGAACAGACTTTAAAACAGATCAATACAAAAGGTAGCTCCAATGAGGCGCATTATTGTGACAGCATGTCACTGGTGCAAGTATGAATAATGAAAGCGATGCTTGCAGTTCGCTGTTGGCTTTGTGCTGTAAGGTGAGAGACACAGACCTGGGTAGGGAACGCGGTCTCGATATTTTGGCACGTAGTCATCCAGCGTGAGCAGCAGCACCCACATGGTCAGGGCGAACATGCCGGCCAAGAAACAGTAGAAAACCAGGTAGAACAACAGGATGAGGGCTGGAGCGAGGTGGAGGAAAAGAGAAGGAGACATAAGGAAAGACAGGGGATTTACTTCATCTGCAGGCCAAAGAATTTTTGAGGGAAACCATTTTGGATCAAGGGGGAGATGCTACTTGCTGCTAACAAATCGCAGGCCGTTTTTCACCAGAGGCCCTTCAGTTTCAGTTCGCTCAAGATTTAGCGATGAAGCCGCAGTGCTGAAATGCTCTGACGCCTCGTTTATGCACAATGCAGGGCTCAGAAAAGGAGCCACAGTTATGGAAACGCAAAATGGTTCACCATCCAGCTTGCACAGCACGGATGCCCTCTAAAGTTGACCAAAAAAAAAAGAAAAAGAAAAAAAAGCGATGGACCCCTCAGCTTCCTGTTGTACACCCCCCCCCCCCCCCCCCCTTCTTCTTATTTCTCTCCAAAAGTATCCCCACATGCACCCTCTTTATGCTTGAAAAAGAAAACAAGAGGAGAGAGGGGATTCCCATTTTACCTCTGACTGGATGGCTAATGGTGGGCCGGCCATGCAACCGCAATGGAGCATCCCCACCGCAACAGCAAGCCCAAGGCCGGGCAGCCGAAAGGCCCTGTAGAGCTGGCTGCTGGAGGGAGGGTGGTGTGTTACCCCCCCCCCCCCCCCCCTCACCCTGGAAATAACTGGGGAATCATTACATAAAATGCATGGCCCCATCAGCTATGCTCAGGAACGCTGTGGCAGCTCCTCGTAGGAGTGATAACATCTGGAGTGTGCACTGCCAATCGGTATTTTCTGAAAATGACAGTAATGCAGATGATACATAATTACCTCCCCCCACCTCCCTTACAACACCCCCTGCGTTTGTAATTGATCATCACCTGGTTGATCATTTGTGAAGAAGACGGCGAACCCCTTAAGAGAGCATCATCGAAGGCTCCTCTTATTACAGGCTTCTCCTTTACACCTGCCCAAGGGCCTATGGTGGCACCTCCGCTGCGCCACTCGTTCCCTCTCTAAGCGCAGGTATTTTAATTCATCCGCGCGCGGCCATTCACACGAGGCCTTGTTAACCAGTGACGGGGGTCTCTTACCCCAGCTGCTGCCCGTGCGACCCAGAACCTCCCCGGTCCTCGGGTTGTAGAAGGAGTCCTTCCAGCCGGTCGCGCTCTCCTGTTTGGCCGCTTTATCCTCGGTGCTCGCCATGGTGATACGCTTCTCTTTTTGTTGGTCCAAAAATACGCGGTAATATTTCTCTTTAAAAAAAAAATGCACACGCAAAAATGGGGAACGGGCGATGTGGTGATGCGAAGAAGCCGGAAAAGCGGCTGTGAGTGGAGTGGGCGGCGGAGAGAGAGAGAGAGAGAGAGGGGGGGGGAGAGAGAGGGAGAGAGCGAGAGAGAGAGATGCTCTGGTGGAACAAAAAACGAAGAAGCGAGAAGGGGGAGAAAAGGAAAAGAGAAAACGTGTGACGTTGACACCGGCCCCGCCGCGCAGCTGATGCAGTGCGACCAGATGGATGGACATTGGCTAATAACGGAGACGCGCCGTTACGCGCAGGGATTATAAATAGAGCGCACATTATCTTCCTTTTCTTTACACGTCGCACTGTAATTGGCTGCGTGTGTTTGTGAATCCATTTGGTACAAAGTGTCTATACGGACCGCGGGATCCCTGAGTGAGAAGATCAGCGACTGTCGCCTTCTATGGGTCCCCGATACCATCACGCGTCACTGCGATTTATCACAGTTCAGCTCTGCTGCGCACCAGTGCGACTCGTCGATTCACCCAAACCAATAACCATCGGCTTGACGCACCGATTCAGTCTCGAAAGCTTTGTTTTGACAGACACACAGACAGGAACATAAAATGCAGTTGTTTAAATGGGCCAGTGATCAGCTCACTTGAAGCCCATGAGGAGGCCGTTTGTGACTGCATAGATATTTGCAGCATTTGCCTCCCCTTGTTGCCATGGCAATGGAGCATTACTGAAATGTTTGTGTGAGCGTGCCAGAGAGAGAGAGAGAGAGAGAGAGAGAGAGAGAGAGAGAGAGAGAGAGAGAGAGAGTAAAGCTTGCATGTCTGTAAACAGCCAGATGTGTCACAGTTAACAGAACATTTTATCTTAGAGTCTAAATTAAGGATATTGAATTTTTGTTTTCTCATTCATATTTAATAAATAAGCTTCAGCCCACACTCCTTTCACGCAAACCCTTGTCCCTGCTTTGCCCGTTGAAATGGTGCCTGTTTTGCCACTGACTCAGATCAAGTGAACCGAGAGAGATGGAGTTAGTGCATAGAGAGGCAGCAGGGAGAGGGGGGGGGGTGTAGACACTGACAGAAAAAAAGTAAGGCAAAAGCTTAACTTCCAACCCCGGCCCTCCAGCAAACAATCCCAGTGTCTCAGAGATTGAGGAAACAGAGTTACATAACGACCCTTGATGCGGCGTCCAGTGGGGGAGGGGGGACTAGTGGTCGCGTTGCATCCAGTTCCTGCTGTCAGATTGGATTTGTTGCAAGGCACGGTCCACTCATACAATGCGGTACCGAGCACAAAGCCAGCACGCACACACACACACACACACACACTGACACACTGTACTGATTAGTGCGAGCAGCACTGATTCATGGGCTATCGGCCTGTCGCTCTCTCTCACTCACCCCGGCACATAATCCTCTGCAGTCATGCCACTGTGAGTCAAACCCACAGGGGAGAAGCGGCCCCCCGTGTAGGAGCGGGGAGGCTGAGATTGACAAGTAGACTATAGAGAACATGTTTGGGATGTGTGTGTGGGGGAGGGGTGATGCATAAACGCTCTACAGTATCTGTGTGATGCACACAACACGTCTGCTCTTCCTCATAGCGGACGCGCACACAATCCTCCCATTGTGGATGAAAACCCCCTTCTCTGTGCTCTCAATTAGAGCCCCCTTCGCCATACCAGCACCATGAGCAGGAAAACACACCCCATTTGTTCTCAGTCACTCCATCCGCAAGCTACCATAGCAACCCTCACACGGAGGTTGGTTACATCAATGGGAAGCCATCCCTGCACTCACACACAACATGCTGTATTTCTGGTCATTCCCCAGAGACGAGACAGCAGCATTTCGCCAGGGTCCATGTGGGGGTGAAGCCCTTTAGGCAGCATCTGTTCACTCACCATGTCGGTGACACCTTACAGCACAGAGTCTCTCAAATCCCCATAAGCAAATGCAAATAATTCTGTTAAAACAAATTATAACCACACAAATCTTGTTTTGTCCCAGTAGCTCGGGAACAACATCTGACATTCGTACTGCTTCCAGTAATTTCAATCAGAGGTGTTAAGGTTTGCGTTATGCATAATGTCGCGTTGCAAACCTTTTACAAACGAAACATTAATACCGTATTGGGAAATCCAAAAAGATTCAGGGTTCATATTTTCTTTATAATTTGTTAGAATTTTATTATGCCATTGGAATTTTTAACATTGCCATCAGAGTTCACCAGGTCATGTCAAGACTTGAGTAAAAACATTATCATATGACATAAACATGGGTGAGTACACAATGGAACAATTTCATTACAATAAACTATAAACGGAAATAATTGTAACAAAACATATATTGACAAGAAACATTAATGTACCCTTTTCTGTTTCATGACAGTCCAGTAAATAATTATATCCCTGATCAATTTGTTCTAAAAAAACAGAACCTTGAAATAAGGTTCAGAGTGAGTGGACAGAAGGTCTGTGACCTCTCGAAGTGGGACTTGGGTTATCCATCTTTCTCATCATGAATGACAATGCGATCTTCCCCCTAGTGTGGAGGTGACCAATGGATCAAGTCAACTCAGTGTTCTTTTTTCATCTCCTCATAACATGGACAGCAATGCTCCTTCTCTCTGTGGTGTCGAAGTGACCATTGGATGCTGATTCAGCAACCGCTCCTCGGAAGGAGGGGGGACAGATTGTGATGCCAAAGGAAGAATCCTTGGAGTACCCTTGAATCATGACTCGTATGTGTTTCAACTCAGCTCCATGCTTGTAAGCATTTAAAAAATGTCCGGTTCAATGATTTCACACCGGTGTCAAGTATAATTTTTCAAACAGTAATAGAAACATGTAATTAATTAATTAAGCGGAGTCAAACTATATGACAGTGATAACAGAAAAGCTTCAAATCGTACCGTAACAAATCACCCTCACAGTCAATACACAAACAAAGACACTATCTCTGGTTTATTTCCAATGCAGACGTGAGGTAAGCGGTAAAGAGAAGTTCTGAAATACAAAAATCCAGTAGGATTCCCAGAAAGAAAAACACATCCTAATAGGGAATCAGTCTTTCCCCACAGTATAATCCCATTTCATTATAGTATTTAGTATTTAAAATGACACTGCTCCAGCTTTCCAAAAAGCTACACGTCTGTTTTCTCTAGAGGAGCAACATTTCCTGGAAAAATCACTGTTAAAATCAAGAAAAAACTATGATAAAAGGAAAAATACGCTTTTTCAAATGTGTCTCTTCCCTCACAGTGCTGTCGCTATGGCCGTTCATACAGGTGAAAAGTCAATCGTTAGCGCCCCCACGTGGGAACATGTACAACGATTAACCCATCTAGATAAAACACCAGGCACCAGTGGCTTGAGGTGTGGAAAGAAAGAAGGATGATGATGTTGTTCCATAAAGAAATCAAGTAAAAGGTAGTTTGTATGTCGACAACAATTCAGTGCTGTAAAAACTAGTGAGGACGAATAACAAGCCACCATCAACAAACCATTGTGGTACCATTTAAGACGTGCCCTTAAATGAGTTAATAGAGACAGCTGAAGGTTGTTATAACTTAAAACTGAGGTCGTTTGTGTCTGCTTTTCACATTAATGCTCATGTCCTGGTTGAACCAAGGATCTCCCTGCATCCGGTGTCAAGGCTTGTACCAATTCATGGAGCGTCGGAGAGCTCTCTCCCAGCTACGGAGGGCCGGGATGTATTCCACATTCGGGCTGCAAGCACCGCCCTTGGGTGCTCCTTGGGGCAAGTAGGTTTTGTCGATGACCTGCAGCCTTTTCAGCTCTTCCTTGGTCCTCCAGAAGCCTGCAGTGGAGGACAGAGAGATACTCTGGTAAAACAACATTAACCCCCTGCTTCTGGCAAGCCATAAAAACATCAATAACAGATTCATCCTTTGCGTTTGATTCGATTAAACGCTGCCTAACGTAGAACAATCTAAATAAATACTATGAATAATTAAATGCAAAGTCAGTTACATAACAATGACAATATTTTAAGTTGGCTGTTTCTGTGCCAGAAATAAAAATAAGGCTTTTGATTATAACTCAATGTCATGACTAAGCCGTGGGATATTTTTAGATAAATACAGAGAACTACATTGAAAGTGAAGCGTAACACTGAAGTGTCTAACTGCTTGACAGCTGCGCAGGGAGTTATTACCTGAAAGAACTGCAAAACTAAAGTGTTCCAAATTGGAAACGCCTTAATAAGGATAATGTAGATAGGCAAGTTATTATGTGCAAACCTTTTCCGAGTCCAGCGAGAAAAGCAGCCCCTAAACATGACGTTTCGTAGTGTTGGGGCCTTGATATCTTTCTTCCAAACAGGTCTGCAGTCAGCTGCATGACGAAGTCGTTGGCTGAAACACCGCCATCCACCCTGAGAGAGAAAGAAAGTTTACTCAATTACACTGCAGCTCACTTAACTATAACGGTATCAGAGAAATAGACACTTGTAATGCATTGGCAATGAAGCCAAACTGGATTAGTGGAGGCTGGGTACTAAAGAAAAACCACTCTGTTATTTCTCATTTGCTGGCTGAAACCCAAATCCCACAATCAGATATTGTCGGCTGGAATATTAAAAGGTTGTGAGGCGACTACGAGAGCCAAATGTCTACGTTGGGTCTATCTGCTTACATTACTACAATACGATTCCCTTTAATTCCCAAAGGGGATGAGGAGAACGGCACCTGATCTTTGTGATGGGAATGCAAGTTTCTCTCAGCATGGTCTCATATAGCTGCTTGTTCCTGCAAAGAATAGCAGGAGTACAACGGGGACCATATCAGTTGGCATGAATGAGAAAAGAAAATGAAAGAGAAAAACTAAAAGAATGACTCACCTAAAGGCGACGGACTCCAGAATGGCTCGAACCAGATGACTTTTAGTGGTAGAAGGTTTGAGGCCCATAAGGGAGGCACAAGCTTTGGGATCATTGTGAGGAGCCTTTTTGGTTAAAAACAAAGTACATAAAGTGAAAAACCGGACCTGGAGAAATAATGTATGACATTTTCTGGTCAGCAAGAGTGCAGCTATACTATTTAACATGTAGACTGTATGTAGCTTATAATTAGAAAACATGAGACAATCATCACATGCACGTAAAGCACAAGCATTGAGGACACACACTTACAAAGGCCAGTTCACAATGGAGGGCAGAGGAAAACAGAGACACAACCGTGTTACACAGAGACCAAACAAAAAAAAACTAAAAAGCAAATCCATGCCTGTATCGGTTACATGTGCCAAAGTAAATACATGTATTGTTTTACTTTGGGGGAATATTTGTGCACACATCTGAATATAAAAGTAGATTGACTCCTCTTTGACATCGTACACATCTACCTGCAGGCCGCTGAAGGAAGGGACGAAACACACTCCGTCTGAGTGGCTGACACTGTAGGCCATGTCGCTGGTCTCCTGGACGTCAGAGAAGAGCTCTGCGATTACAAACGCACGTTTTCACACAAGCCTTCTTCCCAGCATTTTGTTTGTGACACCACATTGTGAAGCCCTTCAACTAGCAGCCTCAACTTCTAGTAAATATTTAAAAAAAACCTAGTTATCAGAGCTATTCCGTACTACTCATTTCTCACCGAGCTCCTGAGCCCATTTGATCGCGGTGCCAGTGTCTGCTGCATTGCCTTCCGCCAGATACACCACCTCGGAGACAATCTTCCAGCCCACCACAGGATACAGACCTACGAAGAAAAAACGCTGGCATGAAATGTGCCTGTATGGACACATCTGCATAGAATAATCTCATCATGTGTGTATTTTTGCTTTACCAGCTACGGACGTATGCGGTTTGCTCCCGGTGTTGATGTTCATGAAGGTGCCTGTTCCCATAGTGATCTTGACATCACCAACGTCAAAGCAACACTCTCCAAACATGGCCGCCTGCTGGTCCGCCATCTATGGCAAAGGGAGCCAGTTGTACTCAACACATAACGCATGCGGTCTCATCTAAGCAACACAGGAAATGTCCCTCCAAAGTAGGCCATCTGTCCACCATGAATTCTACCTTCTGTCCTCCTGTCACAAAATCCTTGCGTTTGTTTAACTAAACGTTGCTGCTTGATTTTACAACATAATTACAGTGAAATGCACTTGGGACACTGGAATAAATTGAATAAAAATTAGTCGTTATCACACAGATTAGAGCTCAACAACTCACCACTGACAGGATGGGAATGGACACTCCGAAGATGGACGGGTCTGTGGAACCAAAGTAATGGCTGGTGCGTCACGAGAGAGAGAGAGATCAGAAAAAATGCATTTCACTTTTCATCAGAAATCCTTAAAAAAAATGATACCAAACAACGTATCACATCCAGAAATACTGATAATATGCATTTTTTCAGCAAATGTTTTTTACATTATGTTAACTCCTATACAGAAAGACATTTTTATCCCCATTTTTTCAACGGCAGTAACATAACTGCCCAGTCCAATAGGACATTAATGAAGTAGCTTAAAAATAACCTGTTTCATATGATTTAAACATTAGTTTACATTCACAGTTCAACAGAAAAATGAAGGGACACAAGTTCACAGTGTTTCAGACAAAAAAAAAGATAATTTTGTGCAGCAGAATTGAATTAAATATCTCGCAACCAACCAACAACAAACAAGCTACTGTGTGAATCCTGACACACAAATTGGGAACCACTGATAATCATAATAATAATCGTCCTTATCTGAGTGAAAACATTTTGTCCTATTTGTAGTTTTGACAGCAATCCACGAATCAAATGCTGGGACACAAAAGAAGAAGATAATCCAGTATCCGTGGCTGTTATCCGGACTGAATTAAGGCCATGCAATCAGTTCATTCAGTCCGAATGCGATGATTGGAAATGCTACCTGCCTTTTTAGCAACCTGCCTGCCTACCGCGGCTGTTTACGTTGGTAATGGTAATTGTGGGGGGGTGGCTTTAGAGGGAGGCCTGAGAGGACAGGATGTCAGTACTTTTGTTGCTAGATTTATCTCCGTCTGGAGTAGAGCTGAGGGACACTTTCATTTGAAGAGTCGGCTATGCTCGGCTGGGTTTGTTGGCTGGATCTTTTTATTATTATTTAACCCTAGCTTTGGAACTGTGTATTACTTCGGACATCTTGGGAACAGATCATTTTGGAAATTAAGAAAATCAAATCAATTTATGCATTTATATTAGAAGACTAAAGCAAGATTCAAGTGTCGGATGGAATTTTATAATAATGGTTGACTCACTCTGTATTTTCTACTTTGGGGAAAATAGAGAGAGGCAGTGAAACAAGAAAGCTGAGAAAGCCACTCCAGCACATCTGTGAAAAAAAACAGGGAAATGACAAAAACAAACTGGCAGGAACTTTAAAAAGAAACAGTAAACACACACTGCAAACACCAGACCTGATAAGAGTCAAAGATTCCCGTTGAACTGGCGTTGGAGTAGTCCGTGGCATGGACCCGACCTGAAACAGATTCACTTACACAAATGAGTATTTCACAAAACCCATTTCCAATAGGTTAAAAATTAAAAACCTTGGTATGAGCGCCCAGTCATGTTGCAACACCTCCTCTCTACTCCCACCTTTCGTGAGTTTGAACAGGATCCAGGTGTCTATTGTTCCAAAGCAGCAGTTATCTTCAGCAACTGCTTGACGAACCTGGAAAAAGTAAGAAATATGATAAGGCCGATAATATGATCTTCCCTGTTTGCTATAAATGATTTCTTTTTCCATCTTTACAACTAACCCTTGAACACGCACAGCCTGTGAGTCTTGTTCTAGGTGTGAGTTTCGGTCAGTAAATTGGTTTGAATTTCCTTCTACACACACACACACACACCTGCTTGTAGTGTGTTAGGGCCCAGACGAGGCGGAAGGTGACGTGTTGAGTGGAGAAGACGATAAGACTTGCTGCAAGCGCCCGCTTCTGCCTGGTCACTAAGTAGATCACCTTCATCGAGGCATGGATTGCCTGCGGTTGTCATGCACACAATCAACGCCATGTTGGAGGAAGGGACTTGACTCATTCAGCAATGATCCAAATTATTTAGAAGTTCCAGTATTGTATCTTGTCTCTTAAATTCTAAACGCAGATGAAAAGCAACAAAAGACTAACCTTCATTGTGCAGGAGCTGTTCCAGGATTTTACCAGGTCTGCAGCCCTCTGATCCTGCCAGCTGATGAAGTTATGGAAAGGAACCCCGGTGGTCCTGTAAAAGTGAAAACGGGGGAGTAAAATGTACCTCAGACGTGAAGGCAGGTTTAAAAGTGCTACAGAACTCCTACAAGTCCTATGTTTTTTTTGAAGGCCATTTTACCTGTCCCATGTTGTGAATGTTCCTCGTTGAGTGGAGATGCCCATGGCCTCTATCTGACGCATTTGTACTCCTGCATCTGTATTGGGAGCCATGTGCACACACATTAAATGGAAATATTGAGAAAAAGGATGAGATTTTTTTTCGTGGGGCGCCCCCCTGTTATAAAGGATGGGGAAAGGTATCCTGTTATCAGATATTAGTGTTTCTATGTATTGGGGAGAAAACATCCTTTTACATGTCATGAATTGCATCCATTTGTCAAAGGGTGTGCCTACAAACATGTCCAATGAACACCAATGACATCCTAAAAACTTGTAGCAATGGGGAATTGTGCAACTGTACCTTGCACAGCTCCTTTAACCACAGTGATAAACCCTTTCCAAATTGCATCTGGATCCATCTCCACATATCCGGTTTCTGGATACAAAGGAACAACCTGGGTAGTATTACAATAACAAATATATACAGATTAGCCTTAAAATAACCCAGTTTGTGGAATAAGAATGAAAGTGGGCGAAAGGTGAAGCCAAATGGACAGCGAGAGGAGGAAGAATACCTCGGTGGTGCACGCTCCTCGCACGTTTGCCTCCTTGTCATAGACGTGACATCTGATGGATGTGGTTCCAACATCCACTGACAAAATGAAGCATTCCTTCTTGGAACTGTGCCTCTGACTCCCCATTGTAGAGACGTGTCTTCTACTGTTCCTCAAATCAGTGCCACAGCCTCCATGGTCAGCTCACACTGGGCCCGTGTTCACATGCTGAATGGATGTCCTGACCCAATAGCTTATCTGCATCGGCTGGCTTGTTGTGGTCGTGCGGAGGCCGCAGTGTAACCTTTGCACCGCAGATGCCACGTTTGGCAATGGGAAACTTAAAAATCCAAGATCCTTTCAACAATGCTCATTTAATCGGTATGAAAGAAGAGCAACATAATTAAGAGAACAACCTCTAGTATAAGTCCCCTTAACTTAGAGTGCACTATAGCTGTATGAAACAGTCCATGTAACGTTATGTTCTTAAAAGTTTCTACTGATACTTAACTGATGGAGTATAAATTGGGGATTTTAGAGGAAACAACACACCGCAATTATTTTACAAAGTTCTGCCCAAAAGATGTAATTTATACTTTTACTTTTGAATAAGTACTTACGTCTTGTCTGTATAACCAAAAAGAGAAGCGGTAAAGCGCACACACCCAACAGGCTACGTGCTGGTTTTAATCATAATACTGTACTTTGTCATTAGCCGTGCACGGTGACGTTAACACGGGATAAAGCTGACGTGCCGGTTGACCGACTCAAGGGTCGGTTCGAGCTAATTTGCTACACAAGAGCAGCTAACAGTCAAAAATTTTGATTTTTTTTCCGCGGTTAGCGTCCGCTGCTAAGAGAAACATCCCGCGTTATGCTTCTCTTGCTGAACAGCATTGTTTTGCTGCCCAAATATTCACCGTAGACGCGCTCATAGCAGTGCTTCCGTACTTTACGGTCACCCTGTTCGGAGGAGAGTCCAAAAGTTGTTGTCGGTGATATTTCCCGTGCGGATTTGGCTCAAGACCGCACGGGCACCCGTAGGACGGGTCACGCACGCGCACTGCGTGGATCAAAGTGGTCTGATTCTGTCAATCGGCCAATCGATAATGAAGCAGGCCGTTTCTCAATACCTAAGACGGCGAGAACGGACTCGCGTTCCCGCGAGAATAGACTCGGGAGACAGACTCGGGAGTCCTGACTCACGGGTACGGGAGAACGGAGAACGGACATTTCCGCAATTGGAACAGCAGCTGACTTGATGACGTCACCACAGTAGGCGGTCTTTGTTTACGCACGCAAGTATCTCATCTGCCATCGCAGCTTGCTGAGGTGAAATGCATTCTGGGATATATGTCTCTCACAAGAACAGACGAGCCTGCTTCGATGCATGCCCGGTAAAATGGGCGGGGCGAGTCACATCCGGGTATTATGACCGTTCTCGGCCAGATGCGGACTTGAGAATTGGAACAGTACTCGGGCTGTGACTGATGACGTTTCACGAGTCCACGAGAACAAAAGTCCACACAAGAACGCATATTGAGAAACGGCTACAGTTTCACAGGTTGAAGCTTGACACTTGTGAGTTGTCTGCTTGGATTCAATATGAGAATAGTTTAAAAATGTTTCGGGTTTTGATTGGAAACGATTGAGGTCGTATACAAACTGCAGGCTGGGCCACTATCTCAATAACATGATTGTGTGGCGCAGGCGGGTATGAAATAATAAATCATCATTAAACATGAATCAAAATAATATCAATCTAAATCTAAATTACAACATGTAAAATGGCACTAACAGAGGGTGTGCTGGGAAGCACAAGGTTGGTGGTTCGAGTCCTGACTGCCTCATGTTCCATGTCGAAAGTGTCCCTGAGCAAGACACCTAACCTGTAATTGCTTCCCGGGCAAAATGTAAAAAGCCATGGGTTAAAAATGTAATGTAAGTCGCTTTGGATAAAAGCGTCAGCTAACTGACCTGTAATGTAATGTGTATTTTTCAGGCTACAAGGCTTCGTAAAAGACAAAGCAAAGTGGTCACCAGTAAAGAAGTAGACAATGTCAAGACTGGTAAGTCATTTTTAGGAAGCCATTGGAAAATGACTATAAAGATGACTGTTTGAACTCAATGATAATAACGTTATATCATTGAGTGTAATGACTATTTTTTAATAGTTGTCATTACTTTTGCAGATGCAACATTAGTCTTTCACGTTTTTCATCTTAAATATCTACTTACTCTTCAGATCAGAAAAGAAAGTTAATACATATATTTTTTTCCAATTAAATGGTATGTCTTACATCGCAGGTTTTGTTTGTCTAATAATAATACTCCACCTTTCCCCTCTGTGGAACACACTTATGCATCTTCACTGTCTTTTGAATCAAATCATTACTTTGCCAAAAAAAACGTTTCTCTTCAATTGATGCTGTCGCCTGCACAGAGTACGTTCCCCTTAAGAGTGCAGAGGCTGAGACTGAGGAACTGATTCAGAAATCTGAAGATACTGCAAGAAAAAAAAAAAAAAACACCAAACAAATGTCTGTCGGATTAGGGATGGCATCATTACAGAGCTTCTTCCTCTTCAGGTCCTCAGATGGACATTGTGGTTGGACGTACGTCCACGGTATCCGTAACCTGAGGAGAATGAGGAGAGAGAGACCAATGGAGCCAAACCGCTGAAGAAGACACAACGTAAGGATGCTTCAGCGTAAATGAGTAGTCAATCATCAAACGGCTGTTGAATGACGTGTTATGTGGCGAGTCTCCTGCTTCTGGCACTATAGCAACACATTTAACACTGAAACCGGGAATATTCATTCAAATCAGCAGTATGTTTTCTGACTTTCAATGTTTTACCAAAACATACTCAAAAAATGTTTCATGTTAAGGCAGGAAGATGAATCCAATTTCATTTTCAACACTGTTTTCCAACGTATTACTTACTTACGAAGCAGCTGTAACATTTCTTTCCTTTGTTTTAGTAAAAGGGAAACGGAACGCAAGCTCCTCTGCTGAGAGCTCCTACCGAAGAAAACTAAGCCCAACGATGACGTATGAACTCAAAATAAGACCATCTGCTAAATGCTTTTGTTTTGTAGGATGCACTGCCCTCTTGCCCGTACAACATCTCTCTCTCTCATTCGGTTGTAGGATACTGTGTTCATGTTGGCAACCTGAACGAATATAAACCATTTTATGACCTTCAAGATGCATTAAGCAAATGCTTCATGAATCAGAGTCTACTGGTTCAAGACATCCGATTTGACCGATCCAAGTGAGTACGCTGTTTAACATTTTTACTGTCTGTTCCCTTTGAGCAGAAAACCCTGACGTAGAGTCATTAGGTGGTTTGTTTGTCCAATCGATTCCCAAGTGGAATTCCTGCTTCTTTTAACACTAATTCTTTGCTGTTGTAGAAAATATGCTTTTGTAGATTTGGCCTCAGAGATGGACTTAACCAAATGTTTGACGTTGGATGGAGAAGTGTTGCACGATAAGCCGATGACTATTACCAAAGCGAATGTCAGAAGCACAGACGCAACGGTCAAACAAAGCAAAAAGGCAACTCAACTAAATATGATTGTTTTATCCCACATTTAAAATTCTAAGAAACTTTGATAGATGTTGAAACCCCAAGCAGGACATTACATTACATTACATGTCATTTAGCTGACGCTTTTATCCAAAGCGACGTACAGTAAGTGCATTCAACCATAGGGTACAAACTCAGGAGAACAAGAAACAAGAAAGTGCAATTTCCTCAAATAAGCCAATTTACAATTTGCTATAGATGAGTGACGTTACAAGTACAATTTAAGTGCTACAATTTGTTAGTCTTTAGTCGAGGTAGAGTCTGAAGAGGTGTGTCTTTAGTTTGCGGCGGAAGATGTGAAGGCTCTCTGCGGTCCTGGTGTCTTCAGAGAGCTCGTTCCACCATTTCGGCGCAAGGACAGCGAAGAGTCGAGACCTAGTCGAGTGTTTTGCTCTCAGTGAGGGAGGGACGAGTAGTTTTGCAGATGCAGAGCGGAGAGTGCGGGTTGGGATGTAGGGTTTGACCATGTCCTGGATGTAAGCTGGACCCGATCCATTCACAGCATGGTACGTGAGCACCAATGTTTTGAACTGGATCCGGGCGGCCACCGGTAGCCAGTGAAGAGAGCGGAGGAGTGGAGTAGTGTGGGAGAATTTTGGAAGGCTGAAGACCAGTCGAGCTGCTGCATTCTGAATGAGCTGCAGAGGTCGAATGGCGGTGGCAGGGAGACCAGCCAGGAGGGAGTTGCAGTAGTCCAGGCGGGAGATGACAAGAGCCTGAATCAGTACCTGCGCTGCCTTCTGAGTGAGAAGGGGACGTATTCTCCTGATGTTGTAGAGCGTGTATCTACAGGATCGCGTTGTCGCGGCAATGTTGGGAGTCAGGGAGAGTTGGCTGTCGAGTGTGACGCCGAGGTTCTTAGCGGTCGAGGTGGGCGTTAGTACGGAGATCCCAAAGTTGACTGTCAGGTCCTGGGTAAGCGAATCTTTTCCGGGAAAGAGAAGTAGTTCAGTCTTGTCGGGGTTGATTTTCAGATGGTGGGCGGACATCCACTGAGGGATGTCAGTTAGACAGGCAGAGATCCGAGCCGCCACCTGGGTGACCGAGTGAGGGAAGGAGAGAATTAGTTGGGTGTCATCAGCATAGCTGTGGTAAGAGAAGCCATGCGAGCGAATGACATGAATTCAAATGTCAAATGTCAATGAATAGTCCACAAATGGGGATGAAGATCTAACGTCTAACTTGTGTACTGTGCTCTGTTTAGTAGACAGAGATGAGAAATATTTGTTTTTGAGGAACGTCCCGTACAACACAACAAAAGACGACCTTCTGAAAGTCTTCAGCTTGGCTGTCGGTGTCTGGTTTCCTGGTGGGACGGAAGGTCCAACACAAGGGTGAGGCCTTAAAAAACCTTTATTACCGTCCGTTTCTTGACTATACATTGGCTTGTCTTTCGTTCTTCAATGAGTATTTTAAATATTCTGGTGAAACATATGTATTTTTTTGCAGGTTTGCATTTCTCGGGTTTGCCTCTGAAGCAGCTGAAAAGGCCATGAAGGCACACCAAAACATGAAAGTCCTCAAAAAGCCTCTCGAGGTACAATTCAGCAAAGTACAACAGAAACCGGGGCATGTCAAAGGTGTGTAGCATTGTTCATTTCATCCTCTTCATGTAATATTCAATAGCAGAACATACATTTCAAGGGTTTTCTAAAGTCTGTTTTGTGTTCACGAGTAATGAAAACAACATTTTTCTTTTCTAGTTCTGTTGAGAACACTGGTTGTGATGGGTCTCGCCGAGAAGACGACTCTTTATATTGTCCTGATTGCAATAGCGGCTTAGTGGTTAACATTGACGTGTCTGCTGTCACACGGCTCTGAGGTTTGGCTTTCTGGAGCTTGAGAGTGAAGAAAACTGCAAAGCTGCCAAAGAAGCCATGGAGGGCTGCGAGATCCACGGGCGCAAAGTGACTGTGGCTTATGCTAAACACAACCGCTTAAAAGCCCCCGTGACGCCCGGCGGGCCGCCTGCGGGGGCCGGCGGTGGTGGGCGAGGCGGAAGCAGGTAACACTCGAGTTAAACTGCTGTGTCAAAGACACGTTGTTCTTTTTTTTATTATTAACCATAAATGTTTTATTAGTATTGTGTAAACATGTTCGTCTTTATTGGTGTACATCCAGTTGTCACCTCTCCAGGTACATTCATATAGTCAGAGCATCTCAGCATCTCTTTGCGCATTTTGTTTTTTCTACATGTGATTTAGCTAATTGCCAACAAAGTGACTTAATTAGAGTGTTTACATCCTGTTGTTCTTTTCTCTTGGGGTCTAAGCGAAGTGAATTTAGCTTGAATAATTACATTCCTGCTATTCTTTCTCAGCTTGTTTTTAGAATTGTTCTTGCATATGATGGTTTGCAACATGTATCTGATATTTTAATCTGTTAAATAATTCTAATCTGTCAAATAATTTATGCAGGGACAGCTGGTTTTTATCTTGGCTTTATCTGGGTATTTCTTTTATCTTGCATTCGTGTTGTGTTTTTATACACGACAAAGGTCAATTACTCTACGCGTTTACGGTCTTATTTTAGATTCTCGACTTGTTTGTTTTGATTGCCTTTGCGTAAAAGTTTTATCTTAATTTATTACAGGTAAGAAGTGTGGAACCGGATAACAACAGGATGCTTTTAAAATAGTGCAAAATAAATCCTTAGTCTGCAAAAGTTATCATGTAGATATCTTTCCCTCTACAACAACCTGTAAACCATGGAAGAACTGGTGCTGATGATGATGAATGATAGACTAGATAAGGAATAGATAGATACTTTATTGATCTCTGAAGAGGGAAATTTTGGTATCACAGCAGCATGTAGAGGGAAGAAAATAGAATAAAAAGATACACATTATATACAATATAATAAGATAGAAATATTAAATTCTTAAATTAAATTAAATAAAAACTAAAACTGAAACAAAATAATAACCCTTCAAAAGAGACAATAATAATAATTTGTAAAAGGAGAAGAGGAAGAGCAGCAACATCACAGCAGTACAGGGTTATTATTGTCATTATTTAGCAAGGGATGATTTATTGTAAAGTGTTATTGCACTGGGCAGGAATGATCTCCTGTATCGGTCCTTGTGACAGCGGAGCTGAAGGAGGTAAATGTGCAAGGTGGTAAAAGTTAAGCGGTTGTATATTGTACTTTAAACCATTTTAACTTTAACTGAAATGTCTCTGAAATGTAATATCCTTTCCTGTTTTTGTCGTATAGAAAAAGCTGTAATGTGTAAATGTGACGTCAAATACATTTTTAAAACACCAGCTGTGTCTCTTGAGTTCTGGTGTAAAGTTTGTGATGAAGAACCAGCATGTTTCCCCAGGATTTACTGACATCTTTCCTTCACCTGCGCTCATCTGAAATGACGTCACGCATTAACGAAGCCACATCTCCCAACCATCGTATCGCTTAACGTTGCATTTAATGCACGCAAAGAGGCAGTGAAAACAAGGCCCGGGGACGTGCAGCGCTTCAGTGTCCTTTAGTGACCTCACATCCTGTTTTGTTTTTTTTCACCCCCCCCCCCCCGCCCCCCTCTTGGGGGGACCGGGTTAGGACGGTCCGATCTCGGCCCCGCGTCGTTTCCGCTCGCGCCTTCTTCACACGTCAGATCCACGAGCGGGAGCGAGCGCGGGAGCGAGCGAGCGAGCGCGCGCGCGGACCAGCAGCGTTTCGTGCACTGATGGAGAAGAGTCGCCGGTAAGTTCGTTAAAAGGCGCTCAGTGACGCGGTGTTTACATCCCCGCGTCCCAGGAGGACTTTTCAAGTTTTGATCGCAGCCGAACAGCGACTAGTTTTATGAACATGTGACAAGCGATTCAAACTGCGAATGGAAAATGGCTCCTCATTCATTATCTAACGCTGATCCTGCGTGGAGATGTTTGACCTTTTTTTGCGGGGGTGTTTCTGTTTGTTTGCATTTAAGCTCGACAAACACAAACCAGTGGAGGGCAGAAGTACTTTCACCCCCAGGTCATGTGGCCGCGCGGGAGTTTAGAGTCTATGTAGATAACTTTGCACATCTGGAACTTCTTATGTAAACCTAAAAAAAAAAAGGTTATAAAGTTGAATTGGGGACCAAGCCAAAGCGAGTCTGAAGTCCAGAGCTCCACTGCGACGTAGTTGCTTAGGATCCAGCCCGGGTGGCTTTGGCTCGATGTTTGGGCTCTTTGTCCGGCTGAGAAATAAATCTTATCCAAAGTCCTGGTTGGCCCGCCGACAGCAAAAGGACTTCAAACAGGATTTTTTTGTTTTTGTTTTACTGTCTTTACCTCTTGCAGTCTTCCAAGCCGCGCTGCAGTGATGCATCATAACCGCATGATGCAACCAGCCTGAATATAGAGGGTGATGATCATTATGAGAAGTGGAAAAAAGTTCAGCACTCTCATATCAGTTTGTGCCCTTTTGTCAATAACACTCAGATGTGTCCTAAAGTTGTGTCCTAAAATGCAGCCTACCTGCACTGCGTCCTTGTTCAACTCACAACAACACGTTGACAGGTTGGTTCTTAATGCACTCGAGCCAAAATGTGGCTGTAATTCATTCTACAACATTAAAAGACAACCACATTGAGGCTTTAGAATGGAGTGTATGCTCATGTCAGGTTGTTGGCTCGTTATTCATCAATAAGATATGGATAATTGTGTTTTACACCTAGTAAGTGAATCATTGGTGGAACAAGGGAATACACGGCCATACAGGTATGAAGGGCAAGTTCAGACATATAGTGAAAGTGTGCAGCATGAAGGGTTGGCTCAAAGAAAAGAAAAAAACATTCCAACTTTTGGAAGCTCAGAACGTTTACATTTTCATGGTGGAGCAGAAGTTTTCATTCCAAAGTCACAAAACGTGTTTTTTAGTAAACAAAAGGGATTTTCCATTCTATTTTTCTTGGCAGTCGTTGTACATCTGACGCGATGAAGACGAGAGAGATGAAGATTATGAACCAGGGTCTGGAGGATGAGATGGTAAATAACACTTTCCCTGGGAACATTGCCCTTTTCTCTTGAATCCTCAAATGTCAACTTTTGTTATATCATTCGGTGTGGGATTTTCAGTCGGCGTGCTTATTACAATCATAATGACATTTTTGGAGGGAAATACAATCATACATTTAGATATTTTAAGCCTTTTGCCCTTTTGAAGACAAATTAATGTTGCTTTAAATACAATAAAAGATAATTTCTCCTCACGAGTAATGTCTTTAAAGCCTAAAATAGCTGATGGAAACCAACAATACATTAATAAGCCGTACTTTTGCACTGGAACAGTTTCCTTCATTCCAATGAACATGAGTCAGTCTCACCTCTACCTCTTAAACATGTGCGCAGTCTGTGCTTTTATAACCCACTTTATCGATCCCAACCAGTTGACGGAAATGCTTATCTTATCATTATTATTATCAAATGATCAATAAATTGCCCCAGTTCAAGAGCTTCATATCAGCATATTGGTCCCGCTCCTCAGCGAGTCACCTGCGTTTGGGGCTGTGCAGGAGGTGTGGGGCTACCGGCCGTGTCTGTGGAAGAGGATCCTGGTGGGGGTCGGGTCTGTGTGCTCTGGGGGTCTCCTGCTGCTTCTGCTCTACTGGCTGCCCGAGTGGGGTGTGAAGGGCACCTGCACACACACTCGCTGAGGGACGCACACACACTGCTGCTCAAGAACCACGGTAGGAAGTCGCCCGAATTTATTTTATATCATTTTTTTTTCACACAATCGTTTTTCTCTGTAAGTTGTTTTTAAAAAACAAAACAAAAAACAGGGGAAATATTAAAGTAAATTCAGGATTTGTAGATTGTTACCTGTTACATACTTTGACACACACACAACAAATTAACCGGCAAATTCAAAATTCTGCACGGTTTAACGCCCAAGGAAAAATGACATGCTCTGCAAACAGGATGAGTTCAAGCAGTGGTTTCGAGCCAAAGTGTATGTGATGTCCGGCCCGGGCGAGAGACCCTTTGACAGCTTGGATCTGCAGTCCACGACCCAAGTGGCGAACGGAGACCTCGGCGTCAGCACTACGCGCGAGGAGCATCATGGGAAATTAAGACAACCCGTTCAGGTGGCTCCATGCAGAATCATTCTGATGTATCATCCAGATCAGATATATATTCAGTGTCCCGACCCAGTTGGCTGGTTTTGAAACCTTAAGTGGTTTGACAGTCGATATCTGCACACATCTCTCTCACCCTCTTAGATCCACTACTTCACTCACCACAGCACCAAATACTACTGGAACGATGTGATGCAAAACTTTGAATTTTACAAGTAAGAGTCCAAAACAAAACAAAAATGCTCTTTTATTGGGAAATAGTTGGTCCTAGTTGGTCCAGCATGCATGATTAGTTTTGTTTTGTGCTGCTGGCTAATGTGTGTGACGTTTCTAGAGGCTTGGAGGATGTGAAGATGAGCTGTGTGAGCATCCACTCTGACCACAGCTCGGGACTTCCTAAAACCCTGCAGGACTACAGGTACAATGGGATCATATCCTACACATTGTTCATATACTAATTCAATTGCTTGCTGTCAATCAGAAAACAAGCATCCAATTAGAAACTGCCCTACAGGCATGTGATTAAAAATTTATTAAAATTACTTTTTTTTAAATTAGAAGGTTGTTTTTCGGGGAGAATGAGATTGCTGTTCGAGTGCCGTCTCTATTCAAGCTCCTAATAAAGGAAGTGAGTTCAGAGCTCCTTAAAATTCACACCTGACATTTCTTCCAGCATACAAACGCCATCAACGCTCATCTTTGACACGTTTCTTCATCCCTTCATCCATCAGGTCTTGAATCCCTTCTACATCTTCCAGCTCTTCAGTGTCATTCTTTGGAGTGCCGAGGACTACTACTACTACGCCACCGCCATAGTGTTTATGTCCGTGATCTCAATAGCTACCTCACTCTACACCATTAAAAAGGTGAGTCACAGGAGAACTCTTGCGTTCAGCTCATTGTGTGTCTGCGGGTGTTTTCCCACGATACTGTGTCTCTCTCGTTCCAGCAATACGTGATGCTGCACGACATGGTGGCAGCGCACAGCGTGGTCCGTGTTTCGGTTTGCAGAGAAAGTAAAGGCACGTTCTTCTATCAGGAGTAACTCACGTGCATGTTTTAATATTTTGATGTAGTACTGTGTTTACACATTAATCACATTATGGATCCCTAGCGGATCGCCGTGATTCACGAGTGTGTCTCATTTCCACCGCCTCTGTCTTAACGTTGTTCCTAGATATCGAAGAGGCCATGTCAACAGACCTTGTGCCCGGTGACGTCATCATTATTCCAGCAAATGGGATGATCATGCCCTGCGACGCCGTGCTCACACATGGGACCTGCATTGTAAATGAGAGCATGTTGACAGGTCGTATATCCTTATACTTCTGATCTTAACCCAATGTGTACTTGTTAGCTTTTCTCTGAGCCTTTCGCTGCATCTCAAGATCTTCATCAGCAGACGGAGCTCACTCAGTTCTCATGGAGTTTTGCTGTTGAACGACCTGGGAAAAGCTAGCAAATGGACTTTGAGTTAAGATTTCTTTTGTCAAACTACTTTTTCGTCTTCACCGTCTTAACTTTGTTTGTTTTATTATGTAGACCCAACTTCTTTTTTTATTGTCTTAACAAAAGTGATTAATGTTTCTCATTGAAAGCTGCTCATCTTGCACTATTCATGCTACTCAGCTGATGTGTTTTAGTAGTTCCACTGCAAAGAGCACTAGTAATCATAATTACGCCCAAACTACGAATCCATGAAAGTAGACCAAAAAATAATTGAGTCATATTTTGTGGCAACTTTCATTATTTGGGTTGGTTCATTATTTTAATTGTGCGCAACGCCGCAGCTTTTGTAACGTTTTAACGTTGTTTTTGTTTGATTTTTTAAACCTCCGTTCATCTTCAGGAGAGAGCGTGCCGGTCACCAAGACAAGTCTGCCCACTTCAGGCGAGGAGGCAGCCAGGAGCTTCAACATGGAGGAGCATAAGAGACACATCCTGTTCTGTGGAACCCACGTCATCCAGACGCGCTTCTACGCTGGAGAGCTGGTGGAGGCGGTTGTGGTCAGAACAGGTGAGACACCTGTGGGAATTACCGCTCGCGGCCTTCATCGTGAAAGCAGCTTCAAATAATTAAGCTTCTCTCACTCGCCGCCGCAGGCTTCAGTACAGAGAAAGGCCAGCTGGTGCGCTCCATCCTTCACCCCAAACCCACCGACTTCAAGCTGTACCGCGATGCCTACCTGTTCTTGTTGTGTCTGGTGGGGGTGGCGGGCATCGGCTTCATCTACACCGTCATCCTGAGTGTCATGAACAAGGTGACCTCACATGTAGATGTTTCATTCGTGGTGCTGTCTCTCAAAGAGGCTTCGGGATTCGTCCCTCTGTAGAAATCTTTCTTTCGTTTCAGGTTCCAGCCAAAACCATCATCATCGAATCTTTGGACATCATCACCATCACCGTGCCGCCCGCTTTGCCGGCGGCCATGACGGCCGGCATCGTGTACGCGCAGCGTCGGCTTAGGCGCGTCGGCATCTTTTGCATCAGTCCTCAGAGAATCAATATGTGCGGTCAACTGAACCTGGTTTGCTTCGACAAGGTAGTCTGATCCAGCAAATGTAACTGTACTGTTATTTCTACGACTGCTTGACTTAAACTCAATAAATTACTGACTTATGCGTGAAAATTAGTTTTGAGGCATCCCAGATCTCCTCCAGTTGAAGTAGAAGGAAGAATGACTTCATTGTTTTACAAACGCGCAAAGACATAAATTAAGTCGTGATGTCCTGAGGCAGTGATTTGCATTTGACCTCAACACCATGCATAATGCTTATTAAATGATGGTAATGGTGTGGTATTCAAATACTTGGAAAGCTTGTTAATCTAAAATGTGACTAATATATCTAAAAAGAAAGCTTCTAATAGCTTGAAACATTCCTTTCGTTATATCATTGATTCAGCAGGGAGATACTTGTGGTTCTGCTGGTGCAAAAAGAACAAACCAAGAAGAGCTGATACATGATTCATTCTGGCAACCAATTATTTCTTATTCACTTTTTAAATGAATTAACTTTTAAACAAGCAAGTTGGCAGCATTGCTTTGACATTTTTCTGCTTTGTTAACAATAAACAACTTAATTTACTCATGTACTGAAAATGAGTTGCAGTTGAGTTAATTCCTTTTGAAATGTTAAATAAACACATTACTTCATTACGTTTAGTAATAGATTTCTGTAACTCTAAGAATGTAGAGATATAATGATTGATTTGCTACTCTACTAAATGTCTGTTTCCTTTCAGACTGGTACTCTGACAGAAGACGGGTTGGACCTGTGGGGTGTTCAGACAGCTGAAGGTGGCAGGTAAACCTACAAGAGACACCTTTGAGATGTCTTTTTGTAAAAACATCTGTATGAGTAACCACAAAACGGGAATCAATCTCAGAGAGATTTATTCATGATGGAAAATTCAGCTGGATGTGTTTTGTCTTCAGTATTCTGACACATTATTTGTATTCAAGTCGTTTGCACACCACAGCGTTATATACTGTGAGACAGAGTTTTGAATAATGTCTGAACCATCGTAACCATCTCCTAAACATCTCTGTTTTACTCATTTAGGGTAGTTTTAATATTTTAATATTAGAAATGCTTTAAGGCTTCAATGTGATTTTTGTGTGAACTTGATGATTTGTCCCGTATTTGATGCGCTAGATTTGCCAAAAATGGTTATTCTTGTTATTCTACTTGGATTCAGCATCAGCCACTTGACGCTGATAGCAAATCAGCTATTATCCTTCTCTCCTGCTCTCCCCTTACAGATTTCTTCCCCCCGAGGCGGATCCAGCTAAAGAAAGTCTGGTTAACACTGTATTTGTGGCATGCATGGCCACCTGCCACTCACTGACCAAGATCGAGGGCGAGCTCTCCGGAGACCCTTTAGACCTCAAGATGTTCAGCGCCACCGGCTGGGTGAGCAAAGAATTTCAGTGTTTACACACAACGCGCTTAGTCACTGCCACCGCAAGCATCCTGGATGAATTATGCAGAACCACGCTCGCCGCCTTGGCAGAGGAAGCTCTCCTTGGCTCAAGTGGTTAGTGTCTGCTTCCGTGGACACTTCAACATGAAAAGCAGAGAATGCCTCGTCCTTTCAGCGGGAAAGGGTTAGTTACTAAGTCTGCCATCAACATCTTCTGATAGCATATGATTTTTTGTTTTTTTAGATCCTAGAGGAGCCCACTGAGGAAGAGACTGCACTCCACAACCCCATAATGCCCACAGTGGTGCGACCTCCAAAGCACAATCCTCTCACTCACAGCACGGTGCAGTCATTCTTCATCTCGTCATTTTGTGACCTATTTTTCTATAGCTGTAAAGATAATATGAAGTCATCTGACTTTAAATTCTGACATTAACTCTGTGTTTTTCCCCAGGAGCTCTCTGAATTACCAGTAAGTCTCCCCTTTTTTCATGAAAACCATAGAATTCTTGCAGCAGACAGGTTGACCTCTTTGAAAGTACCGTATTCACTGAGTTAGATGAATCGATTGATGCTACTCTCTGGTTCCTGTGAAATATGAAGCTACTGCCAGCAGCTGGTTAGCTTACCATAAGAACTGTGCTCTCATCCAACACTTCCTTTTACACTGAACATGTCTTTTTCTCCTCAGTCCTGTGAGATCGGCATCGTGCGTCAGTTCCCCTTCTCCTCCACCCTGCAGAGGATGAGTGTGGTGGTCAGAAGGCTGGGTGACAAACACATGCAGGCTTACCTGAAGGGAGCCCCGGAGGTTGTGGCCAATCTGTGCAAACAACACACAGGTTTGACACTTCCCCCCCCTCTATAAACGTTTGGCTGGATATTTCCTCCCCACAAATAGAAAAATATATATATATACATATATATCCTTCGCATGCTGCACTTGTCTAATAAAGGCCAGGATGACATGGCCTCCGTCACTGTTCTCAGTGCCACACAGCTTCACAGAGACTCTGGAGACCTACACCAGACAGGGCTTCAGGGTTATTGCTCTGGCTCACCGACAGCTGGAGTCTAAACTCTCATGGCACAAAGTCCAGAGTCTCGGCAGGTAGGCCTCCGTCAACAGATAACACTGTGCACGTAGCTACTGGTAGAGACCCCGAATTACTGTTGAAAAGTCAGTGGTCAGGACATTCGGTTGGTGTGTCAGCTGTCTCTGAATCAAGCTTGACTCACAATGTTTTACTTGCAACAAACTGTAGCTTCATATATCATCATCATATCATAATACGATGCAAAAGCTTTAACTTTAGTACAAGGAGGCTAGACAGAGGCAAAATATACAAATAATTGTTTTCGGATAAAGTGATTGAAAAATCAATTTCATTACCTTTTTAGTGAACAAATAGTGTCTATGATTTATTGTTTATGATATTTGTTGCTTTTAGGGACCTGATAGAAACCAACATGGAGTTCATTGGTTTGATCATCATGCAGAACAAAATAAAAGAGGAGACCGCAGGGGTTCTACTTGAACTACGGCAAGCAAACATCCGCACTTTGATGGTCACAGGTAAATCATTTTACCCACTTTATTCACCAATTACTTGTTTTAATATTATATCATCATCGGATCGTCCGCCGATGTGCAAATAGCATCGTTCCTTATTTCAACATCAGTACGTTGTCTTTTCTCCCCCCTTTCTCTTTCTCTCACCCTCTCTTAGGTGACAACATGTTGACAGCGATATCTGTGGCTCGGGATTGCGGGATGGTCCGTGCAGACGAGAAGGTCATCATTGCAGATGCTGCGCCTCCGAAGGATTTTCACCCAGCTAGCATCACATGGCACTACACTGAGAACCCAGCTCAGACCCACCAGGACCATCAGGTGAGACGAAAGCCAACTAAGTCATGGTGATTGGTGCTTTGTACCTCTCATCATTGCATAGTGTGTTACGTGGATTTACACTCTAATCCATAGCCTGCTGCGTGTATCAGTCAGATAAGAGCACGGAAAAAAGGGGTCCAGTTGAATCCGTCACATGTCGTGCAGGATAATACGCAGTAATACATCGTAGTTTGGTAGTTTTCTGGTCTTTCCAGTGGTTTTTCCTCATCATTTCATCTTCAGACGGTGGAGATCAACCTGGAGGACGCCGTATCGGAGAGAGTTACTCCGCAGGATCAGAACTATCACTTTGCTGTGACTGGCAAAGCCTTCGCTGTTATCACTGAGCACTTCCCCCAACTCGTCCAAAAGGTACAGGTTCATCTCCAGCGACACACACACACACGTTTAGATTTTGTGGTCTACACTGGGGGCAGTTTTTTCTTTCTGTTTAACAACATTAATATCATCTACTTTACGGTAATTCTTTGCCTGTCCACACGGGGGCGCTGCAGCTGGTGCTCAGGGCCACGGTGTTCGCCCGCATGGCTCCGGACCAGAAGACGGAGCTGGTGGAAGTCTTGCAGAGCATTGAGTGAGTCTCTCGTTTGTCTGCGACTTGAGTTCAAATCTGTTTGGGGGCTTGATGTTCATCTGTTGAGGATCGTGTGATTAGGAAGAGTCATCGCTTCTGGCCAATGTAGAACTTTCACCCACCATTCTTATTCCAGCTACACTGTTGGGATGTGTGGTGACGGTGCCAATGACTGTGGAGTAAGTATTGATCATTTTTTGGGGTTATTTGCTTGTGAGTTAATAGACGACAGCTTTGTGAACCAGCATAAATGTGTCTTATTACTAAAACTGTGGTGAAAAGTGATTTCTCTCTGTCTCAGGCTTTGAAGAGAGCTCATAGCGGGATCTCTCTGTCCGAGCTGGAGGCCTCTGTGGCTTCACCGTTCACCTCCACCACCTCAAACATCTCCTGTGTCCCCCACCTGATCAGGTAGAAACTCACTTCTGAGAGGAGATCATACAGATTACAGTGTTCTGCTGTACACTGATACTACGGGTCATGAACATCTAGTGTGATGATGTAGGTACAGTTACACACTCACCATTTATTGGATTGACAGTGGGATTTATTGAACAAAGTTAACACTTATTACTCTTACTTACTTATTACTCTTTTTAACCTTTTTCCATTCTCTAAATTAATTTTCTTTATAAGGGAGGGCCGAGCCGCCCTCATAACCTCATTCTGCGTGTTCAAGTTCATGGCTCTCTACAGCATCATCCAGTACCTCAGCGTCACTTTGCTCTACTCGGTAAACCTTGCCTTGATTTACCTTCAACTATACGGGAAAACGTTTTAAGAAAAGAAAGAAATACACATTTTGTTGCAGCATTTTTTTTTTCCTCTTTGAGAATGTATGTATATACATCATATATACATTATACATACATTATTATATATTTTTGATGTTTCCGGCATCACAATTCTGGGTTTCATGTATTTGGTGAGGTGATGTTTTACTATTGAAAGTCCTGCATTTGTTAGCTTGCCTGGTTAAAGACATTGAGTTACAGACACACGGCACACAGAAGGCAGTCCTGGGCAGAATAATGGAAAGGAAAATGTGACGTAAATTACATTCTGAAAGAGGCTGACGTCCGTGAGTCGGACAGATTGAATCGCTGTGGATCCCTTGCTGTGACTGTTTAACTTTTGATGTTGTAGATTCTCAGCAACTTGGGGGACTTCCAGTTCCTCTTCATTGACATCGCCATCATTCTCATCATTGCCTTCACAAGTGAGCAGCATACAGAATGTTTTTAATCCCTGTTTGTATTCATCAGCGTTGGACATAAAGTAACGGACGCTATTGACTCCCAGTATTAACGTGCAGTATCTTCTGACTTCAGTGAGTCTGAACCCGGCATGGAAGGAGCTGGTGAGGCAACGGCCGCCGTCCAGTCTGATCTCCGGTCGGCTGCTCTGCTCGGTTCTGACCCAGATCGTCACCTGCCTGGTCTTCCAGGTCCTGGCCTTCCTCTTGGTGCGGCAGCAGAGCTGGTATGAGACATGGACGCCTCAGTCAGAGTGAGTAACCCACCTTCAGCCAAACGACGAATAAGCAAACAACTGGTTGGCAAATGTGTGTAAAGTGTTTTGTCTTAGACTTTAAACTAAAAGGTTACATATTACTCTCCCTGCACACTTAATAAACTGTTGCCCACATCCCCAATAAAGAAAAACATCTAAACAAAATAATGATGATTGTCAGCCATTCTCCACATTATTATTATTATTATTCTGTCAGTACAATACAATACAATTGAAAAAAAAGAGCAAAAGAAGTTAGCAAAACATCTTTTGACTCTTTTCCTTATGTCTGAATGTTTGCATTAACCATCTGCTGCTCTCCTCCTTTAGTGCCTGTAATGTTTCCAGATCCAGTCTTTCTCACAGCCCAAATGTAACAAGCCCCCATGACCAGAAAAACATCAAAAACTACGAGAACACCACCCTCTTCTACGTCTCCTCCTTCCAGTATTTGGCTGTAGCCATCGTTTTCTCCAAAGGAAAGCCCTTCAGACAGCCGAGCTACAAGAACTGTAAGAACTGTTTGATCTTGATGCAGCGATACGTATGGAAAGAGATTATGGTTCAATTTGCCGGCCACATTTTGAGTATTTCAGTATTTCTTATAATGCAAACTGTAATTTTAATCTCAGTTTCACAAATAGTAGTTAATTCCAAGTCCTTCCCCCCCCAGGGCCGTTCATGCTGTCCTGCATCAGCCTGTACACCTTTGTCCTGCTCATCATGCTGTATCCTGTTCCTGCCATCGACAGCTTCCTGGAGGTAAACTTTAGTGTTTTTTTCTGCATTTTTGTTTATGGTTTACGTTGCGCTGCATCCTCTTAAAGACATGGAAAACCACCCGCCTGTAGAAACAGCGCAAACGTGACATTTTTAAAGAAGAGTGTAGCAAAGGCTGCTGGTAAAGCGCATGAAGTTGATGATGTGTGTGTGTGTGTGTGTGTGGGGTTTTGCATTCAGTGCTCTGTTCCCGCTGCTCTGCTTCCACTCAGATCGTGTGTGTTCCCCATGACTGGCGCGTTACACTGGTCATCATTGTCATAGTGAATGCGGCCGCGTCTTTCGTGCTGGAGGTACGCTTTAGAGACGCCGTGCGAGCTCAAAGTGAATTAGAATGCTGTGACTTTGCATGCTTTGATTTCTGTTTTCATTATTTCCTGCCTAATGACTGAAATCAATTAGCGGTGTTTGCAATTTATTCCTCCTTGCGCTTCTCTGGCTGTAACCCGATCCTTCACCACCAGCGTTTTCTGAAGTTGCCCCTGCGATCTCCTGTAGATTCTGATCCTTGACATCATCCTGGGGAGGCTAATTTTCAGATGCAATCAGGGGGGGAATCGCCCCACGCAGCCCCCCTCGGCTGGCGCGCCTCAGGTGGGGAAGCTTTTGACTTTGCTTTTGTTTTGGTATAAACTTTTAACTCTCCAAGACGGTTGCTTCATTTTTTCATCTGATTTCTTGCTACATGCTGTGAAAAATTAAAAAGAAAATCTAATAGAAAAGAGTATTAAATGGTATTATCATTTTTTTGTATATTACCATTTCTTCTGATTTTTGTGATAATAATTTATTTTGGCTTTCCTGGAATCACTAATACAGAAACTTGTTACTGCAATGTAACAAAAAGGGATGAAAATACGCCCTTGATAATAATGCGATAAGCAGTGGTATATCTTTAATACATTTTCAACCAATTGCAATATATACATTTTTTCTTTAAATCATGTGTGTATATAATCAATACACTGTACCTGTCTGAGGTGCAGAGGTAACGTCGAGTCTTGAGCCTAGTTTCTCAATCTTTACGTGTTCCCAGGAGGCCAACGATCGCTGGGCCTCTTCCTTCCTCCTCTGGTTGTTCTGTCGGAGGAACAAGCCCCCAAGGGTCAGCTACACCCAGCTGGCCCTGGGCCTGAGGGACGCCGCCGACTGGCCTCCTAGACCCTCCGCTGTCACCTACGCCAGAGATCTGCAGTCCCACACGTCTGCCGCGCTCTGACCCCTCCGACCAGCAAACGGCCGCACAGACTAAACCCAAAACTTCGGCTGGATGCCGGGCGACCGATCCAGGAGGCTCCCTGAAGGTGGGGCCTCCAAACGCAAACAAATGGCCGACACAGTGAGCTGCTCGCGCAGGAAGTTCTCTTTTGTTGTGATTAACCTCATCAGAGTAGAGAAAGCCTCTGCACACCGGAGGCTTCTGTTCAAGGAATAGTCCAACGCGTCGGGCTCTTTTCTGTGATAAGACGGCGTCGTCAATCTTCTCAGCTCAACATTTGGGGATGTATCGCTAATTGCTTCATGATGACGGGAGCCTCACTAAACTGAATGTACTTTCTTAACAGTGGGATGCAAAAGTCAGAAATAACATTTAACATTGAGAATGGAATAAGAGTGTTAAATAAGCCCGTGATTTGTTACCAGCCGTGTCCGCAGCAAAGTCTATTGTTTTCTTCTTGTGTGTCATCGTGGTAAAATGTTTGGAATCTTTCTGAGTCAAAAGACGTGTCAGTCAGTGGCAGCCGTGATAAGAGCTGTTGGAATTGGAAAGTGCTTCAATGCTTCCTTTTTAAAATATAGTTAGTAGAAAACACTGCATTTACCAAATGAAGAAGATAAGGCCACCACACAATTCCTTTCAGCAGATAACATTGAAAGTAACGCAGCATCTAACAAGCATCGACAGTTATTTCCATACGGTCACAAACTGATGGGATTCATGTTGATGAATTTGAATAGACGGCTTCAATCCTTTTGCTTGATTTTGGAATTATTTAGTTTGGACATATACTAAATAAGTAAGAAAACCAATTAATAGGAGATTAAAGGAACAGTAAAGAAATTCTCATTTTTTTCTCTTTTTTTCCCCCAAATATTTTAACCTTGTAAGATAACTTTAGGCATTTATTGAGTACAGTAATAATTCGAGAAAATTACAGCTAATTTGGTAAAAAAAAAGATTTTATATAAGTAAGAGTATATTAAAAATAAGGATTCTTCCCACCCAAAAAACAAACAAAAAATTCTTATTCTAAATAACTAGAAGAATAAAAAGGAAGAAAACTGTGCTTAATATAATTTATTGAACACCTAAAAAGACAAAATTAATCAAGTAGGAAAAGGAACTATTGAACCGATTAATTGATGTAGTAATTGTCAGTTTGTACTGTAAAAGCCAGCATTCTAAATAATGATAGATTTCATGGCGTAATTTTTTTGCCACACTTTTTGTACACCCACTAGCAGTTTTGCCATAGCAGACCCAAGTCAGTCATCACCATGATGTCATTTAGTCAAAGCGGGTCTTCTTTTCCTAAATCCTCATGAATTATTTTTCACAATGTTCCATGGCTGTGTAGCGTTTTTCATTGAGGTTTAAGGAAAAGTGGTTCTGAATAGATGTAAACTTTTTGACTTTAGCCCTTCTATGTACTACTGCAATAGAAACTACCACAGAAGCCGCTTTAGGGACTTTAGGGCCGATCTTGTCGACGCGATGGCAAACATGCAGAAGCAATCATGAAACTTAACATGTGTTGTGAGCAGAACGAAGGTTCTAAGACAAAATTCTTCCTGTGGAAGAGGGAAGCAAAAACTAATGTCCCTTTTTAATTTGTATTGCTGCTGACAGTGTGTGTGTGTGTGTGTGTGTGTGTGTGTGTGTGTGTGTGTGTGTGTGTGTGTGTGTGTGTGTGTGTGTGTGAGTGTGTGAGTGCAACAAGTGCTAACAGGATAATCAAAACCATTTGGGTGTCTGTTGATTGCATTATGACATTTTTACACTTATTTCCTGAAAATATGACTTTTTATTTGCTATGACAAATAATTACAGCGTCTAACATCACTAAGGTCCTGTACATTACTGATACGGTTTTAATTAATCAAAGCGATAGACTGAATCATAATGACTCAATGAGACAATTGCTGCTGTGACAATTTTCTAACCTTTGATTTGTACATATTTTAATGTGACTATTTACAGATTTGTTTAGTACCATTTCAATTGTAACAAATGTGAAGAAATATGGGAATTAGTCACTTTTATCTTCTCTTTATTACCATAAGAAACATTTATTTTTGAAAACTGCAATCCAGTGTTTGTACTTACTTCTTATCTCAACAACATGTTTCAATGTCTGGCAACAAATTTCCCCGTGTTTGCTCTGCAGAACTCCCGTTACATTTCTCAATAAATCTGTATATTAAGCCACTCTTGCGTGCTTCGTGGGGGGCTGACCCTGGTCACACTTTTTCAGCCAAGACTTACTGATCAATTATGGGCTTTCCCAGCCTCCTCGCTGCCGGGCATATGGGCGCCTTAAAGGCGCGAGAGTGGAGGAGAAAGAGGGGTATCATTTCATGTGGAGATCAGGGCCTACAGGCAGTGAATGGGTGGATTTAAGGGGGACGGTGAAAAGGGGAAGGGGGTTCTCGCTTGTCCCAAAAAGAAAAGAATCTCCCACAGATCAGGGAAGAGCCCTTTTTGGGAATATTCATGATGAGGATGAGGAGGCATCATGAATTCATGTGTGTCTCCCTGACTCGCACGGATCATCTTTTCAGTAAACACTGCTGTGCTCAGAGCCGGGATGTCTCGCTTTGCTTCCGTGTTTGCGATGTAGTTTGTTGGATAGTGTTGCCTCTCCACAAAGCAATATGGGTTTTTGTGTACTCTCTGCTGTATTCCCTTTGTGTCGTTTGAGCAGCAGATGGAGAGTGGTGGAGCGGACATAAAGAAGCTAAAACACACAGCCTTTCTTCCTCACAGCCAGCTACTCCCTCTAAAAGATTTTCTCAAGCTTGCGCTCAGACGTTTGCTATTTCAGACATTTTGCACTTCATCTCCTTTCTCTTTCACCCACACGTTGTTTTGTCTCAGTTGTGGACTTAGTCTTTGTTTCTAAACTGACAGCAGTCTGCGCCGAGTGATCGTATTGTGGGGTAACGGTCACTGTGACACGCTTTGATGCATTTCAGGTGCTTTTTCAGCGCGTCTGGGACAACAAACCAACGCTCAGCCGCTCTGGAAGCAGCTGGACACTCATAAGGACCCCGTCTTGATCTGTGGTCGGGACACAAGGACAACCTGATGCTTACTTACGGTTGGCCTCATTTTGCAGAAGACACAAAGGCAACACGTCTGGCAAAAGGTCCGTGACCTACCAGACGGTCACAAAGACCTTCTCCTCCCTCCTGTCCCGTGAGCATGGGCTCCTTCTCCGGACCTTCACGACGTCCCCGGACCCCTTCCTTTATCAGTCCTCCCAGGCCTCAATGGGCTCTGTGGTTGGTCAATAAATTCAGTGATTCAGGGGGTGGACAGATGCAGCCGTGTTAACGTTTGTTCACAGGCTTGTCGGAGGGACGGGCCCCACCCCGCAGCTCTTTGTCCCCCGTGGTCCCTCAACAGGTTAGAAGTCAATGGAGGGCCTTGTGTGGAGGTGGCAGGGGCATGGATGGAGCCGCCTCTCACATGGCGTTCACACAGGGGGAGGACCAGCCCGGATCACTGTGACACTTGTTAGCGCGGGGGCCACGCAACGTTGGCGGGTTTGCCTCGGCCGCTCTCCCCGGAGGGCCCGTGCGATATTCAGCACTTTAAACAAACTAATGGTTGAGGCTGCAGGATTGCGTCGACGTAAGGTGATCCGCACTCAGAGGCCTCGAGTGACCGCGGTGAAAAGAAGTGCACAAGCGTATCTCACCATCTCACTTTACAGATCAGACTCGCAATAGAAAAGGAGGTCAGGTCTTCAATCTGGGGTTTAAATTTAAACTAGAACTGCATGAATGCACTTTTGTGGGCCCTGAAAGTGTCACACTGTTGTTGAGTTATAGACTGTTTCTCGGCCGGGGAGGAGAAGCACGGGAAACGGCCACACCGGGAGAAAAGAGACACAGAGAGCCAAAGACGGAGCCGCACACACAACAGAGGACGGCTTTAGGGGACACAGAGCGGCGGACAGAATGAGACTGAAGAGGGACTTAGGGACATGACTGAAGACTAACTGTCATGAGAAGATGAGAGTTGCCATGGCCACCCGGGCGCCACCCAGCAAGCATGTGAGCGGGGGAGACTCGGTGGGGAGGCGGGGGGCGGGGGAGGGCCGGTGGATCACATGCACTAACCAGGGATTATGTGCATAAATGATGAGCACTAAGCCGGCAGGTGAAGAAGGGAGGCCCTGGGACAAGAAACGCGCCCATCCCTCAGGACGTCCCATGTAAAGAGCAGGGACTTTTTTCCCAAGTGAGGCTGATCTCCCGCGTGAAGGGGACTCAGCCAGAGGTCCTCGAGTGCTGAAAGGGCATCCCCGAGGCGGCTTTCACAGCCTAAGTGGCCAAAATGCTGGTCTTGTGAGTCATCTTGAGTGGCAAGAATGGGCCATCTTCACATTCATAAATCCCAATGCAAACACACTCGTGGATATGGACTAAGCTTGGATAAGCGCCACATGGCAGCGCGTCAGCGGGGCTCTTGTTGAAGGCTCGGCGCTGGTATAAAACAACCGATTCTACGGTCTTTTATCCGTCAGAAAGTAAGCGACTTTAAAGGCATATTCATGGACTTGCTGACACTGTATATCCAGCATCACCAGGTCGTTTTGATGCAAGCGATCAATGCTCGTAATATCCATGGCTTTAGGGGAATGCCTTTGAACCTCGACAGCACAAAGAAAATCACATTCCCATGGTCCACACAGAAAAAAAATACACAGTTAACCAACCTCCCCCCAACACCTTTTCAAGGCGATAGTATCCCTGAACATATTAACATGTAAATACACTTAGATACTTTAACAATGCACTGAAATGCATATAATCTACATGCTAACTAGTCCTTTAAAGACTTCTCCAATGCTGAATGTGGTTTGGGAACACTTTCATGTCTGGGTTTTAAAAATTAAATGTGAGGCCTCTCTTAGAATCTCAGAAAGCGTTTTTCAATTTGATGAGGGATAAGGCGATGACTGGGTTCCCCTTTCAAAGGGGGAGACCCAGAGTTCAATAAGACTTCAGTCTCATTGCCTTTGCCTCCAAGTTTAAGATCTAAATGCTGGCATCTTTTAAAGAAAGAACCCACCGCGTTAGGTGACAGATGGCAGGTTGTTATGCTGAAATACCAGTTGCTATGGTCCCCCTTTTCCTCCGCAGCTTCCCTTGCCATAGCTAAGCATCCTCTCTGCTGGTGTACTGACTTGGAATAAGCTGAGTTGAAACTACTCAGGTCGTTGTTGACAAACACGAGCCTGGATGAGTCTCCTAATCTCCCGCTCCTTTATCCGCTCTTTATTGCCGTATAAACAGGGCTGAATACGTTAAAAAAACTAAACCTCTGTTTTCAGCCTTCTCTTATCTCACGCGGGGTTTAATCTAATGCCCTCCACCCCTTTTTACATCTCTGCCTCCGCTAAATACGACCATATTTCTGATTCAGCGCGTCGCCGTGACAACCAGTTATTTCCCATCCTTGAGCCCCCCCACCCCCCCTTCAGCTTCTCTTCTCCATTGATACCGCTGCCTCCCCCTTTTTCTTCTTTTTTTTTTTGTCCAAATAAAACAAAGCTTGGAGTGAATGCGCTCTGAGGTAGGTAAATGTATTCAGTGACATCAGCCAGGACGAGTCTATTCTGCCGGATTCCTGTACCACTTGTTTCCAGCCTTGTCTGGGGGCCGGACACTCTGTTGGGCCCATTGTCCCTCGTGTATTCCACACAGGCCCGCAATTAATGGAGGCCTTGTCTAAGGCTTCTGGAGCAGAAACTGCTGTTGGGGAGGGGGACAAAAGGCAGGCAGAGCCTGGGAGTTGCTATGGGATCCCCCCCAACCCCCCCCCCCCCCCTTCCCTCTTTAAGGGGGATTCAAAGGGAGAAGAAGGGACGGAGAGCGAGCGCAGTGCTGGACGGGATGTCTAAGTGATCCTCTCTGTCTGTGGCCTCCCCTCCTGGCCCGAGATGTTTATTATACCAGCAGTTGAAAGGGCAAACCTTCGCAGTAGTGGACGGCGAGGATGGTCGTTTCACTGCCCGCAGCTTCCAGAACAGGTGAACCTTGACGGGAGGGGGGGGCGCAAACTGCAAAGAGACCGCAAAGAGGTTTATCAAATATATACACACTTTTCTTTTTTTTTGTTGACCACAACTAAAAATGACACATGCTCCTGTTTCCCGGAGCTGGTGGTCGTCACACGCTGGACCTTGACGGCTGTCGTCATCCTTTCCCCGGCTCCCTGGAGGCTCCCACCCCGGGGTTCCCACACTGATACGCATCAGTGCCATAAACTTCATGTCCACATCACCATCAGCACAATAAAGGGTTGTTTGTGGCAGAGCAGCAGGCGCACTGAAACCAGGACTGATAGCATGTGATTTATGGCTGCGTGGCCTCTTCTCCAGAAGCCCTGTCGTCTGCTGCTTTAATTCAAACGTAAAGAACATTTTGTTGATTGTGATACAAAGATAAAATCTACAGTGGTTGTTTGTGATGCAGTTCAGAAGTAGGGCCTAAGGTATATTGTCTATGTATCTAATTCAAACCAGTGCTGTTTATATTATCTATTTGTAGATTTAACTGTGGTGTCATTTTAACTCAGATTGTAATACTTTATTTGCTCTTTCTCCCCCATCATTTAATCTACAAAACACAAAACAACGAGGTAAATCTTTATTGTACTTTACGGAAAGGATTACATGAACAAAATATACTAGCGTATATTATTACTATATCGTGCTTATTTCTGCACGTTAAACACAGATTCTTTATGCTCATTTATTCCTTTTCTTTACTAAATTCACTACTAACACAAATACTTTTTGAAAGATTTTTTTCAATAACACTTAGAACGTGGCTGCCCTCTGTTTGCCCTGATTTTATAGATAAAAGTTACAGCAGTATTTTCCTTGTATCTTCCAACTTGCCAATGTTTTATTCTGATCAGGAATCAGGAAACATTTATTGCCAAAATATGTCAAACATACAAGGAATTTGTCTTGGCGGTTGGTGCGTGACAGTAGACAGTGTAACAATAGACAACAAGACAGCAGTGCGCAAGTAACAAAATAAAGTAAAATGAAATGCTAATGCAATGATATATAGTACATTGCTTTTTAAAGAATACAATCTACAATAAAGCAATTAGTGTGTTGGAATTGAACGTGACAACGGAGCATGTTCAATGTTCAATGATATTGTTATTGGCAGACATCTGTTCCTCCAGGTTCATCATCCTCTCCTTGAAGCACCTAAATCCTCAGAGATGAAATTAAAGCCAGGTCAGTGTGCAGCCACGGTTTCTTCTTTATTTGTTAGAAATCCAAAGATAAGTGACCATTATTGTTGATGTTTTCTTTGCTAAAATAACAAATTTAAGATAATAGAGTGTTACTTTGAGGAATTCAGTCATTTATTAACTTTAAAAGAAAAATACAATTCTGGTTTAGAATCTCTCACAATCCAAAAAAAAAGATTTGTAAGTAATATATTCCTAACTGTTATGAGATTTCAGACGCTTTGGAGTTTCCTCAACCTGATAACACAGCGCAGGTGTCAGAGTTCACCGCAGCGAGCGGACAGTTGAGTGTGTCAGAGATTTTCTACTTCACTGGACATCGGGCCTGGAGTGTGTCACAGGATGACGTCTTCACCTCAAAGTCTGAAGCACTCAATCACCCCCGAAAAAGTGTGTGTCTGAGTGAGCGTGTTAAAAGAGGCACACAGACGGATCAAGAACCTCTACATTTGGAAGTGAATTCGTTCTCAGCTTAAATGTCTTGTTGAAGAAGATGCAATGTTTTGGGGTAACTGAACTGAACTGGCTGTTAAACCCCACAATCTAATTGTTAATTAACCTCCATGGGAATCAAAGTTATACTTTTGGGACGTTTGGTTGGCACCTTTAAAAAAAAAAATCAACAATGATCTTGTCCATCACACGGTAAAATAGCCCAAAGGTAAAATGACCTTTACCTTGAATTAGACTGAAGGCCAAAACATCAAATGCAATCTGAAAAAATATAAAATATAAAAACTAAAATGATTTAAATTGATTTAGTCAAAAACTATACAAATACATTAGCAAATGCATCCTTAGAACAGATTAAACCACCTAACCAACTAAAGCTCGAATTAATTAATTTGTTGTTGCAGCTGCTGAGCAACTTTTTATTCTTATTCTGTCGTTTTCAACAAGCATGTTTGTTGCAGCTGGGGCGTCTTGGACGTTTTAAATAAATCCACATAAATCCTGGCGGTGTTACTTTAAGAGAAAACACTCCCGGACACGGCGGCACTTTTACTCATAAAGTCGCTTAAACCCACTCGGTCCCTCAGCAGCCTGACAGGTAGCCAATGGGATTGCGTCCTCGCGCGAGCCCGCACGCGAGCCGCGCGCCCTATAAATAGACCCCCAGGTGGGGCCGCAGCGGCGGACCGCGTGCCAGAGCTGCGAGGCGACACGAGCCACTTGGGACGCACGTCACCGGCAAACTGCTCCGCGGGGTGAAAGCGGGACGAGCTGCACCGGACGGACTTGGGTTTTTTCCTTTTTTTCTTTTTTTTTGCGATACTGTTTCTATCTAAACCATTAGCTCGGACGAGTCTTTGCTTGTGAAGATGCCAGCCGGTACTTTGGAGAGAACGTCTCTCACCGCCGCTGCGGCCACACCGGCGGCCGGGAAGCCTCGCGCCCTGACAGAGCACAGGAAGGTAGGCCGTCAGAGCACTTTGTTTTACTAACGCACATCTGTTTCACAACTGTTTAAATGTTGAAACGGTCATTTTAAGGTTATTCTTTTTCTTTTTTCCCCCCTCAAGTCTTCCAAACCGATCATGGAAAAGCGGAGACGTGCGCGCATCAACGAGAGTCTGGGCCAGCTGAAGACTCTCATCCTGGACGCACTCAAGAAGGATGTAAGGATCCCTACATGGTTCCATGGTTATCAATGCATAAAAGATCCACATACATACACACAATTTTATTGCATCAAGGCTTTTTGACTTTGTCAGGAACCTCTCCTTCAACAAAACAAAACATTTTTTTTCACTCAATTTCAAAATGCTCTGGTTGAAATTATGACCTTTGCTGTTATAACAATTAGAGCCAAAACTACTGTTTTCCAGTACGTGCAAAATAACAACAAACAAAGGCGACCATGTCCAGACATGTGAGGTCAATTCAGAAAAGGCCTATTTTATTGGATAAGGAAGCAGGTAACCAAGAGATGGGAAACAAATTGCATGATGGAGAATTGTTTTTAGTGTATCTTACAGCTGATTTAAGACATGTGTTAAAACTGACCGTTGAAATAAGAGATGGTAACAGAAAGCTTACACAAGAGGAAGGTTTTTAAGGTGGATGGAAATTAGGAACCACATTCAGCATTTAACCGTCCTGCTTGTCCGTCTAGAGCTCCAGACATTCCAAACTGGAGAAGGCCGATATCCTTGAGATGACTGTGAAGCACCTCAGGAACTTGCAGCGACACAGGATGACTGGTGGGTAACTACTCTTGTAAAGTACAGTTGATTGTTACATTTTTCTTTGATTTCTCGCTTTGAATGGTAAATATGTTCCCTTGGTCTCCCGGCTTGTGCTTATACCATAAGACATGTTTGAGCTCCGCTGCAGGATCTGAACATAGCAGCACATAATTTATTGTATTTGTGTGTTAATTTGTCTGTATTTACATATTTCATCTCCAGCTGCGGTGAACACAGACCCGTCCGTCCTGGGTAAATACGGAGCCGGGTTCAGCGAGTGTGTCGGAGAGGTCACCCGCTTCCTTTCCACGTGTGACGGGATGAATACGGAGGTGAGGACTCGTCTCCTTGGCCACCTGGCGTCCTGCATCACCCAAATCAACGCTGTGAACCTCTGCACGCCTCACCCAGTTGCCCCGGGACCGGCACAGACCGGTGCACAGATCACAGCCGCCTCGGCTCCACTGACGCCTTCCAAAAGCGTCTCGTCAATGCACGCTTCCCCAGAAGCGATAAAGCTGTACGGTGGCTTCCAGGTGGTGCCGACAAGGGATGGACAGTTTGCTTTTCTTGTTCCCGGCACAGCGCTCCTGCCTCAAAACAGTCATGCCGTGTCACCTGTTGCACCCCGGGTCACCCTGGACCCTGTGTGGAGACCCTGGTAGGAATTCAGCTCGACTGGGTTTTTTGGAGGAAAAAGGACTATCACGCAATAAAGCATATTATTGTACATTTTATAAATGATTTTGAAACCTACTTGAGAGGGATGTTTACACACACACATTTGTGTTTTTTTAAACGGACATCAGGAAATATTCCTGGCATCTTGATTGCTGTGACTTTCTTTGTTTTTGATACAAAATCCCCGAAAAGCACTGTATTTTTTTTAGATTAATAAAGATATTTCTATGATAAAATACTTGCTGCTATGGCGTCTTTGTCACCTCCCCTCTCTCCAGGTTGTCTTGCTGATGTCCACTCATTTAGAAGCAGGTGAGGCCGGTTTGTTAAACATGTACAGCAGCTATTCAATTATTGCCCCTTCGCCTGATCCACACCTGACCGACGCCTCCGCAGTGACAGAGAAACCTGCTTTCTGTCTGAAAGGAAACACCTTTCTGATGAGGTAAGGAAACCAGAAGTGTGCATGGTCTGTTACATGCAGGTCGATCCGGCCTCCTGCAGATGGGAAATAGATTAGGTTGTGTTGTAAGGACAAAGAAAGCTAAAACAAGGCTAAATAGATCCCTGCCATTACTCAAGGATTAAGCGTGTTGTTACTTTTAGAGGAGTCTTTACTGCATCGCCTGAATCCACCGCCAGGGCGGTACTGAGTGATATTTACGGAACAATTCAGTCGATTAAGCCGACAGAAACATCTGATTTGATGATGTAGGCGTTTGCGTCGTGGACACTAGTTCATCAGCGGCAGGCCCGCGGAGACGGTCCAATCCAATGTCCATTTGGTGGACAGTTGAAGTCACAGGTGCCCCTCATTCACACTGCAAAGACAACGCAGCTCCAACAGCATGTTGCCCTAAATCCTGAAACCTTTCCACGGACCTGGCGGGCCGTCAGCGGAGGACATGGCCTCCCTTTGACAGCATCAAAAGGTGCCACCTCCAGGGGCAGGCGCACACAATCCATGACCGTCGGGCTGGTTCTGATTTAAAATTCAGGGAATGGAAGGGTTGTTACAGTTGTTACGGAAATAAATATGTTTTTGTTACTTAAAGAAATGAGAAAACGGGTGCACAAATGACTGCACTCATATTATTCAAATATGCAAAGGGGACTTATTTTAAATCGCTTTGGATAAAAGTGTCAGCTAAATTACATGTAATGTGACGTAATGAGTAAATACCAGAAACCGTTTTGAATTCTGCATTTCAAAACAAGGGAGCCGTGTGAACCTAAATCAAACCCTCAATCGGGCGCCCTTAACAGTTGTTAAAACTCCTCACTTTGTGCAAATGATACAGTCAATTAAGTTTACATCTTTGTTTTGGCACGGCCGAGAGAAGACTGGCAGTAAGGAGGACTAAAAGACACAAATAAGAGCTCCCCCTACCATCAGAGTGTCCTTTGAGAGGACCCCGGACACAAAAACAAAGACGGGCCCCTCTGTGGCTCTTTGTGAGCCTCTCCATCTTCATAAAGGGCCTTCCCCTTGTTTATCCAGGAAGAGGTTTAATGGCTGGAGGGGGGGGGGGGGGACCATGCTGTCACTTTCACCGTGCTAAAGAAGGCTTATTGTTGCCCGATCTCAAAGGTCCTGCTCTCGGAGGCTTTTTGAGAACTCCTCAGCACAGGCGGTCCAGATAAGAACAGTTCCCTCTCATCCACACCCATGTGTGAGAACCTGGAGATGTAATAGATGTGAACCCCGAGCGTTGGACATATTTGCTGTTTGCATGTTGTCGGACCCCTCCTTCCATCTTTTGTGTAATTGTTTCTCACCCACCCCGGCCTCCACCCGCCTGCCCCTCCCTGATCAAAATCCCCGTTTGATGCAGTACTTTTTCCCAAACGTCGTAACTCAGAGAATAGTTAAGTGAAGCCGGCTTCGCTGCGCTGTGAATCGGGGTTGTTATGGTGTTTGACGGAGGGTCCAAGTATTCAGCCGTGCGTTCACATCAATGCTAATGAATAGATTATGCAGTCGATATAAATAGTGAATGAACGATGCGCTTTGTCCCTTCACTCCAATTCATCCCCTTTTGATTTAGCTGGTTGTTTTTGAAAATCTCAACAACATACTCGTGGAAGTGGAGCTTCCACGAGTATGTTGTCGGAATTTAGCCGGAATTTAGTATCGCTGTGACACAATGAGGGGGTAATTTATCACTTTGGTCACACACAGTGGTGTGACTATTAAAAACCAAGTATCCCTGGTTCTGCAACACAAGTCATCGCGTCTTCAAAGGAGACGTTGTGTTGTGTCGTGTCACCGTGAAGAAGTGGAAGCCTCATGAGGATGATACATTCTCACTGCAGGTGTTCCTTTGAAGGGAGACATCCCATTATGCAATTTCAGCCTTATCTTTTTTTCGGCTGAGAAACTCAAGCCGTTACGCGAATGTAGGGTTAAAAAGAAGCTTCCAAGTCGGCCAGATTTAACTTAGTGTGGTGTTTGCAATCGTGCGTTTGTGCTTGTGCATATAAGTAAAGATATATGGATGTTATTCAAGGTTCCGAATGTATTTCTATTTCAAGTTAAAGAGTTTCTGTGCTGAAGGGTGCTGCATTAAAAGAGTAGTGGTAGTTTAGAAGGCGTTTCTTTTCAGAGGTGTTGTACAGGTGGGCAAAGCAAGAGTGCATAGAAATCGTGGAAAAAGATATAGATAGAGCATACATACGCGGATACATACGCGCATACATACGACAATCCATCCAATCGATTTTTTCAAAATCGATTGGATGGATTGTCGTGTCAGATATATCAGTCCTCATCCACTTACTAAACACGAAGAACTAAATTCTTGAAAACGATTGATGAAAACTAAGTAAGGAGCGTCGTTTGTAGACTCCAATAATCAGCAGGACCTATTTCTGTAGCGTGCCAGTTTTTGGTCTAATGTCTGCATTAAAGTCACTTTCGATCATGACCGTTATTGTTATGTTATGTAATAATATTAATTTATCTGTTGGTAGACGGGCTACAAAGTATTTATATAGTTGGCTGAAAGTGCTATTTTCTTAGGGTAGGGGTTAGTTACTTTATAAAGTGGTTATGCGTTTTAACTAATGGTTTTAGAAATGTATTATAAATCATTCATCCATGCTTTTAACAATTTACTTTACACTGCCCTATAATAGGAAAGTCTTTGGCTGTTGTCTATTAAGTTAAAAATGGCCCCACCCGACCACTTACCTTTGTAATACAGCAAAAATGAATTGCTTTTGAAGATGCTTTTGCTTTTGACACTTGATTTTAAAATGTAAACACATCAACGCTTTTCTCTTTAAACTTGGAACTACGACACGACAAGCTTTGCACCTGATGGCACCCTATTCACGATATGTTAAATTAAGTATGCTTAAGAGGGATTTTGCTGAACCATAATTTGTCAAGAGCACTTCACTTCTGCTGCGAGGTACTAGGAGTGCGGGAGGTATTTTTTCAATTGTTTTGCATCAACAAACTGCTAGATTTTTCAGGGACCCTCCAATAAAGGCTGCATACATGCATAATAAAACATCTCTATCTGGGGAGCTGGAAACAAAACGAGTATAGGCGTGTAAGAGTAGGGTCCCCGGGGCCATAGTTCCCGATTCATCGTCCATGATTGTAATGTGATGATAAGGAGCTTATAGCCTCTTGTTGTTCTCCAATAAGGACGGACGAGACAAAAGCCAGCATATCATGCAAAAGATTACCATTCTGGTAGCAGCTCTGCGTCCACTTAACACCCACATCAGGTCAGCTGTTCTTAATTTGGTCAGCAACACCAGTTTAGCCTTTACCCCGGGGCCTGGGGGCCACTGGGGGATAAACATTGACCCTTGTTTGTAAGCAAGGCTCCCATTTTGAGTGTGTAAAATGGTCCGTTTGTGTCCCTGAGATGTTTAGGTCATCGTGTCATGGCGGATGTGTATCACAATCCCGTAGGCCGAGAGAGAGGATCTAATAGGCACCTGCCCCCGTAACGGCAACTGGTGATGGATATCATTTCACGGATAACTGAGCTCATTTAGGAGGAGCTCCAAAGCGATCAGCGCCATAATCAAAGAAGAGATCTATGTTCACACAGGCAGCCTGCTTTTAATGTTACATAATATTATTGATGGTAATATTGATGACATGCCGGATCTGAAATAAGTCTACAATATCAGATCAAAAACTCTCCTCTTGAATTCCTGCCCCAGGCATTGAGTTAGAGGTGACCTCCCCTCTTTGTCCTGAGGACGCTGCGCAGCCCCTCGCCGCCTCCCTCCTCACAGGCCGCTCTAAACTCTGTGGGAACCCCACACCCCTCCCACAGTGCTTTGTGTTTATTTGGACATTGTGCGTCCCACCAGATAATGTCTCCATCCCGCTCCCATCTAAAGAGGTGCAGTGTGCGGCGTGGTGTCCGTCGCAGAGACGGGATGTAACCGCGGGGGTCAGGACGCGCTTCAGGACACCACTCAGACCCTGCTGCTATGAATTTGCCGGGGCAATGATAGTGATTCGCAGTGATGGATGCTGACAGGTGTTCTGGTTGTGAAAACAACCATATTAACCCACGAAACTTAACTTTAAATTCCACGGAAACAAAACTGTCGGCAGCAATTTTGAGAAGAAACCAAAATAACCAAAAGTTGTGGTGTCTAAAAAACAAATAAGTAGAGCTGAAGGAAGCTGTAGGGCGAGCTGGTCTCTCTTTGAGTTAATGTGGTTTGTTTATACTGTGACCTTATTACTCTCCTTTAAGCTGTCTATATTATCAATATAAACCCAGGCACCACCCTGAATAAAGATGTGCGTTTAAAGACTTCCACACGTCTTGTTGTCCATTAGCCAACAACCCTGCATTCGACATTTTAAATGTCATGTTGATACCATTCTGTCCACTTGTGGATTACCTCCAATTTCATGCCTTCACTCCAAACTTTGGAAGTAAGACGAGTCACCTCTTTTCTGTTGTGTGAATTGTGATGTCATTCAACTCGGGCCGAAGACCCAATGGACCCCGTGGCCTTTGACCCTTATTAACCCTGAGGCAGGGTGCTGTATTCAAGGTGTAGCCATCTGTGAGCCTTGTTGTGTCGGGGCTTCCCTCCTCCCTTACTCTTCATCCTCCCTCCCAGTGTTCAGAGGCAGTGGAGTGATCAGACGCTCTCGTCAACTCTTCTAACGCCTGCATGACAGATTGTCTACAATCCTGTAAAAAATATATAATATGTAAGTGTGCAAGGTACACGTTTGAGTTACTCACCTTCTATTTCCATTATGCCTTTACTGCACAGGAAGATACTGAACATTTTACTGCACTTCACACGTCTGACAGGTTTCTTAATGTGTATGAGTAAAACATCGGGGAAGATAAAACATAAAAACACATGAAATCAGAGGAATGGAAGCAGATATATTCATCAACCGTTTAATTTAGTTATTGCGGCTATTTTGCCAGATTGGCCTTAATGTGTAGGTTGTCCATGATACGGCGTTTGAGGCGGCGTCCCATTCATTCCTGTGATATTGCTCCGTAGCGACTAAAGCAAAAAAATGTTTAACGCTTTATATTATATTTTTCCTTTATTTACAGACATGTCGTTCCCAATGTAAGCCTTTGGTCTTCAGCCACTGTTTTCCACTGTGTAGAAAGCCCACGGCTCTTTCTGTGGGCTTGCTGTCAATGACATGGACTTTAGCAGCACTAGTGACTGTGTAGTTGCACACAACGTTATGCATGTCCTGATCACGAGTTTAAGAGGACGGTTCCTGAATAAAGGCTGTGTGCATTTATCCATGGATTGAGCTTCGTGATATTATAAGAACAGACTACAGGTCCAAACTTTTGTGTTTTACTTTCAAAGAAATCTTTTAAAGAAGCAAACAAAACATTTTATTGAACTTTTCACATTGGCAGCTGTTCCAGAACATTCCAAAGCTGTCGGTACGTGTGGTTCTAATCATTTTCGGCTTTAACAAGGACGCAGTTTACTGAGATTCAACAGCAGATGCTCAATAAAAGTTCCCTTTTTTTCAATAGTCTTAAAAAGCATGTGAGTTGAACTTTGAACTTTACCAGAGGAGGGTTCATCCACCCTTGTTATCATTCAGCAGCACACGTGTTGTGTGCTGATTCAGACATTTGTTTAGAGTATTGACTGAACATATTGTGTGACTCTGCATGGAGAAAGCCTGAATACCTGACAATGAACAAAAGTCAGAATAAGAAGACAAACTACTGCACAGGGATCTCAATCATTGTGTCGTTGCCACATTGAGGCTCATTTTTCAAAATATGCTCCTCAATGCTGCCGTCCTCCTCCTGAAACTTTACCTTCACTGTCAACGGAGAACATCTATCCACTTTACAACTGATAGTCACAGTGTCACCAGCGGCTCGGAGGCTACAGCCCCTGAGATCAGCCACGGCCTCTTCAGACACCGGGCACACCAGCTGGTCCTTGTGGACGGAGACGAGCGGCCGCCTTCTCAAATAGACGGGGCTCGCGCAGAGCATCCGGTCCAGCATCTCCACATCTCTGCTGTTCGTCAGCACCCAGTCGTGCAGATTCGACATGTGGCAGTCGCATTTCCAGGGGTTCCCGTGCAGTCTCACTGTGTGCTGGATGAGAAAATGGTCTAAAAAGCTCTGAGGGAGGGTTTCCAGTTGGTTGTCAGAAAGGTAGAGCTGCTCAAGGAGAGACTGGTCCTGGAACAGATTGCTGGCCACCTTGCTCAGGCGGTTCTTGTGTAGATGGATTGCCCTGATGCCACGCAGATTGTGAAAGATCATCTCAGGCAGCAGAGTGAGCTGGTTTTCTGACAGATCAAGATTCTCGAGGGCTGTAACATTTCTAAAAATGTCCTCGGGAAGTTGAGAGAGCTGATTGGAGGACAGGATGAGGTCAGAAAGAGACGTCAAACTGCTTAGAGAGGACAGCTCAGTCAATCTGTTCCCTTGTAGATTCAGTTCCTTCAAATTTGTTGCCTCAAATCCAAATACTTTATCACTGAAAACCGTGAGGCGGTTTCCACGGAGGTTCAGCACCTTGAGTTTAGTTAACACAAAGAAGATGTTGTCAGCGAGTTCAGATATCTTATTCCCCTCAAAGTGTAGCTCCATCAGCTGCGACATATTGTGGAACATGTCAGATGTCAGATTGCTGAGGAGGTTGCTGTTCATTCTCAGGATTTCCAGTCTTGAAAGACCAGAAAAAGTTTCCCTTTTTACTTCATCAAGCATATTTTGGGACAAATCCAGGACGCGCAGATTATGGAGGTTCAGGAAAAGGAACATGGGCAGATCTGATATGATGTTGCCCTTCATCTGAAGAGTTTCGAGCTGTTTAAGAGAGTCAAACATGCCAGGAAGCACAGTCTTTAACCTGTTGAAGTTAAGCATCAGTTTATTCAGGTTTCTCTGCTTTGAGAATGTCCCCAAATATAAATTTTTCAGCAAAGGGTTCCCGCTGATTTCCAGCTCCTGCAGCTCAGTCAGATGCTCAAAAGCCTGAGCGTGAATACTCTGCAGTGCATTACTTAGGAAGACCAGTTTGGTGAGTTCGGGGCTTCCCTCTAAAGTGCGGGAGAACAGGTACGAGATGGCGGATTCGATCACTATAAAGTCCTTGACCTGCCTGGACGTGTTCCTGGGTAAAGAGGTCATCCGCACGTCAGAACACAGTATTTGGACTGAAGTGAAACACTGGCATTTGAGTGGACATGAGGTCTCTAACTGTGTCCGTCCTCTGTGACAGAGAAGCAGCGCCAGGAACAGAAGCAGACACAATTTGTCGTCCATTTTTCACTGTCAACACATGAAGAAGGTTTCTATGAATTATTGGAACGTCAATGTTGCTTCATACAGCTGTTTGTTTCAATGGCAAGAATGAGTATTTATCTGTTTTTAAAAATGAAATCCCACGTACCTGTGTGTTTCTGGGAGCCCGACGGATTGAAAACAATGTCCCCGTCAATCCTCGGGCCAGCCGACACAAAGTGCAGAATGAGGCAAGAGAAAAACCTTTGGTCAGCATTCTGCTACCGCATGGTTTCATTTGCTTAAAGAAATAGGGGGCGATCCTCTAAAACCAACTCTAAGAAACAAGCAAACTCTCATTTGATAATTTGATATTTACAACATGTAAAAACTACTGTCGTCTGGGTGAGTGAGTCTTCCGTCTTTAGAAATGAGTGTTAGTTTCAGAAGAAGTCAGACAGAGATGAGTAAACAAGGCAGATAGAAAACAAAATCAATGTGCTGTCACGAGAAAAGTAACTCTTTCCAGGAATTACATTTGTCCATCCATAATCAAAATGCTTTGAAATGGCTTTTGAAAGAAAAAACCTCAGCTGTTGTGTAAATACAAAACGTGAATAGTGTTGTTTTCGGTTGTTGTAAGGGACCATCTCTTCCACTAGGTGTCCTCCTCTTAACTTTCAAGTCCAAGTTGCTGCCGTTCTCGGACCCTCCCTCGGCTCGGGGATGTTCCCTGAGGATGTGCAGGTATTCAAACCTGCTGCCGCACACAAAGCCTCTGGGAACCACATCGAGAAAGGTTGAAGAGCTTTTCTTTTCTTTTCCACTTTCGTCATCTATTTTCTCAAATCAAACGATGGCCAACGCAGGTATTCAACTTCTTGGCTTCACCTTGGCCTTTCTGGGCTTCATTGGCTCGATAGCGTCCACAGTCATGGTGGAATGGAAAGCTTCGTCGTTTTCAGGAGACAATATCATCACAGCCCAGGCGATGTTTCAAGGGCTTTGGAAGAGCTGTGTATCGCAGAGCACCGGTCAGGTTCAGTGTAAAGTGTACGATTCTCTTCTACAACTACCAGGTACTGTTGTTTTACACATCGTGTTTTCATTATATCATCGTATAACAACTTAAGTGCATTCCTAGTCTTACATTTTTTTCTATCCAGAATAATTACAGAAAAAATACAAAAATATGGGTGTGGTAAAGAAATGGCAATGTTAGATTTCTTTTAATATTTTTCAATTATAGAATTGAAATAATGAATCTAAGAAGTGCCTCAATGTTAAAAGGAAGATGAGTGGGCCTCTATGCTGTAACAGAGGAATGTGTGATTATCTCTGGTCATTCAAACCTTCCTTACATGCTGAGACGTGTCCCTCAAATACCAACATCTGGTTGCTAACAGAATAAAAACCTATTCTGCTCCTAAACCAATTAAGGAGGGGTAAAAGATGGTGATTGTGTTGGATTACAAATGTAAACCTGGCCTATGTAAATGTATTCTGTAATTGATACATGATGAAAGGTCGACATACGATAGGAAAGCTTCGAGTGCGCCTCCGCTGAGTGTGTTCCTCCATGTTCTTTGCCTGTTGTAAACAGGAAGAATAATGGGATATAATAAAGAGATTTCTTAACCTCCGATTTTAATTTAAGATCTGTGTTCCCAAGTAATCACTTTTTGAAATGAATATGTGTTTAAAGTGGCAATAGGATAACCCAGGTAATGCAAATGAGAAAAGAAAGCTTGGAAATGACATGAAAATTTCTCAAATCTACAATTGTGTGTTGTGTCTCTGTTTGCAGGGATTGTACAGGGCACACGGGGGCTGATGCTGTCCTCCATCCTGCTGTGCTTTATTTCCATGATGGTGTGCGTCGTGGGCATGAGGTGCACCACCTGTATGGCGGATCAACCAGAACAGAAGGACAAAGTGGCTCTCGCCGGAGGGGTCGTCTTTATTATTGCTGGTCAGAATCCAAACACATCAGACATGCACACGACAAGCAAGGACTCGCACCGCACAAGCATCATTTTCACGTGTAGGGATGTTCTTTGCCTTGAAGACGTCTTTCACTCCTGGATTGCAACACATCTTTAACATGATTTGGCTTGAAGTGAATTTATTGGTTCCCGGAAATGTAGCTACAAGACAAATGACACTGAGAGGTTTTTCTCTTCGTGGTTTCAGGTCTGCTTGCTCTGGTGGGAACATCTTGGTACGGCCACAGAATAGCTCAGGAATTCTACGACCCGTTCACTCCGACTAATTCCAGGTGAGCTGGTCCTTCTCTACACCTTCAGTCAGGAATTCACACATTATCATCGCTATGTTTGTGTAATAAGTATGTATAAGTAAAATAAATATGACAATCTCCCAAAATATGAGATCATCATTACACTTTTTATTTTCAAGCATACTCACTAAATTACATCACTTAATTAACTTAAAACCACAAGTAGTGGTACTTTACATGGTTCTGCTCTAAAGCCAATCCAGCCCAATTGAATGTAACATACTCGGCTTGTATCTAGACTTGAGAACTTGTAGTGCTTGTCTTTTCCAAATGCAAGCACGAGTATCAGTGTGACGCCTGAATAATCTACAGATATGAATTCGGAAGCGCGTTGTTTGTCGGATGGGGAGCGGCCTGTCTCATCATCATAGGAGGAGGCTTCCTCTGCTGCAACTGCTCCAGCCAGAGCTCCGGGAAATCTCCCCGCTACCCACCGCCTCGCTCTACAGGTCCGCCGGGCAAGGACTTTGTCTGAGGCCATTGCTCTGCTCAGGGAAGAACGCAGACTTCAGGGAATCCTTTTCTGTCCATTAGGGTTCTGTTTTCGTGTCTAAATGTTTTGCAATGTGTATCCTCAATGCGTATCGTCATGGCCTTTGTAGTATGGCATGTTTTTATAGCACTCAGGTTTGGTTGGCTTGATGTGTAACACATGGCTTGTGATCGAATAAACCCCTGCAAGCCAATAATGTTTTGCATTTCTCTGTACTTTTCGCTCACCTGCTACCACTACCCACTCACTCTTTACATGCTGTATGACAAACCCATGTACTAATTAATACATGGAGCGGCAATAATAAAAATACATATTATAGTATGCCGATGAAGTTGAAAAAATATGTCGAAAACAGTAAAAAAAAGTGATGGTGTTTTTAGAAAAGGAACAAAAAAGTTACTTCAAAAAAAGTAAGTAAGTGAAAATATAGAGAAGGTAGTAAGGTGTGTTGAAAACAGGCATAGTATACACCGTTGAAAATGTTTTTAAAAGTGTTAAAAACAAGCTTTTTTTAAAAACGAGTTTTTTATCATGTAATAGTAAAATGTAAAAAAAAGCATAAAAAATAAATGGCTTTGTATGTCTGATTATTGTATTTTGCTGTGATATTTTTTATGATATAGGTTATTATTTCCTTTATTATAAGCTTTCCATTTTAATGTACATTATGTTGGATGTCTTATTTCTGTGCCAATTTCACGGAATGCTTTCCCTTTTTATAACATATTGACGGAATACTGTAATGTAATGTAAGTAATTTCTTCTTTAGGATGTTTTATGACATAATCTCACCATCTACTGTCCTATGCATTTTTATCACATTTATAATGACATACTACAATAAAAAAAATACAAAGTTCTGACTTTAATGTAAAAATATACAATGGCATTTTTCATGATTTTCTATGACATGTTATATGTCTAATATATTTGTCCCGTGTCTTCCTCGGACGTGGTTAACGTGACGTCTCTGAGAGAGCGGAGTTGCAGCCGCGAGATACACTCTGCGCATGTGCAGGAGAAGGAGCCGCAACATTGGGTGGTCGCTGTTTCCACGTTTTTCTGGGTGTGCAATCTCTCCTGTGCCTTTTGACATCTATGACAACGTCATATTTTGGCCTATAAAAACCGAGAATTAACATATGAAATATAAATAGGAGGGACGTTATATCAAAAGGCGTCCGGGGTTACACGAGACGTTTTTAAAAAGGCACCTTTTCATTGTTCAACATGTGGCAGCGACTGCTGCACAAATGTGTTGCCTCGGGGACAAAAAAGACGAGAGGAGGCAGGGGAGCGGCGTCCCAGCATACCTTTAGCCCTGTCTCCTGTCCGGACATGTCCTTTCACACTTTATGGAAAGCTGATTCTAAAAGTGTGCACCCATCTATGTTTACAGTATAGAACCACACACACACACACACACACACACACACACACACACACACACACACACACACACACACACACCATATATGGACTAAGGATGTAGGATTTCTACCCCCTAATCCACCAATAACGCCGATAACAAAGTTGTGTTCCGTTTGATCCACAGTGTGAACACGCTGTTCTCCATCACTCCACAACAAACACTGCAGTGACTCTGCAGCAGCGAGCGCCTCCGTGTGGTAGAACCCGAGGCAGCTGCTCAAGTATCTGAGAGCTTTACCTGCCATTTGAAGAATGCCTGAAATGCTGGATGTCTGGCAAACGTGTTCATCCAACATATTCATTTTTATGCATAAACTTTTGTATATATACCTTTAAGTAAAAACATCAGGAGGATGACCCTCCGAATCACGTTCTTAAAACACACTATTTACATGTATTACCTGTGTATTAGAAAACCTAACGGCATTTTATGAGCCTCAATAATGTTGGAAATATTTAAAAATAGCACAGCGTATTGCATTCCTTTATAAGCAACAAACACTATGTATGACATCCTCTCCAAAGACACAAATATTACATGAGAAACCAACGCTGGAGTAAACGGAAGGAGGATGTGGACATTGTTACTCCCTTACTGACAGACACTCATCTGGCCTTGTGTTACTGTCAGAGACATTACTTACATTTAAAAGCCTTGAAAGAAGAATCCCAATATGAATATATGATTCAAAGTGAAATGTTAATCAACATTACGTCTATATAAATACCTTCCATTGTATCAACACTTCAGAAAATAACAAGATGAGAAAATGAAGTGTGGTGTTAACTTGCGACCAAACGCCTAAATAAGGGCATCGTAAGTATTTCGCAGAAAATGTGTGAATTGGGATCATGTCCACTAGAGGACAACAGAGGGCAAGATTTGAAACTCCTGAACCTGAATGAGGGGTATACACATAAAACATGTGGGTACTGTGGGGATTGACAAACATGACAAATGGATAATGACATTATAAATAGTTTTGTATAATTTGTTGTATTATTCAAATGATACAATACACCATTTCTACTTTGAGAAAGTCAACAAAGGGACTCGTTTGATCGGAAATTCACTAAACGATGCAATGTCACAACTACGGCATGTTTAACCACATACATACATCTACATACATACATACATACATATGCATTATTGTTTTTCTTAACCAGTAATCTCCTAATTTGATTTGTCTTTTCATGACGCTCTTACGCTTCTATATGACTGAAATGAGCATCTTTAGAAGTGGAATACAAACAATGATCTTCCGCGGCTGCAGGTCAGCGTGAAGAGAAAAGTCAGAGCAGCTTAAATATAAATCTCTGTTTTTCTTGGACTCTCGCCTGCTGCTGCAGGTCGAGGGAGGGGAAGTATACAAACAATAAACCACACACAACATCTCCGTCTCACTTTATCCGGAGACAGCTCCAACCACGGTCTTCAATAAGTGGGCCAAATTACCCCAAACTGACGACATGCACACCTGCTACATTCACAAGTTGCTGAATGCACATTGTGTCGTAATCCACGGCACTAATCCATTTAATCCAATTAATGGTCTTTCTAAAACAACTGGACGCTCAGACTAGGTGCATCAAGCTCTTTAGCCTGGTACAGGATCTGGATCAGGACCAAAGTCAAAATGCTGTAATTAGCAGCAGTGCAGCAGCAACGAAAAAAATGAAATCACACAAAAATCTTTAACTCTGACACCGGAATACTGGATTGTCTTCCCGTATTCCAGTATCCACAGTATGCTGTCTTGAACATTTCAGAACTATGCTGAAAGTACAGAGTGGATGTTCTTAAAATAGTGTGTGAGCTACTGTCAACGCTTGGTACGGATCAACTTTATCTCTCAGTGCAGAAATCCAAACCGGAATTATTTCAGTTGTTTAAGTGACTAAAGTTTCACTGACGCTCACTTAAGATGAAGAATTACCGCTATATATAGAGCGTACATAGAAATAGCTCCGCCTGTTACAGGAGAGTGGAATAAATTAATCACGTCATTAATCATGTAATGATGTTCATATTTCTTTGCTCGCTTGAACTATCGTTGTTTTATTTTCCCTTTCTCTGAAAGACAGTGACCTTATTGTCTGTCTTTTAAGCTTTCACATTTCATAACATACTGTACATTTATGTTTCAGGTTCTAATATGAACACTGGAAATCTCCTTTAATGGCCAATAACTTATGAGCCATCGTTTGGATTTTTCTTTATAATATTTGATAGTTTATTTGACACCTCCAATGACAATATTCTGATTATAATACCTGGTTACAGATGAATGTACCCAACAAGCTGAAGTTATAATTAGCTTCATATACAGTCAAATGCAACTTCCAGTGCCATTTGATATTGTACTTAACACATCTGTCTGTATGATAAATAGTTTTCTCTTAATACTTTCTGAATTTTAGCTGATGATTCTTATATACTTTATCTAGTATGACCCTGAATGCAGGACTTTTACACTGAAGGCCTACACAAGTTATTGTTATGTACATCAATATACGTTTTACAGTATTCAGTAAGTATTCTTCAGCAAGGCAATTTAAAGAATGCATCAACATGCATGAACCTTAAAGCTCGTTACGGTGAGCAAATAGAAATGTTTATGTGTCTGCGGTTGTGTGTAGCCATGTGCGTGTGTGTGTGTGTGTCCATCATATTGACTTAATCAACTCTCGTTGCATCTCGTAGGAGTGCAGCGCACTGCTCATTAACACTTATTCAAACTGTGCTGACCTTCTCCTACACCTGGATCACTCTGTACTAAACAGATGACCGTCTCCATGGGAACCAGGGTCTCCTCCTCCGTATTTGTCGTGAGTAAACACAAGCAGGGCTCTTTATGTAATGTCCCCATCCACTACACCACATAGAAACATGGGAGATGGGTACATGGACAGTCATGAGCGGGTTATAACCTCAAAAGAGGTTCTTGCTTTCTCCTTTACTAGAATACAAGAAAGTGAATACAAATGATTGATACCGTCGGCAGTGCAATTCTGTCAGCATTGAAGCGGTGACAAACAAAAAACATGTCCTTCGACTCAGCAACAAGAAACTCAAGCAGGATGTGGTTCCATTATCTGAGTATGTCACATAATCAAATCTTCTTTTAAACAAGAAGTTGTTCCTAACTTTAAGACTTTCAACCGCAAGATAAAATGTTGCCATGCTTCCCTCTCCTTGTATTTTAGGAATATTTTCACAATCTCTCCAACAATTTCATTTTTCAACGATCCGTGTTGAAACACAGTTTGATTCAAATCTACAAAAAGTGTAAACGGTTAAAATTTAGTTTATTTATATATTTTTCTTGGTATATCAAAATCTTTTCATGCAAGAATTGTAAAATAACTATAACTAGACATTAACATAGTCATATCCACACCATCTGGTATTTCTTAACACTTAAATATATAAACACGTAAACATGGACTTACGTGTGGGATCATATGAGGTTGTATTTTGTCCTCAAAAAGCCATGCAAATGTTTCTACTTGAAAAAAGCACATCAAGCCCTCCACGTGGTGACCACATGGTTCTAATCATGAAACAAATTTCTGGATAGCCAGAAATGACATCTCTGTTCCAAACACAAACCCTTATGAGCTCCCAGCTTGTGGATCTCTTCTTTTTATTTGGTATTTCTATAAAGCTTTATCACATATCGAGTTTTTCGTGCTCTAAACATGAGTTGCTGACAGCAGTCATGATTTGCCAAGGGATGGCGCCCCAATGTAACTTCAAACCGTCTGGTAGGTGTTTCCAGTTGCTTGGGCTGATTAGGACCTCTCCATTGGTTGATTTCGGGTGGCGCTTTGCTGAGAGTTGAGACATTTGATCTTGTCCAAATGTAGAGACGTCACCCTGCAGCACCATGTTGTCAATCCAAACACATCTTACGTGCATGTTAAGGGAAATGTCTTAGAATGTGTGCATGCATATTGTATGTATTTTAGCACCAGGCTTCAATCCTGTTGTCAGTAAACATACAAGTAACTGACTGAAAGTTCACACTCAATTTGTTGACGTGGATCAAGTGATTATTTTGTCAGCTACTTGCTTTGATTTACATTTACTCGGTGTACCACTGCTGCTGCTCAGGTCCACATCCATCAGCTTTTGCAATACTTTTCACAATACTTTTCAGCACATTCATGTTTTCCGAAAATACCAGAGGGGGTGGGGGGAGGGCGGAGGGGGCGGGGGGTTGGGAGAGACCACGGCCAATGAGTAAGTGGGGAACTAACCGAGACTTCAAGTGCATAAAAAACACTCCTAGCTCGTTTTGAAAGCTGCCTGGCAACTGTGCGTATTCCAGGGAGAGTGTTTTTCCATACCATGCCAACAAAGTGACACGCACGGTAGGAAATGTATTTTGTCCATTTCAATTAAAAGGGAAAGATTTGAAATGATCAGGTGCAGTTCTGCAAAAAAGGCAAATGACTAGAATTATGTTTGTCTTATGCAGTTATATAAACTTCGTCTTCAAAGGGCTCATCCAACTAAGTGATTTTGTCTGTATGCATGCAGTATAACTGCAGCACGAAGTCAACTCTGCCTTCATCACTGAAGGATTCAGTTCAGTTTCATTAGTCTGTGAAAAATGCAATTCCCATTCCTTCTTTTCTGTGGGAAACAACATATTAAAATCAGTTTAAACATATTTTCATTTTGTACTTTAATTTTCCCTTTTGTCAGCCGCAATCAGATGAGGAGTAAAGCCTAATGTGGGATTAAGCCTCGAAAATGTATAACAAATATGATGCGATAGCATATATTACCTGTGTAAATGTATTTTCATATCAAATAAAAAGTGCCCTTTATTACCCACAAATATGTGGTAGCCCTCCAGTATGGTTTTAACTACAAAAATATACACAATACATATTAATAAACACGTCTTAAAAGATCAAATTATAAGCAAATTGTATGTGCAGATACACAATTTCACCCTGTTTCAGAATATAATCTTGACAATGACATGAGCCCTGAAATGAGAGCAGTTGAGGTGGTTTGATCTTGAAAAGACTCGCTTTTGCATATTTGCTATCAAACACTGGAGTATCTGTGTTTTACCTCATTTCTTGGGGGGGTCAGAGCAGACACACTATGACTGACCCAATGGCGGTTTGTGTTTTCTTCATGTTTGTTCTTGGCCTATGGTCCACATTGCTAACTCCAAGATATATATTTTTGGAAGCTTTTGTTCTCATGTCTCTCCGAAGAGCAAGACAAACTCTCGTCGCCTATTTATCATATCAGATCAGTGGGATATGGCCTCCATGACACGTGTTGTCTTTATTATCAATATGAGTACTTACCTAAGTGGAGTACTTCTTATGTCGGTCTGAGGACACATTTTGTCGTCAGATGAAGTCACACAATCACAAGGACGATTCAGCTTACATGGAAATACTTACAAATCACATGCGAGCTTCACGAGTGTGTACATCAATATCAACGTATACCTCAATGTAGCGGCGTGCATCGAAAACTGTATTATTTGGCGCTGTCTCTAGCAGTGCGGATGCTAACGAAAAGAACATAAGGACAAAACTTGAGGTCACGAGAAGATCAGAGCGGCCAAAGTCCAGCCGGACACAGCGAGTATGTCGTGTTCCCGTCTTGATTCAATTTAAAAAGAACATGTGAGTGTCACTCAGAGGACAGACAGAAAATTACAGGAAGATGACAACAGGAAACTGTGAGCGCACTGCTCCTGTTATTTCAGTCAGAAAGTGGCCAAGATGTTCTATCAGTATCTGACAATTTGATTAGACTGAATCCGCCCCCAGTTTGCCTGCAGGAGCTATTAACTTTGCACAGCATTTAGCACAGTATGCAAAGAGAGTTTGATCGGTAAAGCTGTCACATGACGTTGAGGAAGGCTGTGATTGAAGCTGAACTAATTCAGCTGGGACCTAGAACCCAATCCCACCAGTCAGTCAGCTCCTCGCAAAAGTCTGAAAAGTCTGGAGGGAAATTCAAGTTAATCCAGCAATGGTAGGTCAGTATCTGTTGTGTCTACATCTTCGCAGAGATTAATTCAAGCTGCACTTGACAGAACAGACTGCAGGACTTGAGGTGGACACGGATAACATCAATAAAAGATACAGTGAAAGTTGGTGGACAGTGTTTCCTTAATATCAAATTGCTAATCTCAGAATGAGCTTCTTCTGTGCTCTGACTAGGACAGGACAAACCAGGGGGCACAATGTGTTCACTCCCCAGCATCGATTATGAATCTTTGTTGCTAAGGCCGATCTTGGTCGTTAAGCCACAGGTCACTAAGTGTCCACTTAAAAGGGATTCATCCTTCCATGCTTCCATGCTATGCTCTGCCTGTCATCCTGACTCTGCACATAGCGAGAGAAATCACATTAAGAGAACACACACAGGCAGCGTGACACACGGACATGGTCGGGGATTGAACTTGTGTAAATCAATACCCGTAATCATTTGGAGATACGGAGCCAACGGTTCACTTTAAGGGGAGATTAACGGAAATCTGTGAGCCTGCTGAGATGTGATGTGTCAGTGGGACTTGACACCAACACACTACATACTAGAGTTCCTCTAACATCCAAATGCTGTCCGGATACCTCAGTGTTACGCTTATGTTGATGAATGCTCACGTGTAAACTACCCGTGTTCAATAAGTTTGAGTGAGGTCCTCTACAATATTATATATTGAAACCGATTCCAATGATGTTATGTGAAAAAAAATCTGCAGTTCACCTCAACACAACAAAATTTAAACAATGAAAAGTCCTGTTTGATTCATTCTTAATGCTCAAATCATTGTGTTTCCAAATGCAGCAGCCATGCTGTTTTTAGCAGGAAAGCTCTGGTAAGCTCACTGTACTCCACCTGCTTAGCACTAAACAGTGGACAGACACAGTTGACCTGTTTAACCTGTTTAGCTGAGGAGGATATTTAGCTCAGGGGTGGGTGGAGCCCAAAAACCAAACCACATAGGAAGCTTCCAACACATCCAAACTGCATTCTTCAATGACTTTGTAGCCTAAAAGTAGGTTTCGTTGCAATCACAACAAACAAAAAAGGACTTGAAAGTATCCAGACAAACCGAACAAAATGAAGCATCTTCCAAGAGTAAGGTTCATTTCTGTATGAATCCCCCCCAAGTCTGGTTCACTCTAATAAAAGTGTGTTTTCAACCCAACGGTCAAAGAAAGCGAGGCTATTTGTGATGGTTTCCATCCTCTCACGTGTCCTCGCAGAGGAATGTGATCTCTCAATCCACCCGGATCTCCTGTGGCGGACCATAAACTTTGTGCGAACTGATTGACCTGTGCAGGGACCATCAGCCCTCACAGGTCATTGATCACAGCTGGACGCTCAAACAAAGGTGTGTTTTGTGTACCTGTTTAGATATTTACATATTACAGTCAAAGACTGTATTTAATTATTACCCATTGGAAATATGTAATTAGTTAATGTTATATCTTTTTTTCTGTACCGCATGCCGCATTGTTGATGGAAAATAGTGTTGGCAGTCGGGAAAATTATTAATACTTTAGTTCCTCCCCGAGGCCTTCATTTAAACATCAAGTACAGTAGTTAAAAGTTTAGAATTCAGAGGCTACTGAGCGCAGCAGACGTGTGACTTTATTTAATTCCTTCCCTCTTGTTACTTGTCTGTTACTGCACCTCTTTGCAAACTGATCCGTGCGGCGAACACCAACTCGTCCTGGAAATGTGTCACCTGCAGGTGTCAAATGTAGAGCGGAGAGAGGGCCCACCTACAACATGGCCCGTACCCAAATAACCCCTGATGACTTGCCTCACGCACGGCGCTGCACTCTCCCACACCTCCCCGCCGCTTCCGTGGGGACCAGTTGTTTACCTCTAGCTCGGGTTACATTCGTGGTTTCGCCTTGGCGGGTCTTGTGAAACCAAAGCGACGACATGAAATTCTATCCTTTGACCCCTGTGTGAAAAGTGCGCTTGTGACAAAGCTGCACTAACTTGATTGGTTCTTTTTTTCTTTCTTTTTCTTAACCCCCCTCAGCCCCCCCTCTCAGTCAACATATCCCAAAATAAAAACCATGCCTCCTGTCTTATATTAAATAATCTAATGGAGGAAATCCTCCATTAGACACTCGCACGGGGCCAACCGCTGAATATCAAGTTTCATGTCATACTCCTCAAACTAGATTTACCATCCCTGTGTATAGCCTGACCTTGAATGGCCAACAGAGCGCACAGCTTTTTAAAAACATTCTGGCCTCTGAACGGAGGCTTGTTTGAGTTAAATAAAAAGCCTGTTTACGGCCTCGTAAACAATCGGCTGCATACAATAAGAGAAATGCAGAGCCGCAGGTAGCAACAAGGGACACATTTTTAGATTCTCGTGACCACAACAGGAAATGTGACAATTATAGCACATCACTGTTACTTCACAGAGGAATAGAAACAGACGTATCGCTTTCTTTGTATCTGTGCTGCGCTGGAGTCACTCTGGACAGAATGGGGTGAACAAAAAGTTAAAAGGACACAAGGTTAAGCTTCCTCACTGCCGTATATATTTGTTAATAATTGATAATTGCACAACCTCTTCCACTGCAAGTGCATTTCTTCATCAGACTAAACAATAACTTGAGGGGACTTGCTTCTTGAGCCACCACATCTAACAAAGCCTGCTCAATGCATAAAGTCAAATTATTTTGCTGATGTTTTGCTTCGTTCAGGTTTGTGGATGCAATGTGTTGTCTACACGGCTTTGCAGATTCACATCAATCTTAAGGACGTCACTCAGGTTCACTAAACGCTGATGTCGTTATTTTAGTTTCAGCAACAGCGGAGTCATCACAACGAGGGTGTTGGGTTTAGGTACGCCTCATTAGACAACAACCGTTTGCTTTCTCGCCCAAATTCAGATAAGAAGATTCACACTCAGTTTAGCACAAAGACTGTAAACAGGAGGAAATGGCTCGGCCTCTGCATACAAAGACCTGCAGGGGAATAAATGAAAATTGGCCATTAGCCGTAAGATAGGGCCAGGCTCACTGTATCCAGACCTGAAGCTAAGCTAAGCTCAAGATAACCTGGCTTTAGCTTTACCTTATTACATTATTATTATTACAAACACACACATGAGACAGACACAAACAAGAGAGACCAAACCTTCCAACTGTTCACAGCAGAACAATTCATCGTCTGCTTGTAAGAAAGTGCTGGAAGTCATCATTTTATTCAAATGTTTTACTTAACATTAAGAAAATAAAATGCACATGAAGCTCAGGTTTACTCAACAGAAACACGCATACATATTGGAAAGGAACTAATAAGATTGAATTGATGAATCTCAGCTTGCTTTCCATTTCTCTGCAGCCTGAGGGTGAAGACACAACGGTACACGGTGTTAAGGAAGGTTCCAAGTGCAACATCAAAAGCTTCAGTAATACGGAGGAATAAAAGCAACCATCTGCTCCGCGTGTGACACTCCCTTTTTTCCATGTTCCAGCAGCATTCCTGAAACAAACAGCACATATATTCTAACTGTCAGACAAAAAACAAGCCACATCTCCCACACATCCCTGCACAGGGGGGGGGGGGCAAGACTGCTGGCGAACGTCATATTTTCTGAGCTGCCCTTGAAAAGTTTAACATGCCCATCTGTCTGACATTAACGCGGGTTGTATATTAACCAGCTTCTTAAATACTTCCACAGCAGAAGCAGCGTAACAGCTCTGTTGGTATCGCCAGAGCAGGTGTTTCCCTTTTAGAATGTGTAATAAATCAAAACTCGTTGGAGTGACTCAACTTGAGAACCAAGTTCATATTCCAAACCTTGTTTTTCCTTTTGCGAGAGAAGAAACTAAGACAAAATGTCTCCAGGAACACGCAGTCAGAACCGATTTACGTTTCAGAGAATAATTCATTTCAGGCCATCACAACAGCGATGGGTCATTTTGGACCGGTGAATCCCATCTGCGCCCGACACTCCGGTTACACAGTAATAGATATCAACGAAGAGGCCGCCCCTCATGATGCACTTGACCGCCATTAGCATGATCTCCTGGAGACACCCAATGACGGTCGCCGCATAGCTCAAATAGTTAGCATGCAGTGATGTTCTGTGGTTCATGCTTCAAACGCAAACCCCCTGCTTGAGGTCACGGGCGGATCTGTGGCCTGAACATGTATGTCAGAAAAGGGGGAGGGGGGCCTGTGTGTGTGTTTTTGTAGTTTAACTCAAGGAAGGGTTGTCTAGGTTTTTTGGGGGAGAGAAAGGGTTATTTTTCAAGGCAGCTTGTAATTTGTCTTGATGGGACAGCGGTTCCTTGGTTTTATTCTGTGGCTCATCAGAAAGCAGAAGCACCGGGTCGTCAAATATGTCTCAATCTGTAACCATGTTTTATGTGGAGAGAAAATGACAACTCATCGATGGTTACACTGTTCATCGGGATTCGTCCCTTGTTTGACGTGATTTCTGCACTTATTAATTCAAATGGCACCGAGTTAGGTCACTCAAAAACTAACACAAAGAAAAATATGATAGTGATTAAAAACACAGACAAAAATAAATAAATGTCATTGTAAATAATGATAGAAAGATAACTGGATTGTTAATTGTGTTGCATTTATTTTTTTATTGGAATCTTGCAATGTTTGGAATGCCTGTGGGGTTTTTTTGCAACTGTTTTTCAGTACCGATATAAGTTTTTTTTTAATACATGGGTTTCAACACTAGTGTTTCCTCTTTCGGATCAATGTAAAGCACCTCTCTGGGTTACAAGGGATTGCCATTTAGAGGCAATGTGAAAACCATCCAAGATATTTTACACAATTTTATTTATGAATGCAAACAAGTACATATTGTTTTATCACCTTAAGATATTGTGGGGGTTTTCTTATTCCCCCAAAGTCCCTTTATCAGCCCTTGGCTGATACTAACAGCAAAAATGACTGTTGTATAACCTCGACAAATCTAGAATGAATGTTTGTGCTCTGATCTCCTTGTTCCCTTTTTCCCTCCCCGTTGGTATGCAGACTTCTGGCATCTTCAGTCGAATCTTCCTGCAGCCAACCAACCACTTGGATCATCTGCTTTTGCTCACTGGCTCACCCGCAGGGTACGAAATGAACCTCTGGCTTCTTCAGAGGTCACCGAGTTACAGCATTTACACCACATCTGAATTAACAACTGTTGTTCTTTGGACGATTCCCTCGGTGACTGCAGCCGAGCTGCAAGCTCTCTCATGTCCTAAGATCAAAGGACGGCCTAAAACGCCACCAGACACTGGAAATGTTCACGCTCTCCGTTTGAGATCAACAGCTATCAAGCTAATATTTTCCACGGCATTGTCTGTTAGTATTTCTCCACCATTGTGTCAAAAAATGTTGAGTAATCATGCACAAAACCCACATGGCCGAGAGCCATTGTTTATATTTTAGTGCTTGTGTTGTGGTTTTACTGCATCTCTGGTAAGCAGAGGACAAACCAAGGTCTTTGGCCGGTCAATGGGCAAAACATCACTTTGTTCAGGAAACAATAGACTGTAATGCGACCAAAGTATCTGACGGAAATGTGAAGGTGGAATTCATCTTTGTTGTCCTGTAAAATCAAGCAAGATGTTAAGCGTTGAGTGTGCATGTGATTGTTTGCTTGACTGGTGGAATTTCCTTGTTGCTAAAGTATGTAGCAGATAACGATGGTCTATGGGGCCATAAAACACAGATAAACACACAGAAACAATGATGGACTGCAGGCACTGGTTTTTTTTTTCAAGTGTGCAAACTTAAATTAAATTAAAGGAAAATGAAAAGGGGAATTCATTCTTTTCTGGACAATCTGAGTCATGAGTCAAACCATCGCAGTTCTGTTTTTGAGTTCTCATCTTTCTGCTCTAGGACTTGGTTTCTCATCACCTGGATCCTGGAAGGCAGTGCTGTGATTCTTTCAATCTATTAGCATTCAAGCACATTTGCTTCCCCCATTTCAATTATTGAAGTAAACCCAACTTTAACAGTGAAATATGTAATTCCTCATTGAAATATTACCAGCTGTTCTACTGTGAAGGTAAATTTCCCAAAACACCAAAATCAATGATAACTTTCCTGACTCTCTCTGTCTCTCTCACACACACACACACACACACACGCACACACACACACGCACACACGCGCACACACACACACACGCACACACACACACACACACACACACACACACACGCACACACACACACACACACCCACACACACACACATGCACACACTACCTCGCAGCCCTGCCCCCTCCTCGTCGTGCTCCCTGAGGTTTCGCTGTGAAACAACAGGGGAATCAACTGTGTGGACGCGGTGTCCCCTGGTACTTTTCCACTGATAAAATGTTGCAATACGTGTGTATGTTGACTTTGCACAGGTATTGCGTCACATTCCACGTATCCAGGGTAAACTATACTTAATTAGTCTTTCAGGGACAAGACAGTAGAATATAAAGACGATCACCATGGGGGCAAGTGTGTTCGCACAAACGTCTTGTTGCACAGAGTCAGCATTTCCTCTGTATGTAAAATCCAATTTTAGCCGATTCTAACTGAGGACGCTTTCTTTGTAGACCAACAAAGCCACCATTCATGTATCCCTGCTGAGCATTTTATTTCAGATTAGACCACGAAGACGAGTCTCCGTTCTCAAGCGACCTGAAACAAACAGGATGATCCGGTCTTCAACAGAGTTGAGTAACATGCAAATTGGCATGTTGTTGGTATTATTTAAGGAACTCATTGTACAGAATTTTTAAATAACCCAAATGTCGCAATTCAAAATTTAAGAGATTTTTGATTGAAAATCACTTTTATTGATGACTATTAATTGTTAATAAAAAAAAATATTTTCTGTGGATTAAGTCACTCTTTCAGCTCTTCAGTGTTGTGTTTCATGTCTGGTTATTCACAATACAGAGTCGACACCACACTTTCTCTGTGGCACAGGACTTAACTCCACAGAGACTCTATACCGCGAGCAATTTAGATATACGATTCTGACTCCGCCCCATGTTAGCCGCATGGAGAAAGTTCAAAGTTCACCACGTTTAGCGCCATTGCATGTTCCATATTCAGTGTTTCGCGGGTTCGCGGCAGTGTTCGTGAAAAAATGATTGAGTCGGGTATTCACATGATCATTTTTGTTTTCCTTTTCGTGGAACGTTTGCGTCACGCTAAACTCTTGAGTCATTATGTTGCAAATCAGTTCTTCTCTCTTGCGTGCTGGCAACCCAAATTCAAGTGCAAACTCCTGCTTCAACAGACCTCCTGTTTTCCCCCCTTAGGCGACGTGTCTGTGAAGACCGAGCCAGTTTTAGAGTCATATTTTACTGACGTGACCTTTGATCCCTGTCAGACAACCATGTACCTGGGTCATGTTTTAGGACAGGCACGTTGATATCCGTCTGCGACTGGGTCCTGGGTCAGCGGGGTTCATGGGAGGGGGGGTTGGTGGGGGGGGGGGGGGTGAGAGAGCGCCTGTTAACACATAGCACAGCCCCCCTCACTAGCTGAGAAGCAGAGGGGAACGGCAACAAATTCGTTCCAGGGCTGGCTGGAAAAATCCCATGCAGGGTTGTTTTCATGACATGCATTCTTCAGATGGGCCCAGCAGAACATTTTTAAAAAAGGAAGGCTGTTGCGTGGCACATGATCAGGGAGGAGGATTTTTTTATTCAACTTTTTATTCAAACTTTTTTTAATAATAAATAATAATCAATTTATTCAGCATTGCTGCTGCTCCTCAGTTTTGCAAAACAACACCAAAATGTGTTAAATATCTTCTGTCTTTCCTAAAGGCTCTGAAGATGTCACAGTGATGTCTTCAGGCTTATTTTCAAATGGGTTCAGAGTTACAAATTTAAAGAAAGCTTGAAGTTTTGAAGAAGTAGGACTTTATCAGGCAAGGAAAGACTATTGAGTGTTTTTGGAACTTGATCAGACAAAGGATTACACGTCAGGATAGATCAGTCACTACTTTTAATTTGTCTTTTGTAAGCTTCATAACATGAAAAACATTGAGGAGGTGCAACTATAAATCACTGTCCTGCCCCTTAATCCTTTAACCCACATCTGTGATCAAGAAAAAAACAAACTTGTTTTCCATTTTCAGCAGATGAGATGATACATTTATTTTTGTGGTGAAGAAAGAATCAGACTTTGTACGAAAACAAACAAAAAAACGGACGGCATGTATTATGCAAATCAAACCAAGCTCCATGTTTGTGTGATTACTCTTTGAGCAGTTTGCATGCTTCACATGCATGTTTCTTGCTTATTGGCTATTTCCCTGCAGCCCCTACAGGACGTTAAAGATAATAGAGTGATATGAGCGAGGAAACGGCTGACTGATCAGATCGATGCATCTTACCAGGAAATCAGGTGTATATTTTGTGCAGAGGCTCCTGACTGAACAAGTTTAGCTTCATCTCATTCAGACCAGAAAGTATCGCTCTTTTCGAAGGATGTGAAGACGCTCAACCACAGGAACACGGGCCACTAAAGATAACCGCAGGGGAAAAAACATCTAAAGTGAAAACATTAACTAGAAATAGACCTCTTTGTTGCCATAGCCACCTGAACAGCTGTATTTTAGACCTGCTGTAAATGAGTCTCCTTGGAAAGGATTCAGTCAGTTTTTTTCTTTTCAGAAACAGATAAGAAAGATACGGTTGGACTAAATTATTATTTTGCACTTTTTTATGCACGAAATGCGTGAAAGACAAATGTGCGTGAAAGACAAATTTGTTTGTTGATTCCAATATTCCTATAATGACAGGTGTAAACATGTGTGCAGACCACTGTTGGCAGAATGAATGCTAAATAGAACTGGATCAGTGAGGTCTAAATGTTTAAATTCAGTGCCAAACAATAAGTCATAATTACTAGCCCCAGTTCTCATTTACTGTGGTTTTGTTTTTCCCTCCCACTCAATACTCAAACCTACCCGAGTGTTTGTTCAGCGAAGCCTCACTGCAGCCCACTGTGAGAGCGCAAGGTGATGGTCGGTTGGTAATTCTATATATTCAAACACACAGAAAAGCTTTTGTTCATCATTAGCTGAGACTAAATCAGGGAAGTGAAAGAGGGAAAAGTTGACATGTTACAAGTGGCTACTTATAACGTTCCACAGTTCAACAAAATGTAATTTAATCTAAAGAATATAATGTCATAGAGAGAAGGAAGCATGAGATATACTGTATCATATTTTGTTGGTCACATAACACAGAACCTGTATGTATTCCGGGATGGATTTTAACATACTGTGCAGGGGAGCTGAGGTTGTTTGCACATAAATAGGTCACAGATTAGATTAATGCAACACAATGCACTAGGAAAGCAAAAACCTGCGTAGTTATGAAGGAACTAGTAAGAACTCACCACTTATGTTAGTGACACAAAATATTAACAAATAAGTAATACTAACTTTAAATGTTACGCTATTTAGCTGCTCATTTGGAGTTAATCATCATTGAGAATTAAGAAAGTGGTCAGATATCTTCTAAATGTCATCACATGCTGGTTCCTTTGCACAGTAAACTACAGATGTGGCAGACTGGTCTCTCTCCATCGTCATACCATTTTTTTTTTGACGTTGTTCAAAGTGGTTCTTGATTTATTCAGCAACGTGTTGTTGATTATCCATTCAAGAACAGTTTGTTCCTGATTTGTTGACAAATTTATTGCCGGCAATTTGGGGATTTTATGTCACCCAGTTAAATATACAGCTGTGATGGTGTGACGGGAAGTGGTTGCGAGTGCAAGTGAGCCTTTCGGAGCGCTGAGAACTCACAACCATGCGTGTGATGCCGCACACGCTCCGAGACGCAGCATTAACTATTTAGTTACAGGAAGAAAATAAAACTCGCCATTAAAATGCAGCTAATAAGAATATAACACCACCCAACAATTTCTCAACTCTTCGTGGAAGCTCTCTGGCAGGTTTCCTCACATGCTCGCATACTCCCCACGGTATTTATAACTCGGTCAGCTGACCTTGCCTTGGGGCCGGTCCACTGCGCGGGGGGCGCGTAACCCGCTACGAAACAAAGCGACTAACCGATCAAACTGCCCCCGCCGCACCAACCCAAGAAAGGGAGGCTTTTTCAACGTATTAGTTGAGAGGAAACGTCCCGCCGTGCCGCGTTGAGGGGGGAGCGCGGCCGCCGTGCGGCCGTAGGGGTGGGCCGGCTCCCCCGCCCCGCAGATAATGGTACGGTCCTCTGTTGAAATTCCGAGAATTGAGCTGTTGTGTTTCTTAGAACTGGATTCTGAGAACTGGTGATGCACAGAGTTTCGAGGAAACTTTTACAAGGTGACTTTTTTTCCTTCCTATTTTCCCAGCGTTGTAGGTCAGAAGTGTAGTGAAGTAGCGGATGTCTCGCGGGGCTTCTCCCGAGCCCCGATCCTTTCAATGTCTTTAATAATGCGTGATTCCGTTTAACCAAAAGATTTGAAGTTTAATAGTGAACTCAGCCGAGCTGTCTTCCTCTGTGTTTTAACGACGGAAGTGCGGCTTTTTTTGTAGGCTGCGTGTCTTTAATTTGACTATTTGTGTATTATTAGCTGCCTTGAAAAAAGTAGATGTTTCGCGTGGTTAACCCTTAACTAGGAGGGGCAATTGTGATTAATCGCAAAGCTCGTCCTCGTTTGAACCTTTTATGGTTGTTTGCGTAACCGCGTCTGGCAAGTCGGAGGCGTTAAAGGTGGCGCAACAGAACAAGTCGATCTGGTTCTGTCACCCGGTTATTCCCTTTGCGCATTTCTCACGTCGAACAAACAAACTCAACTTCACTAAAAAAACAACAAAAAAACGCCTCCAACCCGGCGGCCGCTTGCTGTGCCTCCTTGATTTATTTGTTGTTTGTTTTTTAATGACGGGAGAATAAATGTGCAGGTCAATCGGTGGACTTGACACCTACACGCCGCTTGTGAACTTGAACCGACTGGAGCGGCTCCGCAGTTACGCAGCAACCAACCACTCCTTGGAAATAAATAAATAAACAATCTCCTACAGAGCGCGCTCTTAAAAGCTTAAGAATATGCGAGGGGACTCGAGAATAACAGCAAGAAGGGGGGGGGGGGCGTTAATGTAGAAAAGAAGAAGAAAAAAGGAAAGAAAGAAAGAGATGTGTTGGGTTCCACTTGTGGGAACAGGAAACCTCTCTGTGTAACGATTTCTGGCAACTTCATCTGAGCAGCCAGGACGGAATGTGCGCAACACGTTCCCGACCCGCGGGCTGCAGGCGCTTTAGTCCGGGGGAAACACACGCAGACACACACACACACACACACACACACACACACACACACACACACACACACACACACACACACACACAGGACCCGCGACTACATCGTTCATCCTCAGAAGGCAGACATGTAGAATTGTGTATTTGCAATAAATGTACTCTTTGCACATCGGTGGTCGCCTCGTGACGCTGTTCTGGGTACTAATGGAGAGCACGTGTTTGCAGAGTGACACGTTTGAAACATCGCATGTGTTATAACACACCATCGTAAAGGCGTAAGTGAGGAGCGAGGCATGGCCCAGGGAGGGGGGCGGGCTGGGGAGGGATGGAACTCCCCTTTTCTGACTTTCTAGTTGCAATGGCGCCCCCCGCTGGTGAAACCCCGCCAGGACGCTTGTCAGGTCTGATGTTTTGATGCCTGACGGCAGGTGGCAGCTGATGGACTGAGTGTGTACTATTGTCATTTATTACAGTTCCAATTGGCCTACGTTTGGCCTACAGTTTCATTTGGTTCTATTTTTGCACATTACGATGACAACATAGTTTAATTTGTATGTCTGCATTGTTGGTTATGCGCAAATATTGTTATTATATAAACTTATATTTTTTATTATTTCTTGCCCACGCTCAGATTGTGACAGCATGGCCACGACTGCAGATGGCTGCGTTCAATTCACTCGCCATGCTGGCGACGTCCTGCTGAACTTCAACCGCCTCCGCAGCAGGAACATCCTGACTGATGTCACCATCCAGGTGGACGGACAACTATTTCACGCTCACAAGGCCATCTTGGTGGCCTGCAGGTCAGCAGCATCAGTACTTTTGATGGGCACATTAAGGACCGCTATATCTAGGACATACGTTTTAGTTTTAATAGTGATGGCCTCATTCCAAATTAAAATTGCCCCCCCCCCCCCCCCCCCTCCTTCTTTCTTGTTCTCTTGGAGTGGTTTCTTTTACTCTGTGTTCATGGACCCCAAGAACGCAAACCTTAGCGCCATCAGCTTGGACCCCAAAGTGGACCCCAAGGGTTTCTCCGTCCTGCTGGACTTCATGTACACGTCCTGTCTCGACCTCAAGGACAGTCTGGTCCTGGCCACCATGAACACAGCCATCTACCTTCAGATGGAGCCTGTGGCCGACACCTGCCACAGGTTCATCAAGTCCAGGTACAGGGGAAAAAGAAAATGTGACGGGATAAATGGATGAGCTCTGATTTGGCGTTAATAACCGCCCGTTGAAAATGTTTCCGCAGGCATCAGATTGAAGAGGTGCTGATCAACTCCTCACATCTGGCCGGCGAGATGCCAGCGTTATTTCCCGTTGACGAGAAAGATCCCGACTATAGAAACAACCACCTTTCACCTTCATACCCTCACCAGGAGTGCCGGGGCTTTATCCCGAATGTTTTCAGGGGGATCAACACCTCTGGTTCATGTCACGTATTTGGTGACCTTCCCGCCCCTGCTGGGGTGCTTGAAGGTACCCATAAGGTCAGCGACCTTCCCAGAGGAGGGGCTTTGTCCCAGAAACAATGCTCGCAGGTACCCAGCGGCAACATGGTTCACAACGAGTCCACCACCATCGTCTCCCACTCCAGTTTCCCCACCGCTATCACCCGGCCTGCGGGAGCCCACGGGAGCCTTCAAATGCCCATCTCTCCCGTGGACGAAGACGGCATTCAGCACCCGCAAACCAGCTGCCTTAGATTATCTCAAGGCTTCAGCAAAGGTGTGATTTGCAGCCCTCAAAGCCCGCTCAGATCTGACTGCCACCCCAACTCGCCCACCGAGTCCAACAGCAGCCGAAACGCCACGCTGAGCCTCAATCAGCCCTCGGACTGCCCCAAGGATGCAAAGGCCCGCAACTGGAAGAAGTATAAGCTGATCGTTATGAACCGATGCGATGAGACGGAAAAGGAGGCTCAAGCTGGCAGCGCTGAGGCTGTAGCCATGTCCCCTACACTGGGACACTGCAGGAGTGCTGCATCTGGCGGACACAATGAGGTCCAGGCAGAAGACGGAGTGCGCCATCAAAGTGAAGAAATCCTAATGTCCCAGAGTGTGGACAGCTGCAGCAGCAGCAGCACCTGTAGCAGCATCAGGTAAAACTGCCACTCATTGCAAGAACAAAGAACATACCGGTGGTCGCAGCTTAGTAGGAATTGATATGGAAATAACTTTCTTTGAACTCTGTGACCTTCTTTCTCTGCTCAGTTACCGCAGGTGCTCCTCCTGCGGCTGTGACAGCCCTCAGTGCATGGAACTAGGTCACCTTTCTCCTGACTCGTACAGCCGAGATGACGCCACCAAGCTACGCTCCGACTATTCGTCCTCCAGCGGCGGTGAGTGGATTCCCCAAGTGACATAAAATCAATTCCACTGAGGTGTGTTGACTTCACATTGATTTCCGTTTGATTCTTCTGTACAGAAAGCATCGTCTACTTCTGCAACGGCTGTGACTCCAAGTTCCCGGAAGAAGATTCCCTGAAGGAGCACATGGCCCAGGTGCACAGCGACAAGCCATACAAGTGTGACTGCTGCCAGGCTGCCTTCCGCTACAAGGGCAACCTGGCCAGCCACAAAACCGTCCACAGCGGTAAGATCCATGGTTCCTTTTTAACGTGCCATCAAGCCGACTGGGTGGATTCGAAGGTTTAATTCGTTGTCTTCTCTTCTCAGGTTCAAAGCCCTACCACTGCAACATCTGCGGCGCCCAGTTCAACCGGCCAGCCAACCTCAAGACCCACACCCGCATCCACTCGGGAGAGAAGCCATACAAGTGTGAGACATGCGGCTCCAGATTTGTTCAGGTGGGAGAGAAAGTACGATTTTGAGGAGATGTCGAACCTCCTGTCCTCCCAGTGCGAGTTTTGCTTGATGTGCGTGTGTTTGTCCCCCAGGTGGCCCACCTTCGCGCCCATGTGTTGATCCACACAGGAGAGAAGCCGTACCCCTGCGAGATCTGCGGGACTCACTTCCGCCACCTTCAGACGCTGAAGAGCCACATGCGCATTCACACGGGAGAGAAGCCGTATCATGTAAGCCACCTCGTCGGTCCCTTCCTCCCTCCTCCGCCGTGTCCGCTGGCTAAAAAGAGCGTAATCCCCGTCTGATCCACCTGCCTATCAATAGTTCTAAGTGGTAATCCTAGAGGGGCTTTGAACTGTAGGTGTGTGGGTTGAGACATCACACCGTCCTCCTGTATAAAAATAAGGAGCGCTTCTAAATGGTTTCTATCTTTTTCTCAGTGCGAGAAATGTGACCTGCACTTCCGACACAAGAGTCAGCTGAGGCTCCATCTGCGACAGAAGCACGGGGCGGTGACTAACACCAAGGCTCAGTACCGTAAGACTCCCAGCAACACCACAGCAGGCCTGAAGTCCTGCTGAGCCGGCTGCAATCACCATGTGTGTCATATTTGTTTGCCTTTTGCATCGCTCGCCATGTTAAACGTTTTTTAGTTTTAACAAACTGATAGATAAATATATATTTTATATTTGTCCCTTATGCATTTGTTAATGATGCAAATACTTAAGCTCTTTGGTATTTCAAAGTTTGTGCAAATGAATGGGATCGTGAATGTCTAAAAACAGAATGTACATTTTAAGTGTAAATTTGAGCAGGGATTTCTCTATTTCTAAAATCACTCATCAGAATGTCAGCATTGTTGGACAGTCCTTTCTTATTCAGACTGAGAATCACTGTTACAGTTTTTCTATAGATGTCTGTATGGTATTTGCCCAGCAATGTGGTCACAGTTGATGCAGTTATTTTTTTATTAGGTTATTTTTTGTAAATAAGATAATATATATTTTCAGATTGCCATCTGCTGGCAGAGTACAAATATATTCACATTAAGTTTGTTGTCAACAAAGGTCTTGTTACTTTTGCCATCTCATAGTTTATGGTACCTATTTTCCTTTTTTTTAATTTCTATGTATATATTTGATCTTTTTAAAATAATTTCTAGCCTGTCTGTATTTTGCACATGCTCATGTTGCTGTAATTCATATATTTTCATTGAAATATTTCTACTTAAAAAATTAGATGTTTTTATAGAAATATTTGTCCTAAAACCGTGTCCAGCACTTGCTATTTTCTTATTTGCATTCAAAGTTTTATTTGATGACTTCTATTACATTTCGGTGCTGCAATGATACATGTTCCTCAGCAGGATAATTTAAGTCTGATTGTAATTTATCCAACCGTATGTATTGTAGTGCTCTCGTACAAACCAGTTTAATAGTGCCTTACATTCACACTTATGTGTTTGCTACCTACGAAGGCTAACCATTAATGTATTATAACTTTACTATATGAAAGCCCTGGTAGTTATAAACTGCTGTTGGGAAGCGTTTTACATTTGGTACGCTGCCCTGTTCTACAAAAGTCTGGTACTGTTCTTTTGAAAAATGATTATTTGCAGAGTGAAGCTCTTAAAATGCAGATGCACCAGGCTTCAAGCTAGAAGACGCTCAGGAATATTCAATATATGTCAGCAAGTTTCTTTGTAACTGCAGATTACAAATATATATATATATACACACATGTGTGTACATTTGTATCATACAATACAAATAAAAACATATCATGTAGCACTTGTATTTATGTCATTATTTTCATTTGAGATGGTTTGTGTGATTAAACCTTTGAATATTTAATAGCCTTTGAGCATAGTTATGTTAGTATAAGTAAGAACTACCACTCCTTCTCCCACACAAATAAGAATTTTAAAAACCCTATTATGAGGAATACATATTTCATGACAGTAAAGCATTTCTGTATATACGCCATTTATGTAGATAAAAACAGTGATATTGTAATAAGTTTATTGTTGAATAAGTATTTTTTTCTCCTTTGTAAAAATCCAAGTTAAAAAAAACACTTAGATAACATGCAGAATTATACCAGGAGGTTTAGCGCCCCCTGCTGGCTGAAAGCTATTTTGCACAGTCTCGTGATTTTCTAAAACTTGTGCAACAGAGAATTATTTAAAATATATATATTTTAAGGTAATGCACTACAGTAAATAAGGTAAACAAAGAAAAAAACCTCAAATTCCATTGTATTTAAGTACAAAACACGTGCTTAGTATTTTCTACATATGGCAGATTAATTGAGCAGAACATGGGGATAAAAGTAAACACTTTTTCAAGAGGGTACAGCGCAGATTTAAAATGACGATTTGCATCTACATGTTTTCTCTATGATTTATCCCACATGTCATAGCTTTGATTACGCACACCAAGGCGTTGTGTCAAAGTACATATTCATTCATATTCAAGTCATCTACAACACAAACATAATAACTACCCGACAACTCTAAGTGGCATAAAAGCACCTGCTCCAGCAGTACCTCCCATTAAACATGAGACAGATGTTTCATGTGTTTTATTTGGAGGCTATTGGATATTCAATGTTGTATGAAGCATCATGGCTGCTTCCAATGATATGATGCATGTTTCTTTCTTTCACTGCTAGATCCATCTTTAAATTGACAGTTGAAGCGCCTATCTAAGCAAATTATGAGACACTTTGTGCCTTTGCAAAGGCCTCCAACTATGCTGAACAAGCCCTTCTGAGCATGAACTAATTGATCCCCAGGAGCTGCTTGGCAACTCTACTTCTCATTCATACCAATTCGTATTGTACACACACTCACAACCAAACAGTGCAGCATTTTACAAAACAGTTGGAAACTTGTTACCATAATTATGTAAGCGAAAGGAAAAATGTCTGTAATATGAACAGAAATATAAACGTATTATGGTACTAAAGTAGATTAAGTGAATGTTGTTAGCAGCGCGGGGAAACTCAACCCTCTTTGTCCAGGACGGCTTTCACATCAGCGAACACCTGAAAGAGAGAACGTCGATGAGAGTTCATTCAAGAGAAGCCTAAAATGTTGCCCGTGTTCAGAACTCAAGATAAAAAGTAAGACACAGAGAAAAACACAAACTACTCTCGTGTCATTTGTAAAGGCTTACTTGCAATGACTGACACCTCCGCCGTGGCTCCACCCACGAAAAGTCCCTCTAGAAATACGTGGCAGGCGACGCCTTTTACTCACCTTGTCGACGGAGCGAGAGGCGTCTACGGTGCGCACCTTGCCGTGTTTCTCATACAGTTCAATGATTGGTCGGGTAGACTGCAGGTAGGTTTGGATTCTACAGGAAACACATGGCGGGTTTATTGGGGTCAGATGACAGAAGGGACTCAAAAGAGACAAATTAGGTCAAAAACACACACACGCAGGTAGCCAGGGCTCAGCTAAATGGGTCAGACAAATCTATACCAAACATACGCTGGATGTACTTTGTTACGGACAGAAACGAATAGGGGTGGGGGAAAAAAATCGATTCTCTCTAGAACGATTCGGTCTCGATTCAGAAAAGTTAATAATCGGAATTAAAAAAAAAAAAAGTCTGTCTCGCGCGAGCAAAACAAAAGATATTTGCTCGCTCGCGGAGCGTGAACTTCCCCGCTACCCCGTCTTTGGATTGGCTGGAGTGATGCATTCACACAACTATAGAAGCCCATTTCCGCACTAATGTAAGGGGATAGAAAGTCGAAATTATGAGATAAAACGTTGTCAAAAAACAAACGCCCCCCTTCGGTAATCGTAGTGGACCGTAGATGACAACCAGCTACAACCATCATTTACCATCATTACCGGCACATTAAGAGCAATGCGTCCAGCTCGCAGACCGGTCCGTCAGTCTGAATCTGAATATCTTGCCAACTTTACCGAACTATGAAGGAGCCTGCGCATATCTTACCTCATTATTTCGATTTTCCAAAAAGGCGATTAGTATTGAAAGTTGGCGAGATATTCACAGATTTGGACTTTTTCCGTTATTTTACAAATACGGACCGGTCTGAGACTAAGACCAGCTTTTTCTTCATTTAAAAGAAAAATGAATCTGTTTAATATTTATTTTTATTTTTATTTTTACATAGGCTACTTCCATATTGTGTTGAAATGCAAGCTGCGTTGGTTCTTGCATTGTTGATAGAAAATCATATTTGGGACAAAGATTTTTTTTTCTCTTATAAAAAATGAGAGAAAGTAATTCATCTGTTGATTTTCTTTAATTATCAAATAAAGTAGGAAGTGATTAGCAACCTCTGAGTAGCAAACTCATATTTGAGAAAATTTAGAAAATCGAGATGCATCGTTTTATCAGTTTAGAATCGATAATAGGTTTAGAATTGATAATCGGTTTAGAATGGAATCGTTGACCTCTGAATCGGAATCGAATCGTGAGGTGCCAAGAGCCACCCCTAGAAAGGAATCAAAAAGATCTCTGGGGATGTATTTGGTTTATGTTGAACAATCACACCTTTTCTCCAAGCTTTCTCTGTTGTCATCAGTGCGTCCACTGCTCTTCCCTCTTTCAAGACATCTGTCGATGCAAACCTGTGGACAAAAAGGAAAATAAATGTAGTGCTTTATGTAAGACGTCAATGAGGAGATCCCCGGAGTTTTCCGTATGCATCTGAAAAAAGCTCCCAGTGTTTGAAGCTTCAAGTTTCCATTACGCACCTCGTTACTGCAGTCAAAGAAAAGCACAAATTTGACATCTGCTTTGTCGACCATAACGGTGTTCCACCCCGTCAGGTTGTCCTCGTTTCTAGGGAAACCATCTATGAGGAAACGGAACTTTTTATCGTCTTTCTTCATGGTCTCTTCCATTGCCTTAGAAAACATAAAACAACAACAGCAGTGTATAAATACTTTACTCACAATAGGAATTATAGGAACTGACAAATACATCTTTATTTTTAAGTGTAAATCCTACTCATATACGTCACCACTTAAAACCTTTAATTATTAGGATAAAAAAATGCAGCTGAACTACTGATCAATCTTTATTGTTAATATCATTTTACCACATGCACAAATCTGTGCACCCTCATTCCATCAAAACCAAAGTCTGTCCAGGTACATAGTATAGTGAATATATAAGGAACTGTATATATTATTCTGTGTAGACCCTCAAGGGGCTACAACTTTCATTTAACCGTGTCATTGTGTCAATGCCAAACTAATGAGCCGTGTAACGTAAAAAACGTCTCACAACTATGCATTTTGTCTCACCAACAGTCCATAATCATTATAATCATCACGATATGAAACCACAATCACAAAATCCTCATATTCGTCAGAATAGGAGATGGTAAAGTCTTGTGTATCTTTTTCCTCTCAACCGCTCGCATGACAACAACTCTCAAGCCTCTCAAGGTGGCTTCTGGCTAAAGGGGCTAAAAATCAGAGTAGAGCAATACTACTGACAGAGCTAACAGCTTTTACCTGAGGGGAGGATATGTGATATACTTACACTATGACGTTAGTCGGTACACCAATATTAGCTCCAACTTGCACAGTGCTCGCTCACGTGCATTTACGTGGCGGCCTGTCTACGTCAACAACGCAACCAGAACATAACAAGACACACAGAGGTAGAGCGATCTTCTCTGTCTGGATAGACTTTACCACTCTGCATCTATACATGGGAAATGGTTGTTTGCTGTTAAAGTAATGCTCTTCATCCAGTATATTGCCCCTTAAATAATTGACTTCATGTATGAATGTAATGTATTGATTGTCACCATTGATCAACCAATAAATTGAGTGACTGGCAAGAAGAGGTTCTGCCCAGATATTGTCATGATTGATCTTTTTTTTTAAACTTTTTTTTCCCCCCATATCCTATAGCCTTCTATTTTACACTGTAGATTTCAATTGTAAAGTAAACATGGCATTTCTGGCACTATGTTATTTGTCTTCTTGTCCATTGTCTCACTCTTTGAGTTATGTTGTGCACCAACCTGTCTTTCTTGTGTCACGTATAAGTAAACAAAAGTCGCGTTGCTCTGGGTAACAAACGGGTCCTTGAATAAAAGTGTCTGCGACCGGCAGGCAGGTTGGTTGTGATTCGTGTCTTACTAAGTGAACAGCGTGTATTTGGTCCAAACCTTCCTGAGCAGGTTGATGGTGATCTCCACAGGGACGATCCTGCCCTCCTTGATGTAGTTGTCAATGAGCTGCCCAAACTCGGACCCCTCTCGGGCTCGCTCCGCCCGCAGCAAATCCCCAGCTGACAAATGGGTGTAGCTGTAATTCTGGAGGACATAAAGAGTTTGAGTTTAAAGTCCACGTTGACACGAATCAAACACGTTGACGTATGACTCATCCCTTGTATTTGTATGGGTTGATCTTGTAAAAAGTGTCTATTTCCATACCGACCATTGCAGAACCCTCGTCATATGTTATGTTAATAAGAAGGTTACAACATAGAGCAGCTGTCAGAGTACGAGATGTTTCCTACTCCTTCATTGAGGCTTTTGGCTCGTCATAATTTAATAGTGGACTGAACTGTATTTTCACTGCTTTGACTCACGCGTCAGAAATAACAATACGGTTTAATGGAGAATATTCAAGCATTACTTTGTAGCTCCTGTGTATATGTAAATAAATACCAAAACATAAAAGCTTTTTCGGCTAACTAGCCAGCCGGCTAACACACAGGTTCATTTTAGAGGACAACCGGAAGTCAATCAAATCTAGACACAACCTTATAATAAATGCGTAAATAAAGCCACAACCACCCTGAACTTCGCCTAGTGCCATTCCCCCCACGACGTGCTGCCTCCCCGCCATCCGAGCCGGCGTTCATTGTCGTCTCTCTCGCCTTCTCTCAAGTTACCTCCACGATTTTGGAGCATTGGGTCCCTTTGCCGGCTCCAGGCCCGCCGAGGACGAACACAACCTGGGGCTTCATCGTCAGCGACAGCCGGTACAACAAGCTCTGCGCCCCGCGAGACACGTTACCGAGCAGAGAGCCGAGCATAAACCAGCGCCAGCGGCCGCAGACGTGGAGCTGCCGCGGTGGGGACGAACAACAAAGCGGCGAGCTGACCGGTGGATGCGTGTCAGCTTTTGGGGGGGAAGTAGGAAGTCGGTGCGCCGAACGACACAACTTCCGCTGTTGACCTCGCGAGCCAATGGGGGTTTCGCATGGGAGTGACACAGGGGTTATGGCCCCGCCCACTTTCTTTTTTTTTCTTCTTTTTTTTTTAATGCAGAGGTCGGGTGACGCCCCTCCCTCTGCCTCTCTAGCATCAGCACCTCTAAATAGAAGAAGACGGCTTGGAGGAGAGAGAGGGGGAAAAAAAGGATGCTCTCCGGTCCGCGATGCTCACCCGGGTCGAGGAGACGCGACGATGAGGCGACAAAGCGAGAGACGCCGGAGCGGCTGGGTATAGTCACTGTTTCTGCACGTTTATGCTGCCTCACTGCCCCCATTCATGATGCACCATTCATGCATCCCCAAGAATGGGAGCACATTTAGAGGAAAACATAAAAATACCCATTTTATAGTCGTCTTTTCTCCGCCTTTATAAGACTAATTCTCGCTTTATGTGCCCACGAAGCTTTTTTTATTATTATTCATATCGGTCAAGGTGATGAAGAGCCCTATTTTTGTCTTTTGAGGGCGCCGCGCCGTTGTAGGACTGATACGGGAAAGCCGAGCAAACAAAAGGCATCAACCCCACAGCCCCCCCAACCCCCCCCCCCCCCCCCTCCTCTGACGCACCTGGGCTGCCCTGTCGCCGCTTGACATGACAGCGCAGAGCCGGGAGCAGAGCAGCAGGATCAAGGGGCACCGACGTGCGGCCGCCCGCGTGGACTCGACGGGGAGCGGAGGAGCATCCGGACGCGCGGCGGGGAAGGAGCAGCCGCCCAGGGGAGGCCAGGTCGCAGTTTCTGGGGACGAGCGCCAAGGGCAGTGCGGCAGTCAGCAGGCAGACCGGAGAGAAGAAGCTGCGAGATCTGTGATACTTCCCCCCCCTCCCCACCTCCCAACCCCCGGACCCCACGACGCTCTCACCTCCGTATCATCCTGAAAATATGACAGTGGCCGCTTTCACGTTTGACCAATGATGACTCTGACACTCCCTGTCATTTATTGTACTTGTTTTCTCCTTCAGTGATGATGGAGCAATTCAATGATTTAGATCCCGCTCTTCAAGCGAGGGTGGACCCCGGAGGAGACTGATGTGCATACTGGCCAGGCGTCATTTGCTCCCTCCTTCTCTGGTTTTGCTCATTTTGCTAGTCGCCTGCACTATGGGCTGTATTCAGAGCATTGCATGCAAGCCCCGTATCAGACGGGAGAACATTGTGGTGTATGAGGTATCGGCCTCTATCGACCAGTGTCCCACCATCATCGAGGAGAACTCCCCGATTGTGCTCCGTTACAAGACGCCTTACTTCCGGGCCTCGGCAGGGGTTGTGATGCCACCGGTGCCCCGCAATGAAACCTGGGTTGTGGGCTGGATCCAGGCTTGTACCCAGATGGAGTTCTACAACACCTATGGTGATATTGGCATGTAAGTGTTGCACATCCTGGCGGAAAAACGTTTTTGCCAATGACTGTGCTCACGTGTACACCTACAACACGCTGTCCTCTTGCGTCCACTGTCGCAGGTCCAGCTGGGAGTTACCAGAGTTGCGAGAGTGTCGGGTCAAGGCCATCAGCGACTCGGACGGCGTCAGCTACCCCTGGTACGGCAACACCACAGAGACGGTCACCCTGACCGGACCCACGTCCAAACCATCGCGTCTGACGGTCAGCATGAACGACAACTTCTACCCCAGCGTGACATGGGCCGTGCCCATCAGCAACAGCAACACGCCCATGCTGACCCACATCACCAGGGACCAGAGCTTCATCACCTGGCTGGTGGCAATGAACTCTATCTCCAAGGTAGGGCAGAAATACGGAGAGCAGTTTAACATCGACGATTCATACATGTGTGTCACGACCTTTCCAGAGTTTATCTCGTGCGGTTTAAACGAAGAGCGCCGGCTCCTCAGCATTTGCGCTTGCATTACACACACAGACTGACTGTGATGTAATCATCTCCCCCTGCACTCTCCCTTTCTAGTGTAAAGTTACAAAGTACCTCATCATTGGCCGCAGCTGTGCTGAATAAAGCCCAGTAGGAGTCAGTCTAGCTTAAAGTGTGTTTTTTTAGAACACCTACAGTATTCATGTGTTGTCTTTGTGGAAGAGTTGAATTATTTTTGTATTATTTGAATTATTGTTTGTTTCATTGTTTGTCAATAAGTTAAGAGCAGATGAAGATAATGGAGAAAACTGCTTTTCCTTTTTTTAAATTTAAGATAAGTTTGTATTTAACAAAACGCCATTCATTAGGATGGTCATTAACTCCATATATGAGCAGTATGATTGTGCACTATGATGCACAATCAAGTCAAGCTTTGATAAAACATGCATTCAACATGTGTACATATCTAGCATGCACAAATTACATTATTGACAATTCAATCCCCTCCTTAGGAGCGCATTGTGTTGCAGACGGTGCGATGGCGGATGCGGGTGGACATCGCCGTGGACCCTGACATGCCTCTGGGCTCTCGAGCCTCGCTGGTGGGTCGTCATTACCAGGAGCAGCCGCACATCCTCAACTACCAGGAGCCCATCCCTCCAAACGCGCTGGGGAGGCCGAATGCCAACGACGCCCAAGTGCTAATGTGGAGGCCACGGAGAGGAGCGCCACTAGTGGTCATACCGCCAAAATAAGAGGGGTGAAATGGTTGCAAAGACAGAATAATGATTATTTCCTCCGGGATAAAAGGGGGCAGGTCATGAAACCCATCTGAGAAGATGGAGGAGACGGTTTCATTGCGCTGAAGAAGCCAGTTGCTCCTTATCCCCGAAAGATTTAAGCTGAGCATTATAACGAGCCAGAGTGGATCTTACATGAGCTGGGTGCCAGGATGGGAGTCAACCACTAACTCATTTCAAGGGCCTGGATTGCACTACAGCTTTTTTGGCCCCCAAGAAGATTTTGAATGCATTCAAGAGTCCCGCCTGCTTTTTAGTGAAGAAGGAGCGCTGTTTTTCGAAGTACCACGGAGGTATTAGACCACAACGAGAACTGCACCCTGCATCTTTATGTAGATCTTATTGCATGAGACAGTGAGAGTGGCAAGAAAAAAAAGTCCTTGAGAAGTTTAAGAATAGCATTTGTTTTGTATAAAATGATACCTAAAGACATTTTGATTGAAAGGTCAGCCAAAAACCCCCTGTGGGCTGGTCACACCTGTAAAACCTGTCAGTGCCAACAACGGCCTTCAGCACTCAGCACCGAGGTAAAGGATGTATTCAGAGGATTTAAAGGAGACAAAGTATTATATTAATCTTTTTAAGTTAAGATTAACTCATGCATTATTCAGATTGTATTAAGAGCACCAAGCTTGCATAAACGTCTGAAAGAAAAACAACATTGCTGTAGTTTTCCCTGGAGCTTTTCTCATACACCGAATTTATGCACCAACTCCACAGCTTCTGTCCTGCTGCAGAGATTTCATTCAGATGGGGGACAAGCTATCAGAGATGGGAGTTGGACCTTTAACCACATTGGATAAATAATGTCAGCTAAGCTTTCAATAAGTGCAGTGTACATGACTTGGATTGGTGCCACACAACAGATTTACAACAAGTGTGTAACTGATGTGGCACTAATCAGGCCACATTGCACTACCAAGCTACACACATCTTCCTTCAATCAGGGAATCTAAATGTACACTTAATAGTTCCCTTGCTGTTGAATTAAACCATAAATAATTTTGGAAAATATTAATTTTAATTTGTGGTATTATTTGACACTGGTACGTGGTCATTTCTCAGTTTCTCCTCATATCATTTAATGAATATTACATGCAGTAGTTCTGCATGATAATCCTCGATGGAGGTTTCCTGTGTCGTGGCATGTCCAGTGGCTCATCCTGGGCTCAGTCCAGGTTCCTGCCTGCCACTCCTCACAGGAGTCACATGACTCATCCTCCATCTGTGCTTCTCTCCAGGTTCACTCCTCACCTTCCCGATCTAACTGCTCCGTTTCTGTGGTACGTCCACCTCACCGCACTCGCCATCTCCACCTAAGTACACTAATTTGCTCTATAATTCACAACTATGCAAGGATCTGTGACTGTAAACCAAACCAGAAGGAGAAACATGTGTATTTTATCTGCCTCAATCATTTTCTTATTTGTCAGGGTCAATGTGGGAAAAATAAATGGCTTTTGTAAATGTAAAAATACTCAGAGATTAAAATAGGTTATATTGAACAAGTGTGTCTACATGTGTCGCCGCGCCGCAGCTCATTCAGACATCTGTTGCTATAGAGACTGGTTTGGTTATCCAGAATGAGCTGCAACTGGAGCCGAGAGAAAAGCTTTTGAAAATATTCATGGGTGTGCCTACCTCGGTGTGTCGCATGCACACTCTGGCTTCTTACTTTGAAGTAAGAAAAAAAAAGATCACGGCAGAACTGGTCGCTTCAGCATTAAAATGTGCCTTAGTTTATTCATTTGTTCCCACGTAAAACACCTTTTTTGCATTTAAATAAACAGCTGGGTTGAATGATTGCTTCTGATATAAATGCTCAAGAGACAGTAAGCAGTGAGGTCAAATCAGTCACATCCCATATCATCCCATCGCGTATTAAAAAAAAGACATTCAGCATCTCTGACCAAAGGTAACCCCTCCTCATTTCACCACGAGATGGAAGCTGTGTGGAGGAGTTACCTCTCTTTGGAGCACTGCGAGCACCATCAACGGGCTGCCCCTTTTCTTAAGCAAATACCCTTCGTTCCTCAGTTCCCATCACACACACAATTACACATCCATGATATATTACTGTAAATGAATGGCTTCCAATTATCCACAAGCCCATGGTTTCATCATAATCTCCCAAATTGTCCTTAAAGAAACCAGTTTTACTGCAACAAAGTCTATTTAAAAAGAACATCCTTTAAAAAAAACCCAAAAAAACCCCAAGTATATATTTTTGCCCCCCCATATTCCCTTCATAGCAGCATTTTCCCAGGAGCGATTAGCGCTCTTCCCCTGCGATTGTTGTGACTCTTGACACTTTTGCCATATTGTTCATTTCTGCGTGGCACAGTCACTGAGTCCTGCTCGGTTTTCTGTCGTGTTTGTGTCGTCCCTCCTGTCCGGGTGAGACTTAACAGAGGTCTCTGTTTATACTTTGATGGTGCTGCCATTAGCAGGTTTGCGCTCGTGGCTGTAGAGAAATGTGGCGGCAATAACCAGCACTGCCCCGAGGAAAAATGCACTGAGAAAGGAGGGGAACAAAATAGAGAATACAATGAGGCATTAGAAGGTGAACTCAGCAAAAACAAGCACTGTACTCACCTCATGTCATGTAAATGAGGCAAACAAGGGTTGTTTTTGCCATACCTTAGTTTGGTTTAAGGCTAATGGGTTAAGCACCTATCTGCGTTATCAACGTATAGAAGGCATCTGTGAACTACAAAATTACACATTTCTGCGTATTGGCGCATGTTAGAGAATAATAGAAGTAGGTGAGTTACAAGACGGAGCGTCTGTAGAGCGGTTCATGGCAATCAGTTCAACAGTTGTTGAAATAATGCCTTCTGAACGGAGGTGTTTACCATCCATAAATCCATCCACAACCCCATTCAGCGAACGCAGTTTCCAGACTAAACAGGAGTGATTATTTGCAAAGCAAAATTAAGCCTTCTTAGGGATGTTCATGAGCGTGTATTTGTTTACCGTGTAGGATTGAAGTCCTCCAACAGGAAATATGAAATGAGTGTGGACACGATGATGGACAGGGAGGTGGCAAATCCTTTGAGGATGTTGTCTGCATATTTAATAACCACTGCTATGACCAACCCGCCCAGAGCCTGAAGACAGACGGTTAGAAAGTATTCAGACAGGAGCAAAGAAAAACATGAAGACACATACAAGACCCAGTGATTGCGTCCCCCAAAATGCATTTAAATAACAATTTGACGATTGTGAGATTGGAGAGAAACGTAATGATCAAACCTGCAAGGCAACGACTGTGCAGGTGATGGAGTTGTAGCCCTGAAACATGCCCAACTCGCTCACCTTCTGGCCGTCATACACCAACATTCCTACTAAGCCAAACACAAGGCCAAATAAACCTTGAGGAGACAAGCAGAGACAGAGAGGTCAGATTTGGGTTGAAGCTACAAGAAATAGGTTGGGGTTTTGTTTAAGTGATCTTGGACAACATGTCATGAAACTGTCATGATTCTGTACACTTGTGCTCATGTAGCCTCCTACCTGTTGTCAGACGACCTTGACACAAACCTCTGATTTGCAAACCATGACACCATTATTGACTCAACACACACCGTCTCATTTAACAAAGCGAACAGAGGTCATAGATACTCACCCAGCTGTATGTTACGCACCCACACACTCTGTTTGGTCTCCTTGAGGATTTTCTCAAAGTAAACTCCGGCGAAGCCGCTGGACACACAGGCCATCAGCACAGCCATCAGTCCCACAAACTGGGAGCCTGCGGATAGGACCTTCTGCTCAGTGTCCCCTTCAGTCTCTGTCGGCCACTGTGGAGGTTACAACACCGAGCGTCACGCGCAAACAAATCAAATCTGTCAATTAGAGAAATGTCCCTTGTTTACGGGTCAACGTAGTCATATTCCACATTCACGCAGCAGATAACGTTGTGCATATTTGAGGTTTCTCTTGGACGTCGCAGGCTCAGTGTCTGCCGGTACCTGCACTAGGGTGACTCCTGCCATCAGGAAGAGCAGAGAGAGCCACTGGTACAAGCCCAACCTCTTCCCCAGCATAGAGACAGAAAACAGGGCGGTTGTGAAGATCTTCAGCTGGTACGTGACCTGTGTGCAGCACAACACAAACACACCACTAAGCAACGTGGAGGGATTTGTGAATGTGACAGGAGAACATGATTTACATAATCCTGAGCAATAACCCTGACGGTCTCCAGTGTATAAAACTCTGACTTCTCCGCTGCCCTTTGCTGATTATTCACTTGACTGTCCTTTGAGTCCGGATGCTGCCGCTATAATCAAACTTGGAGAAGGAAAGAAAATTACAAAAAAAAGCTGTTGTGTGTGACATGTGTGCGTACTAGACATGTCGGTCTGTATGTCAGGCAGACGCTTGTTGGCTCTCTGTAGAGATGGTTTTAAGTTTTAAGTTTGTCGATAGAGAACGTTAACAAAGAAAAGAAAAGAAAAAAGCGTGGACATTCTAAATTCTAGTTTTAAGACCATAATGAGAAGAAGACGAAAGCAATGGTAATGACTTCAAAAAAAAACTTATTGCTTATGTAAGTGTAGCAGGACGACTGCTCTTGGCCCATTCGCGGTCTTGTCCCTTTAATGATCTGCCCTATAAGAAGGGATCGGTAGATCTGCGCTCTCTCTGGCGGCGGGTGCGAACTTTCTGCTTCCGGGTTGCCTGGCTGCAGGTGTTTGCAGACGCTCCGCACTCTTTGGTGTGGCGCAAAATTGTGTTCCATAGGGCAGGTATGTAACCATTAATTGCACGCCAATGTGCCCATCCGTGCACCATTAATACTGTGAGTTTATGTGCAGGCGCTGGCGTGTCGGGTAGTTTCCCTTTCCCTACTGGTTTTTCCACCTACTGGTTTCCCTACGCGTGCGTGTTTGTGTTCAGCTGCAGATGTGTCCGCCTCAGACACGCCCAAAGGTAACCAGTTGTTTTAGATCCACGACACCAAAAGGTTTCCTTCATGCTGATCAACGTCAACGAAATGAATAAATTATGCTAAGGGTCAACAGATTGCTGTGTGTCTCCGTGGCGCACTGCTAAGAGCAGCCACCTGAATGACATTTTAATGTTTTGATCCACCGGGTTCGAATCCAGGTTGTGCCGATCTTTCTTTTAATATATTTTTTTATGTAAATGTTTTCATACGTGGCCGTGATGTGGTGCTCACTTATACAATCGTAAACGCTGCAATGGATTTGTGATGCGTTTTGAAGATTTTCAGCAATATGTTTGTGGATGTGTGACTAATCAGGGAACTGCGGCGGACACATCTGCAGCTGTGGAGTGAACACAAACACGCACGCGTAGGGAAACCAGTAGGTGGAAAAACCAGTAGGGGTGTAACACCGGAGCGATGTCACGCTGAGGGCTCTGCATCCCCGAACCGTACTGCTTTTGGACTGCTGCTGCTTCTTACGGGGAAAGAACAAACCTGCTTTTTATAGGATTAAAACTAACTCTTTATGGGGATAAAATAACCCTTTTTAAGGATGTTGCTGATTTATGTGGATTGATGTCAAGGGAGACTTTCCTGGATTATTTTTGTTATTATTGTGATCACTGAATTGATTAGTTTTCTTGCGTTTACTCTCATTTGATATTCTTTTTGGATGTGTCTTTTTAACCTGTAAATTCTTGTTTTTGAATATATTTTTGGTCCCATTTGACGGTTTCCCTCTTAGTGATTCCAGGTGCTGAGGGCCTCACTGGTGAACCCTTTTTGGTGAAGGTGTCCCCTCGTGTGTAGTGTCTTATTCACTCCCTTTTTGCTTTACCCTTGTGTGTGTTTGAGTGTTAAAGCTTGGATTGTGTTGCTCCCATTTTAAGTTTATACCTTCACCCCTCACTCACCTTGAGCACGAAGGCCCCAGCCCTGGAAACACTAACCTTTTTGACAGATTTTAATTGTTTTTATTGCGGTTGAAATAAACTTTGTATTTCTTTTGGAAACGCGCCTCCCGCCTGCTCAGTATAGCAAACTTGTCTTGTCATTTTGCTTAAATTTAGTAATTTACTTTATTCATAGATTTTTCTTTTTCCCTGGGTTACCTTTTTTCCCTTATTTAAAATACAATCTGGTGGTCTGCTTGCCACAGAAGGAAACAACCATTTTGAGATACTAAGTGCCCGGGACTCAAAAGATAATGACAGTATTCCAAAATGAGCCTCCCCTAACATTAGTATGGTAAACTAAGTGTGGTTTGAACCCAAACAGAATAAAAAGTGAAACACATCCAAGATAAAAGATAAGTTTGCAAGGGGGAGAGGAATGTGGTTGGTAACCAGAACCACAGGTTTCTCAAACCGTAAGAAAAGAGGCAGCAGGTTTTGCTGGAACCTATTAGCTAATCTAACCAACCGTGGTGCCGGAGTGCGCACGAGAAATCTGCAGCACATTCCTGCTGGCTGACTGTATCGTCACGTTCCTGTTGCAACAACGTCACGCTCTGCATCTGCCAAACTCCTTGTCCCTTCCTCGCTGAGGAAGGGACAGAGTGGTAAACGGGGTGTATGTTCCAGCCAAAAGTCTGCCATCTACACCATCGCCATCAGATGTGCCAGGCGGCACACCTGGACCTCCTAATCAGGGGGGGTACAAAAGAAGGTGGAAGGAGGCGCGAGAGGAGACAAGTTGGGAGAGGACCCCGGTAAGAAGGATGGCGGCCCGACGTGTGTAAACTTGAGTTGGTTTTGATTAACGTGATGATGATGATGATGACCGTAGTTAGTTTCTTTATTTTATGTGATCAAAATGCTCCGACGCCCTCCGCCTCTTGACTGCTGCACTGCCAGTGATTCCAAATCCTCTGTGCCATCCTGTTACACACCCGACAAGATCTCGACTCTTTGCTGTCCTTTCTCCGAAATTGTGCAACGAGCTCTCTGATGACACCAGGACCGCAGAGAACATCTTCAGACTCTACCTCGACTAAAAAGACTAACATTGTATCACTTAATTGCACTTATAATGGCTCTTATCTGCAGCGAGCTGTAAATAGTCTTATTTAATGAAATTGCGCTTTCTTTTGGGTTTGTGTCCTTTTGGTTGAAATGCACTTATTGTAAGTCGCCTTGGATAAAAGCGTCAGCTAAATGACGTAATGTAATCTCATGATATGAAGTCATGCAACATGAGCATGGTAAACTAAAGGAGGTTCCACTGTGGGGTTTTGGGACACGACTGAAGTGACCGCAAGGAATTCATCAGCCTGTGATAACAAACCCCACAAGCCTGCAGTGTCTGTTTCACTAGATAGCGCTGGTCACCAACAGTCAGTATTCATTGTTAGATTTACACAAAAAACATTTTTTTTAACTTGTGGACAGCTACGTGGCAGATTCCAACTCATATGGAAACCAAAAACACCCACAGACCAAGTGAACCAGTTCATTCATGCGCTACCTGATAGGTGGCGGCGTCCAGGTGGGACAAGGCAACATAGAGCAGATTGTTCTGCAGAGTATAGATCCCTGCAGGAATGGCCAACTTCAGGGTCTCCGCAGGCTTGTTAACAATCTCCTCCTTCAGCAGCCGCACGCTGAAGTCTGCCAAAGACAGAGAGTGTGTTGTCAGTAATGGAATCAACGGAGCAGCCCTCCATTGGGGGGGGGGCAGGGGCCTGGTATTAAGAGGAAGCATTTATACATGGGTGTATATTATACTACTAATCGACCAAGAGATACTCACTGTTCTCCTTGAAGACGAGGAGGGTGCAGGCGAGGATCTTCAGCAGCTCGGCCGACACCACGGCGGACGACGGCAGGTAGCGGGGGCCGTCGCCCTTCAGGGTGCGGGAGTAGCGCATGGTGAGCACGAGGGAGGTGGTCTGCAACACCAGCACCCCCAGAGACAGATACTTCAGCCATACATGGTGTGGCGAGGACAACGGCATCGCAGAGAGCTCAGCGGACCACTGGGGGGTCTTTGGAACGGACCAAAAAAAGAGAGAGTTGGGACAAACGAGTGAGTCTGGTTCGGTCTGAGAAACGAGGGTTCCCCCCTGCAGCTTCTACCAATCTCAGGGACTAACAGGGTCTATGGGAGCAGCATGAACGCGAAAAAAGGAGGGACATGGAGGAGGATGAGTCTGAAACATCTGAGAGGGGGGAGAGAGTAGAACAATCAGGAATGCTGTTCAGTAGTGGATCAGAAAGGAAAGCAGAAGGCAGCGCAAAACCTGGAGCACATCCAACAAGCATGAGACCAAACAAGAATTATGGTGTCAGGGGAGGAAACATTGTATTTTACAGTACAACTCCAACTATGAAACAGCTGCCATCGTCTCTCCACTTAGATGGAAGACTCCGTCCTCCACCTAAAGACACCAGCTGTTGATTCAGTGAATTATCGGGAGGCTTCACCATTAGTTTGTTATCAGACAACATAGTGTTCTTTTTCCCTCCAGACTTTTTTCTGTTAAATTATCTTTTTTTTTTGGTCGATGATATACCCGGTGTCAGTTAGTTCTGCCTGTTTTAACGTTCTGTTCTAAAAGAGGAAGAGTTTTGTGTGAACATTTCAAAGGAAAGACCCAAAGAGTGAAATTAGACATAATTGGAATACTAATTATATATAACAATGTAATAATAGCCTTTATCAGTTATTGAAATTTCTTCCGCAGAACAAATGTGTTGTTTGTTCTCTATTTAGTATATTTTTAAGTAGGTTGATTGCAGGACTTTTACCTGTAATCAAACATTATTACACTATTATACTTTCACTTTTGCTCTGAATATTTATTTCATTACTGACACACACACACACACACACACACACACACACACACACACACACACACACACACACAGGGAGAAGCTGTGTCATGTAATACCGGGACTTTGGTAGTTTACAACTTTAATGTCATTTTTACTGAAGCGTTTTGTATCTTTAGCTTCAGGTATTAAAGGTTAACTTGAGAGCAACGTTGAAATTATTACCAGTCCTGTGACAGCAGAGCCTTGGGGGCTTGAAGACGCACATTCTTCACTCTTTTGCTTTACTGACGGAAGCATAATTTCTCTGAACAGCCACTTCCACTTTTCTTCGATGATGGCATCCAAACACGAGCCCGTCCAAGAACACGAGGCTCAACGTCCTCGACTTCTGCAGCGATGTACCTCATTGTGTCATAGTGTCGGCCCGCTAGTGGAAGGCAGATGTGGGAGGTGTTATGAGTGTGAACTGTTCGCTCAGTTACTGTGTACCCGAATCCAACTGGTCATAAAACTCGCTCATTGACAGTAAGGGGGCGGAGCCAGTCATCATGGTCTCCACACTTGATTGGTTACAAACCCTGTCTTTGGATTGGCTGGAGTGATGCATTCACACTACTATAGAAGCCCATTTCTGCACTAATGTAAGGGGATAGAAAGTCGAAATTATGAGATAAGTTGGCAAGATATTCACAGATTTGGACTTTTTCCGGTATTTTACAAATACGGACCGGTCTGAGACTAAGAGCAGCTTTTTCTTAATTTAAAAGAAAAATGAATCTGTTTCATTTTTTTTTACATAGGCTACTTCCATATTGTGTTGAAATGCAAGCTGCATTGGTTCTTGCATTGTTGATAGAAAATCATATTTGGGACAAAGATTTTTTTTCTCTTCTTCTTCTCGTTTACTGAGTGATAAAGGACACTGAAACACAAAACGATTGTAAAAGTTCCACTCTGGTTCATATCGTTTGGTAGAAAGAGGGAGCGCAACGAGCCACGAGGGCCAGAGACGCGTCGCCAGTACAGGAGGCGTGCGTTCAACACACTGACCTCCCTATGCAGCTACACAGTCCCTCTCTGTTGGTGTGGCTCAACGTGTGTGAGCCACACCAACGCTGGCTCTTCCTCTCTGTAAGCACATTCTAAAAACACCATCGCCTTTCATTTGCATTTACCAGCCATGCAAAGATCTTCAGACTTTTATTTATAAAAATGTACAATAGGCCACACGAGTAAAACAAGTCTTGTATTTGAATGTATCCATGTTGTTTTAAACAGAGGGGGAAATACCCTTTATTACTCTGTATTTGGTTGAACGTACTAAATGACAGCTCGCATCCTTACTGGATGCTGCATCATGCTGGGCTGCGATTGGTTAGTTGCTCGTCCGGATGGATCGATAGTGCAGCAGCTCATCCTCCGCCTTAAGTGAACAACAACAACAACAACAACAACAACAATAACAACACGGTCTGCTCCATCCTTCCATCCTTCGGACACTAAGGAAAAGTACGAGCACGGAGGCTGTTGCGATGATTCAGTGCGCCGGGTGTAACAATGTGAGCGGAAAACGACAACGCAGTCATCGTTGGCAAACATTCAATCGTTTGTTCAACTTGAACAAATATTGAACATCGCAATTTCACCAGGATGTGGATTAGGAAGCAGGACCCGTGGTAAGAAAGAAAGCAAGTGAGGGAATGACTTCCAACGAACTAGTTATTGTTAACTTATTATAGACTCGTCTGATGTGTCACCTCCTTAATATCGCAGATAGCGTTTGATCAAACTGTCCCCGGTGGGATCTTTATAGATTATAAACGGGAGAGGTCAAAGGTTATTAAAACAACTTCTCAAACCCTTCATCACACAATCATTTACCTGTAAAATGAGGACGTGGATGAAGAAGACCGCGCGCTCACTCGCTGGATATTCTTCTCCGTTTGGATGCTCGAAAAAAGTAATATAACACTCCGAAAGTAAATGGAAGCCAAACTGTCCGAACACGGAAAGCTATCTGACATCTGCAAACTGAAAAAAAATGTTTGTGAGTCTAAACTCGCCAACAGTCCCGACAGAGTCGATCCATTTCTGTTCTTTGTGGAAATACAATCTCAATAAATTACTGACAACACACCAAACGTTAGCGACTCCTGCTGGAGACAAAAACAATAAGTAAATAAGTAAGTATTTTTGTTAAACGAAATATTTGGAATGTTCCATTCAATTACAAATAAAAAACATATTCCAGCTAATTAAAACATAATTATCGAATCCAAATAAAAATATATAAACTATCCTCACCAAGAGCAAAATGTCTCATCATACCAAGGGCTTTATGTGTGGTTGCACGGACCTCTTTAGGCCACAGTACCAATGTGCAGATTGAGGCGTTTCGATATATATATATGTGTGAATAATATCATATATATTTCAGGTGCTGATCGACTTGGGTTAATTACGCATCCACTAATCAGTATAGACAGTTTGCTATTGATGATTTCAATTGATAATTGTTTGCACCTCAATAAAAAATCAATTAAATCAGTATAAAATATTTCAACCTAAATGGAAATTGAATTACTCTTATAATTTTTTGGTGGCGCAAGAATGAATAATACTAATATTATTATTTCAGTTGATTAAAATATATGTGAGCTGTGAATGTGGGATTGTATAGTTTTATTTAAAATTAGAGAAGTGCCGGTTTAATACAAATTAATTATTGACCACAGGAGGCGCTGCTGCTGACGCGACGCACACGTCAAAACGGAACCGAAGAAGAAGAAGAAGAAGAAAAAGACCACGTGTTTCCTTCTCGTTCTACTTCATGGGAACGCGCATCTTGCCACATTATTATTTACAATGGTTCGTAAACTAAAGTTCCACGAGCAGAAGCTGTTGAAGAAGGTCGACTTCATCAATTGGGAGGTGGACAACAACCTCCACGAAGTCAAAGTGCTGCGGAAGTACCACATCGAGAAGAGGGAGGACTACACCAAGTAAGAAGCGACGCGTGTGCGGGAATGGTGCTGCTGTGCTCATCCCGGTGACCAGCTTAACAACACGCCCAACGTCCGCATCCTGCAACTCTAAACACACATTTTGTTCGTATTTTACGTAACGTTAGGTAGCTGCACCACGTGACATATACCAATACCAGAGCTCAAAACCCGCTAAGACTTACAGTGAAGCAGCTGACTAGAGAATAATATAAACACAGACGTTCATATGTCTAGGGGTGTACAGTACCATTGTTTATTTCTCACGTCTCTCAGGTACAACAAGCTGAGTCGTAACATCAGGGACCTCGCAAAGAAAATCCGAGACCTGGATGAGAAAGATGGTTTCAGAGGTCAATGCACACACCAGCTACTGGAGAAACTGTAAGTGTGACAGAATCCCATCTTGTGATCCAGTCTCCCCCCCCTCATCTGCCTCCAGCATACAGTGATGCATCTTTCTCAAAGCACAATATCAAAATGTTGGATCTGTTTCTGCACACCAGGTACGGCATCGGTCTGTTGCCCACCAAACAGAACCTTTCCCTCACAGAAAAAGTCACAGCTTCTTCATTCTGCAGGTAATTCCCAACACAAACCATTTTTTTATTGAGTCGTCTTGATGGGAACATGCATCACTACTCGTTTATTTTCCGTGTTTCATTTCGCCTTTGTGGTTCCTGCAGGAGGAGGCTGCCGAGCATCATGCTGAAACTCCGTATGGCTCAGAACCTGAAGAGCGCAATCACCTTCATCGAACAAGGACGTATCCTTCATTACTTCCTTATTACAAGAGTTTATGTTTGGGGAGTAAACGTTCCTCCCATGAACTTCCTTTGAGCGATCGGTTAGTTCCGTCTACGTCCGAGGGTAGAAATGTTGACCTTGACTCTGTCTCAGATGTGCGTGTTGGCATAGACATTGTCACAGACCCAGCGTTCCTCATCACAAGGTGAGCGGTTACGTTTTGTTTGGTCTTCTCATAATTTGTTAGGAAACACTTTGTGCAGCAGAGTTTGTTTCACACAAATGTCCATTTTGCAGAGACACAAATGGTAGTATGAATACCTGTGAAAGGCATCTCAAGTGGTCAAATGGTAACATAATACTGCCCCCTTTTTCCAGAAATATGGAAGATTTTGTCACTTGGGTGGACACCTCCAAGATCAAGCAGCATGTCATGAATTATAATGATGAGGTATGTTTTCTGCTCTCGCATGCGCTTCAGCTACTTCATTTCATTTCAAATGTTGGATCAGTAATGAAAGCTGTGGCGTGTCATGAGCCGTCTTTCTGGGCTAAAGCAGGTTTTTCTTTTGCAGAGGGATGACTTTGATCTAGTGACATAATCCTGTCGTCTTATCGTCCATTCGTCACTCCGGAGGGACAAACGGGGACACAAACTTTGCTTCTTTTGAACTGTGGTGCGAATAACTTCAAGAGGACAGACCAAGTGTGCGCACGTACTCCGATCCACTGGTTCAAGACAAAAAGTTAGCTGCAGATCCCAGAGACGGTCTGCAAAATGAGTGTGTGAAGAAAATAAGTGTCAACTTTTATATGAGCAAGGCCAGAAGAAATGTACTTCCGGGCTTTGCTGTGTGGAAATATCCGACTTAAGCCGTATCTATTAACCATCCAAACAATGTGGATTCATTTGTGATTGATAATATTTGCTTCCCAGATTCTCAGTTGTCTGCGTGTGTACTGGAGCAGCCGTTATTGTTATTAGTGACTGTCAACTCTAACCTTCCACACGTTGTTTACTTTCCATATTCAGATCTTTGTGTAAACATGAGCTGGCTTCACAGGATATGTTTGTATGTAATGGATTGTGCAAATGCTGGTTTATAAGTGTGTGAATATATATGCACACTAAAGACTGTTTTTGTATGTTCAAATATTATCATAGCTTGTCATAAATACAGCTGGAAAATAGAAAATACAATTCGGTAAGCATTTAATCTTTTGAAAAATACTTTGTTACAATGTAAACTTTGTATAATAAACATTCTTTTATCACAGTATTACGACCTTCCACTAAACTTGTGCATATTCCCACGTGGTTGCTCCTCAACGCTGAAACTTTGACACAAACCCTTATTTCCAGTTTGATTTATCAACACCCTGCTCTTAATATTCCAGTAAACAAACTCGCCACGAAGCATTTGCTCCCATACAGACTGGTGTCCTATCACACCCACCTATGGCTCAGCTTATACTCTATACATGGCATAAGTCAACGGACAAAACATAGAAATTATTCCAACCTTCAATAGAGAACTATGCGGCCCCTTTAAGGCACCCTGGTATAATACAACACGTAGCCGGATCTGTTTAAGTGGCTTTTCACAGTGGAGGACCCTCAAAGTCCTTGACGGTCCATTAGAGCCACCAGAAGCGCACGTAGATGATGAGTGTGATTAAGAACACTGACACCGCAGCCACTTTGGCATACGTGGAGCGGGTGTTGAGATATTTGGCATCGCTGCGGTACTTCTTCGACAGGCTGGTCAGATTGCTGGCTTTTGTGTCAAGAGCTGAGGGGGAAGAAAATATCACAATAAAATTCAGTGGATGTGAGAAAAGTAGGGGACGCTTCACAATAAAAAGTACAATAAACACCTCTGAGACATTAACAAAACAAAAAAGGTAAGAGTAAGAATGTCAGTGATGGATTTCTTTGCTCTTGGCAATTTGTCCCAAGTTCTCTGTGGTCTTTACATCTGTACTCACCAGAAAGTGATTCTCCTCTTTGCAGAACCTCCTCAATATTTGCCACCATGATCCTCTGCACATCCTGCAGCTCCGTGTTGATGCTGCCGAAGTTCCTCGGGGCCCTACGGTCAACGAAGGACTTCTTTGTCTTCTGGATGTACGTATCTGGATGACGACGGTTTGTTAGGAATTAGTATTTTTTTTCTGTTTGCATGAGGTTGAAGACGACATTTTCCGGATCCCAAATTGGTCTCACCAAACTCGATGAAGGAGTACGGTCGTGTCACCGCGGCCACTCTCCTCCCATAGCGGCCATTGAATTCCCCGCGGAGGTCTTCCAGGTACGCAAAGGCCGACCTTTTGGCAAACGAAGCCTCACAGAGGAACAGGTAACACACATCCTGCGCTATCAGGTAGCTGAAGACCAAAAAAACCCCAACACATTTATATCCGGTATATCGCTAAAGACACATGGGCTTTGCGGGCGTTGGGAGGAGCGCTGTTATTAAGCCGTGACGTACTGGAAGCTCATGTCTCCGGCCTCCAGCGTGCAGCGCTCCGGACTCTGGGCGTCCAGTTTACGGCATAGCTGCTTGGCTTGGCTCTGGTAATGCTGGAGGTCTCTGCCGGACTGACACAGAGAAGCAAACACGGTGTGTGAGGGGGGAAGAAGTACCGCGTCAGCAAACTAATCGACGTTAAAGGCTTTGGCTGTCATTCGCACCTTCTCGTCCTCCTGTACGGACGCCGCCAGCGGAAGTCCGTCCGTTACCCGGGCGATCATCGTCAGTGACGTCATATCGACGGAGTTCAATAACCGGCGTCGCCAACTGTCGGTTTTCTCCTTCGTAGAGGGAATGGAACTTGAGGGGGAAAAAAACTTGGGTGTGTTTTTTTTTTTTTGTGCCGTCAACTTTGACGACGCGGAGGAATGAGCTGGACGGAGTTCCGGGTGCGCCGGTCAATTAGGTCCGAGTGGCAACCGGTGAAATTCAACTTCGTAGTCGAATTTACATCGCTTAAAGAGATAGGATGTTTCGTATGGCAAAATAAGATAACTAAAAAACATACTTTACACTTCTTCTTTTTTTAATTGGTTGCCAGTATCCGAGCCCTTTTTAAACCGCGTCTCGGTGTCATAAGCTGCGACCAGACAGCTGGCAGACGTACCGACCGCATCCCGACTGCCGCCGCCGCTGCTGCTGCCTGCATAGAGCCGAGCGGTGCAGATGCGGTCTGACTATTGCTGCAGGAATGAAGCCTCTCTGAACTAAAACCAGAGGAACCATGGACAAACGGGAGGGGTAATTTCTCCGCCTCATTGTTGTGCCTTTTTTAAATTGAGCTATTGTTCGTTTTGCTGGGATTCCCGTTTAGCCACATCGCCTCGCTGTTTCCTGCTGGCCGCAGAATGGCTGCTCTCCTTTCGCACCTTCTTTTGTTGTTATTTGTTTAAGGAACCCCGATCGCTGTCCTCGCTGTCTCCGACGTTGTGAAATGAGACGATGGTGGGGGGTCGGGGGGAGCACATTTGCAGTTTACTTGAAACACATGCATTTTTCCCTCTCACCCCTCGTTTCACACCGGCTCGCCTAGAATTGCACGAGCCCAGTAATTTGTGTGTGTGTGTGTGTGTGTGTGTGTGTGTGAACGCACAAACGTGAGCTTAACCGTCTGGAAGGTAGCGACGTGTGCGGATTAGCTGAGTCTGCAGCTGGAGTGCGTTTAGCATCAATCACACCACCTGGATTTCAATCACACTGCTTTTTTTTTTTTAAACTTCTGTTTTTTTTGGTTCCCCGCAAGCAAAATCTAACCGAGTGAGTGCAGATCTCATACCGGTGGAGATGGGACCATTTGTGCACGACCCCACTTTAATCCTCTGACACCCCCCCCCCCCCCGCACTGATGGAGCCTCTCTTTGCACAGTGTTCTGCTTACAGCTTGAAAAGGCCTATTGTTGCGGTGCAGGTGGCAAAACCAACGCCGCCGTGAGCGTCGTTCCCAACCGCGCTGGGACGGGTAGTTTTTGCAGTTCTCCCGGGACGGGTCTGGGGATACCACGCGGGTTTTAATGTTAGGGATGGGTCTCTTCCATAACTATTTAATTGTAGAGGAGGGGGGGGGGGGGTGATTCCCATGCTGGACTTCAGGGGAATCCTGCGAAAAGGAGAAGGTGTTTACCTCCTTTCCTAATGGATGTCACTAATATAGACATCCGCTCCTGGGATGATTTCCCCAGGGACCAGACCTTAATCAAGGGGGTGTTCACTGTGGTCTGAGGTTCTCCTGCTTGAATGTTCTTGCTCAAGGAAACACGTTTGTGAACTGCTGATCTAAACGTATCCGACGCTGTGTCTCCCTCCCTCCTGCCTGTAAGGTGTGCCTGTGATGTCCAGGGGTGAGAAGCACAGCAGCTGAGGGGGGGAGATGGGCTGCACCTCCACCAAGCAGGTGTCTGCGGTGCCCAACGGCGAGGAGGGACAGAATAAAGCCCACAGCAACGGGGACCTCCTCTCTGGTCAGTTGACTTCTCATCACGTTTATAATGCACCTCTATTATCAGCTGGTGCTCCAACTATTTTATAATCTTGCTTTTAAATTTGGGTTTAGATTGACCTTCTGATAAATGGGAGATATTTCCTCACCATTCACCTACATCAATGTCTGCATAAATGGCAGTTCCCCTTATGGTTCAGCTGGATTTAGCGAGAAATATTAATAATTCACAATAGTTTTGGAATTCTTTATCAGTATCTAATAACGATTCTGACACTCTGAAGATAATGAAAGAACCATTAACTAGTGTTTTATTAAAGGCCATAGAAACCTACTAGTTCTGACTTTGTACAAGCTGAAATAGGTAATTGCGGTTTAATGTTGTTGATTTTTTTTATTAAGCAAATCTAATTATTCCAGCTCGCTGTCATTCTATTACTATTTAAACACAGTATATATTTTGTATGTTTTGGTGAAACACAATCTTTCAGTCTGTAAGATATTTACCTGATATCTACATGCATTAAGAAATATTTGTTAATATATATTGTTTCAACTTCTCATGTTAACTCCTACCCATGAACAGAAAACTACAACTCATACCATAATAGTATTAATAATAATGGTGATAATAAAGTGCCAACATTGTTAAGAGAGGATTTAGTCTGGAGCGTGAGAACTTGGGCACATAATTACTTTGCCAAGTACTGGACTGTGAGAAGTATTATCCCCGAGGCTTGTGCTGCGCGGGTCGTCCTCTGCTCCCGTGTTTTTAATAGATGTGCTCCTCTCTGTCACAGATGAGTACAAGATGAAAGAAGTGGAGAAAGTCAAGTACATCAGCGGAGAAGAGGGAGGCGTGGACGGCCAGGAGAGCACAGTGCGTGGTTCTATTCTTATGGTCTTTATTGTGTCTGTAACAGGATATTTATCCTATGCTGGAATTTGTATATGTGTAATCAGTCCTCTGCACTGTGTAGACGAGACACCTTTCGGATCAGCTTGTTTATTGTGTGTGTGTGTGTGTGTGTGTGTGTGTGTGTGTGTTTGCTCGGCTGCAGGAGAAAAGTGCCCTCCTCGGTAAAGGTCAACACATGGATGAAACGGGGTCAAACGGGAATGGAAAGATTCTGTAAGTGTCGCAGACCGATGATGTAATCTCAATGCATTGATACGAGTATATTCTCTAACCCGCTGTGCCGTTTCCCTTTGCAGGAGCATCCACTCCTCAGAGAGCCAGCAAGAATTCTTCAGGATGTTGGATGAAAAAATTGAAAAAGTAAGAAAAGAAAAAAACAATCATTGGAGTCACTTTTTATTTAATCTCCTGCTAAATGACATGATGGAGATTAATCCTGTCACTGCATCAAATCTGTGGCAAATGGTCACAGCAGATGTGATACTAGAAAAAAAAAGCCTCAATCTGTCACGTCCTGTACTTTCCACTGAGAGCTACAGAGCCGTTTGGATCTGGTCGAGTAGCAGATGTGTTTAGAGAAACTGGGCGTATTAATGAGTGGTATCGCTTCATGGTATAAAGGTTACGTGATAAATGATAGCAGATTATAAGGCTTCCACTTCGATCATCTCCAGCAGGTCGGGGGACAATTGGCTCATTCTGATTGTGAGTTGTGTCGGCTTTGAGAATCAAAACAGACCAATGTAACGTGGGCTCACATCTCTTTTGTTTACAGGGCCAGGACTACTCGGAGCAGGACGATGCGACAAAGCAGTGCGATTGAGTATCCGTTGGCCCCCGATACGAGAGGACTGTCACGTTATGGACGGGTCGTACCGCGCAGGACGGCGGCCGCTTTGTGTGCACGCGCCCGAGAAAAATGGAGTGCTGACTTGAATCAAGGACCTTTTTGACCTCCTGCTCACACTAGACCCCGCCAATACGTCAACCACGAAGGAAAGGACCACAACACTCTTAAAGATTTTAGTTATTCGAAGTTTTTTTTTTTTTATGATTTCTTCCTTACTGAAGTTGTTGGATGAGCGTTCGGGATTGCGGTCACGTCGGTCCGAGAAGGTCCACGTAAACATGGCTGTTAAGACTTCCTTCAAACCTTTTGGAACATTCAGACTGTTGGCGCGTGAAAACCTCCAACAACAGAAGCTACCGGCATTCTTGGTCCGTCAAAGTGAAGATTCTCTCTGTCTGCGTCATTTTAAACATTTTCCTTCCCCGTCGCCCCCCTGAAAAAGTCAACAGGTGGGCCGCTTCCTGCATTCCAACACACCGTGTGAACCTCTTTTCTACGGCACCGCGTCCGTCCGTCCGTCCCTGCTACGATGTAGAGTATTTACGTTGAATAAGGCTCAGGGTTGAAGTGTTTTAATCTCTTGTCTCGTGTTTTAAAAGTCGATCCTTTTAATTAGGACACTGTCGCACCATTAACACTCACTCACACTCGTGCACTCCAACAGCAGGTCTGTGCTTCTGCATCAGGCCGCGTGGACTCTGCTTCGTCACGCAAGTCGGGCCGTGTATTTCGCTCACCAGTGTTATGTTGTCGTGTTCGGTTTCTTTTTGAATTTTTTTGTTTTTCTAGAAAAAATAAAGTGTTTTCAGTAACTTATTCACACAACTGACAAAATGGTGTTACTGCTGAAGAGAAGCCGGTTATTAATGTGGTCAGATATACAGGCTACTCCAATCAGTGCAATAGGAACTAATAGGATTAAATATGCTGATATAACTTGTCACACTATAAAAAACACTGGAGCTGGTGAAAACGTGTGTGATATGATTATTGTTGGGCAGCTCAATGCAGTCGGTAATGAGAGCTTCTTGCATGTTTAACTGTACACAAACCAACATGCAACTAAACAGGTCGAGAGGCTGGAGCAGAAAGCCGGGGCCCAAAAATAAAAAGAGGTCCCCATTCATGGTCAGAAGGGAGAACACAGCTGCTCATATACATCATGAAAGGGCGTTTTATATAAGAATAAAAATGTGTTCACTGCATGCAATAAGGCAGACGGGTGGAATATTCAGCTTAGTTGGAACATTGTCATGTTAGTCAATGTGTCACTATGAGCACTGGACTAAGAACTAAAACAGGTGGGACAATAAATGATACATCCAATTGGCTGCGACGCCGTTAGTTAGCTAGTTAATACGTAAAAATACATTTGAAGTATCGTTGCAAATTAATGACTTATCTTGTTATCTCTTGCGACTGGGTTTAACTAAATGACTTTTTGTAATCTTTTCCATGTCGGTCAATGTTCCTTTCAAAACGATTTGTATCTGCGTCAAAAATCTAACAACGTCTGTTGAGATCCAACTCATCCAGTCAGACTTGAATGTTGTAAACGGGGGCAGGTAAGCACATACTTTCGGGTGGAAGGTTATCTCTGCTAACGTGGAGGAAGAACCTCGTCATCAGATCTCCCAAACAACAGTCAGACTTTTAACAAAGGGTCAAATGGCTTTCTTCTTTTAAGCTAGAGTTTGCTGGTTGAATATCGACAGATGTTCCTTGCCAAGGGCCCCAATATGAGCCCAGTGGTTTGGTCCATTTGCACCTGCTGCCGCGTCCTCTGCACACCTTCAACTTCAGGTGCAGCTTACCCAGACGGACGGATAAGCGCCCGCCTCTCCCGACGGGGCTCTTCTATGCCTCACCAAAAATCACCCAACATGTCGGTCAGTGCTTCTGCCGTCTCTTGCGGTGCTGCCGGCGTCCCAGATCCTGGAAGGGGCCGGCGGGGGGGTCCGGTGTCACCAAGCCGTCCGTCATCCTCTGGTAGACCAGGGTGGAGTCGGAGGCCACGGCACACAGCAGCACGGGGAAGCCTCTGTCCAGCGCCTGGCGTATGCTGCGCCGCGCAGAGGAGGAAGCCGTCAAGCCGCCGGTGACATTTTTGCGATTGGTAGAAAATGTGTGTGTGAATCAAAACGGGAGGCGGAGCCGGCGAGCGTCTCCGGTTACCTTTGGTGGCTCAGGGAGCGGTGAGCGGGCAGCGGGAGAACCGTCTGGACGGGCGCTCCTTCCTTCTCCCTCCCTTCCAGCAGAATCACCTGCAGCTCGGGGCTCTTTGCACACGACACCTCTTTCCACCGGCGCACTGCGGAGAATGACGAACGCGCCGTGGTTCACTCCTCACTTCCGTTTCAGTGAAACTAGGATGTTCACAGTCTACTACCGGTACACATCAGAAAGGATTCATGGGCTGCAGCTATTACTTCCCCTCAGACACAAGACAAATCAATAAAAGGACACTTCAATTAATTGGGTTTCCGGTTCTTCATCATAATTATCTGAAGCAGCATTTTGACCACACTGCTGTGGGATAAGACTCACATGAAAATAACCCTTACTAATGTGAAAATAAATATTAAAATATTACCCCCCCTCCCATCCATATATGACTCACATAAAGACACAAACACGAACTGACCCTCGGTAAGATCCATGTACACGAGGAAAGCCGCGTGCACTTGAGCACTGTCCTCAATCTCCAGACTCTTCATTTGTTGATACTAAAAACAAGAAACACACACACCGGTTTGCATCGTTTCTAAGTAGAGGTGTGACGGCATGGCGCGCGCCGCGGGGACTCACAGCTGGATGCTGAAGGATCCAGTTGGGAGACGCGTCGTCCCGGTTTGACGCTTGTGACATTTTATTTTGCTGAATGAGACACTCAAAGTGCTCGTTAGACACGTGCTGGTAACAGGACACGCCGCTGCCGCCGCGAACATGCGAGTTGTGTTTTCGCGTCAGGCGGGGTGCTGCAGTATAAATCGTCCGTGTGGAAAATCTTACTCAGTGCACATGATCACAGTTAGTTCTCGTATATGGAATGTTGAGTCAAATGAGCTCATTTTAATAAAAATAAATAATGGATTATTATTTTATTGTTTTTACTATGTGGGCTTGTACACAAAAAATATTAGGTCAAAAACAGTAAAAAAATAAAAAAGTTTAAAAAGATTGTGTGTTAATTTTTCATATCTTTTTCGGTTTTATTTACATATATTGATATTTGTTTCACTTTACATTTTCATTGCTTATGAAAATGTTATATGTATGTTAACTAACTAAGACAATAAGATGACATTTTTTTCATTTTCTAACATGTTTCTAATTGGTGGAATATGGGAATATACAGAAAGAAAAAAGGTGTTTGGATGTGCTTGTATACAGAACATACTACTTACACCTATGTTAATTATCCCTTTGTGCAACAATCATGATGTTACAAAACCCTTAGGAACATTCTTAATGAATTTCAACCTGTAACAAAGATGAGATAGTTTGAAGATCTAGTTAATATCTTAGATACAGTACAAGTACAACTAATTTATTACAAGTCTCCAATAAAGCATATAGTACCACGTGACATGCTGTTTTAACCTCAGTTAACATCTTTAGACGGATTGATGAGTGATTAAACATATTAAATAGCCTGACATAATCTAGTAGGGCCTCAGCATTGTCTCTAGCACAATAGTGCAATAAATGACTTTCTATCCCTCATATAATCCTGCACGTGTATAATAAAATACCTGCTATTGTATATTGGTATATACAGAATTAGTTAATTTTCCTTTCAAGAAGAACATTTAGGATTCTGTTAGTAATGGACACTCCAATGAGGCTTCTACTGCCACGTGATTATGAGGAAATGTGTTTCCTTGAACTCCTCCCAGCTGCAGGCCGGGGGGTATTTCCAGGCTGCCCCTGTACAGAAACACATATTCAGGGGGTTTGGGCTGCTTTGTCAGCCACTACAACATCTGTTTGGAGGCTCAGCTGAGTGCAGTGAAGCCGGTTTGGCAGTTTGATGAAGAGGGGAAGTGTGAAGAGGTTTGGGCCCGTTGTGCCTCCCTCTAGGAGGGGCAGAAGGAACAGCTGTTTTTGCGCTGCAGGAGGAAGTGGGATTTTAGCCCAGGTGCTGGGCGGTGGAATGGTGGCTATCATGGCAAATGTACGTGGGCCTTAAATGGGACCTCGAATTAGTGACTTTGTGCCTTCTTTCCCCTCATTTTTTCATTTCTTGTTCCTTGCATCCTCATCTTCAACGCATCACAGACTCACGTTTCAGTCCTCATAAAGTTAACGGCCGTTTAAACTCCATTTAATCAAACTCACTTAAAAAGTCCATAAATACACCCGTTTCTCAAGTGCACTTGTGTTTCTAGTTTCTAGTTTCAGTTTCTCATTGTAACTTTTGCTCATTATGACATTCTCTGGCTGATGTACGAATAAGATGGAATTGTTTTAGTGTTTTATTTTAGAATGCAGTGTGATGTGTTTGAACAGTCTTGTACCTGAAAATGTATATATAACTCAATAAACTAAATGATATTTTGTAAGAGTGAGGACATTGTAAGAAGGCACTATTTTGCCATCGCAACAGCAATACCCAAATATCTGTATGAAAATAAACTTTGATTAGGACCAGAAAAAAATACTACAATCCAGCAACCAGTAGAAATAAAGTTCAAAACCAGTGTGAAATGCATTACGGGGAGAAGATGTCACCACGTGCTTAACGTGCAGCCCAAATAACAGATCAACACAAAAATTAACTTAAATGTTTTTATTCTTAAAAAAAGCACAGGTATTTTCATGTCAAGCAAACAATGGAACCATTTTATATTTTAGCACTGTTCCATATCACAAAATGAGTAATGAAAAGAATATTTAAACCACACAATTTTTGGAATAAATTAATAAGCACAAGAAAGGAAGTAAAACATGCTTGTACTTGATGTTGCACAGGAAATATTGAAACCCCAATGCTCAAAATTTAAGACACCTGAGAATATAAATATCAAAATGACTTTTTGCAGCAGTTATTTAGTTCCACAGTTCCTCCTCTTTACCTCAACTAAAGCTTTGACAAGAGGAGCTTTAAAAATTACATTTATGTAAAAATTAGGCATCAATTTAAAAAAAAACATCCATCCGTGTACAATGTGTATATCTGAATTAGTGTGGTGACGAGCGAAAATCATCGCATCTTCGTTCTCAGCAAGGCAGCAAAAATCAAATCCAAAGTGGACAACGCCCGTCTGTCATCAAGCCACATTCAGCGATATGAACACATGTTTTGGACTGAGCTCTGCAGTGAAGTGACAGCTTACAGATGTTTGTTCTTTACATTTGAACACCTCCGCCCGAGCTGAGGCTGCTGCTGGGTTTTAATGTCGGGGGATTGATTTATCCCAGAGATTCATTTGCTACTGACTATTAACAGCTGAAGTCCATCGAGGCAAGAGAAATGAAATCCCGCCGCTGTACAGGTAGTAGTGATGTTGCATATAAAGACAAGATACGAGTTGGGGCACACAGCAGACCACCTCGCGCTGCAAACCCATTTATGAAACCAAAGCTTCGATGGCTATTCAAGACTCTGAAAGACAGTTTGGATGGATTTCATAAAGACACCAACAGAAAAAAAGGAAAAGAATCAGTGAGGTATGTTATTGTGATGTTATAGCCTTGAGACCAGGACAGTCTGTGTGGAGGCCCCCATCTTTTAAAAGAGATGGGGGCCAATATTTGCATTTGAAGATCTGAAAGACAAGTATATTGTGTATGTTCCCTTAGTCCATAGATATGTGGTTACTGCCAGCAGCAACCAAAAACTGTCAACAGATCAAACTTCTGAGAAAAGAAATGTGTACACCCCCCCAAGAGAACATGAGACATCTCATGAACATGAGATTAACAGGGAAATGGTGAAGACACATGAATGAGGAAGACATCTGAAGTCAGAAAGCGGAGGAGACAAAGTTGAATGATCTGTATAGAAAAAGCTAAAATATACACATTCCATAAGAAGAGTTGGTCTGGATGACGACGCCACACTGGGAAGAACCAAACAAACCAAAAACAAACGCCAACTTCTTGTATCACGCTTTCTAAAGCACTTGGACAAAAAGGCGGTTTTACAAACCATTGGTTAGCAACACATTAGGTCCGCGGCGCGTAGAACCATAGCAACAGAGCAAGCCATCACACCATTCAGCCAAATACACCTGTATGAACAAAGTGCCATATTGCATAATGAGTATCTGCGTTGAGCCCCCGTGAGGGCATGTATACCTGTACAAGGATCCAACTGTAAACATGGTGCGTAGTAGTTATGACATAGTTTAAGGCTTTAAGTGTTGTTCACTGAGATAAAAGGAATATGTCCATGCTGTGGACAAACAGTGTGGAAACATGAAAAAAAGATCCTCTATAATCAGATGCCATTGAATAGACTTCAATAGCATTCAGTATTGAGTTGAATGTTAGTTTTCCTGAAATCCACGGCTGATTATTGACTTCTTGGCATATAGGAATATGTAGGTGTCGGTTTGGCTAAAATGGACTGAACTGGTTCTTCACTCATCTGTTTTTATTCAGCATTATAACGCGTCTTTCTTACATTGGATATTTTGACGTGTCAAACGCAGGCTTAACCAATAACAACATTGGCTGTGTCTTTCTGACATGTGCCCGCTGGTTCCATGAAACACCTGCACGGAATAGTCATCATTAACTTATCATTCATAGTAATTGAACCTGTGCTTTCGCTGCTTTGATAAGTCAAAATGCTCAGCTCAATAAATGGAAGCAGAGTAGTATTTTTTGAGCATTTTTGTTTTTTGTCCAACGCCATACGTCAGACTTGTGTTTCTTTTCTCAGCTGAAACTCAAACCATCCCAAAAAAAACAGGAAAAAACCTGGCACACAAGATCCTGTAACGCGCTCTGCCATCTGGCTTCAGACCCTCGATGATTAGGGTGAAGACGTTTTACTTTGAAAGGCAGCAGGCTGAAAGTCAAGCTCCACTTATGTCCTCCTGACCATCTCAAAATAGTTTGACATATAGCGTACACGATCCCCGGTTGTGACGCTAACAAAAGTGTAAATAGAAATACATACACACCGACACTCCGAGGCAATGCCATCCTATCAAGAGTATACCGTTACCCCTAATGTAAGGACTACAATTCACACATTAATTCTGCTGCTAGTAGCATTACCATTGATCTACATTAAAAGCTTAAAGCTTACATACATTTGCATCAGTATTAAACATAATACCAGTGTGCATTATGTGCCAGCATTTCATGAGTGATAAATGATCCAGACTGCAGGATGGCGTGCAAACAGCTCCTATACAGCTGATCCACTTTCTAGCAAAATCATTACTTGATCATCGATCATTAGTACGGATGTAAAGAAAAGATTACATGTTTGACTTAACGATGGTTACCAATGCAATAAAAAAAAATTTAAAAAAGTTATAGGTATGGTCTAAAACTTTATATGGAATGAGCAAAGCTTTAAAAAAAAAAAGAAGAAAAAAAAAAAAACCTAAAAAGGCTTCTACTCACCGCCTCGCTACCTAACATCACAACTGTGTTACTCGTGGTGAATAACCAGTAGTGAAGAGTAAAAAAATCTACAAATCAACCACAAGAAAACAGAGGAACTTGGGCTTATTAAGGTGGAGATTTGTAGCGAAAATGTGAGGAATCCCTGCAAGTTGTGTTTGTGAGATAATGTGGCTATTGTTCGGGTTGGGTATGTCAAAGAAAATCTGCTTAATGATTCCTTTTCAAATCGAATCCTGAGTAATAGAAGAAACCGAAGTATTTTCAAAGTAAACAAATTTTCATTGGGTTTAGGCTGCCATAAACAAGTAATAAATGACAACGTATTTAGCCATTTCTACTTGATTAAAAACTAAAATATTTATATACAAACCATCTTTGTTAAGGCAAGTAGAATGGTTTTACATTTTATTTTTCTTTCTGAGCCATTAAAGCCCAATAATATTGGTGCATTAGTCAATGACGACTACTACTTTGTGGTATATTTAGTTTGACACAAGTTTTGCATCAATGTGATGAAATACCTTGATCTGCCCTGTATTTAATTGAGGATTAACAAAAAAAGAAAAACACATTCTCAGATGTTCTCATCTGGTTGTGTAAACTATAAAATTGTTTGATTTAATTGTCATTTAGGAAATCTAAAATATTCCATTCTGTGGTAAATGTTTTTAAAGACGTTTTACCGTTGCATGTGTTTATTTTCATGCAGTGGTTAAATTTCAGTGCCTCATAACTATCTCGTCTGAAGCGCAGCCGCACTTTCATAAGTGAACTTCGGTCTGTCATATTGTAAACATTATACACGTACTTTGAAACACGTGTAACTGGCGGTTTAAATGAAGTAAGTAGGTCCAAACTTAGTTTTCAGAAAACGATGAGTGGAATCGATAGGCACATTTCTTAACAAATCCCCACCTCTTATGGATTTGGAGCATTCTAGATACCCAACCCCTAGTTATGCTGAGCAGGTAGATAGTGGTCACATGCCTGTGATGGGGGGGATGAGCTGCTCCAACCTCCCATACAGCTCTGTGTGTGTGTGTGTGTGTGTGTGTGTGTGTGTGTGTGTGTGTGTGTGTGTGTGTGTGTGTGTGTGTGTGTGTGTGGAGCAGTTTTTGAGTACAACACAGCAATGCTAAATCCTAGTCGGTAGATCTGATTGTAGCTGGGTAACTTGAAACCACTGTGACCTCCTGTGCTCCTGCTAGGAACCCCCCCCCAACCCAAACCATTCTAGTGGTGCATGACTGGGCTGGGAGAGGAGGACGCGCCTTTGTTGCGGCCCAACATGGAAGGCTTGAAGTCAGGATGGCGACGGGCGTGCTTGATCAGGTGGTCGCTGCGCATGAAGCGCTTGTCGCACAGCGGGCACAGAAAGCGTTTTTCCCCCGTGTGGGTGCGGGTGTGGCGGGCGAGCTCGTCGGAGCGGGCAAACTTCTTTTCACAGTCGGGCCAGGTGCACGGGAAAGGCCGCTCACCTGCAGTGTGGAGAGGAGAGAATCATTCACCACCATGGTATTTATCTATCCGTAACAGTACAATACAAGCATCATTTGGATTATTATTTTTTATGACTCAAAAGCACTTCTCATTTTGTGAAGAACTACTTTAAACGATGCCGGTATCAATAATCTGCTAAATTCAAGAGACGGCACGTGGCAGTTTCCTTAAGACATGCTGGTCCCCGATTTACTAGCACTGAACACACAGAACTTTCATTTTGTTTGATAAAAAGCAACAATCAAATATTAATGTGGGTTTTATTTCACAGTAACTTCATGTTGATTGTCTAATCCTCTTTCTAACAAACGTGTTGTTAAAGTACTACAATTTCTAAACTGAACAAATGTACTCCCAGATTAAATATTAGGTAAGAAATGTGTGACTACTTATATTGAGAAAAAATGGAGCCCATTCCATAACGTTACCAGGGTAAACAAGTCCCACTGCGTGCGTCAGTTTTCTGAAACATGGCGGAGACCAACACTCGGTTAAATAAACGACACTGCATATCTGGCTTTTTAGATTTTGCAGATTAGTCCCGCTAAGCCACTGCTAGCCTTAATCTCCTGCAGGCACCGCGAGCAGAGCCAGGACGAGCGGCCCGGGATGCTCGGTTGCCATTTGCAAGATCACAAAGCCGGGCCACGTTGTTGTCGCAGACTTCTTCTTTGTGGGCGTTCCCCGCCCCCCGTTTCTTTGTGGGCGTTCCCCGCCCCCCGTTTCTTTGCGCCGTTTCCTGCCCTTAATCCGTGTGCGCCTGCTCACTGACCCCGAAACGCGCCGATTTGTTTCCAGTGAGATTTCACATGTTTTCGTCGCTGCGCGGGGTCGTGGAGCTCGGTTTCCCAACGCCTCGGCTCGGCAGTACGTGGAGGCGACACGAGACCGAGACGAGGCGCAGCCCAACAATCGGGAGGGGGTTTCCTCAGCAAAACGTACTAAAAAGACATGGGAACGTGTTCGGACGCGCCCTCGGCACCGCCAACGTTTTATCAATAATGTAACGTTACACATCGCAGATTATAACATTTCAATTGCCACGCGTTAGCAGACCGCATGAAAGGGTGTGTGTGTGTGTGTGGGGGGGTTGATCGGACAAACGGGGGGAGAAAAAAAAAAAACAACCACCAGCCACAACATGGAGCACTTGCTGCTGCGGAGGCCGCCAACGGGGCCAACTTTGCCCGACAATAAACTCTCCGCTGTCGACGTTAAGGTTTCGTCTTACGTTCATTTCATATGCAAATGCGGGCGGGAGGAAGACCGTCGTCACCGATTTTAACGTCCAGCCCAGTTCTTTTGTTAGTTTACTTCTTTGTCAGTGTCTCTGAGGGGAGTTTTTTTTCTGTCTTTTCCCTCTTTGTTTGGCCACGTTATTGTAACAAGTGGGGGAAACATGCTTTTTACACCACCACACGATTAGCTAGTCCACAAAAAAGGCACAAAACACTTCTACCCGTATAACCCCCCCCACCCACCTCCTGATTGTAGCGTTATAACAGCGTGGGCCAACGTGTCCCCGACGTAGCAGCAGTTAGATACGCGGTGTATTATATCCAACGTACGTTAGCTAAGCAGCTACACAACGTGCGAACTGATGACGCCACCGAACTGTTGTGTCTCCGTACCTGTGTGTGTCCGGATGTGTGCCTTCAGGTGGGACGATTTGCCGTAAACTCTGTCGCATCCGTCAAAAGTGCACTGGTGTCGCTTCACTGGGGACCGCGGGGCCCCCACGCCGCCGCCACCTCCCCGTAGCTGCTGGTGCCCGGGGACAGGGGTGGCAGAGGGGGTCATGGTCGGGGTGGTGGGGTCGGACAACGTGGTGTAACCGCTCTCCCCGCCGCATGAGGAGTTGCTGCTCTCCGAGTAGGCCGACATGGGGCGGAACTTGCCGTGTAGGTCGGTGAGGATACCGGCCACCGCCATGATGTTGCCCCCCTCCAGCCTCAGCGCCTCCCGCACTTCCCTGTCCTCGCACGACACCTCGGGCTCCCCGGGGAGCAGGCCCACCGGGGCCGACTGACTGGCGGGGGCGACCGGGGTGGGTCTGTGTAGGACCGGACCGCTGGATATCGACACCAGACACTCGGCAGCGAAGTAATCAGACGAAGCAGTCAACGACATTGTTATCTGTCTTGTTTGGTGGGTGGCTTTATCTTTTAAAAAAACAAAAACGGAAAGAAATAATCCGCCAGGAGGGGCTAACGGTAGTCTGAGCCTGACCTCGTTCTCATCAAACTCGACGAACCGACCGTTTCCCGTTGAGCCTCGTTACAGCCATACAGCGAAAATATGCTGTAAAAGAAAACCAGGTGTTTGTATATATAAAAATAAGACACAAATGAGAATAATATTGCGCTAGCACCGTGCCAATGCCTCCGGGCCAACAAGCGTGTCTCTCACCGTCTGACGGTTCATTGTGTCTGTGCCTCGGAGAAGCCGGTCAAACCTACGCCCCCTGGTCCGGACTAACGATGCGTTCACGCCTGTCGAAGTTAACGGTAGTGAAGTGATGTATGTTCTCACATTTCGAGAACTTTCGCACTAGCGGGGACAATGTATTCCTTCACTACTATTAGTCCAATACCCTATTGATTTATACTTTTAAGTCATTTTCCAATCGAAAAAAACAACAATGAAACTTGAACGGTAAAACTAGTGGGTTTCTACTTGCAGAATTGTACATACTGTGAGTCAGTTTTGTTTGTTTGTTAAGTATAGTAAATTAGATCTGGCATACTTATGGGAATTCAATAAAAACTCAAATATCCACTATCTGCAGTCGGGGGCGAAAGCAAGGTAACAGCAAACGGTTGGAATTCCAATTTTCTTTGTGTTTGTGAACGCAGCGCCAACCAGCAGTACGCACTGTCGCAGCTCGGGCGTGGACCGCGGCGGCGGCGGCTGCATCCTAGAAAGTAGGTGGCAGGCAGCTTGGGTAATGATGGGGGAAGGAGATGGGGTCCGAAGCGGGGGCGTGAGGGGTAATTCAGCTTCAGCCCAACTACGTGGCTGAGCCACGCATGGCTGCTTCATTTAAATGGATGGCAAAAGAGCTGAGCCGGCGTTCTCCCTAAATATCTACTTTTAACTGTATTTTTTTTAATCCCAGGACACAGAGATGCTTGTAGCCAACCGATCTTAACTTGCTTATTTTGTCTTCAGAGAAATCATGTGGTTTATTGAGTGGGATTTAGTGTAGGCGTATAGGAGGAATGCCTGCAAATAACCTCCAAGCTAAACTATTCTATTGTTAAAGATGTACAAAAGAAAAACACGTTGTCAATTATTGTCTTAGGTTTTGTTTTGATTTGGTATTCTATTGTTCTGCATACATCTTCTTGTCTTGTCTATCCCTGCAGATAACTATGTTATTATGCTACTTAACTATTTTTCCTGTAATGAATTGACTTATGCCTTTGTGGCTTATGACTATGTATGTCCACCTCGATGCAGAGGAATAAGAAAACTTTTGTTTATTTTGATAGCCCAGTACTGTGACAAGTGATTGGCCCAGTTAGTTTCTGTAGCGGCCACTTGGAAGGTATTTCCTGATTGGTTGCTGTGAGCACCATGGGTCACTGTGGGAGTCCGCGTACAAGTGTGGTCTTTCAGGGGCCGTGCACAGTGCTTGGTTTTCATCTCGCTTATGTGGACCCTTAGAAGCAGCCAGACCTGTTTTCACTTGCTATGGCTGTGTTCTCGTTACTTTTCATTTGTCTAAATGTTACACTTATTTTTCTGCTGCTAGATGGTGAGTTTTATGGATTTTGTGTTTTTTTCGTGTGTGCTTTTTTTCATTCCTGGTTTGCCTTTCAGTTTTCCATTGAATTTAGAGTTGACCAGTATGGAAGTATAGCATGCATTGTTTGAGAAAAGATTTTTCTTTTTATCATTATGTCTGAGATTTTTTATCCAAATTGTTTTCATGCAGAAGTTGATGGCTTTCAGACCGAACCAAATCTCTGTCATTCAAGTTGTGTTGGTGAGACTCCAGTTTGTGCTTACTGACAATTACTTAAATAACATTATTTTTCATTCAAGAGATTCTATTATTGGCACTAAAAGATCTGCCTGCGTGAGACATTCCCTTTTTTTGATTTTATTGTTATTGTTTTATGTCTGAAGGGTTTCCTACCCTGGACTCGTCCTATCAGCGAGGGGTGAGGTATACTTACAGATATAGCACAACAATTACCACCACCCTTCACGGCTCCAATGCCGGCAGGACTGGACTGGCTTTGGACTGCGTGGTTGATATTGACGTGGTCTCAAAGTGTCACCTAATGATGCAGGTTAGCTTTAATGAAGATATTTTATAAATAAATAAATAAGGTAGGCTGCTAAAAAAAAAAGAAATCAATGATCTATGCACATGCTTGTCCTACAGATTAGGAACCCACAGATAAAGCGTCTTTCTCCTCAGAAAGAACACTCTGTGCAACGCTTCAAGAGCTTGAGGTATTATTATTTTGGTCTCACACAACTTGCTGTGTTTTTATAAAGTATGGTAAACGAATGAATGTTGTTCCACACGCATGCATGTGGCTTCGTCTGTTCTCGGCCTGCGGCAATCAAAGTGCGTGTCCGGGTCGTTTTGGAATGCTGCAAATGTTTTTCCTCTGAATGTGATACTCTGTTCAGATGCTCCGCTTGTCTGTGTTCTCGGGTCTCGGGGGGCTCATCTGGTGTTTTTGTTTCCCAGAGAGTCGCTGGAGAGAACGCGCCTCAAGTTCTCCCTCCAGGGGGGAAAGGTCACGGCCCTCTGTCTCCAGGAGGGGGAGCAGGTGTGGGCCCTGAACATTAAAAGGGCCCTACTGAGCATGCTCCAGACCTCCCGCATGGCCTCCAAACAGGAAATGGAAAAGGAGGTGAGGATTAATGAGGGCAGATGATATATCAAATGTCTGCCCAGCATGCAAGATGTACACACACCGGCTCTTTCCAAATATAACAACTACGTATTCTAATCTGACAAATACTACCTCTACTCCTGCCGCCATTAACACCATCTTTCCTTAATGAAGCGCGTTCACATGGTGATTATCTGACTTTTCTTTAACACCTCTTTCTCAGACCGATGTTTATGGAACGTGCACCAGCAGGTATGAAAGGAGAGGACCTGTTCTGCTGAAGACCAGGGATGTGAAACAGTGCCAAGAGTCCAGGCTGGCAAACTTCTGGCCCCATTCAGTATCATTTACTGAAGATACAGTGAGTTCACCTCTCTTCTGTGTTGGTTGAAAATGTGGCAACTACTGTGGAGACAGAGTTTACATCCTATTCAGTTAAAAATGTGCTCATGGTAGTTGTGTTAAAGGTTGATTACAATGTAGTAGACCAGGTATATTTAAGAGATGATTCTTTTAGAGGTCAAATAAATATTCTAATGACTCAATATTTCTCCAGTTCAATTTAATTATCAGCTCTGTGGAAGTTAGAAACATCAGTTAGACCATCGTCTTAGTTAATAAACATAAACATAACATAGTTGCTGTTGAACTTTGACCCAGGTCTCAGTGTCTCAGCTATGGCCCAGGTGGTTTTTCATGCTAGTAGATTGTTTTTCTTCTGATGTCTGAGTTCAAGAAAAGGGGCAATGACGTTGGTCTTCTTCTTTTAATCTACCAGAGAATAAGAGGATGTCCTTATCAGCCAACATATTACCCAACCACTTTTTAATCTATTTTAGATCAGTCATGTGGTTGAACAGTTGGTTCATGCTTTTTTGATGGAGATTTGCTGTTGTTTTTGCCAGTCAGTGCATACGGAGCTGCACTGTGTTCAGAGGCACGGATCTACAGTGATGGAAGAGGTCAACTGTACTGAAGCCGTGTCCATAGCAACGTGGTCCAGGGCTGCAGGGGTGGTAAAAACCAAAACAGTGTCCACCTTGCTCCTGCTCAGAGCCCAACCGGGGACTCCTTTGGGAGCAGGTAAGGAGACCCCACACCTCAGCAACCGTGCAGTTTTAAAGACAATGACCCTGATGCTTGTTCTCCTCGATGCTCATGCAGATTCTTTAGGCCTCGGCGTGCTGGCTGACCTGCAGTTTGAGGATGAGGGGGCTTCAAGGCCAGGAAAAGCAAGAGCGTCGACACCTCAGCAAGCCAGTGAAACTGTCAGGCTGTTATGTAGCCTCACCTCAGACCCACAGCCGGTAGGACTGAACAGGTTGCAGTCAGCTTTAAACTGTACTTTATGTCATTTTAGTCAAATTAATGTAAATCCCTTACAAGTAACTGTACCCTGCCAGACCAGTGCTGTCTTATTTGTAGTTGTATTTGTGACTTTACATTCCCTTGCGCTTTGCTGTCTATTATTTCCATGTGTCCCATACACAGGAGGCCAATCAAACCTAATATGGCAGCCTTCAGCCTAGTTTATCTATATGATACGTGTCTGAAAGAGGCCATTACAGCCTGATGCACTGATTGATTACTGTGTTGGGATCAGGTCATCAGGTGATGTGCTGAAAAACTGTGGATTCCGTTCTGTTGGAAGCGATTTGTTCTGGTTAATAAGGAAGCGTTTTGAAATACTGGAGGGTAAATTTCCCTTGTTATGAGGCAGAAACGTAAGTTGTTATATGTGTTTGGTATTTCTCCAAGGTATCACAAAAGTTCCTTCAACTGGCTTTCCAGCTGAGAGATCTGACTCCTTCTCAACTCCTGACACTTTGGCAAGAATCGTCTTTCAAATGTCGCAATGACTGGTAAGTATCCCCGAATGTTTTAAAATCTTATGCTCAGTCAGTCAGCTTTTCATCCATGTGTCTACATGATATTTTACGTTGGGTAATACCACACTTCACTTCACAGTACAAAATCTTGTTCTACCAGTAAATCAAATAAATGCCGGAAGGGAAATGCGGGAAAGTGGCAAACCTAGTGAGGAACTACTGTGAGAATCAGATGACGTACAGTAGGGTGTCCCCTCCTTAGTCTCTAGCATCACAGAAAATCCCAAATACACCATCTTCTTGGAGACCGTTCAGACTTGTTAAACACAGGTGTAACTGCTGACAAAACCAACAAAGACCTCCTTTCAGTGAGGTGTGGCAGCACCTCACGTTGTGTGCTCTGCTGCGTTGCATGACTCACTCGCCCAACGAAATGAGATGGAAATTGAAAACCACGTCCTGGCAGTAGGAAGCTACAGCTACCAGTCGGTTAGCCTCGCATTACACCACCACATTATGATGGTGGGACACAGGGTTAAAGCAGAGGTTCATGTTGATGCTGATTAACTGTTGTGGACAGGCAACCCTTGTTGGATGCTTTACCGGCCTGCGGATCTGAGAACTGCATCGTACTGCTGACAGACCTGATGAGGAACAAAGAGCTCGAGGGGGAGCAGACTCGTGCTTTTCTCACCACCCTAGCCCTCCTGCCTCATCCGTCACCAAAGATCCTCCACTCCCTTAACGTAGGAACATCTATGTGACATCAATGATGACCTAAATCTACTACTCTCTGTATTCACTCCTGACACACAAGTCAAATAAATGCCTGAGGTATAGAAGTGTATGAAGCTTCTTCATCCATCTAGACAAGTTAAAAACCCTCCTCACAGCTCACATGAAGGCCTGGAGGCTGAGCGCATACTGAGTCTCTGCTGTCTGTGTTAGGCCCTGCTGGATGTCCCTGAAGTGCGGTCAAAGGCGCTGTTAGCTGGATCATCTCTGGTTTATCAACTGTGCCAAAGGTCTCAAGGCTCTTGTAGTGAACTTCCTCAAGTAAAGTCATTCATAGAGACACTGGGGGAAACCCTGAAGGACGGCTGCAGGGGACATCAAACCACTCAAGTCAAGGTACTTGACACATTAAAAACCGATGCTAAAACTGGTGATTTGAACGGTTTTACACAAACCATGCCTGATATGCATATATTTTGTCAACCCAACAGCTTCTTTATACACTGAAATCAGTGGGAAACGCTGGTCTGTCTGCGCCAACCTTCATTCCTCTGCTTAAGTGCTTCGTGCTCGGCGCCTCCACGGCGCTGCAGCTGAGACTCGCTGCCGTTCAAGCCTTCAGACGCTTCCCCTGCTCAGCTGATGTGAGTTCATTCTGAAACAAATTCATTTAAATGGGGACATCATGAGTACAAACGCAATTTGTCAGTGCAAGTGAAGATACGTCTGGGTATGAACAAAGACGACAGTTTTGTGTGCTGCGTAAACCATAAAACAGACACTATTAGTTTTATTTTTTTAACTTTAAAGCAGAAAAACATTTTCCTGTAGAAACCCAAAATAGAAGTATATGGAATTACCACAACACCGGTCCCGGATCTTTTTATTGATTATCAGCCAACTTTCACTTCTAAAACGAGGTTTGTCACTCAAATGTAAATACGATAAGCCTTCATATCACAGAGGCTGACTTTCTAATTGATTCATGATGACTTACGGTGGAGGTGAAGAGGTGATCGTCGCTCTAACATCAGTGACTGACACGAGCTTCCTTCCTTCAGAGATCCGTGCTGTTGCAGCTGTACCGGTCGTCCCAGGAGGATCCCGAGGTCAGAATCGCTGCATACCAGCAGCTCATGCGCTGCTCCGATCGGAACGTGTTTGAAGTGGTGAAGATGACGCTGAGGAACGAGACATCCACACAAGGTCTGGTGGAAACCAATGTATTGTGTAGAGGGGATGCTAATAGCAGCTTCTACCAGCAAAAACGTTTATCACATTTCTGCTTTTATATATTTTTTTATTGCAGAATGTTTGACATGCTGTATATTTTCTGTTGTTTATATGTTGTGCTGCTGTACCAAACAACTTAAAATGTGCTTCTTCATAGAAAATTGATCATTCACGTCACAGGTTTAGACCAATTTAAATCTTCTATGTTTGTCCAAATAACCCTACAATTATTTGTAACATTTTTCTGTAAGTATTAAAAGGATTTACTTCAAATAATTGAAACACAATTATCAACTCTGCATTCATGGCAAAAGATAAATAACAGAGAACAACTTGTATAGATGTTGAGTGTCCGATCTACCAAAGCACTAATACAGTATTGTGTGCCCCAAAGGACCATTATTGGGTTGCTTATTTTCCTAACTTAAGAAAATAATTGATCAAATTACAATGAGGTGTTCATTTTCCTCATTTACATAAATGATTGATCAAATTTATTCGAGTTTCTCCTGCAGTGTTGGAGAATCACGCAGCATTCGGTCTCTCAAACTCCATAACTAAGATTTATCTTGCTTGCAAAATCCTTTATCCTTCTCGTATTGCAATATAGTCTGGGCAAGTATATTTATTACCATACGTTTGCAACCCATTGAAATGTATCTCTGAGCTGCTCTGCTGTAGTACACAATGAGGAGATTATCAGCTTCATCTTCTCCTCTGCCTCTGCAGTGGGATCATATGTGTGGAGTCACCTGACCAATGTCCTGAGGAGCGAGGACCCCATGAAGCAGAGCCTAATCAATTCCCTGCCTGACGACATTATCAGCAGAGACTTTGAAGCAGAGTTTTTGAAATACTCTTCCTATTCAGACCACACAGTTTCATCAGGTAACGACGGCTTCACCGACAAATTGGACAAATTGGACTCTGTTACATTTTGTCCTGCTTCTTTGTTTGTTTCAGGCATGGGAATCACAAATGTGGAGACATCTTTGGTTTTCTCTCCCAAATCATTTCTTCCAAGATCCGCCTCTGCCAGCCTGACTCTATATTTTCATGGCAGAGCCCACAACCTTCTGGAGGTGACTTTGGAATCCATCAGATTCCCGTATTTGTTTGTATTTAGAGTCTTACAATATTCTGTTTAACTTTGTTTCCTGACTAAGGTCGACCTCCACGTTGAAAACGCTGAACCACTTTTGAAGAAAGTTTTCGGTCACCAGAACTTCAACTCCGACGCAGAGTCTGTGACTCAAAGTGAAAAGACGCAGCCTAAAGCGACAAGGGCCAGAAGGCAAACAGAGGACGACCACAGAGCAGAAAAAGAAAAGTGTTTATCCGGCACCAGCAGTTACCTGAGCCAGGCGAGGGCCATGGTGAGGGGCCTTGTGATTGTTGTAAAACAATCATCTCTGCTGGGGGGGCCCGCAGCATTGTGACGTGGATCAGCAGCCATTTGTGTTGCATTTCAGATATTTGACTTTTGGTCAGTGATGCTATGTTGACAATGGATTATTATTAAACAGCCCGAAACTCAAATGATGTGTCAATTGACTTATAGGTTCAAATGTCACCGTGAAACCAGCATTTGAAGCAACAAAGGGTAAAGAGAGAAATAAATAAAATCCCTGAATACAGATAACAAGAAGGACAAAGGCTTAGATAAAGAAATACGATTTACAATACAATTTGTATTCCAAATGATTTTTCTCCTATCAAAAGATAGATAAGCATATTATTAAGAGGATCATAGGCAAGACAGAATGTGGGATTCTTGTGTAGTTATTTATTTCTGATCCTGTTCAGTAAAATGAAAATGCCCCACTACAACAATTCACATGTACAATATTCCTTTATACTCTTCGGTTTAGATTTATATGGATAAAAGATGCACATGGGAAAATAGCAACATATAATGATTTTATTAATTAATAAAATAAAGGGTTTAGATTGCAGGGTAAAGATTTCTTGTTTTGCATTGAGTGAAGTTCATAACGACATGTTTTGTCTTTTGCAGTTGTTTGGGAGGAGGAGGAAAGAGGAGAACGGGCCCACCTGTTGGGTCGGCGTGAAGGTGTTCGGCAATGAGCTCAGCGTGTTCACGTGTGACGATCTCTACGCTCAGATCGACCAGCTGTCCCTGAGCGTGGCGGGACTGGCTGTGAAACTGCTCAAGGTACGCCGGCGGTAGAATGTTCTCGCCGGTCTCTTCTCTGGCGGTTTTCCCTTTCGTTTTTCCAGTCTGCCTTCTCTCCTCTTTGTCCTCCAGGGTCAGGAGGTTCAGCTGGACCACAGGGCCGCGCTGATGACAGACGAGCTGGTCTTGCCCTCTCTGTCTGGTTTGCCCGTCAAACTGAGCATCAACACCACCTCCCTCCTGTCGCTGCGTCTGAAGGGCAACTTCAACTACAGGGACACGTCTCACTTCTCCCTGACTGGATACATCAAACCCAGGTGCTTCCATATTACGGGGGGGATAGAAGCCTGACCTTTGGTTTTCAACCTGCGCCCACAGGAGTGTAACTGCTTTCTTCATTCGTCTCAGTGCCTACGTGGGGCTGTCCGCCGGGATGGGGGTGGACGGTGCTTTGGGTCAAGCTGCAGTGCTGTGGGTGTCTGAGCTGAAGAGCTCCACTAGTCTGGATGGCGGCATCCAGATGCAGGAGGGGCAGGACGTCAGGGTGACACTTAACACACCGGAGGATGTAATGGACATCGTCTCTCTAAGGTTTCTGAGGGCATTTATTCCGGGGATTTTGGGATTATATGTATGGTTTCCTAAAGAGCATTTGTTTGTGTCCACCAGCTCCAATGTGTTTCAGATCAGTGGAGACCACCGAGAAGAGATAAAGGGCCCCAAGAGTCAAGTTCAGAAGACCACCTGCACACCAAAAACTTGTAAGTCCCCCAACACTGTGTCTATGGCATGATAGATGACACACAGAAGTGGCTTTGTCCATTCTCTTCCGTCCTTACACAGTTGGCCATAATTGTTCAATTAGTCCGCTGACCTCCTTCAATTGTCACATGACACTGGTACGTTTCCTATCAATCCCTGACGTCTGTCTGTTTCCCCACAGTGTCCAAGATGGTCGGCTGGCAGCTGTGCTCCAATGCCTCGTACCCATCACCTGCCACAGGTTTTTCCCTTCCTGCCCCTGGACCGGTCCACCTCTCCCTCAGGCTGCTGAAGCTGGACAGAGGCCTCCATTACTACCTGCTGGAGGCCGCTTACTCGCTGCTCCCTGCGGTGAGAAGATCTTCAGATCAGTTCCATCTTTGAGAGGATGGATCTTTTTTTCTGCGTGAGATCTCTTCATCTACCCTCACAGTAACTAACGCACAACGCTGGTCCAACTTGTGTTTCAGAGGGGCAGCTGGCTCCCCGAAGAGGCCTCCATCCACCTCCTCCTGGCCACACCCCAGTCCTCCATTCCCAGGGACATGTCTGTGGACCTCACCTTCAACCCTCGCAGACTGTTGTTGAGGATCACCCATCCGCTGAAAATCATCCAAATACAGGGTTGGTCACACACGAACACCATAATAAAAACCCATCTGTCCAGGGTATATTCTCATGCTGTGTTGTTTTCTCAGGGCAACTTGAGCAGGAGAGGAACATAAAGTCGGGAAAGCTGGAGCTGTTGATTGATGGGTCTCATTATTATGTCATGGTAGGCATTGTGATTTATTATATTAGAATTAAACTGCAGGAAAGATTTGACCTTAAAATGATTTTCTTGGTGTTGTCATCAGGGTTTGGTTGACACTCAGACGCTCCTGTCAGAGCAGAGAACGCGTTTTCATCTTGAAGCCAAAGTGGCCGCTGATGGACATCCCATGATCCTCTCTGCTAATGTCACTCGTGGACTGGGCAGGAAGACCCGGTTCTCCGCCACTGTGAAGAACGTGTTCAGAGAAACCGCATCAATGTCAGGTAACTACCGCGGCCAAACAGCATATATGTATTACCTCGAAAAAGGTTTTTATATTTAATATTCACATTTCACAAATTGTCTTGCTGTGTTCAGTGGCCCTGGAGCGCAGACGGGACGGCAGCAGCAGGCAGTACTCTGCGGAGGCCGAGATCCTGATACCCGATGTGGTCGGCACCAGGATGCTGGGACTGATGGAACGGAAAGGCCCCCTGTGGAGCTCCGCTCTCAGGCTCAAATACGGTCTAGGAGGTGAGTCGCTGAACACGTGTTTGGTGATTGGACAATTACATCACTCTAAATTTTGGGGGGATTTATGCCCAGTATATCCCCCAGTTCCTGTTTATAACAAAGATATCAAACTATTTCCCAGTAAATGCTTTGACAAAGTCATATTTGGTTCAAACATATTTTGCCACATGAGTTGGCCCTGATCGTTGAGACCTTCTACAGGTGATGCCCGGCACCTGCGACAGGAGTGTTTTATGTCTCAGAGACTGAAGAGTGAGAGAGACTCAAACCTAACCCACATCCTAAGAGCAGATCATGAATTCTACTGCTCCAACACAGGTCCTATCAACCACAAGGTACCCGGATACATGTCGATCTGTCTCAATGTAATACTTTGGTTCTGTCCCACCTGGTTACCAGTTTATGAGACTAATTCCTTCCTGGACGCGTGAAACAGGGGACATGACTGCTTTTTTGTGCGTCTGCAGATCCAACTTAAGCACGAGGAAAGCCGCGAACACATTCAATCATCCCTGGACATGAGCTACGGCAAACACTGGGATGAGATCAACAATAAGCGTACAATTCTATTAAGTCAGTCATTCAGAAACCAATCCACACAAAATCACACCAGCTACACGCTGGAGGTAAAAAGACCTCTGTGGGGGCTTGAACCACTTCTTTCTTTTTTTTAATTAAACCAACACAAATATACATATTAGAAATGCCTAATGTGGCATGATACACACGTTGAAGCTAATTGAAATGCAAATATTTCGTGTCATTATATTTTAGTTCAGTCTCCAAGTGCCAGAGAAGAATTTAAACTACAGGACTCAGCTTCTGCACTCGCACGTGAGACAAGTCTGGTCTGAGAGCAGCACTCACCTCAAAATCCACTACAACAACGTGATGCCACTGGTGGCTGGGTTACACTGGAAAAGACCCCCAAAAAACGCTCCGCAGAAACAATGGGAAGGTAAAAGGACTCATAAAAGTCTCTCCAGTCTGCAACGGTGGTGAGGCGTAAGTCAGCATGACGTCTCTCTGATCATCGTCCACAGGTTCTTTTAACGTGGACACACCGTGGCTGTACGTCTATACGGCCCACAAACTGAGCCAGCACCAACGCCACACGCTCCAGCTCACCTCAGAGCTCACAGCCAACAGGTGGCTGGTCATCCGTAACCTCAGGCTGGAGGGTTCCTACAGGGACAGGGGCCGGCAGAGGGAGGCCCGGCTAGAGCTCTCCACGCAAGCTGTCACCTACATCCAAGTAAGGGAGGGGAGACCGCTCGAATCCAAGAATCCAAATGGTTTCTTGTGCATTGCTCGCTTCTCCTCCAACTCCTACGTTGTCCCTCCCCACAGGCAGCAGGGTGGGGCCTAGTGGGGAAGCAAAGTGTGAAGGCCTCCGGCTCCTTGAGGTCCTTGTGGACTCCACCCTTGAGAGGAGACGTCTCTCTGGAGACCTCCAAGTTCAGCCAGACGCTGCAGATGGCCTCCACTTATGGCAAGCACAACGTCAGCCTCACTGCGGCCCTCAACACTTCGGATAAGGTGGATTGGCGACGCTGGGTGGCGTAGAATGGGTTTGTTAAGTTAAACTCCTCATGTAATTACTTTCCACTAACTTCTTTAAGAATTTGAAAAGGAGGCGAGCAATACTGAAGGTGACCTTCTCCAAGCCAAAGAGTCCGGCAACAGAACTGCAGTTTGAGGGACGAGTAGAGGAGCTGAGGAAGGACAAGAAGATGTATCAGAAAACAGCAATGCTCCAGCTCAGGTCTGTGCCCCAATCCCTTAGAATCCCTTAGAATGAATCCATTGATTTATTTTTACAGCGGTTGCAAATGTATTTATACAAACAATTACTCCCACGATGCACAGACAGCCCTTCCCGACCTTTCCCCAGACTCTGCTCCTGCAGGAGACTTTTACCGTCGACCTCGTCCAAGGCCTTTACATCCTGGAGTCCAAAGGTGGTCTCCATGGCAACAGAGAGGTCATCCACACCCTCACTCTTGGCTACCAACCACCGAGCCCTTTTGTAAGTGTAGCACAAGTGGATTTATTGATTCAACGCATTATGCTTAGCAGTATTAATTAGTGTTTTGAGACATTTCGTTTTTCCGTGGCTCTCCTGCACGTGTAGGTTTGTTCTGCGCTTGTCCATCCTTTCAGCTCTGACACTGTTCCGTCAGACTCAGAAGCCTGTGTGGTGATAACAAGCAACCAGGTAAACCGCCAGACTTATTTAACATTTCAGGAGGAGTATGCATATAACTTTACAAAACTTGAGGTTGATATCAACATTTGTGAATTCCATACACCATATGTTCTAAGTATCACACATTCCTTCTCAGACCCAGAAAGACATTCAGGGGAGGTTGCGCGTTGGCAGCAAGGAGAAGCTGACTTTCTTCGGACGAGTTCAGTTAAACCCTCTAAACTCAAGTCGCCAAGTGATAACAGTCAAAGCCAACTTCAGCCACCAGCTCCAGGTAAATGGGCCTCAACATTTTACCAACTACCCAGTTGCAAAGTGTTTCTATGTTGTTTGGTGATTGCAGTTTGCTTTGTAACATGTTAACAGCATAGAGTGTAGTTTACAGTAGGAAAGGCAAAACTTGTGACCAGTTTGCTTATTTTGATGTTACAGCTGCAGTTCCCTTACTCCGCTATAGTGGAGGGAAACGTGTCCTGGAACCCCAAAAACAACAGCGACTTTGATTATCAGGCCAAAGGGAAACTGAGAATAGAGCGTCAGGAAAGCCAAGTGAGTAGAAGCGAATCAACAACTTAATTGTTGCTTACTTTGTCCACAGAATTTCTGGTGAACGTGTGCTGTTTTTTTTTTGTTATGTATTAGCTTTCTGTGCAACTAAATGGCACTTCAGGAAGAATTGGACTTTATTCCGCTCTCAGCCACCCTTTCAAATCAAAGATTCCCAAAACATTAGAGGTGGGTAACTTCAATGTTTTGTCAAGGTGTGTCATTCACTGGAACCAAATTAGTTTTTCTCAATTTAGTTAATGGAAACAAATTACAAAAGAAAAAAGGTGTCTGCCTTTTATCCTTTGAGGTATCGTCTGATTTTCATGTTTCTCGTGTTCAGGCAAAGGCCACTGCAGACCTGTTTGCAGCGGCTGGTACAGGAAGTAGCTCAGTACATGTGAGGGCCGATGGGAAGGACGCGGTGAAGCTAAACGCCCAGATATCACACACCTTCCAGGGGGGAGCCAGAGCTGTGGGGCTGAAGGTGAACGTATCCCAGAGTCTGCTGCCCTCTGCCACTGACATGCATGTAAACATGGCCGCCAACGTGTCATCAGACAGGTCTGTGCATCCGCCTCTATTTCATCACACCATCTATGGAATGCCGTTTTAGTCAAAATTAAATAAATTAATAAATACGTAAATACATGAAATATGCATTTGAAATACATCATGAAATAAATAAATGAGGCAATAAATACATAAATATTAAATACATTTAATTATTTCATGGTACTTTTATTTCATAATGCCACTTTTCATTTCCAGAGTCTTATTTCATAATGCAACTTTTCATTTCCAGAGTCTTTTATTTCATAATGCCACTTTTCATTTCCAGTCTTTTATTTCATAATGCCGTTTTTAATTTCCAGAGACTTATTTCATAATGCCGTTTTACATTTCACGTTCTTATATGCAAATCAGGAGCGTGGCTACATCCAACGTTCAGAACAGACAACAGAGCCGTGTGCAAAAGAACGCTGGCTAAGGGACGTGAGTGTTGATATAATGGAAGACATCGGTGGGCTCCGAGGTAGCATGCTAGCATTAGCAGATCAAATCGATCATGGGTTTTCTGCAGATACGATTTTGACACATATTGAGGGTTTTTTGTACGTACTAGGGCGGATAAGTGCTCTTCAAGATGTATACATAGACGACGAAGTTTTAAATTGTTTAAGACTGATTGAGCACCGCGTGCGTGTGGAAGAGTCCAAGTTGAAGAAGTTAACATTAGCGCTGGTACTGCAAGCACAGGTGCTGGACGCCCGCCTCTGGATATTCCTGGCGACAAGCTGGCTAACTTTGTGTTGTCCGGTCTATCAACCCGAGAAATCCAATATCCAGAGGCGGGCGTCCAGCACCTGTGCTTGCAGTACCAGCGCTAATCTCACGTCCCTTAGCCAGCCTTCTTTTGCACACGGCTCTGTTGTCTGTTCTGAATGTTAGATGTAGCCACGCCCCCTGATTTGCATATAAGAACGTGAAATGTAAAACGGCATTATGAAATAAGTCTCTGGAAATGAAAAACGGCATTATGAAATAAGTCTCTGGAAATGAAAAACGGCATTATGAAATAAAAGACTCTCAATAATTAAATGTATTTAATATTTATGTATTTATTGCCTCATTTATTTATTTCATGATGTATTTCAAATGCATATTTCATGGATTTACGTATTTATTCCTTTATTTAATTTTGACTAAAACGGCATTCCATAACCATCTACATGCATCATGCTGTCTTTATCGGATATACAAGGAACATATATGTTGTATATTTACCACATATACGTTCCTTGGTTACATACAGTGCTCTGTCTCTGTCTCCCCCCAGTGTGTCTCTACAGGGCTCCTACGCACATGGGGGTGAGGCATTGCTGGTTCATCTCAGAGGGTCTCTAAAAAACACCCGTGGTCTCCAGCTGGCTGTGTCCGGGGACCTGAGGCAGTCCATGGCCAATCTCGCTGCTTTGCCTCCGGTCCTGGGGCTGGACGGGGTGCTGGGACAGTCTGACACCCTCATCGAAGGTAGACGTTGTTGACGTCTATTTGGATGAAACACTTCCGGATTTAGAAAGAATACTTTTTATTACTTAATATTGTTTCAGGGCAGCTGAGAGTTAGAGTGATGGAGACCTCGTACAGAGTGGAGCTGAGACATCAGGAGGCCCCCGGAGAGGCTTCGGACAGGGAGGAGCAGGAGAGCACGGCGGGAAAGACGTCCCATGTAGCCCGTGATTGGCTGTGTGTTTGGTTAGGGGCGGAGCATTTGTGCGTGAACGCGAGCCGACGGCTGGCGGACAGAGGGAGGGGCGAGGTCAACACCAGCCTATCTCATTCCCTCCGCCTCCTCAATGCGACAGGCAAGTGATCGCAACAATGGCTCCCTGATAGGATGTTGTGATCATATTACTCAGCTGTGATATAATCATAACACATTGAGGCCTGCGAGGAGCTATTGCTAATACGGTCAAGAAGCATTGCAATATGAAAGTTTTGAAACACATTTTGATCAGAATTTATTTTTTATCAATAAATAACACCACACCAAAATAGGTTATCTCGTTGCTATGTAACATATACTAGCGCTACCTTCTTTTCATCACAGGCGAGCATTGATTTTCCCCGATTTGACTCTTATGTGTAGATTGCTTTTCATTGAGCAAACACTTTTCAGCGTTAGTTGGAGTGCTTTTTATAGACGCTTCTTCTAGGCTTGTCTTTTTTGTGTGTTGCCATAATCCTATTTCGCTGTTACGTCCCAACCTGTTTTAAAACTATATTGTTCCCTTGCAGTTGTGTTCACAAGACAGCAGCAGTTGTGTGCCTCTGACACACGGTTATAGTGAAAGGCATAAGACATCATAGCAGTGGTTTGAGGGTATTATAACACAGCTATAAACCAATGAGACCGCCCGATTCGTGGTACAAAGCGACACATAACATATTTTATAATCCAAACATTGGAATCCCTCCCGGATGCAGGAATACATGCCAGCAGCAGTGCACAGCTCCGGTGGGCCCAGGAGGGCGAACGACTCTCGGTCCTTGCAGAACTGCAGGCTGGACCGGAACGTCTGAAAGCTGAGTTTGGTGGAGGCAAGACACACCTTGTTCCCCTCCGATGGGAGTATTTCTCCAGGCTTCAGAATCAAGTACAGGCCCTGCTGAAAAGCGGTGTGTCAAGCTCCATAGAAGCCAAAGCACATTGCCAGGTGTTCATTCTCTATTGACGACCTTAGAAGCATCAATGCGTCATCTTTCTCACAATATGTTGACGTGCTCATATTTTTCTTCCCGCTCTCAGTTAGAAGCAGGCAGTCTGGACACGAGCCTGGTTCTTCACCTGGAAGACGAGAGAATGGTGGACATCCTTTTTAACTTTGGCTCCAAAAACCGCACAGCTATAATAGTGGTGTCTCTATGGCAACAGATACAGCAGCTCGAGGGAGTCATACCCACATCTTTACAGGTACATCTTTGAATAACTGTTTTTATTCATCTCATATTCAACGGAATATTGTGAGATTGTAACAAATTGTATACAGATAATTGGCTGTATATGCCTGTGTTTTGTTACCAGGTGGAAAGCTCAATTTCCTCTAATTCCAAGGTGAAAAGTCTCTGGGTGTGAAAACTCGAGCAACATTTGTAGTCAATGGAACAACTTATTGTTAACTCATCACATTTCGTATTGTTGCCTTCGTCAGGGTCCATGAGGTCTATTTTATGCTATTTTATATTCCTTCAAAGAAGTTGAACCACTAATCCAGCCCATCATTATCAGTAGTAAGAATGAAACAGAAGTTTCCTCTCTAAAACTCAGTTATTCCTCAGACATTCTTACGTCTCCTTCTTCAGTTTCCTCTTTGAAAAACAAACTTTTCCAACAGGGGTTTTGTTTTCACAGATGAACTGCACAGCGGAGGCCACCGCAGACCGACTCTCAACCCAGTGTTATGGAAATGTGGCAGGTCGCCCTGTGGAGGTACGAATGTTTCGCCCCCATAGACCACACAGCCGGCTCTGCTACGGCCTGTCGCTCGCTCACTCCAGTCTCGGTGCTCAAGCTAAAGGCTGTTACGGTTCCAGTAGTCAGAAGGAGCTCGTAGCGAACCTCACTCATTCACCCGTGCTACTGCTGACGTATCTGGGCGTGCCCACTAAATCTAGTCTCAGGCTTCTGCTCCGGCCTCGGGTCTCAGAGGTGGGCCCTGAGCATTGGGTCGATTGTAGACCCCTGTAGGCACCTCCCTTTCTGGAAGTGCTCGGGTCTCTCACAACGCTCGCTCCGCTCTAATCAACCTGTCTGCTGCCTGGGAGCCCTCTTCCTCCCCGAGGGGCGTGCTTCAACAAAACATGGTCACCGCTGGCGAACCAGGGGAGCTCACTGTTGGCATGACAACCGCCGCCAGACGAGCTGAATTGAAGCTGGAAAGTGATCTGTGCTCCGTGCTTCTCCTGGCAAACCAACACAGGGGAGGAGGGGACAGGAGGACCCGTTGGAACTTTTTTGTCCACCAATGCTGTGTCTTCCTGAAGGTTAGGAAGGAAACAAGGGAACATGCTAGGGAACTTCAAAGCAAAAGAAACATCTTCACCTTGTAGATGACTCTTTCAATTACAGCACAAGTTGCATGGACATCCTCAGTACCAATAACTACCAACGAGATCATGGCTGACCCACGCATGGATTTGAGACCTGGCTGTTTCAACAACGTCCGTCTATGTCCTCCACTTTGGTCTAGTGTCAACAGTCACATTCCCCAAAAATGAAATAGTAAATTCACTAATAAACCGCCTTTCACACTGTAAAAATTAGTATAAAATGTCGTGCAACGAATCCTTTCAGCAATGGTCTCGTTTCCTTATTCCAGTTCATTTTGGTTCAATATAATTATGAACGATGGTAGTAGCACTGTGCAGAAGAAAAGTCCCAGTTCTAATCTTTTCTTCTAAATTCTTCCCTTACAGACTCTCCTGCCGTCGCAGACTTCAGCCAACATCACCATCGCCCGTTCTGGCTGCTCCACTAGTCTCAGAACCATTCTCCTGACTGAGGGGGAACAGAAAGGCCGCCTCAGTGTGCATTTAACCTGCCATCCCCACCTTGGTCTGAAAGCATCTGTGCAGCACTCTGTAGAGGCAGTACAGATGCTGGGATTTCCTGCCCATGCAGCGTTACTCCTGAATGTTTCAACTGCACATCTGCCTGGTGTGGAGGTGGGCCTAGAGCTGGGGCGTTGTTCTTTTAGGGGTAATTTGGGGGAAACGGATGCTTCAAACATGGAGGAGCAGTCGTCTTATGCCGTGAACTTGACGAACGACTGTCCCGCTCTACAGGTCAGATAATCAACCAATTTTATTCGATATAGCTTGCGGAAACTTGAAGATGCATGTTGTGAATATTACTCTTACGTCTGACTGTGACGATACATTGTTTCTTCTTTTATCACAGTTGGAAGAACTGGGGTTTCCTAGTGAGTCACACATGTTCATATTAACAACGTTTCCTTTGAAATACAGTTTCCAGCTCCTTAGAGGGTCAAGCCACGGCTCATTTGTTACAGCAAGCAGAGCAGAACGCCACAACGGATGATACAGCTGCTAGATCACTATCACCTCTATTTGACTCTCCTACCACTAATATGCAATGCCGTCTCTAAACATAGAATAACATCCTCCACATATGTGTGCCACAGGGAACGCTCCTCCCGGCGTCGCTGGCGCTGCAGGGCCTCCTGTCAGTCGCACCCTGCCAGCGTACTTTGACCTCCTCTCTGAGGGCCGGCAGCCAGGACGTCTCCCTGGAGCTGAGTCAATCCTGCAGTCCTCCGGGTTTCTCCGGGACGCTCGCACACTCCTTCGTTGGTCTGAGGAGTCGAGGTGTGCCCCGGATGATCACTGCAGAGGCCACTGCTCCCCGTGGCCCTGAGCAAGCTGGGTCCCTGTTCATTAAGGCCGGGTCATGTTACGTCCGGGCCAATAGAGACGTAAAGACCAAGGGAAGGACACACTGGCTCTGGGCTCTGGAGTCAAAGTGCCCGATGTTACAGGTGCTGTGGGTTTTTATGGACTAAAGCGTAAAGTTTAATTTTATCCAACATTCCACCCCCTAATTTATTTGGGAATTCTGTAGTGATTCTGTAGTGTCTGCCAGTCAACTTGGTGTGTTAGTTTTCATTTAACAGTTACAGGTCTGAATGTAATCTAGCTCCTGTTTCAGACATTTTTGATTGCCTAAGCTCAACACTACAGGAGACCCTTTTCCCCACAGACATTCAGACCTGTCAGGAGAAGCACAGTCTGTGATGTTCCTGCAAAATCCAAATGCATATAATTGTGATTTGGAGGAAGAATAACCCTCCCCAGCCAGGTTTTGAGTGAGATATATTCTTTTTTTTGCTCTAATGACATTGACGTTCTCTCCTTGCTAGGCCCATTTGAACGGCTCAGTTTGGCAGGACCCCCTCGGTGTCTGGACTGCGACGGTGGACACCAATCTGGGGGGCAAAATGGCTTTCCTGAGGCTAAATGCAAGTGCCCGGCCGGAGCTCAGTGTGGAGGGCGAGCTCATTCACAACCTTCTCCACCATTTACCAGAGCACAGCAGACTGAAAGTCACCTGTAGGGGCGGAGAACATCGATATGAGACTGAAGCTGTCATTCAGATGGAGGAGTGCACTGTTGGAGCCAGGGCAGCGCTGATGTCACAACCAGGCCTGCAGGGGTCGCTGGTGTATCACAACAACTGTACAGTGATTCGGGTAGAGTGAACGCACCACATGATCGTAGGCCTATTTAAGCTACAATGACTTCACCGTATCACTTACTAATCATGTTTGCAGGGATGGGGTGGTCCGGACAAGATGGAGTCCTGTGTGTCGTTGGCTGTCTCACCCACTCATGCAGCATCTCAGGTCTCCATGGTGATGGACGAAACAGAGTTAAAGGCTTCAGTGGCCCTTGGGAAAACTAAGGTGTGAAAATACATGAAAGTATTTGTGATTTAATTATTAGCCTTCAAAAAACACTTGTGATACAAAGATTCTGACACGGGATGTGAAGCCATCCATCACAGTTCAATGCCTTTGTTTCCCCAGGATAAAAACGAAGCATTGCTTAATCTAAACCACTCTGTGCCCCTGTTGGAAAAGCTGGGTCTCCCTGTTAATGTTGCGGTAACAATGAATTCTGGGAGCCATGGCAACGGCTCATACTATTATCTAGTACACAGCAATGCAGGAAACCAAAAGGTAGGACTCTATGAAACCGTCTTTTGGGATTTTTGAGGTCTCACGACCCTGAAGTTTAGCCATAACGATCTACTGTATTTGAACTCATATCCACAGCAAACTGCCAGTGCATGTAGGAACAGCTGCTGCAGTCAATACCCTGAATGTTTTACAGATAACTCAAGAGATTTCAGTTTCCAAGATGTCTGAAACGGTCAGAGTGAAGAGTCATTTTAGACACACAGTGAACTTTCTGGAGAAACTCGGAGTCCCTGCAAACAACAGCATCCAGGTTAGAAACTCAACCCCGACCACCACGAGCTGACAGTTAATGGGCTTTTTGAAACGTCTCTCAGAACGAAGGTGTACCATCCCTCAGGTGGTTGGAATCACAATGACTGTTTGTGCAGGTAGAGCTCGGCTCCGTTGGCCGGACGACCTTGACGATACAGTTTGGAGGACAGCAGGCAGGGATGAGCCTTGAGATGAAATGTCTCCCAATTACCAAAGAGGTAAGAGGAAGCATGTGGCACAGCTGGTCGTGGCTACAGGACCGAGGACTGCCAATTAATATAGAGGTAACATTTTACATTTGGGCTTTTTAATGTATTTTTATATTGTATATTTGTATCTGTATAATTGGGGGGAAAAAACAAATCCCTCTCCCCTTATTTTCTTCTCAAAGGGCCTGTGTTCCATCCAGGGAGTGTTCTCTGAACATCAGTCTCGTGTTGAGCTCACTGTGGACGGACACAATCTGCTCTCCTCCGGTTTGAATGTGTCTTTGGCCGGCGGGCGTCTCAGCCTGCTGTTGTCCTACTTTCCACCAGCTTCCAATCAATCCGGGATGCAGCAACGCCTGGACAGTTCCCTGACGGCTCACTTCAAAGGTCTGATGGCATTGACAATTGGATTTCATATTTGGGTTTTAATATTAATTTTTTGATATCATAATTATTGTACGTCTTTATTTTCCCTCTATTCATTCGACTGCAGAGTCAAAGTCTGATCAGCTCAGTTGACTTGACGAGCATAAACTTGAAGTGAATATTTCATTACTTAAATGCAGACAGCGCTTTGAGACAGTTTGTATTCTGATGACACCAGATCTGACCTTTTACCACCCGTACCGATGCTCTGTGCAGGTCCGATTCGGAGCGCCTCGGTCGACATTCACTATCACGACTGGAGAGTCCGAGTTGTGGGGGACGTAGGAGGCTGGGGCGCCCACAGAGGGTCCAAGGAGGCCAGAGTCACACTAAAACACTTCGAACGGGGATCAACTAACCCTGCTTTACAGGTGAAGGTGACATCCTCTCAAAATTGCCACAGCTTTGCTCCTCTGTGCCGACTATCTCTGTGTGACTGTGGACGCAGGTGGAGGCCTGGGGAAGACTTACCGAGTCCCAGCTGAGGTGCTCCATGGCTGTGAACCCTGAACTCAGCTCCTCACTGGCACTTATCATTCAGGGACATCACTCGCCTCATAGGTACTAAGCAACACACACGCCTAATCCACCATGGGCCACTTCGCCTTATTGGTTACAGACGAACAAAATGGCCTACTTACACATGTGTAAGTGTGCACATGCATGCACACTTACTCTAGGTGACAGATGTTCTCTTGTCCAGCAAGGATCTGATGGTGAAGGTGGTCCACTCTATTCCCAGGATGTTGCTTTACCTGCCTTCTCAGCTCAATGTTCACTCCCAGGTGGGACCCCCTTATTAAATCATATTAAATCAAGAATTAAGCAGGACCATTTTTTTAGTTCGATGTGCATGTCACACACAACTCATGTTGCCATCTCTCCTCCTTTGCTCCAGCTGAACCGGACTCAGTCCAGCGTGGCAGGTTGGGTGGAGGTGTTGACAGGCAGGCGGAGGCTGTGGGCTTTGGGGGAGCTAGCAGCCATAGAGAGCGGATACAGACAGGCTCTAGAGCTCAAACACTCATACCCACAGGTATTTCTGAGCACAAATGTCCCTTTACAGATCTACATGAGTGCACTTGGTCATGGTCTGATAGACGTTTGGACTTTCCGCACTCTGAACATCACGACGCATCCATATCCTTGGTTCTGTAGTTGAAGCCGCTCCCCCGGGCCGTCGCAGTCAGGACGACGTACGAGGCCAGGAACTGGAGCCACCGGGTCCAACATGGGGCTGTGTGGGGAGGCCAGGAGTTCATCTTGTCTGGTCTCTATTCTTCTCCTCCAGCACTGGAGATGGGGAACCAGACCCTGAAGGGTAAACTATAACAGACCAGATTAGAACCATCTCGGGGACAAAATAGTGGCGTCTAAAAATAAAAAGCAGCTATTGATGAGTGACGTACCGGTTTGTCAGACTACAGATCTTTAATGTTTTTCTCTTGTTCTTAACTTCAGTTCAGATCAAGTGCGTCCCCCGTTGGACTAGTTTGGAGGTGACTCTTGAGCGTTCCTTACGTGGCCGACTTGACAGTGTTTTACTGGACTGGACGAGGCATGGCCGGCTGCAGCAGGTCAGAGTCTACAAAGTTTGTCATGATAATGTGCTTCATTTAAATGAGTCTTGTAAGCCTCTCCAAATGGATCATTTTAAATGCTGTAAATGCATTGAAAGTTTTTATTAAAAAAACGAATGAACCTGATCCACTTGAATTGAAAACCCATGTCTTGCATTCTAAAAACAACATGAAGGTCAGAGCTCTGAGCTGGTGGAGTCGATCAGAGGAGGCGAATGAGACCAAACTGGAGCTGAAACAGCCTTTCTCCTCCACACTGAGCCAGACGTCCTTCCACACACTGTCACACAGCTCACTGAGGGAACAGCGCAGCAGCCACCAAGTACGCCGCCACGCGTGTGCCTCTTCAATTTCCACCAGGAGAACATGTATTATCTCGGCTGTTCGTTTAACCCAACAGTTTTTTGACAACTCGGCACATTTGCGATTTGAAGCAGTATTCTTTACCTCTATCTAGAGGTGACTGTTTTCCTGGTTTACTTAAAATCATGTATAACGCGGTTTACTTAAGTGAAACTACATGATTGGTAATCACCATAATTAAGCATAGTTTACTGAGCGATTTCTTTTCAAGATGGTAAAATCATGATTTTTTACTGTGCATGCAGACCCGTCTGTTGTGGGACAGCGCGGAGGGCCCCGTCAATATCTCCGTCACCCTCAACAAACAGTGGCAGAACAACTCCAGCAGGGGGCAGGCATGCGCTCTGTTCTCCTCACAGGTTTGTGGACTCTTTTAAGTAGTAAACTCCTCGTGGGAGTCTGTATGACAAGTCTTTATTAAGTACCCAACCACTTGACCTGTGTGTGTGCATGTCTGTGTGTAGATGGGAGTGTCTTTGGTTAAAGGTTGCGCGTCAGTGGGTCAGGAGGGCAACTTGTATTCACAGAATGCAGAGCTAAGATGGGACAACCGGAGCGTCAGGCAAGGCCTGAAGTACCAGGTACCCTGAAAAGCCACGGCTGCCCATGAGGTGAACTCTCGTCCGGCGATGGCAGATGGCTGATGTTTGTGTGTCTGTGCTGCGTTTCTAGAGGGGTCGGCGGGGAATGCACAGCCTCCAGGTCAACGTCGGCCTGGACAGAGTCTCCCCTGCACCCTGTCCGTCGCACACACTCCTGACTAAGATTCAGACCAACCTGCGGGATCGCTTGGAGCACACAGTATTGCTGGGCCTGTGCCCCCCACAGCCTGTGAGCCAACGCAACCGCATGCTTGTTTCTGCCTTTCTCCCTGTGCAGCGATCTCTCCGTCGGTATGCACGAGTAACAGTGTGTCTTTGTGCGCCTGAATGTCCGTCCATGCAGAAAAGTATTTTTTCACCGCGACTTTCTTCTTCTGTTGCTCTTCCTCATTTTCTTCAGCTGTCGTTCACCCTCCATCCTGTGTGTTTCTCCCAGACTTTGTCGTGGTCAGGATCTCACAGAGTGAACTCGGGGGAGGAGCTGCTGTACACACAGTCTCGTCTCTCGGTGACGGGACGGCCCCACCAGTGCAGCCTCACCGTTGCCTTGACCAACTCCTCTACTGCTCAGAGCTCCAACGTGTCTCTGTTCGCTGAGGTGAACAATCAATAATGAACGATAATGTTTCTCATTCAAGACCTTTGGTTGAACACAACATGTCAAGTCAGTGTCGTGTCATTGGGTGTGACGGCTTTATTGCATTGCGGCCCGGACATCCTAGTGATAAGGCATTATGAGAAGTGGATTATAAAGCACTCTGTACGCAGGGCTTGTTCGCGCCGCTGTTTCATCCCGTGCTTTTGGTTTCCTGTCTCCCTGTGAGGAACAATACCTTTTAGCATAGAGTGTAAGAAGAGTGTAAAGTGTTAATGTGTTTTTGTTTTTCCTTTATTTCACCCAGCATGTTGCCCGGTGACATTCTGCAGATATATTACATTATAAAACAGCAGAGATTTATGCGCAACACACATTTAAAAAAAAAGTAAATACCAGAAAACTAAGAGGCAACAAAGTTAAAACGCAGTAGATTGCATCAACCAATAAGTTAATGGTGTTCTGAGGTCAAGTAGTTCGTTATCCTGTTTTTGTAGTCTTTCACAGTTATGAAATAATCTGCTTTGAAGTGACAAAATCCAAGTGCAAATAAGCTTTTAAAAGCTTATATCAACCAGATACTATATCAATGAGTGACGTAGATAACTGGTCTGCTTGCCTGAAGGTTGCAGCTGTGGATAGTTTCAGGATTCAGTCAAGCAGATAAGAAGATAAGAAGGCAGTTTTTTAGATATATAGCCTTTAAAGACAAATGCACCAGTGTTCCAACTCACACAAACTGCAATGATGTGTATGGAAATCACAATCCAAGACAAACGTTAATGCAGCAATCTACACTGAATTTAACATTTTAAGTGTTCCTATGTCACAATGACCAATTGCTGATAAAATGATTACTTAAAATATCATTAATTGATAATATTCATATTTTATAAATGTATGGTAAGTTACATTAGAATTACAACTCTAAAACAAACATCTAAAACAAAGCTAATTTAATGGAAGGTTTGTGCCGACTATATCTCATGTATTTCTTTGATTCTCAACTATTGGCCTGTCTGGCCAAGAATACAGGAGTTTTAATAGAATACAAGAAATAGTCTGATACATAATCCCCCATAAAACCACAATGACTGAATCTTTGAGTTTACTCATATAAATAGCTCAACGTGTGTGTGTGTGTGTGTGTGTACACTTCACAGTCTAGGATTGGTAATTGGACCATGGAGGTGGGGGGCAGCACCCTGTCTTGGCCCGGGCGCTCTGGTCTACAGCTGCAGGCCCGACTGGACCGCAGAGAGAAGATCTGGCTGAACGGGACGGCAGAGGGACACTGTCTTCAGACCACAGCAGGTTACATGAACGGTAAACCCAGAATCACCTTCCGCAAAAACCATCTTCATTCAAACTAAGACGGTGAAGAACCTCAATCCGTCCGTGTCCAGGTCTGACCGAGGACGTCACTGCAGCGGCGTGCGTGCGACGAAATCTCAGTTTGACGCTGGATGTGCAGAAAAGGGAAGGCAGCGGCAAACCTCAGACTCTGGGCCGAGTCGCTGTAGGATCAGTCAGCCAGAGGCTGATGCTGCGAGCCAGTGGCTGTTTGGAAGGTCTAACTGCATTGGAGGTACCAACAAAACAACAGAAGCTGACACATGTTTTACCACGACATGCCGCTTTGACTCACCGTGTGTTGTTCTCTTCACAGGCGCGGCTTCAGTATTTGAGCTCTCAGATGCGGGATAAGTTGCTGAAGAGAATCAAAACATTGCATCATCTCCTCTTTGAATTCAGGCGGCAGGTAACTGCCGCGGGAGACTTAATGTGAACGCTGCATGCAGCGGTTCAAGCTCAGCCAATGATAATGATCCATGTTTAACGTTTACTGAATACATTTCAAATTCAATTTCGTTGCAAACCTTTCCGCAGTCCAGGGACAGCGCGTGGCTCCAGGAGCTGAGCGCCGCGGCCCTTCATGTTACGCAGCGAGCAGAGACTCTTCTGGAGCACAGAGGCAGCGGGGGGCTGCTGGCGCTGTGGCAGGACTGCCCCCCGCGTCGACTTCTGACCCACAGCCTGCCTCGCTTTCTCGGCCTGCTGCAGCACGCCTCCCTGCTGGGACAACAGGAGCTGAGGAGTGAGTCCAGACACATGAGGATAATCGGACAAAGCGATTGAGAGAGCAGATAGAGGAGATATCACCCCCCCCGTCGCCCCCATCACCCCCTCCTGGTGTCTTGTTTCTCCCGTCCTTCCCTCTCAGGCAGAAATGTAATCTCATTGAGACACTCAACATAACACACTGTTCTTTTCTTGCTTTGTGTCATTATCCGACGCAGGAAACGCATCTCTTCCGTCTCAGTTTTAGTTATTTTATTATGTAATCACAGAATCGCGTACTTGTCGGGGGAACTTTGACTCCACACACACTTGTGAGAAGTAACTGCAGTTTCTGTTTATAAATGAACCATCTTAACACATGAAGGGTGAAATACGTGCTGTTCTCTGGCCAAAGGACCCTTGGCCACTCTAGCAGGCGTGTACCAAGACGTGAAGGGCCAGAGGTTGGAGGTGCTGTGGAGGGAGGCGGTCTCGTCGTGGACCGACGGGCTGGTGGGTGTCCTGCCTGTGCTGCTGGAGAACCCTCAGCTCAGTTCGTTGGCTAAAGCCGGTGTTGTCACGCTCGGCGATGCTCTGGATGTGGTAAGAAAGCTGGACGGGGTGCTTTTTCTTACTATCGGTATCAATCATTTACCTTTATCTCGATCTCATGAATAGATTTTGTAGATATGGCGGTTACATATCAGATGCTGCATGAAGGAATGTGCTTACATGCGGGCATATTTTCCATTTGTTTTTGGAGGATAACCTTATTGTGTTTTGCATGATAATATCCAATATTTAAAAACTGACGAGTTCTTATTCTCGAAAAACCCGATTGAACCTCGTTGTTTCTGTTCGTTCTCTTATGGTGCGAAATCAACTTGATTCGTGTGGAAATTCGTAAAGCAAAACAGGCGTTTTACCTGTCAAATGTAATTCTGACTATCATGCTAGCATACCATTTTGGCCATGCAGAATAGATGGAGAGGCTAAATCCAGCAATGTTGAGGTAACTCAGTCACACAGGACAAATCCAGGATAAGACCAGCGTACGAGTACTCGTGCAAACCCCCCCATTAGTGTGTCTTCATGCTCCATGTTCTCTGTGAACCAGGCAGGACAGCACACCTACCACTGGGCGGACACCCGGCTGGCCACGGCTCTGTCCGGAGTCAGGAAACGACTGGCTTCTCTCTACAGATTCTCCCCGAGGTTCGGCACACGTCCGACTCACACATGGAGAAAAAAAGATCCAAACCACATGAAATATGCTCTTGAAAATCAATAAACCATATGAAACTTTTGGCTGTTGTGAAAATGCATTTCCCTTTTAAAAGAACAAAAGAGATCAGCGGCGTTCTTGGTGTTTCACAGTGAGTGTTCAGTGGTTGTGTCGGCGCCGCTTCTGCCGCTCTCCCGGGCCGGGGTGTCTGAGGCCGGACTGGTGGAGATCCTTCTGGAGGAGTGTCTCCTGAGGCCCCTGCAGACCATCGCCCTCGTCAGGCCCACGGCTGAACTTTACCGCCTCAAGAGGAAGATCATGGACAGCCCATTTACGCGTACGACTACTTTCTCAGCAATAGATAGAATTTGACCGGCTTGATTAAATTGCAATGATGTCTCTCCTTCTGCTTCTCTCTATTAGACCGAGCTTTGTTGGTGGCGGATCAGTTCGTCGTTACATTTGATGGTCACCTGTACGAGCTCCCGGGCTCCTGTCCACTGCTCCTCGCTCAAGACGTCAGCGCTGAGCCGTCATTCACGCTGCTGAGCGGTTCCGACGAGCGCGACCTCCTTCTGATAGGAATGAACAACAGCACCATCCACATTCAGCACAATGGGCGGGTAAGTGGAGATGTCGGCGGAAGTAAACATGCGTCAGTCAACCAGAATAACAGGAATTTTGAGGGTTTTGGAATGTTTTGATTAAGAGAATAGAACCTGGAAAGCTTCCTTCAACGTGTCTGTAAAATGTTTGTCGCAGGTAAAGGCCAACTGCAACGACGCTGTGACGCACGCGCTCGACAGCGGAGTGTCTGTCAGAAGAGGGACGAACTTTGTGCAAGTGTCCAATCAGAAGGGGGCGTCGGTGTCATGTGACCTGTCGCTTGAGGTGTGCAGCTTCACTCTCGATGGATGGTTGCACGGTAGGTAGTCCGACAACAACACGTCCGTGGTCGCGGCCACTCAGGGCCGTTAATAGTCACGTGTTTTTATCCGCTCAGGCACGTCAGCCGGCGTGTTGGGGACTAATGACAATGAGGCGGGGAATGACTTTCTTTCGCCTAATGGGTCTCAGGCTGAAAACATGGAGGGATTTCTGCACGGTTGGCAGGTTTGTGCATCAAATAAATACATTATAAGAATTGTGTGTCTGCACATTCCTGTTGGTAGAGCTTTGCCGACATAAAAGCATCAAGTTCCCCACATGCAGTGATCCTTTTTTCTGTGTCTACAGATGAAACCGGATTGTATGAAACTGCGAGGTGTAACAGAGAACGATTCTAAAGCAACGCCAAGCCCTGTGAGCTGTGGTTTTCTGTTCTCCTCCCCCGACTCTCCGCTGAGTCCCTGTTTCAGGGTGGTGAGTAGAAAAAAAAGTAGTGAGAATAAGCACTTTCTTACCCAACGAGCACAAAGTTCACCAGTGACATGAGGTTCTACTGTATGCGAAGGACGCTATGAAAACACGTCTCTTGCTCAAAAGACTCTCCTACTTCTTTAGGAATTTCAGATAAGATAAGAACTGGATCAACTGGTGATGTTGATAAATAGGTGTTCACTCAGTGACCTTCACTCAATAGATCAGATGACGCAAAAACTATTTCTATAACCCCATTGGACACCTTTCAAGTCTAATAGACTGTAAGTCTGGAGAAGGAGGCAGTGTATTTGATGTCCCTGTATTGTGCATGGCACCATGATCATAATCGATTCAAGCTACATCTTCACGGTGGCTTTTTGTTGTCAGGTGGATCCCGTGCAGTTCTTATCTGTGTGCGAGTCCAGCTCCTCCAGAGCTCCCTGTAGATTAGCATCTGCTTTTGTTCATCTCTGCCAGCACAACTACGTTCCTCTAGAGGTCCCTGTTCCATGTGGTGAGTTAGGCAATTATACAACTAAAGACATGCACGCTTCGGTCTAATCTATGGCACTGTGCTGCCAGGTGGGTGACATTTTGTTTCTGTTTTAGTGAAGAAATGACGGGAGGAGATTCTAATGAAGAGCCGAGATGAGGCGTTCATGGACTCATCTGCCTGAAGCTTAGCTGCTAAAATTGACGGATTAGACTTTTGTACCACTGTTTTTGCTACATTACTTAGATGCCTTGTGTTGTATTTTTTACACTACTGTATAGTTACACATTATTATACCTCATGGAATGTACTTTTGTGCTTTATGCAGATATTGTACCTGTAATGTGAACATAAACATACTAACTATAGCAATTAGTTTATCATTCTTATAAAAACAACTGAGTAACTAAGTATCTAAAACTCACAAACAAACTTAATAATAGGATAATAAAGAGATCAACAAGTATACTTTTGATTGAAGTGCATTTATTTAACTCTATGTTGGATATACGTTTCTATTGCTCAGTTCCTTGGAAGATGGTTATGTAGTTGTGTATCTTGGATTTCTGTCTCTGTGTGACACACTCAGCGATCCAGACGATGTTGCGACTCTCCTGCTCCTTCAGTTTGATGTAAGAGTAAAATACTCCAAAGTGGAACTGCTGCAGGAAAGCAAGTGTGTTCAGTTTCACCTGAGAAAAAAAGATAAAGGATAAAGGAGAATGTTTTTGCTCTGTCTCTGGTCAAGTTGTCAAAACAGTTACTTTGCAATAGCTTTTTTGTCTGTAGAAATAATTTAAGCAAGCTGCCCGAATTGTCAAACAGATTTTAATGTGAAATGGGTTGCTTGGTCCATTAGTTATATAATACATCAAAAAATAAATTATATTACCTCTTGTTCAAAGAATCTGTCCTCCAGAGTCTTAAATCCTGATCCTGGCTCCGGTTCTTCAAAAATGATCTTATACGCCTGCGGGGGAGGTCACGGTTAACGTCGACCGCTTTGAATACTCGGGTAAGCGCGGCTACGATGCTCTCGTTCAGAGTTCACCGAAATTGACTCGGACTCACTGGGTAACGGTCGGCCACGTCTTTGACCTGCGCGGCGTCCTGCGCCGCGCCCAGCAGGCACAGCCCTTCAGGGTGAAGTCTCCCACAAGCCGGATACAAAGCGCTCCTCTCTGCATTGCTGAGGTCCGTGCCGAAGGAGTTCACCGTGATGATGAAGGCCCGCCTGTCTGCCTCGAACTGCAGCTCACACACACAGAAATCATATATCACATATATCTGCATATGTGTATGTAAAACTTCAATAGTAGATATTGTCACAGTACCTCCAGGATAGGACACATTATATCTTTTGTTGCTCCACCAATGTTCTTGCAGAAAGAGTGGAACGACTCTAAATATGCCTTTTGAAGACAAGACATAATCATTTCACCGAGGACGCTTAACGTGTCTGTCACATTCCATCTTAACCGCAGTCGCAGAAGGTAAGAACACAACTGTAAAACTTTTATAACTCTTAAAAAAACTAACTTTAATTTATTTATTTATATGAACGCACACCTGATCTAGCAGTTTTTAAGTCACCTTAAACAGTTTGTTTCTAAGGATCTCAGCTTCCATCTCATCCAGGTTCGACTCGGATACGGCATCCTGGAAAAACTGAGCTGTGACAACCACACAATGGGAATCATTCATGTAAGTTCTTTGTATCATTTTGTTACGATTAATCTTGAATAATATCATTAGGATGCTCAAAATGAAATGATTATTATATGAAATAATTCCCTGTCACGTCACAGTGTGAAGAAACACTTCAGTAAAATGTTATAATAATCATTCTGTTTGAGTTTGGAAATGTATTTTTTTTTTAGAAATGAGTAGAAATGAGTTCCCACATTTAAGACTTTGTCCCTCAGACATAAAGATCCACTCTCACGATAAACATATATTAGTTATTAGCCACTTTAGCAACAACTATCCTGTATTAGTACTGTTCACGCTACTGTTTACGGCCCCTGGAGGGCTGGGCAGATGATTTGCTGGGTCTACCTAGTGGCGTGTCCACCAGGACGGCTGAGTAGAGCTCGGTCGGAGTACGAGCGATGCCCACAGCGGCCATCTGGTCAAAGGCTCCCAGCGGGTGACAGCGCGGGAGGAGCTCCGCCACATCTCTCTGCTTCAGGGCCCCGGTGATCAGCATCACCACATTGTCGATCATGTAGCTGTAACTATGGCAACACAGGGAGCAGATTGAATACAAGTACCGTTAACTTCCCGCTTGGAATTTCAAATACTTTGTTTTTTAGAGAGTTTAGAGAAATACATTTTCTTTGAATGTCACTACAATTAAAAAAGTGTACATGTATCTGAACCACAGTTCCCCTTCAGTGATGAGGAAGAACACGGCATGTCATGTGACCTGTGCGCCATTAAAGAAATGAGAACACGAAGCGTACGTTATGTAGTCGAGGAAGGTTGACAGCGGAGGAAGAGCATTGGAGCGAAGGCAGCTGAATTCAGCCACCAGGTTTTCTCTCAACTTGCTGTCCACCAGAGACACGGTCAGGTCGTCTTCAGACGAGGACAGCGTCTTCCCGTAGTCGGTGCACTGCAGATGCAACTTCATGTCTGAGGAGAGAAGAGAAAGGCATTGCCTCAAAGTGCTCGACTCTCCCCTTTTACCCCGGGGGCTTTACTGAGGAATAGTTGAATCGTGTGTATATGTAATTCACAAATACAGCTTTCTTTAACCAACTTGTTAAAGGCATTACAGCTGGTGAAGACTAACACACCAAAGGCATACAGATTACATCACAGGGTGTTGACTTGCAATTTTGGAGCCTTTCCAAGAACCACTTGTTTAAAAACTAACATAGCTGGTAAATATATCGCTGCAATTAGAAGAAACATTTAATTTGTCTTCATTCGCACTGTATGTGTCTCCAACAAAGGAATGTCTTGTTCCATGGTAAGAAAATGTATTATTTTGATTTTGATTTTTAAAATTGGATCCAGGTTAAGTAACATGAGCTCCACACATGCATTGTTTGTTAAAGGATACACATCTGGGAACGCTAAATTCCCAAGTTAAACTGTGGCAAAAAACGTGAGTGTGATACGACATTCTTACCCTCGAGTGTGTCACACTGAGCCAGATTGTGATAGTCGGCGCGAGTCAGGATTCCGGCCTTCATTCCTCGAACGAGACCCTCCAGGTAGCCGTGATCCACGTTGAAACTGATCTCTGCCATGATGCCAGACGAGCTATCAACATGCATTTAAAATGTCATTTGCCCGACCAAATGAGTCTATCCTTATTTTACTTTTTTTACATTGACTTCTGCATTACCTCCTCTCTGACTAACGTTCATGTGGTTGTTTCCCCTTCCTCTTTGACACCAAGAAATTCCATAGCTGCCCTAAAAGTGTTCTCAGTTCTTCCTCTCAAGTACTTTTAGTACAAGTCCACAGGTTGCCAGTTCCTTTTTGTTTACTCTATCCTGTGTGAAAAGAGTTTGAGTTTATAAATCATGATGCGCTTCGGCCCGACATCATGCAGGGATACAAGGAATGAAGCTAACTCATCTCTGCTGTCACAGACGGTATGCGAAGAAATGATCTTAACTGCTCTTCTATCTTCTATATTTATGGGAAATGAATACATTTGTGAATGTGCGAGCGTGTTACAGAGATGCAATTCATCATGTTCCCTGCAGACACATTTCTGTTTGACGTGAACGCGAACCTTTCCTCGTGTCCTCTTCTATGTACATTCGTTACGTACACATAATCAGACACAGGTCTTCAGCTCAGTCCCTTTCTAATGTTAATAAGGCAGCTTTCATCAAATTTCGCTTGTTTTAACCTTTATGGTTATGGTTTAATAGGACGATGAACATTTAATAATCTCTATGAAATAGATTATCAATCAAGACATAACTACTTTTCCATTGAAGTGGGCTTATTTAAGAGGAGCAGACAGATTAATACAGTAAGTAGATCACAAATAGGATTTAAGAGTCAGAATTGCTGTTTTTGAATGCACAGAATAACATAGACACGTGTCCCTGCGAGACCTTCCTGGATACACACTATGCACATATGGTTCACATGCATCATCTTGAAGCTTTCCTGGATTTTCCACACGACACTTAACATTAAATATACATTTATCTTTTTTTACTTTGCTTCTATGATGTCTTAAACTAAAAACGGTTTCCTGCCATCAATCAACAATTATGTGTGTCAGCATTGTAGGACATTCCCACTACAACAATGATCAATTATAGATACACATGGTTATATATGCTTATGATATATTTATTAAATAGCATTAACATTCAAAGTTTAACTCAGGAATCCACACAGCGATTCCACATTTCGAGGAATATTTTATATTGGAACAGAAAAGTCTGGGTTTTATCTGATTCCAACTCAAAACATATGACGCTTTTATTTTTTCACATCTAGTCTGTAGGGAACCAACTTAAACAAAGATGTTTATCTGGTTATTATATTTCCCCGGGTGTTTAACGTGGCTTGAGAGCAAAAGTGATAATAACAAAGAAAAGCAGCAATAGTGCAGGAAATAGCAAAGGCACTATAGGTAGTTTACATTTGTCTACATACATGAAAAAGCATATTTCCCTAATCCCTTGTTACACCTACATACTGTATGTTTGACATTTGAATACTCAAATACCAAACATACAGTATGTATGTTATATTCGCTTATGTGAGTATTTGTTATTTGTGTCTTAGAACAGTATTATTTCATTGAGTGTCAACGTCCCAACTGAAGATACAAGATAAATAAGCGTTCAGTAATATTATCCACGGTAGTGTACTGTGAGAGCATTTCTTTGCTTGCACATGTCTGTCACTGCGCGTGTTTGTGCTTCATCTACGTCTTCTGTAAGCAAAGGGGGTTCATCCTCCAGCAGTGACAGATGGTGTTGAAGAGTCTACAGCGGCAGGAAGCGCACGGGTCACAGCAGCGGACGTGGGTGGAGCAGCTCCCCATCAGGCGGCCGCAGCGGCGTGCTGGTGGCATGAGGCTTGACTGACTTTTCTGGAAAGAACAAAAAGGAAAAAATAAACCCTTCGGACGCATTGAAGCTCCTGGATGCAATGTATTCACACAGAAATGCAAATGTGCACCACCGACTATCTAGCCAAACCTGCTCCGTTCCTGCATGTCTTACTGAGGGGTTTGTGAACATATGGTGGCCTTATTCAACATAAAAAGGCAATTTAAAATAAAAAGAAATACAGCTTACGTTTGTGTGACTTTTCTGCGGTGCCGCGATCTTTTTTCTCGCAAACAGTCCCCTGGTCTTCACTTGGCTACAGACTGCAGATGGCAGAAGAATCAGGGGTTAAATAAAACAACTCCACAAACATCCCTTTTAAGAAAGATTTTTTACCATTTTTTTTCAGTTCATTTTGGGAGAAAATCCCCAAATGCCCTCTTAGACAGACAGATATGTTGGTCGCACGCGAAAAACAAGAAGCCTCATGTTCCTTATTTTCTTCCTCCTTATTTTCCGTCAAAACAACACTTTAACTCAAAAAAGAAGAACGTGTTTCAAATACTATTGAAATATAAATCCCAGATGGATGGTAATGGTTTTACAGCTAAATGTGCTTGTATTACCTCCACAAGTAGGTGTCCTACAGATGTTTCCTGGCTACTTTTAACGGGACGGTACACTGATTCTAGTCTGATTCTATAATACCTCCCACAGACTGACGACAGTAGACTGTAAACTATGGACGTTGTCTTTGGGACGTCCCCCTTAGGGTTCTGTGAAGAGCCTTTGAAGCCCGAAGCTTTGGTCTCGCCAGTGATTTGTCACAACATACAATGTATACAGCGCACTTGTAACATTAACCATGTTAATAAATATCAATATTTACACGTTAAAGAAGAACTGTGTGAAAACTAGAAATATGTCATTTACAGGTGCAGTAAAGTACCGTTGTTGTTTGGTGTGTCCAATCTGCAGTTGTGGTAGTTTTGTGACTAAAGTCCTACATTGAGGGTGTACTGACAACAGTGATTTCCACTGCAGTCTGTAGTGGTCAGTTGCTGTCCTGTTTGGTGGGTGATAGAAACCACTTGGTGAAGTAAAACAGTACTGCTGTGCTCAATTGTATCTGAGGCAGGAAGAACGTTATGGGGCAGGAGGTATGTCCTCTGCTTGGACCTTTTACCCATGTGTCAGTGTGGGAAGTCAACTTGAGATCTTGAGTCCCAGAATCTGGACTGTGCAAGAGAGACGGCCATTTAACCTCCCATCTGAAGTCTGCAAACGTCACGCACAGCACATAACCTCTGTTTCTTCTGCAAACCTGCAGGAGTCCATCCACTGACCACTTCACGTTCACTATGCATCTACGAGTACCTCCCTAACAGCCCTGTAAACAGTGTGCAGAATACCTTAAGTGGTTAGGTTCTGTGCAAGAACGTTTGCACACATTGGCACAGCACATTAAGAGTATTTGCTTTGAAGCATTATCAGCTAGTAGAAATAGTAGATTGTCATGGATACAATAGTGCAGGAAATAGCAAAGGCACTATAGGTAGTTAACATTTGTTTGTCTACACACATGAAAAAGCTTATATCCATAATCCCTTGTTACACCTACATACTGTATGTTTGACATTTGAATACTCAAATACCAAACATACAGTATATATGTCATATTCACTTATGTGAGTATTTGTGTCCTAGAACAGTATAATTATTTTATCCTCATCAGCTCAAGTGTTGACGTCACAACTGAAGATACAAGATAAATAACTTTTTTTTTATATATATAATTATATATTATCCACGGTAGTTTATATATATTGAATACTCAAAATACCAAACATACAGTATATATGTCATATTCACTTATGTGAGTATTTGTTATTTGTGTCTTATAGGTAGTTTACATTTGTTTGTCTACATACATGAAAAAGCTTATTTATTGTCATGGTTCCAAAAATGATTTAGCTCTCCGCTCCTCCTCTCTGCTGCCTGTCCTTTTGGATCCTGATGAAAACAACCTGGAGTAGAAATACTTGACACTGGCGCTTTAAACTCATTGTACATATCGTTTAGAACCAGGACTAGACGTGCAACAAATCACAAACCCTCCTTCTTTGCTCGGACATCTTTCCCGGTGCCCCGTGACTGATGGCTTCTCCACCTGGTCCATTATTCTGAAGAAAATACCTTCAGCTGAGCGCTGCCTCTTGCGTCTCCTCCTGTGGATGCCTCTTGCACATCTCTCTTCTTCACAAATTGTAATGAAACAGAAACGTTTCCTCTCATTCTCATTGTCCCATCCTGTCCTGTGACATCTAGGAAATTCAGAATAATAATACTATCAGCAGTAGTTATCTTCTACTGTGTTTATGGTGTGTTTTGTCTCTTTCACAGAATTTCCCTGAAAGTAAGAGGACGGTAGAGTCAAAAACCATCGTCGTACAGCAGAATGATTTATGGTGTGTTGGATTAACCACATCATAAATATTCATAGTTTTGTAAAGGTCTAAGATTCACTTCAGAAGTTGGCGCTGATAAAACACACGCTGTAAGGACCGTGAGTGTTGGACTCCCATTCACCAGGTAGCAAGACAAACATGTTTATGCGTTACATTACAGGTCTGCGTCCACACTTATTATATTAATTATATTGAAACTGAAACGTGGTCATCAAAGTGATTGGCAAGTGTTTTTTTTAGTGCAAACAGTGACGGGGGGTTTCTGTTGCTTTTACCGGTCTGCCATAAAGGTTTGCAGCAGTAAAGTGGATTTAACACACGGAAAAACGTCAAACGTCAAAGTCAAACTCGTCTGAGTAAACTTCAAAATGATTGATTGGGGCTTAAAATGTGACAAAATGCACAATGCATTTGCATACTTGTGTCGCTTCTCCTCGAACAAAGAAAACCAGCTGAATCTAAACCCAAAACAAACAAGGCTTTAGGAAAATAAAGCTGTCACAAAGAATCTGAATAATGACATGTTGCTTTACAACTTCTGGGCTTCAAAACCTATAAAATCATTCGATTATTATAATATGATTGGTTCAAATAAAGACATTTTACAAATGTTTTCATTAACCTAATCACGGATACAACAAAAAATAAAAGCTTGATCCTAAATATTCAGTCAGATGTACTTATTTAACTAAAAGAGTCACATCACGAGCTCTATTCGCGGCGCAGCAATTACACGCGTTTGTTTTTCGCGACTCACGCCGAGCGAATAAAAAGACAAAAAGTTTAATAAATAAAATAATCCTCACCCGTGCTGTTCTCACTCCTCTTGTCTCTCTGCGTGTCCTCTGCCCAGCACAGCGGGGACGCCAGCAGGACGAAGCACAACAAGTGTCCGCCCGCCACCTTCCTCATGATGATGACGATGCGATCTGTTGATGGCACGTGGGGGGCAAAGGGAGCGGGGGGCAGTCTCACGTTAGCACGGGGGGGATTAATCTGTGATGCACCTACTTCTCCTCCTTTTAACCCTCTCGGATGTGCGGAGGCAGCGACGTGGTGAGTGACGAACAAAGAGGAGCGAAACGTGCCATCACGTGACGGGCCGGACGCAAGGCAGGGGATGATCGTTGCCCTGGCAACGGACATCAAATGAAGAAAAACGTAATTAAGATAGGGATTTAGTTATTTTGGGGGGCACAAACGTTACTGACCAGTCAAAGATATCTGTATTGTATCTGTTAAAATTTTTTTTCCAAAAGTTCCAGTTTACTGATAAATTCTGATCATTTCAAAAGTCCTTTTCTTGGTCTAAAGTAAAAAATGAATGTAACTGTGTGCACTGCATGGATTCACAACTGCTATGATGCTATAGTTCTGGATGCTCATAATGCAAAGAGTTTGGGAAGAACAAAGTGGTCAATGGTGGTATCAGACATCTTCCTCCTGCTGGACCAAGTTGAGCAAACTCGGCTCAGCAACCCCACCCTCCCCCCCATAGGATCATGTGTGTGCAGAACCACGGGGGAAGCCTTCAATGATGTGAAGGTGTTTCTACTCTTCAGCAGCAGCACGTTGTGTTGAAACACCAGAAACATGCTCTCAGAGGTATATTCTCCCCCAAAATCTGCCAGGCAAAAATCTTCCAATACCAGAATTAAACCGTGAGTAACGTTACAAGGTTTATGTCTGCATTGAATCACCTTTTTGTTTAGTTCCAGACAAATCTCCATTGTTGCTATCTTAAATCTCTGAGTGGTTATCAGCAATAAGTAGAAGATGACGTTGCAGTTCAGGTAACTTTGTGAAAGCCTTTCTCTGTACTTTGGAGTGAGATCCCTTAAATACATGAATTGATTGTAGTCTGTGATGTCTTGGGATATTAACGTGCACGTGAGATGAATCCCTGATGTTCAGCTCTTCGTAAATCTTGTGCTTTCGACACCTTCTGGGCATAATTTATACGGATTACGACATGCTCGTGTCTTGAAACACGATGTAATTTGTATGAGTTATTATTATTGCAAAGTTGCTGAATCTAGTACTTGCTGACTATGGGGAAAATGGGAGTCAACATAACTACTCCATCATTATGACACTGGCCCAGGCTCTGACCTCTGACCTCATTTGGTTATGAGTAGCTGGCAGAAAGCTGGGCTTCCGATGTTGTGCCGTGGAGCGAGGGTGGGATTCAGATATTTACATATTATCTAAAACAGATTCATTCTAAGAAATGTAATTGTTTATGCTGTTAGCAATTTCTTCACATGGAACATGGTTTTGCAAGTGTTTGACGTCCCGACTCAAGTCCAACTCCCAAACTTTGTGTTTCAACTTGTAAAGTACTTTGTCTGCACCTGTACGCTTGTGCAATTCAATTTGCTGCTTTCAGATTGATGTATGGCCTCGAGGCAAGAAGATGGGAATTCACTGCATAAAAAGTGTTTACTGCATAATCCTTCATCTTTGGACATGGGGAGTTACTCTAAGTCAATAGGCTCAAGTCCAAGCGAAGTCTTGCATCATTATGTGTTAGTGAGGGTGGAGTTGCCTCTGTTTTTTCAGTTGTTGTCAAAAGTCTGCGCAACTCCAACATGAGTTAAGAGGTTCTCCTTTGAGACCCTTGGTTTCCTGAATATTTTTTGTAGTTTTTAAGCATTGATTATTGGTCGAATTGTCATTATTTATGTAAAGGATAACACAATATGTATTTAGAAATATAAAGCAGTGAAGCTCTGAGACCTTCTGCATTGCTCTCATATGTGTTCCTGCAGAGTCGACAATATGGTGCCACCTTCTGGTCATATTTGTCATTAGCATCAAAACTCACAGCAACATTATTAAATAAAAAGGTGTATAGTTGCTGTTAGCTGACGAGGACTTTTGAATCTCTTTGATGAAAGTGACAGGGATCTTTGTGAGAGGAAACCATTTCAATAAAGTGTACAGAACATGTAATAATACCATGTCTATGCTACATTACATCTCATTTAGCATCAAATACGCCAATTTACAACCAAGGTTGAATGTGCTATATCCAAAGAGGTGTTGAAAGAAGTCAGACGCCTCATTGCCAACCACACGCACACCTGCTGATGACGTCTTTGTGTAACGTTAGTTTCTGCAGAAATGTCTGCGGCCTCTCTCCCAGAAGACCCGCGCCCTGCCTTTACCCACAATGGTTTGTCTTTTCATACCCTGATGCCGCATAAAGAACCATTTAGAGTGACGCAGGTGCATGGCTGTGTGCCATCTAATCGTTGAGCCTGGAGAAATCAGTCTGGGTCTCACGAACCTACAACACAGAGGCCAACGCACGAACAACGCATATCAAAAAGCGTAAAGAAGTGAGCTGTTCTGGGCATCTTAGCCAATTAAAGCTCAAAAAGAACATACAGAAACATCCTCTGAAAATGGAGGGTTTTAAGTGCACAATACAGAAAGTAATGGCTGGCTCATTTGGCACTCCCTGCAAAAGCCTGCCGTCTAGCGAGTTATGTGAGGTTTCTAAGGAGGAGGAGGTCAAGTATTTTGTATGACAACAGACAAATTCCATTTGTTTTGTTTTTGTTATGTTGAAAAACAAAGTCCATCCATCAACACAGAAACATTCTGAGAAGCTTTTTTTTCCATTGATGGATTTACGATACGGTTTTGGCTACAAATTGCAGACCAGTTAAATCCTGCAACACGCCCTTGTCTCCCAGGACCTCGTATGCCGGCAGCATTGGAGCGGTATTCCCAAGTTGCCCCTCACACTCCAGCAGCATGGATGACCCATCCGACATGCCCCCTCTGGGTCTACACAAGAAGTCGTGGTAGCCCCCAACCGAAGCACCCCAACTCCTCTTACTCACAAAATACTCCCTGGTTGTGAAAAACGTGGAATGAACGGAAACACGCCCTTCTGGTCCATGGCCTGCAAACTCCAGTCCAGCCTATAGTGAGAATGGGACTTTTCATGTACAATAGTGAGTTAGAGGATAGTGTTGCTGGAACATAAAAATCTAAAGACACGTTGTGTGACCTCCACATAAGCACTAGTCAAAACATGGTCACTGATTTGTTGACGTCTTTCCAGGGCTTCCAGGGGAACAAGTCCAAGGTGATCTGTTTGCTCCAGCCAGAACGGTCCTATTAAATATATCCAATCACTCAATTCAATGTAAGTAACGATACACTTTGAGATGAAAACACTAAATAAGGTGATGGCGACAATTAATTTGGGTAATTTATTTATTATTATTATTATTATTATTATTATTATTATTATTATCAGATTGCAACTACAGTGTCCCATAAGACTATAAGACCATAAGAGTGTTTTTTAGGAACTTATGAGTTCTGAATGGTCTTTCCTGGAGTTTGTATGGTCTTAATAAGTGAAACCATCGATCAAACGGTTTCCCCCCTTCTTTTTTCTATTGTACGACCGATTGCCCTCTGAAGGAAAGTCCCGCGTTTGGGAAATTCCAGCATGTTAAAGTAAACAACGGGTACGAACAATTGGGCTGAAGCCCAGAGATTTTTTTGTTGATCAAAACTGAAACAAAAACATCTATATTTACAGGTTGAACATTACAGTAATTAAAAACCGGCATCTATCTGTAGGGATAGATAGACGGAGGGATCCGAAAATCATCAAACAATACAACATTTAAATAAAAATAAAAAAATGAGCCCATGGAATTTTTCGAAACGGGAATATGCACCTGAACGCGTCACGCAGACCCCCCGGGTTTGTGACGTCATCAGCAACAACAAATCCACCTGCGTTACAGGACAGCAGCACGCCGCTGTTGTTGTTGTTGTTGTTGCTGCTGCTGCTTCCGGCGCAGCGTGAATAAACGTGTATTTAATGGTAGTCGTCGGGGGGCTCGGGGGGGTCGACCTTCCGCTTTTGCTTCGGCCGCTCTTCCTCTCGCTGCGTCGACGTTAGCTTAGCTAGCTTAGCGTCGCCGTGGCATGCGTGGGGACGGAAGAGGTCTCCCTCGTGAAGGGGGCAGTTCCCCTTTCGGTTTCTGACCCAGTGGAGGATAAATCCTCTCCGACCTTCCGGAGAAAGCACTTTCACGGAGACCGAAACGCGCCATGGAGCCGTGCGCGGCGATGGGCTGTGTGAACATCGGCAGTCTGACCAGCACCTTGCCGGTGATCCCCTACCAGAAGCTGACCGACCTGTACTACCTGAGCAGGGGGGGCTTCGGCACCGTGTTCAAGGCGCAGCACTCGGACTGGAGGACCACCGTGGCCATCAAGTGCCTCAAACTCGACTGTCCGGTCGGAGAAAGGTGACGTCACCCGGGCTTCTTTTGCGTCGTTCGGAGGAGAAGTAATAATGTGCCGAGCGCGCCTTTGATTCTTAGTTTTTAGTTAACTCTTTGTATCCGGAGTAAATTGCCACTACGTGTGTTTCGTGAAATACTACGCATTTGAGTTTGCCATTTTTAGTTTGGAGAGGGCTGTGGCTCCATTGGCGGCCTGTCAGACTGTAAGTGGACCACTAATGACGCGCCGACCTCTTTGTGCATCAGAGGTTCCACTAAATACCGGATTCGTCAGGGATTTTAGACATTAGAAATCCACAAACGTGTCCAAACATAAATTACTAACATAACAATTAGGAAAAAAAAGTTGTGACAGAGACATTCCATATCAGGGTTGTTTTATCACCTTTTGGATTTAAATAAAACGATGAACTATTCTAACCACATCTAGGTACGTCTGTGCTGTTATTTCTTGTTACTTCAGCCAATATATATATATATATGATACTGATGTATTGGTTTGATTGATCTGTCAGGCTTTAATAGATTCTGCTACAGTATCCCAGAATGTTTGTCACCATATTGTCACTTTATTTGCTTTATATATATATATATATATATATATATATATATTCCAGGATTCATTCCCTCAACGTGCTTGTAATTCTGTTAATGCTGACCACACCCCAACCGTCGTCAGTGTTTTGGCATTTTCTTTATTTCTTTATGTGACAATCACGACGGACTCTGTTCTGCTGGCTGTGTTTCAGAGAGAGGAACTTCCTGCTCAAGGAGGCCGAGGTGCTCCACAAAGCCAGGTTCAACTACATAATCCAGATCTTTGGCATCTGCAATGAGCCCGAGTTCTTCTGCATAGTCACCGAGTTCATGAGTAACGGTTCTTTGGACCTGTTGCTCCACGAGGTTCGTCATATGACGTTTCATTGTTTTAAGAATGTCCTGTTATGGTCTCAGAGAGATAATAAGGATTCAAGATTAGTAAAACAACTGCTGTCCTGCGCTCTACGGCGTTTATATTCTTTTCACCCTTTGCTCAGGTAATGAGACCTAATATGTAACTAACGTATAAAAAGGTTTTCTGTATTCAATGAAATTAGTCACAAATTTAGAGAACATCTCTCCGTACTGTTTCTGTTGTTGAATTACTTGCGGTGAGCTGCTCTCATGCATCTCTGATCACGTGTGTGTGTGTGTGTGTGTGTGATGGGACGTCAATGACTGCTTCCGCAAGCAAAAGTGGAACTTGAAAGTATTCATAGTCTCTTTTTGAACCTTAGAAACAAGAAGGGGAAGAGAGAGACAAGCAGGCCAATGTGGTTTGGGGAACTTCCTTCTTGTGTCGATGTAGTAAAATGTTGTGTTACCATTTAAAGCCGGGTGTGTGATCTCTCCCCACAGAAGGACCTGTACCCGGGACTCGCCTGGCCTTTGCGACTGAGGATCCTCTATGAGATCGCCTTGGGGGTGAACTTCCTTCACAACATGAACCCACCTCTCTTGCATCATGACCTAAAGACGCAGAACATTCTGTTGGATGGAGAATTTCATGTGAAGGTTTGTCAGCAAGACTTTGGTACAGTTTGAAGTGTACATGTGACGTACACGTGTGAAGTAAACAAACATGTCAGCGGTGTCACCGTGTGGTTGTGATTCCACTTCTTGAGCCTTTTTTTAGTCCATTTTCAAGCAGAATATCATATATATATTTCTGATTTAAGGAGCTCAAATACAAGGACTCTGCTTCATTATGTTATTAAGTATTTAATAATAAACTATTTTTATAATAAAAATAACATGACAAATGTTCCTGGAGCCTCAATCAGTTGTCTTAAAATGCTAAAAGAAATAAGCCGATCCAGGAAAAACACTTTGTCAAAGCAGTTCTATCTAGAATTACATATGAACGCTAATGTTCTGCTCTTAATTGGCCCAGATTGCTGACTTTGGTCTTTCGAAGTGGCGACAGCTGTCTGTCAGTAAAGGCTCGGGGTCCAAGCCCACAGAGATGGGGGGCACGGTGATCTACATGCCCCCCGAGAAGTACGAAGCCCCCAAGAACGGGCCTTCGGGCCGTCGGGCCGATGTGAAGCACGACATGTACAGGTGAGACAAGAAGAAGAAGAACATTCCCGTTTAATCTGATTATGTTTCAAGTTTCATCTAAATATGTTTCATGTTCAGTCGGTCAGCACTCTCGGGTGCCGGGGATGCAGAGGATTGTTGGAATTTTAGTATATCTCTCAGAAAGAAGGAGTGGTCAGTGTTGTATTACAGTACGGTAGATGACAGCCTGGAGAAAAGAGAGTTACCAGAGAGTCAAAGCGTTCGAACCAATGCTAAACATCATTAAAAAATAAATACAAAACAAATAATGAATACTACTTTAAGTGTAATCATTATTTCACTTATATATCACTTTACCTTTGACCTTGAAGAACACGGCGACCTCAGCCTGTTTGTTAGTTACACAGTGTGACTCATGGATATGATCAACTTAAAAGAACTGAGTGAACTGTGGCTGCGCAGACTTCCATGTGCTGTATGGTGACACAAGACAACTTCTTCAATCCAACTTTCCAAGAAGCCGAACTGTCGCTGTGACCTGCTGGGCGGCGGGTTTTGATTGCCGCAATCTGGTCAGTTGCTCATTGTTCTTCCTGGAAGCGGCGTCCCCGGTCAGCTCGACGTAAAGTCCCTTTCGCTCTGAAGGGGGAATGCCAGTCGCAGAGAATGATGTAACTCTTCCCTCCCCTCATTCTCTCTCACGTTTGCGTTGCAGCTACGCCATCATCATGTGGGAAGTGCTGTCCCGGCAGATTCCATTTGAGGGTAACCCATTTCCCTCGTTATCTACCGCTTTATCTGTATCCAGGCCTGGATGTAACTCTCTCCCCGTCGGTTCAGTTGCTCTGCGAGTGAAGGCTGTCGGCTAATCCCTGATCTGTTTGTGCGATCAGAGGTGACCAACCCCATGACGATCATGTTCAGCGTGCTACGTGGGATTCGCCCCGACACGAGTCTCGACAGTCTGCCTTTGGACATCCCCAGCAGAGAGACCCTCATCTGCTTAATGACCTGCGGCTGGACAACGAACCCCGATGAACGACCTTCCTTCCTCAGTAAGCTCACACAAATAACCCATTGCCAGGAATTCCTTTCTGGCGGCAGGTTACATATGCTAATCCTTTCCAAGCAGTGCTCTGTTTGGCCTTTTTGCACAGTTTAAGGGAACTTACTGCTTAAAGTGTACGCTGACAAGTCATTGACTAAGTATCAGCTTCCTGTCACGTTATTGAGCCGTTTTAGAAGTGTAACTGTTGTTTTCCATTCAAACTTTGTTCATCTCATGCGACTTCCTTTCATCTGGTCATATAAGTAACAGTAACACCATTGGTTTCTGTCCACTCTCACAACTAACAGACTTATAAAAAATATACGGAACAAAAAGCGGCGGAAAAAAGGGTACCTTTTTAAAATTGTTTTCATATCCGTGTGAAAACAAAACAGTATAAATGGGGTGTGTGGTTTCCATTTCAGAGTGTCTGATTGAACTAGAGCCCATGGTGAGAAAGTTTGACGAAATTGACTTTCTGGAGGCCGTGTTGGAGATCAAGAGGGCAAAGGTTAGTCTTCCCACAGTTCTCTTCCTTTTTGAGGACGCATTTCACACCAGTAGGTCAATTAATTTCGTACTTTATATACATTGTTGCATTGTAGTTTTCATCCAGTTCGTGTTCACGTTGACTTTTTTACAAATGAGCAAACCACCTTAACGGTGAAGACTTTAAAGACTGGAGCTTGTTGATTGGAGAGACAGAGGGTGTAGAGCAGGTGGTCCCTTTGAAAGCACTTGTGATCCACGGGCTGTTCATAGTCACGCGCTGTCTAATTGGCGCGGATAGCAGATTGGATTCATTTGATTTTGGCATATTTTGGTTGCTATTCCTCGCTCACCTCTTCTTCCTTGTGTGTCCACAGAGGATGCAGAGATCCGGCTGCTGCTCAGCCCCGTCAGCGAGTGAGGGCGGGAGTGAGGATGGATCCCTTAACATGCTGAAGCACAGGCCCAGGCCCTGGCCGGTCAGTGCCAAGAAAAAGTTTAATAATCAACGGTGATAGTTGGCGATGCGAATCGCACAAGCCTTGTCTGCTTTCGGTATTGTGTCTTCAAAAGTCCAAGTAAAACCTCAGTCTTGAAGGTTTATTCTGCGATGTATTGTTCTTATTACAAGGTCATTATATTATTATAACTTACGTAAGAATACGTCTTGTATTACAAGACGAAAAGATGGATGGATTTAGATTTTTTGCATATTTTGTTTAATAGGTGCACAACGTGACCTTGGATGTGATCTGAACGGATCTAAAAGGCTACTTTCATATCTTGACTTTAATGTCTGTGTAGAAATACAAAATGAACATCTGTGTTTTTTTGCAACAGGAGCGCTCCGGCTCAGATTCCTGTTCCTCCCAGGACACGGATATATCTCTACCAGGACCCCTCACCAACAGCAGCAATGCTGCACCTTCCAACGGTATCTACAACGGGACTGGCATGTTATGCAACGGCCTTTATTTTAGCTACAAAACAAAGAAAAAAGCTCATCCGGTTTCATCTACATATCTGTGTACAATACAATGTCAACATAAGCCATGTCTCTGTCTGATGCAGCGGAGGCTTCCGTCGATGGGGCGGGGCGTCCGTCGTCCTTTCCATCTCCCACACTGGAGCCTCCGGAGTCTCTAAAGGACGACTTCAAAGTCATCAATCCGAATGACGACATGAATGATCTGAACATACCCGTCAAGCCTGCCACCGAGTATGAGACGGAACAGAACAACCTCCCGCTCAAGCCTCAGCAGCAGCCGCAGCTACAAGGTACGCCGGTTAAAGCGTGGAAGGATGACGTGACTCATGATGATAATAACGTCCGTTCCGAAGCGCAATCTGAATCCCTCCTCTCTCCTCACTTGCAGGCGAATACTCGCTCCCGTTGCGGCACTCCCCTCCTTCACAAGGCCCGATCGCCCAGTGGATCGCCACGCGCCGCGAGGAGATCGTCTCCCAGATGACGGAGGCCTGCCTGAACCAGTGCCTGGACGCCCTGCTGGCCCACGACGTGCTGATGCGGGAGGATTACGAACTAGTGGCGACCCAGAACACTCGCACCGCCAAGGTCCGACAGCTCCTGGACAACTGTCACCGGCGCCGCGAAGACTTCTGCAGCATCGTCGTCCGCAAGCTGCGCGACAACAAGCAGATGGGCCTGCAGCCGTACCCGCCGGAAATTGGGTCCCCCAACCTCGCCCCCTCCGCGCCCCCGCTGTCAATGTCCTACAACATCCCCAGGAACATGTAGCGACAGTCGCAGGCAAACGCTACAAACAATCCGGGCGGTAGACGGTGCCAGTTTAACAGCACGCGTAGCGCTTATTGCTGCTGCGTCTGGTGAGGTGGTCACCGGGGTTCCTGTCACGTCTTCCCCTCGCGGAGGGACTGAGGCCCGGGTGAGCCAACAGCGCCACAGGTACACAACCACGCAACGCCCTTTGAAGGATCTCCACGCACAGGAGTTCACGTGTTTTAAGTTATTCTTTTGTTTCCACAACTTTCCATTATGTGAGTATGTGATTTAGTAGCTGTGTGTGTGTTTGTGTAAGAGTGTCTGTCTGTAACCTTATTTATAGAATGCAATCTTCCTTAAAACAATCCGTCAAGTAAGTGACGGAAGGACTGCTAACACGCTGGAAAACCTACAGCAAATTAAATCAATCCTGATCTTAAGGTCCCCTGTAGGCATGCTGAGCTATCGTGATGATGTTCACCATCTGAGCCAAGTCAGTGAGTATGTGGCCCCGAGTGTGTTTGTATTGGATCACATGACTCAATCGGGGAGAAACCCAGGGATGACTTCAGAGGCAGCAGTAGATAATGTTCCATGTGCTTTGGGGAGTTAACAGCTTTACAAAGTGAAGTGTTGGAGTGATTCACGGGTCACTGTGGCCATTCGACCATATAGAAAGTTTCGTCACTGCCTTTTTCCTTCCTCTTTTGGTTTAGTGCTGAGCTGAGAGATTCCCTGAGATCTGGAGCAAAGAGGAAGTTAAGAATGTGATGTGAGACTTTAGATTGAGACGTCTGTCCCGATTTAAAAGTGGACCAAAGTGATCCGTCTTTTCAGTAGTGGCCTCACCTCTCAGTATTCTTAATAATAATAACAATAATAACTTCAGGCTCATCTGGAATTTGTGGTTTATACGTGAGCTCCACAGTCCGTGAATCTGCTGCTGAGTTGCTCTGCAACAAATGAAGCGGCTTTGCTTGGTGCCACCTGCACTGCAGTGAAAATACCCAGAAAAATATATGGAATCACAGGCCAAACAATAATAAATGGATAGGTATTATGCAGTTTTTTCCAAGAACATCTGGATTTTTGTACCAAGAAACCCTGTCTGCCAAAATAAACATAACATTAGCAAAATGTTTTAAGTTTGACATCAGTCATTTTTTTGTATTTGGCCAAATATTGATTTCTTTGTGACCACTTTGAAGATTATAATTCTAGTAGAAATGGGGCCATGACGGTGTTTAAACTAGGATGTTTAATTTATTACAAATCTGCTCAAAGCATATTTCAGTTTACTTAAAAAGAAATCACCATTGCACAGTTAAATAGTTGAGATGATTTGGATGCCCCGGCTGTGGTTTTCCTGCCGTGCAGTCTATGCAGTCATTGCTCACTTCATCTTCTTACATTGTATCAAAACAACGGTGACAACTCTGTGTGTAATAATTTATTCTCTTTTTCTTGTGTACATCAATGAGATTCAGCAATCCTTAATGCTGTTAATTGCCAGAACCTTTAACTTTAACCTTTAACTAGTTTGTATACATAATACTGAGTATTATAGTTTCATTGTTACTTCACATATACACATTGTATATAAATGTTCTTTGTTCCAGAGAGAAATAAATGCCTTCTGTTTCCATGACACAGTTTTAACTTTGTCTTCCTAATCAACATATTTATATGGGACTATAACGTTGACTTTTGCTTTATTCAATAACGTATTCGATATCCTAAAAGTTTCTCTTACAAGCACATTTTGTTATTTTTTTTACTTGTGTCTAAAGATGAATCCATTTATCAAAACAGTTGCGGATGAGTTTGGTCGTTTCAGCTCGACGTTGTGTGCACGTATTCCTTTTATTAAGGGAATTACTTCGCTTGACTCCCCACGGTGTCCTAATTCACAGAATTACAGTCTGTACATCCTCGTATTCAACTGAGCGAGACATTTTGGTTGTGATTCCCGTAATTATAGTAGTAAGAAATCACACCCAACATGATATAATTTAAACCATAACAGAAGGGTCAAGCAAGGTCACTTGGTTTCCATAATTTTTCCGCTTGTATTTGCCTCGTGTTTGGTGTTCCTCATATTCTGCTTTCGGCCTCAACTATAGAAACAAGCCATCGCCGTTTACACGTGAAGTAAAGCTGAGTGGAAACACAAGTGTGATCATAAAAATGTGAAACATATGCTGTGCTAGAGAAAGTAGTCTCATCTCATTTATAAATAGTTTAATTTGTGATCAGTTGTTTTAACGTCATGTATCATAAGTGATTATTTGTAATTATTTAACCGTCTGTTAAACATAGAAATATTTCTAATACTTTTCACGTCATGAGATCTGTAAGAATATCATTTGTTACAGAAAGTGGAGTTAATCTGTTGCTGTGGTTTCAACAGAAAATACGATTTTTTATATATTGTATCAAACTATTCATTAAAATGGATAATTTTCTACTTCTGCCTGCTTTTTTTGTTGTCCCTTTTTGTTTTTCTGTTGCATCAAATTAACGTGAATGTGTAGCCAATCAGCGACGGATAATGTTGCCATCTATGTAGGGCTGCTATTTGGATGCCAACGACCAAGAGGATTCATGAATAGCAATAGATTACTGAACTGTCCCAGCGGGACTTGAGCTTGATGCACCTGCTAAATGTCACGGAAAGAGAAGCACGATGGCCGCAATGAGACATTGGGGGGGGACATAATTACCATTAGTGTCTATTTTATCAGGGGACTTTTTCATGTGTGTGTGTACTATATATATCTTTCTCTATCCATAGTTTTTATGTGCGTCTTTGTCTCCTTTTTGTTCTGTTGGTCATCTTACTTTTTTATAATCTCTTCAGACTGTGTGTGTGTGTGTGTGTGTGTGTGTGTGTGTGTGTGTGTGCGCGCGCGCGCGTCACTTGTCACAGTGCATCGCACATTCCACAATGACGCTTCATAAATTCTCTGTCCTGCCCGGTCACGTGACCCCAAGGAGGCCGCGGGAGCCGAGGCTGTCTTCCCTCTCAAATAAGCACAAAAGAAAAGGTTTTTTTTTTTGGGGGGGGTGGGGGGGGGGGGGGCATGTTGGTAGCGTTCCTTTGGCGCTGGGAAAACACGCGTCGCGGTCGTGCTATTACGATTACGATTGCGACATCGACCGTCATGTTGCCACCACTCAGATGTCCCCCCGCCGAGGTCTCGCTGGTCCCGGTTCACAGGAGCAGCGCTGGCCTTTGAGGAGACTGGACACGTGACACGCCTGTTGATCTAGAAGCAAAGTAAGAGCTCCCTTTTTGTCATTTTGACACAGTCGTTTGTGTCTTAGCGTGTCCGAGTGCACCACCTGCCTAAAAGGTTTGTGTGTGAGATCCTCCCTGGGGGATTTGGCATCATGTATGACCTTATTTCTTATAGTTGACGTGTTCAGTTTTATGCTTCAGGCTCAGGAAAAAGAAAACTTCATTGTCGAACTGGAATAATCCCTTTCATCTCCAGATTAGACGCCGGCGTCATGGAGAATCTGAGGCGGAAGGTGGAGGTCATGTCGCAGTCAATATGCCCGAGTTCACGGGCCCCATCTGAGGAGGATTCCAAGGCCCAGAATAATGGGAAAGAAGAGAAGATCCACTTGAGGAGAGAAATCTCCCTTTTGAACGGGATCTGCCTGATCGTGGGGAACATGATCGGCTCTGGAATCTTCGTCTCCCCGAAGGGGGTGCTCATGCACAGTTCCTCCTACGGGCTGTCTTTGGTCATTTGGGCCGTCGGGGGCGTATTCTCCGTGTTTGGCGCTTTGTGCTACGCGGAGCTCGGCACCACCATCCCCATGTCCGGAGCCAGCTACGCCTACATCCTGGAGTCGTTTGGAGGCTTCCTCGCCTTCATCCGTCTGTGGACGTCCATCCTGCTGATCGAGCCGGCCAGCCAGGCTGTGATTTCGCTGACCTTCGCCAACTACCTGGTGGAGGCTTTCTACCCCACCTGCCAGCCGCCGTACGACGCCGTCCGACTTATCGCTGCAGCCTGTCTCTGTAAGAAACGCTCCGGTGTCGGTCCACGGTTCATCACTAAGAAAATGTCTGTGCAATTCAAATTCAGGCGGGAAGAACTCACATTACTGCCGTCTAATGTTTGATGTTCACACTCATCCTAGTTCCTGACCCCTTACACTTAAAGCAACAATATTTTTTCACTTCAATTGGACATTTAATTTATTTACTTTCCGAACCGTGTGCAATCCAGCGTGTAATCCATCATCCTTGAGCAAAATTGTCAACAACGCGTATCAGATTTGTGTGAAATTACTGCTAATACAAAAATATTATCTGCTTTTGCACTAAAAGATATGAAACTGATTAAACATATTGTGGCTTTACATGGAACACACATAATATATTTATTTTATATTTTATATATATATATATTATATATATTTGTGTGAGTTCAGATAATATTATCTGTGTTATGGAAACATAAATAAGTGCTTTGACTTGAGCCATTAAGGATAGTAAACCCTGGTAGATGTTGAGACACATTCATCCCAGTACAGAACTCAGTGACCCTGAGTACTGGCACCAGTTATAGATAGACTGGGGACCAGTCTGTGCTTTACAGTCTGGCTTTGTGCAGAGAAGAATGTAAGCAGCCGGGAGGCCAGTTAGGTGAGAGAGCAGCAATGCAACACGCCAACCTGCCAACAAGCGAGTTTTACATTGTGTGCCGTCAGGCAGACTTTAGACATGTGGAGATGGTCAGCGATCTCCTGCATGGAGCTCAGCAACAGCGTGCTTCTAGTAGCCATATGGCTTGTTGCAGATAGAGTTTCACAAACACACATGATTCATCAATGAAAATGCAAGAAAGTAGAATTTGTACCCAAAGCTTCATTCGCCGTTGTTTGTATACATTCACTGGTTAATTTGTTCCCGTATTCCTCTGGTGTGTCCAGGTTTGCTCATCTTTATTAACTGTGCCTGCGTGAAGTGGGGGACGCGGGTGCAGGACATATTCACTTACGCCAAACTCATGTCGCTCTGCCTCATCATCATCGTAGGAATACTGAAGATAACATCTGGTGAGATTAAGTAGGAGCCAGGATGCATTGATGGAAACAAGAACGATATGCGCTTTATACTTTGTCTGACCTCGATGTAGGAGAATCAAAGAGCTTTGATAGTCCGTTCGAGGGATCCAACACAGATCCCGGAGCCATTGCTTTGGCCCTCTACTCGGCTCTGTTCTCCTACTCCGGCTGGGACACACTCAACTTTGTCACCGAAGAGATTCAGAATCCAGAGAGGTAACACACACAGACGCACGAATGGAAGTGTGCACTTGAGCCTGCATGGACACGTTTAAACTGGATTTAATGGAGTAATGCAGCTACTCACACTATGCTTTCCTTCGCGCAAAACGCTCCGAAAGAAACAACTTTACACTTGCTGCTCAACACTGAACATCCAATAGAAAAATGTAGCAGCTAACTGGTGAACTCAGCGAGGCATTTAGCATCTGCCCGCAGGAATTGGTGGAGACCAAAGAGCTAATAGAGTAACTAGTTTAAATAGCCCCTAGTTGCACAAGCGTGCATCAATGCCGGTGTTGCTCAATATAATCCCAGATGACGGGACAGCTTTTTCTTGCTGCCTCCAAAAGGCCAAAATATTCCACATTAACGGCGTCTTCTCAGATTACAACAGGACATTCCAGTTCCTTCCTCTGTAATCCTTCTCTCTGTGTTTAAGGAACTTGCCCCTGGCCATTGCAATCTCCATGCCCATCGTTACCATCGTCTACCTGCTGACCAACGCTGCGTACTACGTGGTTTTGGACATGGCGTCCCTGCTGGCCAGTGACGCCGTTGCTGTGGTAAGACACAAACTGTCCCCCGAGAGAGACGATTCCCTCCACTGCTAAAAATAGTCCTGGAATTGTTGACACGGAACGCCTCGCGCTCTGACTTGAACGGACCGTGTCCCATCTGACCCCACAGACGTTTGGCAACGCGGCCCTCGGGCCGTTCAAGTGGATCATCCCCGTTTCAGTGGCCATGTCGTGCTACGGAGGACTCAATGCTTCTATCATTTCCGCCTCACGGTAATCAGGAGGCGCTGCGCCGGCGCCCACTTCAGACGTGTCCTTTTCGCTCTGCCTGCCGAGTAACTTTCGTTTCTTTTCGTTTGTTGATCACGCAGGCTGTTTTTCGTTGGCGCCAGAGAGGGCCACCTCCCCAACAGTCTGAGTCTGATCCACACGCAGCGCTACACACCCATACCTGCACTGCTCTTCAACGTGGGAGACGTTCTGCTCCTCATTCAGATTCCTCTGCCGGAGACGCGCGAACGTCACTTGTGGAATGTGAGAATATCGGTTTGTGCTCCACAGGGGTTGATGGGTCTGATCTTCCTGTGTGTGGAGGACGTGTTCCAGCTCATCAACTACTTCAGCTTCAGCTACTGGCTCTACGTGGGTCTGTCGGTGGCCGGCCTCATCTACCTGCGCATCACTCAGCCGGACAGACACAGGCCGGTGAAGGTGCTGCTTTCCTTCATTGTTCATGCTGAATAAAATCCAATGAATATGGTACATGAGGCCTTCTGTACATACAGTGCCAGAGGTCCCGTGTGAAACTATTTAAAATAGTGTTATCGCTTAAAGGGATCATTTCCGGATGGCAAACTCTTCATGCTGTGCCAAAAAAGATTATAATTAGACACAACGCAATGTGAAGCACTGATAGTTTCTACAGATAGTGTTTATCTCATTCTGCATTTCGACACTCACTTGTTGTTGTTTTTTCTCTCCACAGTTGAGTTTGTTCTTCCCCTTTATCTACTGTCTGTGTAGCCTGTTCTTAGTCATCGTTCCTCTGTACGGAGACACCATCAACTCCCTCATAGGAATCGCGATTGCGCTGTCCGGGGTGCCCGTCTACTATGTGGCCATCTACCTGCCCGATGAGAGGAGGCCAAAATTCCTACGCAAGTTAAACGGTAAGCTGAAACGTCCGCGTGCAAACATGTGACGGGACGAAACCTCACGTGCATGAAGCATGAGATCATCAAACACAAGCATTCACCTAGTATGTGGACAATGTGTCTCCTTCCACATCCTGCTTACTCACTTCTCCTCCTCCTCCTCCTCCTCCTCCAGACTTTGCCACCAGATCGACCCAGGTGCTGCTCTGCTGCTGTCTGACTGAATTTGACACCGAGACAGAAGCAGGCGGTAAAACGCAGTGAGCTGCAGACGATGCATTGCTCTCTGGCCGTCTTTCTGCAGGAGGACTCAGTTTTTGACCGAATGTCAATGTGCATTGCGCTCACAAACCCGGGAGGGCTTTGCAGGGACGGAGTGACGTGGCGCGGGCTCGCAACGTTTGTGAGGATTACTTCTCCCAGGTCAATGTTAAAAGAGGCCTGACATCGCAAATTACTCATTACCAAGGAGAAACTGTGACTTTCTTGTGAATATGCGATGCCCTTTGACGTCAGGGGATTTCATCCACCAACCGAACACTTTTTTTATTTTTTGCACTTGTGTATGAAGAAGTTTGAAATAAAAGCTAATTGTACTTATAATGGCCCTTATCTATAGCAAGCTGTAAATCGGCTTATTTGATGAAGTTGCACTTTCTTGTTTCTTGTTAATTTGGGTTTGAATCCTTATGGTTGAAATGCACTTATTGTAAGTCGCTTTGCACAAAAGCATCAGCTAAATGACATGTAATGTAACGTAATGTAATTACACAAATGTGAAGACTATGAAATTGTTCATTTCAACCAATATTCTGGGATTTATTCCTGAGGAGCTCCACTATGAAACAGAAGTTAAGTCCTTTGTTCAAAGGATCAATGGTTGATCTCAATGTCATGTTTCATGAAGACTGTCACAGCTTATTGGACAGATTTTCTGAAGGTTTTTAGCAAACAGACATGGACAGCACATGCATTATCTGACTGATCTCTGGCAAGAAACTCACAAACGGGCTGATTCACTATTTGCAGGCATGATTCTCTCCACCGCGAGGAGCAGTTTCTCAGATACATCAACCTGAGCATTCCGGGAGAGACAAAAGTAGGACTGTCCTCAACCAAACCAAAACTAATCAATACGTTGATTTCATTGACAGGTCTGTGAAACGGAGGTTCTCCACAACGAAATCACACAACAGCACCACTTTGACCTCAACAGCAGGTTCAGACACCAATGATAATGTATATATGGTGATATTTGTAACAATCTCTATTTGGTCTCCTGTAAAGTGCAACATTTAGTTAGTTTAATTAGTCTTAAATGTAGCTGTTTATATTTCTGTTTCTTCTTCATATCATTCTTCATTATTTGAAGTACTATTTAACAAAAGGTACTTACATCTTTGCAATCCATACATATGTATTCGGAGCCAACCACATTGGAATACAAAAAGGAGAGGACATGTTGAAACCTCACCGTTTAAAGACTGTAGATACAAACACATATTTTTGCTTTGATTGATTTATTGGAAATTGTTCATACAATTCAGAGGCATCAGGTGTTAACATCTGTGTTCATGTGAAACCGATAACTGAATCATTTGTATCAAATCATTTAAAACTACATTTACAGTGTGTCTTAGATGATTACTATGTACCTTTATGAGGCCTACGTGAATACAAGAAGAAGATAAATACACTGTTAGGAACCAGTATTCTCTGAAGACGTTGTGAGATTTCCGCCTAAAGTAAGGTGCAGTTGGCGGAATCGAACCCGGGACAGATCCACTTATTGCTGAACTGTTTGTATCCCTCTGCCTTGATCAGGTCACTTCCTGAACAGAGGAAAGCATACAGGTTTTCATTACCATGGTTCCTATGAAGGAAAACATTGACATGGTTCATTGAATGAACACATCTCAGGGTGCCAGGTGGAATATTTACCGTCCATGAGGTTCTGGAGGCTGCAGTAGTTTACGCTGTCATCGGCTAGGTCTTCGGAGAACTCAGATACTGCTTCTCCCTACACATCAGAAGCACCAGGAGGCAAACAGTGTGTCAACAAGGAGCGTCAGGGACTCGAGCCAATTCGCTCGGAACTCTCCTGAACATTTTCTATCCAGTAGCCGAAAAGTCCGAAAAATAACGTCTACCCCCATTGGTGTGATACTTTTCTATTTCATCTGATTATTAAAAGTCCATGTCACAGGTTTAATGTTCACAGAGCAGATGCTGCACCCTGTGACCCAGCAGAGATGGATAATGCATTCCGATGGGGTTTGACTTGCATGAAACCTACAGGGCTAAAGGGTCAAATGCTTGTTAGACAAGGTGCTTGTGAATCCAAATATTTTTCCACATGTTATCTTGGTCAGGAGGAAACCACGGGACTCACAAGACACGCATTAGTCATGTATGTGCACAGAAAATGGAAAGTGTTAATCTATTATTGATTTGTATGATGTTTTGATTGATACATAAGCTTTTGAAGTGTGTACCAGTATGAGATATCTCATGTGAAACTCATGTATTTGTTGTAATATTTAATATACAAAATGTTTTAGTGAACATAATCTAGATTTCCAGCCCAGACGTGGTGCTTTATGATGTTGTTTAACGATGTCATAAGTGGGCTTGAGCTAAACATTCAAACACGTCAATGCTTGCACCACTAGAGGACACATTGTATGATGATTACATCTGGTCTTCACTTGACTTTATCAACAAAGTCCTGCGGTCTTCAACAAATCGTTTTCAGCACAACTAAAATGAAGTAGCAAGTCTGTTTACTTGTTCAGAAGAATAAGAGAAAGCCCTTACGGTCACTTTGCAAACGGTGGACTGCTCCAGGAGAAACTGAAGGTCATTGACGTTTTTGGTTCCAGGAGACGTGTGCGCGGCTTTGATCACGTATGGAGCTGTTGACACAAGCTGCGAAGCAAATTCAGTCAAGTCAAGCGAGCACAGTATGATCGCGTAAACGTATGTTTTATTCGATTTAAGTTGTTTCACCAGCTTTGACAGACGCTGTTGCAAACACCCAATGACATTTTGGTCTATTTAAAAAAATTGGCTATATGTTATCTCTATGAGTAAAATAAAACCAGTTTTGCATCCTTAATGAATGCTGGACATGTAGCTCATTTTCACCATAATTAATGTACAATACTTGAGCTAACAGATCTCTTTCTAACCTCGTACGAGCACCTCTCTCCGGTATATTGACAGCTTTGCCCAATCTGCCAGGCCTTGATCTGGCTCACCAGCTTCACAGTTACATCTTCGCACGAGATGCCGAACAACCTGCAGAACCAAAAAAGTAACGCTTCATCACTGGCATTGTTTAAAGTATCACTCAATATATCATTGGTCGCAAATCTGTTTGTGGAAATCTGGATTATGTTGATAAATTAGTGTATTGTATATTTTATATAAATATCTCCAGGCGGCTCAGTAATGAGTGTCTTGTGAGTCCTGTGGTCTCCCCACATCCAGGATAACGTGCGAGAAGCGAGGCTGCACAAAACTTTGTCTTCACAAGCACCTTGACAGTTAAGCCCTGACGTTTAATAATCAGATGAAATAGAAAAGAAATACAGAAAGTTCACATAGAGACTCCCCAAAGGCCACCACAGAACATTCAAACACAGTTTGATCCAATACAGGCGAATCAAATATACACTGAGAAATGAACATTACCATTTGATTTTGCACTGTGAGGTTCCGTCAGCCGGTGAGAGGCTGAGCGTGGCCCCCAGGAGGAGAGCAGAAGCTACCAACAGGAGTCTCAGGTCCATACCGAAGGCAGGTGAATCCAGTGTGTGTGGACGAGTGTGTGGATGTATTCCGAATGTGTCTCCTTGCTCTGCCCAAGAGGCTAAACAGACCATGTGGGTCATGCGGAAGAGATGACAGCACAGGAGTGATTAACATGCTCTACAGCACCGGAGAAAAAGAGATTGGAGGAAACTGAATATATAATTTCATCCCAAACGTTGTCCAGCAATGGGCACGCCATGGTGCAGGAAGAAACACGGAGGGTGGGTGGGACTTTATGTATCGCCCTCATCACTGACTTCATTGAAATTACCGTTGCAACCTCATCAACCATTTCTAACCATCCAAACAACTGCAATAGTAAAATCAAACTCAGTGACAAGTAATGTGTAGCGCGGGAACCAAATTAATTTAGACAGCACGGTATAGATTTCTAAAACGTACTGTAAAAATAGATACAGGTGGATAAAAAGGAGTTTTAGCTAGAGATTAATAATATTACAGTTCAATGGTTGCAGTTTATGCAAATTAGAATAGTTTGTTTTATATGTACAAGATTCAGAACGCGTGTAATCCCTGACAGTCTAACGTGGTAGCGATTTAATTGGTTTGTCCCGACACTAAACAGCCAATCCAACAACTCCGCTCTCAGGTGGAGGGGCGGGGCTTAGTATGCAGTCAGGTTCAGCGTTTGAACCTTCAGCAGATTCACTTATTACCGTCTAGCTACACAGGACGGGTGTAAAACATGTCGATAAAAATAAATCAAAAGACAACGGAATAACTGTTGAACGCGTTTATTTCGGTTCAGAGCGGCAAATGATTGTTTTGTCGTTTGATTGATTGATTAACACATGAGACTCCAGGATTAATCATAGCCTGGCTGTTAACCTGCTCTGGCGCAGGCTGGCTGCAAAGGATTAAGGTAGAAGTGTTAGAATTTCACTTACTGTTACTGTACTGTTAATTTATATTGAACTCATTTAATTTCATTGAAGTTTTTTTCTTTTACAACCTGCTCAGTTTTGCACTTTTCCTCCTCACCTCATTTCTGCCTTATCCTTACCTCATTTATGTAAATATTGTATTCTTATTTTAATTTTAATTTTAAAATTGGTCGGCTTCCCGGAAAGGCAAGCACAAGAATTTCAATACACAGGGCGTGTGTAAATGACAATAAAAATCTTTGAATCTCCTTGAATCTACATGGCTAGGTTTAATTCAACCTGCTTTCGTGCAACCAAGTGAAAGCTAAATTCATCCAGGATAACTTGAATATCCCGGCTTATTTGCTGATGTAGATTTTCTGCAATGTTTGCTGCAATTTGATGCTCTTGAGCGTTAACATAACCTCCGATTGGGGAAGTATTTGTTGGATGACCCTCTTGGCCTGAAAGAAACAAAGGATTTTTTACTTGTTAGTGTCCACTAGAGTGAACAAATACAGACTTAGATTACATCAGATCACACACATAATGACTCTTATTATCATGGAAAATAAAGAAAGAATTAGACATGACGGCAACTTTGTGAAGACTGTGATCATGTATTGGGTGATTTACCTGGTCCAGGAATGCGACTATTGTTTCTTCATTTAGCTCATGACTGGATTGGACAGCTGCCGTAATGAAGGCCACAGCTGGGTGTACAAAAGGAACGTCGTTAAAATGATTTCAGACATCAAATTGAATCATATTGTGGCAGCTTTAAACAAACTTACTATTTCCTGGAACAACGCTTGGTGCAGTAGTGGGCTGTCCAGAGGAGTTGGAAATCGACCCGATAGCACTGATTACGTCTGGGGACAGTGTTTGAGCAGCACATGAGGCCAAACAGCTGGCGAGTAGAATCAGAAGCAGCATGTTGAAGCTTGGTTTAAAGTAAAATCAGCGGTCCGTAGTGGAAAAGGTGTCGCCTCTGCTATTCCCAAAAGTGTCTGGTCTCTTTGTTTCTGTACAAGGAAGCGTAACTCTTGTGCGGGAGGGTGTGGCTGTAAACAAGAACGGCTGAGTGTGCCAAAGATAAAGATGGGTCAAATCAAGCAGGTGAAAACACATACAATGAAACCTGAGAGAAGCTCCTCATTCCAGCCCTGCAGCGCATGCGCATTTCTCTACTGTGATTCGCTTCATCGGCACAGTGTTTGTTTGATTTTAACTCTTTCTTCCACTAAGGAAAATAGTTTCAGACTCTCTTGAAAAGGTCAAAGTGGGATTTTTTTTAGATTTAACATCAAAGGAGAATTCTAATTTGGGCAAACAACAGCTCTGTGTTTTTGTGCTCCTTTTTAATTAAGTTGTCCGAGTCAGTTTTATTCTTTAAGTTTCTCAAAGCAAACAGATTACAGAGATCATACGTCTTATATAGTTTTATTTATTTAAATGAAACATAACAGCTGTTTAGACTAACTAAAGTGTGGTGTGGACTTTTCTGACATAATCTGACATAATAGTCATCTTCTTTAAGCTACAATGTAAAAACTATAATGAATGTGTGAAATAGATAAAGTCAAAAACAATATCATATATATAAGTAATAATAAATCAAACATTTTAATGTATTAAAATACATCATGTCACAACCCATCCTGATAACTGATAACTGAAAAGCAGCATTAAATTCAGCTTGAAAAAAATCACTACGGGTTCTTCAACTTGCTGCTGCTTGCGGGGCTGGACCGTCCTAGTCAGACCCAAGCCCAGCTCCATGGTCTTCAGCGGGGGGGAGAGGAGAGAGCAGACGCCCGGGGGCTGCTTCCGGTCGAGGACGCAGGAGACCTGCAGTACACAAAGACACCGGCAGCATAAAGCCACAGAGGAATCCCAATTCAATCTCTTGCTTGACAGAAGTACACAGGGCGACAATAGCTTAATGTTTTATGCTATATATTCATCCTGTATATAAATTATTCTCGATCGGTTCCATCGATGAGAGCAGAAGTAACTCATTTTGCTCAAGCAGACTTTTACAAATATTTCATCATTTAAAGCATCTGACAATAAGCCCCGATTGTTTCTGCAACTTCCATCATCACCGCTGGAGGAGGTTTAAGGACAAGTGACTCCAGTCTGACCGGATGGAGGCGGCGCTTGCCATGGAGCTCTGACGGCTGGAAGCTTGAGATGGAAGAGACAGATTGGCCTGAAAAAAGAATGCCACGAATGAAAATGAGGCACAACGTATCACGGATAAATGCTAAATCAAACCTTTTTTTACCTGCATGAAGTATTTCTCCACCACTAATCTGAGGTCTGGTTTGTCCTCCGTGGCCTCACACAGCATGTTGCTGATGCTCTTATTGAAATCTTTCAGCTCTCTCAGCTTAATGTCCGTCTCCTCAAAAGTCTCAGTCTTGGTGTTTTTTCCTGAGCGGATCTCTTTTAAGTGAGTTTTGAGCACTGGAGGACAGAGGGGACACAAAAGAAACCCCTGCTGATACTTTTCTGTGGTCAGAGATACTCATGACGTAAATACACATAACATCATTTGTTTATTCACTGGATCACACAAAAAGTGGGACTGGTTTCAAACCTCCTTCGTGGCTCTGTCGACCTTCTCCTGCTGGGAGGCGATTTCTTTGTTCAGTTTACTGATGAGTGACTGCTTGTGCTCTATTTTATCCTTCTCCACCGTCTCCTCTTGCAGCAGACTCTCTAAGATATTGTTCATGTCCTGGAAATGAAGATAAAGGCTTGTTTCACACAAAAGAAAGTTGTTGGGTGAGTCTAATCATGATGCTCGGATGCGCTTTCAGGGACAACGCCTAAATAACCTGTAAGTCCCGTTGGAGCTCTTTGACTCGTCCTTTCTTATACTCCAGTGTCTCCTCGGCCGCCCTAAACTGCTGTTGTAGCTTCTGTTCTTCCTGGTGCTCCGGACCTGAAACAGAAACCGTCTGAATGACTTTGTGATCAGCGAGAGGAAGAGGACAATCCGTCATAGATCACTTCCTACTGAGGATCCCTGTTGAGTGCCGTTTCATTCAGTCTACTCGGCCATACGTACTGGATTCATTTACTCTGTTGAGGGATTTGCGAAATGCCGAGTTACTGTTGTCGAACAACTGAAAGGTGTTCTCCAGGGCTCTGTTTTCCAGCTCTATCTTGCGGATTTCAGCATCCAGATAGTCTCCGTTCCGCTTGAGCTCCTCTTTCTCTTGTGCAGCCTGATGAGAAGCAAACGGCAATGGTTCAAAGAGCCGGTGTTCAGACGACGTAAAAGGCTGTGTGATTACGGGCCTCTCACCTTTGTGATGTAGTAAGCCTGTGATCGCTCCTCATCCCCGTGAGGAGCGGCCATCGAATACATCAAAACCTCAAAGCGTTTTTTCTTTGTGTCGATCTGGCACAGTTTCTCATTCAGTTCGTCACTGACACAAAATCAAAAAAAATGAACTCTTCCGTAAAAATATTTTCAGAAGCGGGACATGAAACGGAGGGCGATGAAACAGTGGGCTGGAGGAGCAACGTGGGATCTGCGCTCACAGCCTATTTACCTGAGTCTCTGTCTCTCCATCTCACTGATCTTGAGGTGAAGGCTGAGCATGTCTTTGTAGACCTTCACCTCTTGCTCCCTGTCCTCTATGGCTTTCTGCAGCTGCAGCTTCCTCTTCTCCAAAGACAGCACGCTGCCGGCCTTGTTGTACAGCAGATCCCTCATACGCTTGACTTCTATCTTCATGACGTTGTGCTCCACCAGGTTTTCCTGATGAGGAACAAGTGAAGTCAACATAGAGCTTGGTTTTGTTCCACGTGCAGGTGAGGCTCATTTTCAGATCAAGACTTAATGTCAGCTACATTTTTGTGTGAAACCATTAAAAGCATCATGAGCAGGCTGATGAATGTTAAACATCTACTAGTTTAACACCGTTAGGTTAATGGAGATAATGAGAACAAACACACACACATGATGTCCACGGGTCATATGCAATGATAGCAGTTAGTTACCTCTTTGCTGAGACGGAGTCTCTTCAGATCCTTTTCATTGATATTTTGGAGAACAATGAGCTCCTCAACCTTCTGGGTCAGATCTTTCTTTTGAGTCTCTGACTTCTCCATCTCTTTCCTCAAATAGCGAATGTCGTCCTGTCAGAGACGCGGGATTATTTCATGGGTTCAGTGTGTGAAAAAATGCAGAATAGTTGGGAGAGGTGAGCAACAATCCAGACTAACTTCAGCCTCCTTGAGTGTGTTGGTTAGCGAGTTGGCCGTCTCCTTCTTCTCCTCGAGGTCTTTCTGTAGCTGACCAATCTTAAGGTCCAGCATTTCTTTTTCAGCTGGCTGAACGCCGCTTTGCAGCCATTCCAGTTTTCCACGCAGGCGATTGATCTTTGAGTCCTACCACAGTGTAAGGAAAGTCTGAGTAAACGTGCAGTGTGATAGTAGAAAGTCACACTTGCGGTGTGTTTTTGGTAAGCGTGCCTCTTCAGCTGTGATGATCTCCTGTCTTCTCAAATCATTCTCCAGCTGTCTGAGCTGGCTCTCAAGGCTGTTGATCGTGTCTTTACTCCTTGAAACCTGGGCAATAGATTCCTTCTCCTTTGTCTTTAGCGCCTGCAACCACTCCTTACGACAAAAAAACTCCTTGCGGCAGTCAATCAGCTGGACCTCCAATTCCTATAGCAAACCACAGATAAATCAGGATTACACCAGTGCCGGCACGTAGCTTCATCCTTTTGGTACCAGTGAAATTGGCGGTCTTTTGTGGGCGGTTACTTTAGTTTTTGAACAATGTATTTGTATCTCTACAGAACAACTATCTCATCTTTGATTGGTCGTGTTGATTCATTGTTTTTAGGAGAACATTGATCATTAATGATCATAAAACATGATTTTAAAAAACACTGTTTGCAGCTCACGCCACATAAAGCACTAACAAAACCCACCAAACCCTGAATGGAGTCCTGCATGAGAGGGTTTAGTGCCGTTTTAGATTCATGACTGCACTGACAGAAGTTTATGTTTTGATTGTCAATTTGTGTTCTGACGTGCAAAATAGTCCCCGATGTGAGAACCAAACAGAAAACAGATCAGATTACGGCTGTATGTTTCAGGATCATCAGGCCGCTTACCTTGATTTCCTTTTCCTCCTCCTTGAGGAGTTGTTCCATTTGTTCAGCTCTCTCCTCCTCATCAAGGGCTGTCTGAGTCACAACCTTCAGCTTCTCTTCCAGTGCAACATTGTAGGCCCGGGCCTTCTTCAGCCTACAGAACACACACACATACATTTGGATGCAGCTCGTGTACGATAATATAGCAACAATCTCTCAAAGGATTTAAACAGACTTTTCATTGTTATCCTGGATGTCTTTCTTCAATCTGGATATTCGGGACGTCACAGATTTCACATCGGAGTTTGCTCTGTCCAGTGTGCCTTTGCAAATATCCAGCTGCAAGACATATATGACAATCAATTCGTTCATTCTTCTCAAACAAAATCGAGCTGTTCTTTGACCCAGGCTCGCAACGGAAAACAATTGTTAATGGGATTCAGAACGCGACCTCATTCTTCAGGCTGCTGCAGTCACTCTCCTGCCTCTTCAAATCCTGACGCAGCCTTACAGCCTGTTGGTTGGCCACGGTTATCTTCTTCTCGGTTTCCCTGTTGTTGTTCCTCTGAGTATTAAACAGGTGCTTTATCTCTGTGACGGTGCTATTCCTCTCCCTGATGTCCTGGTTGGCTTGGGCAAGTAGCTGGATGTATGGAGGAACAAGATGGGAACACAGAGGGTACGGTTCACCGTGCGTTCATTCGGATGGTTTTAATTGTGCAGAGTCCTATCTGCTTCAGATGAGTCATCGTGCATTTTATCATCAGACGCGCAAGGTCACAGGCGTTACCAGAGCAGACTGCTGCATCGCAGCGTCTCGATGCTTCATCTGCTTGATGGTGTTCTCCCATTGGTGAATGAGCTGCTGTGTCTCCAGGTGGGCCTGCTGCAAATTCTCTGTAGTTTTATCCAAAGCAATCTGTTTGGAAAGCAGAAGAAAGAGTGCATTTTCTAGGCATTCTTAAAGATTTCCAATCTGCAGCCTGGACTGTGGGAATGCACAGTGGTGTCTCAGAGTACCTGTGCCGATAAGGTCTCAGTCAATTCTTTGTCGAGTGCCTTGTGCTTTTCATTGGCCTCCATTGTCTTCTTCTCTATAGCCATAGTGAGCGACTACATTGGAGAGATTACAAAGCTCTTAGTGTGAACAGCGTTTCAGTTTACAGAAAACAGAAAGTACACACGGCCCATTGGAACTTCTTCCAGCCCTTATCTCCTCACCTTGATCCTCTGCTCATCTTGCTGGGCGTACTTGATGATGGCCATGGTGTCTTCATCCTTGCATTCAGAGTCCTGTAAAAAGGCATCCATGGTCTGCTGGTCCCAGTTCATCTGGTTCCTGAACTCCTCAAGCTTCTGTGTGGCCTTGAAGATATGGTTCTGAGGACATGGACGCAGGTTGAATGTGTCAATTCAAATAATTGCAATAATGTAATAAAGTCTAAAGGAAATGAGTTGTGGGTGTATAAACCTCTAGCGCGTTCTTCCGTTCTGCTAAAGATCTATTATCATTCTCCATCTTCGCAGTCTCCTGTGCTAGGCGACCTGTCTCTCTTTCTGCGAGGGTGGTAAGGTGGTTTTCCAACTCTCCTTCCCTTTCCTTCGCCTTGCACAGGGCCTGCGTGCAAAGTCAAAGAGAGAAATTAACAACACCCCCGGTGCAGTGACTATAACCCAAGTCAAACGGGACACACACGCTTGGCTGATATTTAACAAACACACAACGCATTCAGATATACGTACCTCAATATTATCCAGTTCTTGTTTAGCGCGTTTAAGGAATTCAGTCTTCAACTGCTCGGCATGTTTGTTCTTCTGAATTTTGTTTTCCAGTTCAACCAACTGTTTTTCTTTCTTGTGAATCTGTTGTTGAGGTTGAAGTCGTCACGTTAAAAGCACAACCTGACCTACAGTCTGCATCAGCTGTCTCATGCCCATCACCGCGTGCAGGTACAATCATGCTAGAGCAGGGGTCTCAAACTCGCGGCCCGCGGGCCAGTTGCGGTTCTCTGGACGATATTTTGTGCCCCCCTCACCACCTCAATGTGAAGGCGTAATGTACCCCCCGTCAGCGCCACCCCGTCGGCCCGCGTTCGATCGAGGTGGGATCTGCATCTGGCCAGTACCCGATTTGAGTTTGAGACCCCTGTAATAAGAGCATTATGTAAAAGTTATTGGGGAAGCTCATTTGAATACGCATGACCTGGATTCTATCACAAGTTAAAACAGGCATCACGGCGGTTGATTCGAACATTTTTATTGTTCAAAACGTCAAACTAGTACTAACACAGCACGGCCGGCAACTTCTTCACAAATCCATCGCGTCTGAAACGAACAACGGTCGCCGTTGTCGTCGTAAGCGCCGCCGCGCCTCACCTCCTCCATCAGGGCCTTGTTGGCGGCGTTGAGTTCGGGGATGGCGAAGCGCTCACCCCAGCCGACCTCACCCGAACCCGGATCAACAACACCGGACATTTCTCCCGCGCTGTTCCGCTGAGCCTCTCCGGATGAAACGACGACGACGTTCAAATAAAGTGCCGCGTGTTTCGGCGTTCGTTTAAAAAAAAATCCGCCGCTGCGATCGATTGTTTCTGCAGTTTGCCGTTGCCACCGTTGTCTTGTTGGCGGTCGCCCCTGGCAACCGCTTTTGGCCGATAACCGCTATCGCCACCAGGAGGCGAGAAGGAGTCCGTTGTGCCGCAGAAGTGGTTTCCCCTCCTTCTCAATGAGCGTCAAAGTTCAACAAGGAAGTGCAACAACAAGAGTTTAAACGCGTCGTACAAAGATGCAGCATTTTTTTTAAGCAGAAAAATACAAAGGCCTGGCAGCTTTAAAGATACCAAATTGAAACATTTATTTTATCTTTATACATTTGTGTTTAAACAAACAGCATTATGCTTAAAAAAATTACAATCAATGTTTTATACTGACTTGTCGCACACATGTATCATAAAACAAAAACAGGAATGCACACAAGAGTATTAAAATTAATTATTTAAAGAACAACATCCCCTGGCAAACCCTCATGTCCAGAGAACAATTCGAAAGTGTGTCTTTCTATCTGCTTTTGAGCGGCGCCCAATCACGTCAAGATGATGACTCCTCTAGTTGGCTTGAGCGCACACAAAAAGGCCCAATACTTAAGATAAAAGATCCAAACCACCACAAGTTGACCAACAAAGATATGCCTTTTTATATATATATATATGTAATTACACACACACACATATAAAGTCTCTGTTGTGTAAAATATTTCAGTCCTGAGGGTTGAAAAGGCAACATAGTTCTCAGCTCGGCGCTGTCTTCTTGTCCTCCGTTCACTGCGCACTCCGTTTTTTTTAGAAACCTCCCATGGACGTTCCCATAGTGAGAGCAGCCATCAAACTGCCGTGCTTTTGGTCCCGATGTGTGGTCGTGCAAACTCCACAAAGTCGTCAATAAGGACAGGCCATGCGCCTGTTAACAAAACAAATTTAAAAAAAAGGTTAAACTCACCGACTGATACTGTAAAACCACAATAGGCGTTTGGTAAAGCAGGTTAGGGACGTTTGCATCCACACATTGATAAATGGGTCAGATCTTAGCTGACTGTTGCTACAAACCTTCCTCATCATAATTCGACATGTCATCAGTGATCATAGTGCTGAAGTCAAGTAAGAGGTTCCAAGTGTCCTTAGGAATTGATCTTTTGTGGTGCTCCTGCAAAAGATGTAGGGCCAAGTTGAAAAAAAAAAGCCAATGAGAAGTAATAACGTTTGTATTTTTAGAGTTATCTTGAGAGATCAACTTACAACTAAAAATTTGTTCCACAACTCCAGAAACTTGAATCGTCCAGCCAGTACTAAATTCCAATATGCAATTGCCATTTCTAAATCTTTAAGATAACCAGAAAAAAAGTCAATAAACATTCACAAAAAAAAAAAAATACATCATAATGATAGGTATTAAAAGATTCTTACCCAAACCTTTCTGGCCCGGATTCTTTGCAAAATTAAATGTAAACTGGTAAAAGTCCTTAAATTTCCCTTGGTCTTTTAACTCTTGATCCATCTTTGGCAGCTGAGCTTTTAGCTTCTCTATGCTGTCACACCTGTGGAAACATTGAAGGAGAATCTTTTCTTTTGCTGGACCAGAAGAAATGTGTTTAAGGCGGCATCAGGGTTGTCTGTAAACCTGATAATTATTAAAGAGTCATATGTAAGTACAATGGTAACTTTGTCACAGTTGAAATTAATCAATTAATTAATTGCAAGTCTGACACGGAAAGAGTTCTTCCGGTCAAAGCACCATACTAAAAAAATAAAAGTACAAAGAGGGTCGCTCCTCGGTTCTTTTTTCTCATTACTTAATGCATTATACATACTTATTTTTAACTTAAATAACCCTTTTTGAAAGTTTGACTATTTTTGACAACATTGGGCTTTTATTTAGGAGCAACATGCAGGAAGTGACTGCAGAATGCAAGAAAATAAGCTCTCTCCTCTACATCCAACCTACCAGACATCGATCGAATTTGTCTTTGACACATTCTAAACAAAGTCTAGAACCTCTATATTGATAACCATGTTTTTGCATAAAACAGAGGAGTTTCCCGAGTGTTTGTACCTTCTGAGAATTCGTTCTTATTCATTCTTACCCTTGTTCCGCCATGCCGTCCATGAACTCCAGTTTGGAAAATTCGCACTGTGTCGCTGCCCTGAACTTCCAGGCTATGAGGAGGACACTTATACTGGCCGGGTCCAGAGCCAGGTCGTCACAGAACTGCTGGATCCCATCGATGCCAATCTTGTTATCATCATGAGGATCTAAATATTAAAGAGTGAAGAGGGAGACTTTTAATCATTATTTCCCCACAAAAAAAAATGTTCTCCAATGATTCACAGCCAATATTTCCAGCGCTGCTGTGTGACGTATTCTTAAAGGGTAATGTCTGTAAACCTCCTCTATCTAGAAATACCGTACCTCTATATCTGTTGTAGAGCTGATCAAGCTTCTTCTTGTCTAAGGCTCCTTTTAGGTTTGAAACGTAGAGCTCTGGGTTCTGGAAAAACTTATCCGTGGCAACGTCTAGTTTCCAGTCATTCTGCGACAGACAGGTCAGTGCAGTCTTCTCATTGGATTGCGTGAAGATCATGAACTGACGAACTTTATCCTTCTGGGAGGACTTCAGCTTGTTCTGCACAAAGACATACAAAACACTTGTTGTTGCAACACACGAATGTACGTTACGTTAGTGTAAAGAGCAGATATAGCAACACCTTAAACTACTCCATTTGTCAGCTGTCATGCATTTAATGACCGACTGCAGAACTCTTTCCTACAATCTGACATTTCCCAAAACAACACGGAATCTGTGTTTAAAACATTGAACAAAATAGTAATACGACAATTAGCAATAGCATGTTCCCCTGACAGCAGAGACCGACTTGAAACGTGTTGAATGGCTGGCTAGCATTATATGGCTAGCATCTTTTCATTTATGATTACATAGTCATATAATCCTCTCAACAACAACAACACACAGCCAGCGCTGATGCACTTTGTTTAAAGTTAGCTAACGTTAATATAGTTTGTCAGTTAGCTTAAAGCCTCGCAAGTTTAGCTAACGTTAGCTAACTAGGCAGACTGGCTAGGCTCGCCGTGAGCTAGTTAGCTAATGCTAACGTCGAGAGCAACGTTTGTTTTCATTATATAACGTGAATACGGGGTACTTGGCGCAGCTCCTCGGCTATATGATTTACCCCAGTGATAGCTTATGTTTGTGAGCACTGTTTACATCTGCATCCGAGGAGCAGATTAAAAACTATAATTCCTTACCATGTTTGTCTTTGCCCGACTCCCTTTCCGCCCATCCAGCTGGCTAATGCATGTCAAGTTTTACGAGGCACGGAAAGAGTCTTTCCGGTCAAAGCACCATATTAAAAAAATAAAAGTACAAAATGGGTAGCTCCTGGGTTACGGCATACCCGTGGGTGTTTTTTCCTTTTTCTTGTCATTATTTACTGCTTTGTATAAACTTATTTTTAACTTCAATAATCCGTATTCAAAGTTTGACGATTTTGGACAACGTGATGCTTTTATTTAGGAGCAACATGTAGGAAGTGACTCCAGAAAGCAAGATAATAAGCTCCTCTATGTCCGACCTACCAGACATCGATCTGAATGTTCGGGGCTGCCCTTAAAAGACTCCAGAACAGATGGAAATCGTACAGACACAGGTTCGTACCTTGGGTTGTACTGAACCTGTCCAAAAATGAGAAAACGTTACGGCAGGTGAGCGAGCGCTCGGAAGACAAACTGGTCCCGGACGAGGAGGTTTCGCGGAGCCTCCTGCGGCTCTTCGGCGTCCTGCTCAGGAGCCAAGTGGCTCCCCACGCGGAGCTGCGAGCTCATCAAACTCGCCTTCTCGGTCAAGAGACGAGTGAAGAAGCCCCGCGTGGAGGAGTTTCGGTGTGCGCAGATGAGCATGATGTCATGTTACGGTCACTGGGATTCTGCCTTGACCGGAAGCCCAGCTCGTTGCCCTTGGCAGGAACTGGAGTGTTTGTGACCAAAGGACGTGTACCCAAAGGAACTACAGTGGCCATGTACCCTGGGACAGTCTATCAATTCTATGAGCCAATTCTCCTGCAGTCCATCAGAAACCCCTTTGTATTCAGGTGCATCGATGGTGTCTTGATTGATGGAAATGACAGAGGCCTCTCCAAAATGGTCTTCAAGTCATGCAGTGGCCGGGACAGAATGGGGCCTTTCATGATGAGTGACTCCAGCTGGCTGACCTCCAGACCACAAAACCCACTCGCTGTTGGTCAGTATGTGAACAACTGCTCCTACGAGGCGCCCGCTAACGTGTGCTACCAGGAATACGACGTGCCGGACAAGTTCCCCGTCCAGCTCCGCCAGTATCTTCCCAATGTCAACTACAGCCATGACGCACAGCGGCCTGTACGCTGCGTGGTCCTTGTATCGCTCAGAGACATTGAAGCCGGCGAGGAGCTGTTGTCCAACTACTACACTATCGTGCATTAGAGTCAAAGTACACACAACTGTCCCCCTTTGGATTTCAGAACTTTAACGACCTCACTGTGTGTACACCAACAATTATCTGAAATAATTGCAAAACATCTCTGGTATGGAATACTGTGATATGCAAGTGACAAAACGCCTCTTATATGCCACGAACCAAATGAGAGAGCACTTAGTGCAATATCTTTGCACTATTTTAAGGAAGTATTGGTGCTAAAAATATATAACGTCGTATTGCTTTTAACATGCGACTAGTGCGGGACCTTTTTAGTATCTGTAGACCGTGCAACACTAACATGGAGACAGTCAGATCCTCCTGTCAATTGATTAAAAAATAAAATAAACATTTAAAGTGGTTTGATTGCTCAATAACACTACAGTTTGTTCTGCAGGGACCCCCAAAGTCAACATTAATTAATGTTACACAGATAAAGTAACATTTAGTAAAAATAAATCAGTTAAACGTGTTTCAATGTCCAGTATAGAATAGACCTTTTTAATATGTTTATTGGTTAATACATGAGAAATAGGATAGGATATTATTGGATTCTTTGTAATGTGTTAATGCATGAGAAGCTTTGATTGATGAAGACGTTATACTCACAATGAAGGAACACAAACCCCTTCCACATTTGGCGGGATAATCTGCAGACACAGCCACGGGGCTAAATGGGTTCTAATGAAGAGGAGGGTGAAGATCCTCAAGCTATCATGTGTAAATTTAAACTATTTAAAAAATGATGGGGTGAGAAGACGGAGGGTAACATAGGACTCTGTAAATCCCAAGATTGAATCATACATTATGTAGGGTATAGTTTATTTAAGATCAGTGTAACATTGAGAGACAAAAACAAAGCAGGGAGAAGGATAGTTGATATAAATTTGGAGTCAAGTCCAGCAGTGGAAGTTTACAAGACAGAAAACTGGCCAATTGTTTCCACATTGGGCTACATAAAGACTAGAGAGACAAACAAATGTCCCACCGCTGCACCTTTTTCTACATGCGTCACAAAGGAGGGACTCTTGTTCTAAAGGACAAAATGTATTAATAAGCAGTCAGTTGTCATAATTAACTGTTGTTTATATATGAGCTACCTAACTGCAATCTAATAGTCCAGAAATTATTATAGACTATGTGAATATGTATGAATAACGAAGGCAAAACACTGCACTCCTTCCTCTAAACTTTGTACCAATTACAAATCGTTTCACAATGATGGGGACGTAGATGTCCTCTTTTTTTTATTTCTCCTGTAATTGTATTTCATTATCACCCTTGTATCGCCCTCACGCGATCCCTTTCTACAAAGACGTTGCGCAAACTTAAATTCACCAGATTTGTCCTGTCTGAGACGCCGTAGCAGCCTAAGCACTACCTATTGCAGCAATATCCTTCCGCCAGGAAACATAGTCTGGATACATTTTCATGTTTATATTGGTTATTACAATATGGATTCGTCAAAATCAGATAGTGAATAAAATGTAATGTGATCCAAACTCGAATCTCAACGGAGTCCACTCTTTCCCAAACAAACTGAGCATTTTTAGTTCAAAAGTGAAAATAGATCCGGCGGCATAAAACCAGTTGGCATCGCCACAACGGTCTTTCCAGTCGCATGTTGAAGTTGGGAACGGACCATGTCGAGCGATTCTGCTGAGTACAACAGGTAACTATGGTACATGCTGTAGAAGAATTGTTAAGAATTCTATTTTGATGGCCATTTAACCGTACCATGTCTGTGCCCAATGCCACATGATGTTTAGCTGACGTATTATTGTTAGTTAACGACAGTTTTGCCCCAACGGCGGTGAAGGCCATTGGGTTGCTAACGGTTGTTAGCCCCGTGCCGTTAGCTGCCTAACCGCAGCATTTCCAAATCTCCATTAGCCGTTCGAATTAACGTCAGGTTACGGTACTTTCAATCTATGTAGAATGTATGAACACTTCGTTTTATTTTTTTGGACCACTTCCGTGTTGAGGCCGGCGGTTTAGTCGGACTACCCGTTGGGCCTGGCTACCGCTCGGCCTGGTCGGGCTGCAGAAACCACCGTTGCAACCACAGGCCCGATTGTCCGACATATTGGTTCACGCTTTTCATTATTTATTTGGCGTGATTATACGTCACCAGTGCACGCACGAGAAGGCCCGGGTCTTTCCACTTCACGTGAGCGGCAATTGATCCAGATGTAACGTTAGCTAATGGCACCCTACTATGCTAATTGGACACGTGTGCACGTTAAAAAAAAACCCACCATTGATTAGGTGAAAGCACGCAGAGCGCAACGGACATCGTTGGTGTTCAGGGCTACTTGACTTCGCATTAAGGCCGAAACATTTTTGCTAATTTGTTAATGACACTTTTACTAAGAAGTTGCTGTATGGCAATAATTTACTTTAAGTCTGGTGCGTAGGCTGGGTGAATAAATGGGGTGATGGTATAACTGGTGTGACCAAGTTGTTAAAACCACTGTAGATATGTTACTTATTTACGAGCCACTGGCAGAATATGCAGCTTAAGTGCGAGGCCATTATCTGGTATTAAATATTCTACCCATGAATCTCTTCTGATTTAAAGTGAATTATCACCCTTTTTATTTTTTTTGCACAGCTCAAAAGACCATGGGGGGCCTGATGGAATGGAGCCTGATGGTGTCATTGAGGTACCTACAAAAGTTATTGTTTTCACAACTGAGAACCTATTCAGCAGGGGATTGGTGTGCTAATAGTTTCCTTTTTCTTCAGAGCAACTGGAACGAGATTACTGACAACTTTGATGATATGAACCTAAAGGAGACTCTCCTCAGGGGAATATATGCATATGGTTTTGAAAAGCCATCTGCTATTCAGCAAAGGGCAATCATACCTTGCATCAAAGGTACAGAAACTTAATTAACTGTCAATTGTTCATGTATGAGTGAAATGATGTCTACCATCTTTCGGGACTTACCAAATCATGGTGATAATTTTTTTTCTTACTGATCACTCTATACTTGTAAGTTTACTGCAGGGAGGCACCATGCCTGTCCATCGCGTTTGCTTATAAAACACGAAAGCACAATTGTAAAATAGTTGTAAGACCGCTCTTTTCTCTAATATTTCTGCCCTTGCCATCAGGCTATGATGTCATTGCCCAGGCCCAGTCGGGTACTGGCAAGACGGCCACGTTTGCCATCTCTATCTTGCAGCAACTGGACATAGAGCTGAAGGAGTCTCAGGCTCTTGTGCTGGCTCCCACCAGAGAGCTGGCACAGCAGGTATGCTGATTCTGAGGTCTCAGTGACCTCAACCGTATCTCAGACCTAGACAGCATATTGAGGACACTGATAAGGTACCCTTTTTTCAAAACTTTTCTAAATTGCAAAATTGTGAAACCTAGTATCCTCTAAGATTGGTGTAGTCTCTGTCCATGGCTGCATTGGTCTAAGATCTGGCTTTGAGTTTGATTGTGGTTGGAATGTTGCTGTGGAACAGAGTGATATGATGGCATACCATCTTTCGGGACTGACTCTTGTGATGATTTTCTTGTATCTTACTGATCACTTTAAACCGTTGTTCCACACACTGTGTGGAAATGTCATACCATCTGTGTCACACAGTATCCTGAGGTTGTGTTTTGGCCCCTGTTTCCACTCATTAGATCCAGAAGGTTATTCTGGCTCTGGGGGACTACATGGGTGCAGCCTGTCATGCATGCATCGGAGGGACAGATCTCCGGAGTGAAATACAGAAGCTCCAGGCTGAGGCTCCTCATATTGTGGTTGGCACACCAGGTCGTGTGTTTGACATGCTGAACCGTGGACATTTGTGTAAGTATGGCTAGCCCTTGTCAACAAAATCACAAACCGTTGAATTCCACAAATATGAGCTTGACTTAATGCCATGTTTCTGCACAGCTGCAAAATGTATCAAGATGTTTGTTCTGGATGAAGCTGATGAGATGTTGAGTCGAGGTTTCAAAGATCAAATCTATGAGATCTTCCAGAAGCAGAGCACAAACATTCAAGTAAGACTTTTTAATAAAAGTACCACAACAATTGTGTTAAATGTTAACTGTGGAACCCTTCTACATAAAAAGAAGTCTGCTATAATTGTGTGATTCAGATTCTGTTTCATGCTATAATGCTAGCAGACTATTGCGTAGAAGGAGATTATGACTCACTGTACTGAAAATGAGACTTTGTCGAACCTCTTTCTTAATGTTCATTGGCTTCTTGTCTCAAGGTGCAGTGCAACAATTTGTACTGATTTTGAGTTGTACCATGTATTGACTAAGTCTATACATGGTACAGTGTACCATGTTTTGGATTGGATCAACCTGTTGTGCCTTTTTACAGGTGGTCCTGCTCTCTGCCACCATGCCAGCTGAGGTGTTGGAGGTGACCAAGAAGTTCATGCGGGAACCCATTCGCATCTTGGTGAAGAAAGAAGAGCTTACTCTCGAGGGTATCAAGCAATTCTACATAAATGTGGAGCGAGAGGTGCGTTATCCTTAACTCTGCGGTAGGGGACATTTCTGTATGCAGCCTCTGTTAGGAATCCAGTCTCTCTAAAGCACCCCGCTAAAACTGCAGGAGCCAAGCCTTTCAGGTTTAGCTCATGTGGCTCCAAGCACAGAGTATTGAAAATTAGGCTCTGGGGGAACTTAATGTCCAGTGTCCTTTGTCTCAATATCCTGTGTTACACACAGTTGCCCCTTTTTTTCTTTAATATTCCATTGTTTACATGTTTGATTAGCAGGCATCCACTGGGACTTGCCAGCTTAACTGTTGACCATGCTTTTTTTCTTTTTAAATGGACATCAGGAGTGGAAGCTGGACACACTGTGTGATCTGTATGAAACTCTGACAATCACCCAGGCGGTGATATTCCTCAACACCAGGAGAAAAGTAGACTGGTTGACAGAGAAGATGCATGCTAGGGACTTCACCGTTTCTGCTCTGGTAGGATTTGTTCTTTGCCTTGTCTGTACCACTGATCCGTTTGAAACGGCATTTTGCGTTCTTATTCCTGCACATTTTCCTAAATAAAGCAATTTGTAATTCCCAGCATGGTGATATGGACCAAAAGGAGCGTGATGTGATTATGAGGGAGTTCAGGTCTGGCTCCAGCAGAGTTTTGATCACTACTGATCTTCTGGTAAGTATGTCTAATGTGGATGGGAGAAATTGCATTAACAACCCACTGTTTCAATCTGGCAACAGTCATAAAGTGACCACGCTGTCAAAACTCTGGGAAGATTAGGGCTCATTCTCCACAATAGTTTTCTCCACTGTAGAAATCTGTTACTAATGTGTGAGCGACAACTTTGGAATATGCTTCTAGAAATTTTTTTTAAAACCAGTCATTCATGGCTGGATTACAAAAATATAATTTTTCCCCTTCAGGCTCGTGGGATTGATGTCCAGCAGGTTTCCTTGGTCATTAACTATGACCTTCCTACGAACAGAGAGAACTACATTCATAGGTAGGTGGCGTTTTATATAGCTGCAGATTGCGCATCTCCATCTCCTGTAAGCTAATGTGGCTCTTTTCTCTACAGAATTGGCCGTGGTGGCCGTTTTGGCAGAAAAGGAGTTGCTATCAACTTTGTTACAGAGGAAGACAAGAGGATTCTTCGGGATATTGAGACATTTTACAATACTACCGTGGAGGAGATGCCCATGAACGTGGCAGACCTGATTTGAGCACAGCGTTTTTTTTGTTTTTTTTAATGCAGTCATCGCGATCGTCCACTTGCATTGTGCTTATCATATTTGAGGGGTGGGGGGGACTTCTCAATGCTAAACCTTAGCTCTGAGTTTTTGTATGTGTTAAAAGGGAGGTGACTTCTACAGTGGTCCCTCTGGCAGTTGTAGATTCTAACCTCGACTGGTTGCTGTTTAATGCTACGAAGTCATGGGGTCTGAAAATGTTGAGTGTTTCTTTCAATGTTCTATTAAGATGTGTGTGTTTGATGTTCTTTACCGTTTAGTAACTTACTTGTGGACTAAAAGGTTCAAGTGCTGTATAAAGTCTGCAAATTATGCTATGCTAACGTATGTGTGGTTAAGTATATTGTGGGACTGCTTAATGGATGCACTAGTTATGTTTCACTGTATTTTCATATATTTGATCAATTTTAGGCCTATTTTTTTTTTATTTCACTTGCTTTGGGCCTCTTGGCTGCATTTTACTAGTGTGCTTTTACACTTATACTTCATTGCTAATGCACCATCCAATGCTATATTTGACTTTCCCTAATTATTTACATGTTCGTCTCAATAAACTGTTTCCGTGAGGACACGTGCTTTGTCATTACTTAATATATGAACTTACAGACTGGGGGAAAGTCTGTATTGGACATTGCTTATCCTAGCAGCTTTACAGATTGAAATTTGACCTGTTTGTTGTAATATAAATGATCGCCTGATTGCCAGCAGTGCGTAAACAACTTTGTCCAAACCGTGTTTAACTACCTGGACATATGGAAACCTGTCAGCAGGTACATGGGTGCAGGAGCCATTTATAATTTCGCTGTTAACTGTATTATAAAAGCAATAAGGTACTTGAGGCAGTACTTTATCTTCAATAATTTGCTCCGTGTCGTGCCAAACACCCCCGAACTGTTATATTAATGGACTATAAAGTACAGCCTTGTATGTTTATTGCTTTTCTATAACATTTGTTATGGTAGTTTCACTTTGAAAAGTAATGCAAAAATTGCAATTGCATTATGTATTGAATATTTTTAAGCCATGACAACATAGAAATCTATCCTGTGAAACGTTTCATGGCTCTTTACATGTTATGTTTCCAACTCTGTTGGAGCTCGTTTTAAAGGTGGGGAAGGAAAACGCCTGTGCTTGCGCACCCTTTGTAACCAGCGGTGGCTGGTGAAGTAATGTGGTGTGCAGCTGACCAAAAATAAAGAGGCATGACACCCGAAACTCACTTTTGGTCCTTGTGGGACTCTTAAAAGTAATTTAAACACAGAAAAAAAAAGGTACACACCCAAGGAAGGGAGGTGAAGGATTTTGTGACTGGGGTCAAAGTAATGAAATAAACAAAAGGTCCCTATTCTACACACCTGTCCCTGCCTAACAGTCTATTCCTAACCAGCTTACCTCTATGGCCAAAACTACAGGGGTGACCCACGCCCAGCTAACATAGTGTGTGTAACAAAGATTTACCTACGTGATGCAAATATACACCCATGGGCAGAACTACCTAAACCTTCTCCAGAACTCCGGTAGAGCACAACAGGTTCTCACCCAACAGGATTCAAAACAAACAGTCTTTGAAAGGCCATTCAAAACACAAGGCCACTCCTTTTTTTTCTTTCTTTTTCATCTCTGCAACAACCAGGCTGGTTTATATAGGCCACCACCTCGTTAGTCGATTACTCCCCAGGTCTTCACCGGCCACGCCTCCTCGCCAACAGCCAACCAGCACCGCACACCTGTGAACCGAGAAACAGGCACTCTACCCCACTCACACAGTTAAAGGCACAGAAAAAACACATGGAACATGTAACAATACTGTACTACACAATCTTTTTGACATGCTGTATAAAGACCTTTTCTGTTTCTTGTCCAAATACGATGCCTAACAAAACTATTCCATGACTTTTTCAGGATTTATTTTTCAACATATTACACTATAACTTCTTATTTTGTGAATACGATAGGAGTATGATTTCCCAACATGGTATGCTTTGTTTTTTTTAATCTGTAATCTTTGGTTAAGGAGAATATTGGCCAAGCAGAGTTAGAGCAGAAGCCACCAACGTGGGTTAAACTGTTGTGATGCTATCTCAACGGAGACATTGTGAAGTAGGACGCGGCGGAATGACAACAGCTCCTTCGCTTTCTTTCACATCCGTTTGAAAAGATTGCAGCTTCTACGGAAAGGACGGGCAGTAAACCACATCTTGCACACACTGTCTCTACACTGTGTGTGTGCGCCATGATTCCCCCAAAGTAAGGAAACTGTTGCCGTGACGTGCTGAGATACTTCTGTTTCTTGTAATGTAACTGTTAAAAGAGTGGGGCAATTAACCGCTCTGGTCAGGTTGTTGATATAACTACTATGACGAACAATAATAACTCTTTTTCTGACTTTCAAGTAGATTTTATTTAATAAAAAAAAGTCTTTTCACAAATCTAATAACAAAAAAAAGATATTATGACAAGAAAATGTTCAATTTAGAGGCATTGCGTTGTTGCTCATAAATACATATATATTTTTCAGCACACATGCCGTTTGTAAAGTTTTCTCACGGACACATCAGTTCTACTTCATTGTGAGGAATGTTGCACATCGTGACATGGAGACATTTTTAGATTTGACTCACCAAAGAACTGCATATCTTCATGCTGCTTCTGGTGTGTGGTTTCTGTCTGGTTATGTATTTTTCGTTTCTTTTGAGGTTATGGAGTTGATACATGTCTGGGAGAGAAGTTTTTATCTTTTGAGTACCATAATGTTTTTCAACCGATATGTGTGTCGCAGCAGTAGAAATAAAATGCAAGATAAGGAGAATGTTCTTTTATAATCAACTGGAGATTGAAGATATAAGCTAGTTCACATATTAGAATCTAATTTGTGAGAACATGGGGTTTGAGTTTGGACTACATGTAAACAGTGTCTTTTTATGAACTATCTCAACACAACCAAGTAAACTTGTGCGTTGTCCATCGTGAACTTTTTTTTTCCTCTTTGCCTCCGGAAACACAGAACATGCGCTCCAGTGTTTTGACATCGGTGTCCGACTGAAAGGACTGAGGTAATATCTGCAGCGACAACCCTCCATTTATTTTGACCTTTTACAAACTCCCTCTCCTGCATACCAAACAAACACACACACACACACACACACACACACACACACACACACACACACACACACACACACACACACACACGACATGATACTACAAAAAGGCTGCTTTGCAAGGGTATGTGTTAAATCTGTAGGGTTTACAAAGGAGGGACATTTTCACAGCAGTACAGTACAACCTGCCCATGAGTCCGGAAGTCTTGTGCTTCACCTGCAGGTTGGTCGCCGCCTCCCAGAGATGATGGATGTCCTCCACGTGACCATGTGAGGTCATCATCTGATCATAGATACACATGTGGTAGGGTGCTTTGCCCTCGCCTGCGAAATACACGTGCTCCTGCGGAGACACACCCACTGCGTTGGCACAGATGCCCATGAAGACGTCGTCTATGTAGATAGTGGCGTTCAGGGTCAGCGTGGCTTGGTAGATTTTGTCAGCCACGTCCCTGGAGACCACGTACCCGGCCCCGGCTGTGTAGTCAGGGTAAACCATCCACTGGTACATCTCGTAGGGCACGTAGTACTTGCTGTCTCTGCTGCGGATCGGCGGTGCCCCCCTGTGCACTCGACCGACCCAAAAGTCTGTGACGCCTCTGCTGCTCACGTCCCGCAGGTAGCTCACCAGGTTGGGCATGTGCACGAAGATGTCGTCGTCGGCCGTCATGAGGAAGCGAGCGTGTGGGCAGCGGGTGTGCATCCAGTGGAACTGCAGGATCAGCTTCAGGGTCAGGTTGTGGAAGGAGTCTAAAAAGTCCTGTTGGATCAAATCCCTGTGTAGACGGTCCTCGTGGACGAGCCCAGTGCCGCCTTCCTCCTGCTCGGCCGCAGGCCTCCCCAAGGCAAACACCACCTTGACCGTGGCTCCCAGGGCGTTCTGGATGTAGGTCTCATTGCCCCAAGTGGACCTGATGGCGTTTCGCCTGTCGATGTTCTCCGGGGATGTTTTGACAAAGAGGAGGAGGAGGACGTCCGTGTCGGCGCACTTATCCGAGTGGTCCAGCAGGTAGCGAAAGTCGCTGAAGCGCCTGGCCTGCTCTCGCGGGATGGTGAGGCTCTTGTTGATGAAGGTGAAGCGGTTGACCAGGTAGCGGTAGGAGTAGGACTTGACGGGGCTGAAGAAATTGCTGTCCAGCTGCTCCCAGCAGACCATCATCACCGACAGCACCAGACAGGTGGTCATCAGCTGCACGTACTGGCATCTCCGGATGCGCCGGCAATTCACAAACATTCTGGAATCTCGTCACCTTGTGCCACCGGTCCCCGTCTGGTTAAGAATAGTGGTGAAAGGGCCGGTTGTGCGTGTGTGTTTGAGCGAGCAGGTGGAGAGGTGGAGGTTGATCGTGTTGTTCCAGGGCCTCAGACCAGAACTTGGTGGATCGTCCATCCTAGGCGTTCCACATTTAGCAGGCGGCTCATGGGGAGGTGGAAGTCACTTAGTCTGCAGGGAGACGTCCTTCATCTCGACAGAACCAAATTCACAGTCGCCCAACAGCTGGAGAGTCATCCTTCCTCCTGGAAGCACTCTTCCTGAGTGATGAGAAGAGGTACACTTCACTGTGGGGGCAAGTTTATTTACGACAATATTGAAGCCCAGAATTGGTTCTCCTTTTCTTTCAAAAGGAGGAAGTGTGAAATGTAAAATCACTATATTTCTTCAAACTCTGCTTGGCCAATATCTATAACTGTTAAAAAACTGGTTTTCTGTGCAAATATCTTATTGAGTAATGTTCCAGGAAGCCTTTGCTTTTTAAAATATAGGCGTTTAAGTAATCGTACATTCAGGACGTCATTATGGAGATAGAGATACACATTTAGACCACTTTAATTCATAGTCACAGAGAGAGTCATTGACACTGTTTAGCAGCAGCACAGTGGAAAATAAACTGAACTTTGCTACATCTGTTTGTATTCAGTCTTTCTTTTTGCAGCTGAAAAGTCAAAAGTTGTGGGCGGGGCGAAAGCAACGGATCGACTGAATAAAAAAAGCTAACACAGCAAATGTGCCAATGCAAGCCAGTCCATAATGGAGGGGTTTAAGGTGCAGACCCAGTGAAATCGCTGAGAGTCATGGAAAGCGTCGCACACAATGGAATAACTCTCGGCACAATGCGGGACAAGAATAGTCTGCTTCCGGCCGGCCCTGGGCTAAAAGCGTGGGGCGGTGTCATGATGGTCATGGGGCCTGGGACTCCCACCGCACCCCAGGAGCTTTTTAAACATCATCGGATGGCCTGTGCCTAATGGGTTCACTGGCTGAGAGCTAATAAGGACAAACCTCTGTTACATCGAATTATTTACTACTTTACCAGGGTGGGCCGCATGCTTCAATTTGCAACTTGACCAGATGTATATCTATATCTATTTGCAGGATATCGTGTTTGCACCAGAAGAAAATTCAAACACAAAATACATAGCAAACTGAGCAGTTTGTATAAGTCTCCTATTGCTCATGTGAAAATCTGTGTAATCTGTCACCAACCAACAACGTGACTCGATCATTATGATCCGTACTACAAAGAAAGTACCTCTATTTACAACGTTAACACTTTTCCTTCGATCATAGTAGTTTTGTGTTGGCCTCTGGTCGGGTGCGTGAGGGCACAATGGTTACAAGTAGTTAATTATACTTCATTTTGTTTAGATTATTGACTAAAGGCGTTGACCATGATGCGCTTTTCAAAGGCTGTTCTATCTGAGCATAGTACGACACACTGTACGACATACAACCACTAATGAACGTGTCAGTCCTCCGTCTGCTGCATCTAAAACCAGGCCTGTGAAAGCGAGCCGAGCCTGGAGCTCATTTACACAACAATTTGTATAAATAGAAAACACACACGGGAGGTGGCAGAGAGGATGTTTGGAGGGGGGGGATCACTCAAACTGATCTCTCCAAAACTCACCGGTCAAAAAGATTTCTTCTCGGCTGCACGGATCCGATGCTCAGCCTGAAGTTTACTTCTCCTCTAGTTGACAGGAGGGGAAACGGTTCTCAGGAGCAGCCATCGATCCCTCGTTTGTCTCGCGTGTGGGGACTGCAGTCAGTCGACGTGCCAGTTGCCTCTGCTCTTCTGTCCCCTCCCGTTCCTCTTTTAGTGCGGGGGTGGTCCTGCCATATGCGAAGGAGTCAGAGAGAGGAAGCGTGATGGGTGACTCTATCCCTTCATGCTCCCCTGAGAGACATTGAGCTCATGAGAATTGGACGGATAGGCGGATTGAAGAACTGCAAGAGCTTTTGTTTTTTGCCGGTGTAGAGATTTTAATACATGCTAATTGCTTTACCACTTTGAATTTGTGGTTTGTGATGGAGCGTAAGTGGGTCGTATCAAAAACAATATATTCTTAGTATCAGAAAATACTTTTGAAACTCAAAACTTGTCCAGGATGTGGGGAGAAATATTTAGCTTTGTTGAAATATAAGTTAGGGAAGACAGAGAGAGAAAGAGAAAGCGAACCAGAAAATGAGTTTCTCTGAGTTGGTTAGTCTATTGGCTATTTATGTATAGAAGTATCTTCACAACTAATAGATGGGCTTTTTATGCTGATATTCATGGCCCTTTTCGTCCAGCGTCACTTTGACATTCACTTTTAGTCGTTCCGTGAAGTCTCAATTACAATTGAGTAGACTTTTTAATGACATTTGGTGGTTGGATCCTCATGACTTTTGTCATCTTTAACTTTTTTCTAGCATCAACAGGCCAACGCATTCACTTACCGTTTAAAATACTTACACATACTGGCTCAAAGTGTGGTGAATACATTCAGGGATCCCAGATTATGCATCCTGATGTTTATTGACGTCACTGTACTCCTGATGGCCCCCTCATGTGATTAAATCAACAAAATGAGGAATTTGCATCTCGTGACAAGGTTCGACACAAAACAAAGTGCGGCATGTAAATATAGTCATGGTGGTATTCCTTCATTTACTTCATATTCTGTGCAGACAAACAAGCAGCCACAAAACAGTCACACTAGATCTGATGTGACGGCCCATTTCAGTTCAGAGTTTGACCCGTGCGGTGAGTGAATATCTAAAAATATACTGGCCTGATTAGAAGAAATGCTCCTCAGGAAGTTCCAGTCCGGGGGACTACAGTACAAGACTGTCAGGTCCTGCTCGATGCATCATCGCCCCCTGGGGGTCCTAGACAAGAAGGACCACGGGCCCCCCAGAATCATGATAAATGAAGTCCAGGACTATGGATCAGTAAAGAAATATTTTATTAAGCAATTAACATATACCATAAATAATCAATAACATAACTATCTGAATGCAAACTTTACACACAACATTTAAACAGAAAAACGAACATAAATAAAACTGCTGCTTGCGGGCCTTGGCTTCTGCAAATGCAGCCGCTATGACTTTCGTATCTCAGGACCTCCAAACATCTCTTTCCATTGAACTCAGTGCCATGTGAGCCTCTCCTGGCACATGGTTGACCTCATATAGGTTTTGATCAACTTCAAAGCAGAAACGCTCCTCTCACCAGAGGCAACAGAGACAAGAAGAGTCAAGAGGAGACGCAATGCAATGCTTAGATAACTGTACAAATCCAGAAAGTTTTCACTGTAAATGTAATTTAACATGTCATTTGGGCAGGTGAAGGCGTGGTGTGGAAAAGTGTAGACAGCAGAACTGATCTCCAATTCAAATAATCCTCAATGTCATGCATTGTTTGCTCCAAATTCTTGCAACTTGCACAACGTGTCCCACTCTTTAGCACCTGTTGCATGCTTGTCTTTGAAAACAGGCAACTGTAGAGAACATAGACATCTTTCAGTTTCGAGAATGTGACATTCAGGCTTCTAAGGGCTGTGTCTACTAAAGGGAGAAAGAACTGCCCTTTGAAGGATTCTTCTGGACTGGACTGGGTTTCTGCTGCTCCCTCATGCTGAAAGTGTTTGCTGCCTTTTCTCTGGAAGCTCCATTTCAATTTTCAGTTCTTCTGCAATGTGTACTGCATCAAATTGACATGAAGCAATTCAAGTCCTCACTCCCTGTGTGTCTCTTCTAAGAGTTGCCACAGAAACATCTGGACTTTGCAGGAGCTTGCTCACAAGGTTAACCTGGTACAAGCCCAGAGAGATATGTGCTTCATTTTTTCATCTGTGTGTTTGACCGGCACGTTGATGCCGGCTAGTAAGGGGCCCCTTGCATCAGGGGATTTTTCAAGGAAAAATGTTAAGTGTAAAAATAAAATTGTTAAGCTGGTACAGAAATACACTTCCAGCACTTGTTTTTTTTAGTTAGAATGTCTCCATGTATGAATCCACCTCTTAGAAGCTGCTTCCTTACTCCACTGTACAGTAAGACAAGGGAGTTTTTGTTAAAATCACTTCTTAAATCAACCGGGTATTTTTTTTGGTGGTATGATAGTAAAACAATCGCACGCAGTGTGTGAGATCACTCACAGCTGGCTTCTGTTGGAGGAAAAATAAACACTTTGGAGTAGTAGTTGGAAATGAACTAGAAATAGTAGGAATAATAATAATATTTAAATTTGATATAGCTCTGTTCTAAATAAAAAAAACACTTTACAAATGGAAACAGAAAAAACAATAAGAAAAAATCCAAGAAAGACAGGCATAAATAGAGATATACACGTGGCTCCGCTCCTTTACCAAAGCAACCCGGCCTGTCCAAATTCCTCCCCATCTCATAACTGCTCTGTTTAACACCTGATCCCTAAACAACAAGGGCCTCCTACTCAATGAATTCATAACCGAAAATAATCTGGACTGCGAAACATGGCAAAAAACAACACGACTACTTTTCATTGAACCAAACCACACAAACAAAGGAGACATGTTTTGACAAAACATCAAAACTCCATCAAAACTCCTTCACCCATTGTGCCCCCTGGTACACTGACCAACAAGACAGGGTCGTCCACTGGAACGCCTGTGCCCTTGACCCCCTCCCCCCTAATCACTGACATTATCAACTCCTCACTGTCCTCTGGTTTCATACCCCACTCCCTCAAGCTCGCTGCTGTCACCCCTGTGTTGAAAAAACCCGGTCTCGACCCCGACATCCACAGCAACTACCGACCAATCTCCAACCTCCACCATTTTTTTCCCTTCGGAAGCTGTTGACTCAGAACTCAAGTCCCACCTCAACCTCCCTTTACGAACCCTTCCAATCCGGCTTACGCTCGAAACCCAGCATGGAAACCCCCCTACTGAAAATCGCAAATGACATTCTCCGGTCTGCGGACTCTGGTTCCTCACCATCCTCCACCTCCCGAGTCACTCACGGTGTCCCCCAAGGTTCCGTGCTTGGTCCCTTCCTCTTCATCATTTACATTCTTCCCCTTGGACAAATCATCCCTCGTCATGGCTTCCAACTTCCACGGCTACGCCGACGACACCTAACTCTACTTCTCCTCCAGGACCATCACCGCAGTCATCCACTCCACTCTCACTGCCTGTCTCACTGACATATAATCATGGTGTTATGTTCCCTGCTAGGGTCCGGCAACATAACAAAAACAAACGAGATGGAAAATAAGGAATAAGGAACGTCAAAGGTGCAGAAGCAGCATGAACAGGCGAGCGAACAGGAGAAGAAGGCTGCGAGCCTTGCAATGAATCAGCTGAAGGAACTGGTGCAGTGATGGAAAGACTTTTTGTGGCCAATTCCAACTCCAGCTTGCGTAACTCGAACTGGCGTTCCTCGCACTCCCTCTGTCTGTGCTTTTCAACCGCTTCATATTCCAGTTCTCTCAAGTCAAAATCAACCTCCAATTTCTTAATTTCAATTTCTTTTGCAATCTCCTTTTCTTTGACACTTCGATTTTCTCTCTCAACCCTTAATTTAGCCGTTCGATATTGCAGTTACACTCCCTGGAAATTTATATTTCCGTAGTTGAGTTCCTGTTCCCGATGAACTCTAGCAGCTGACACTGGAAGCAGATGAAAGAGACTCCTCTCCTCCAGAGACTCCCCTATCTTACTAGCCTGCAAACAGCCTGAGCAAAACCAACGGATGGAAATAAGGACGTAGCAGCCATAGTACTCCAACCTCACTGCAATAAATCTGAAACACTCATCGTCGGCCCTCCACCCTCATCCCGCTCAGCCCAGACCGTCTCTCTCAACATTGATGGCTCCATCGTCCCCCCCTCGTGCCTGCTCCGCAACCTCGGTATCATCATCGACCCATTTCTTTCCTACCGCATGACACCCACATCACCAAGACTGCGTTCTTCCACCTCAGGAACATTGCACGGCTCAAGGCCTCCCTCTCCATCTGCCACCACCGACATTCTCATCTCTGCCCTCATAACCTCCAGACTTGACTACTGTAACAAAATCCTCACCAAACTCCAATATGTGCAGAACTCTGCCGCTCGACTGCTCACATCACCCCGGTCCTATGCAACCTCCACTGGGTCCCGGTAAAATACAGGGTAGACTTCAAAATATTACTCATCACCTAGAAAGCCCTAAACAACCTGACCCCTTCCTACCTCTTAGACCTCCTCCCAATCCACGTCGATTTCTTTTTTTCTAGTTTCTGTCGATTTCTATTATCTGTACTTTTCCCTTTTACATTGTAAAGCGTCTTTGGGTACACAGAAAAATGATATAAAATATATATACTTTCATTTTTTTACATCTTCGATACAGAAAAGTGGTCGTTGCATTGCACATTGAACCATTATAGACATACTTTTATGAGTTTTCATATTTAAAAACTCCAGGCCAAATGTTTGACTTATAGGTTTGCGATTAACAGTGAAGAGAAAGCCAAAGCTGGGGGTCTTTGTCTTCTAGGTAACATCAATGTACATTCAATGGCAATCAATCCAAAAATGTGTTATTTAAGAAACATTTATCTGGAACAAAACAATGGACGAAGCAGCGAACAACCGCTGAAGTCCTGTCAGCCACAAAATCTACACAGAAAAACTGGTGATTCAAGAACTCCTTCGATGAAGACACCAAGGAAGAAAAAGCAAACACATTACTATCAAAATAGATTTTATTATAGACCTTCTGAAATCTGAGTGATGTTGAGAACAGTCAGTTCAGGAGGCTGCAGACTGCAGCCATGTGAGTGAGAGAGAAAGAGAAAGTACAACATCGGTGAGGCCAAAGGCCAAGCAACAAAAAGAAGTTGGTATTTACATGTTCTGTGATAATACAATGACAATTAAATCCAGATTTCATTACAGTTTTTCATCTTGTGTATGTAGCTACAAATAAATCATTACAAAAGTTTTGAGAAGTACAAAACCTTCAAGGGGTCTCTGACGTAGCAAAGATAGAATAAGGTTAGTACTTTCCGAAGCGGCACAAAGTAGCAAACACACACCTGAAAGCCGTGTAAACACTTATCTAAAAACAAAATGTTATAAAATACCTTTCCACCGTCATAGATGTCATTGGAAATAGTGTCTTTGTAGTACGATCCAATCACTGCTGACTGTGGTAAGCAAACTTCAAAATACTCTAACTTCAGTACAAAACCTTCCAACACAAGTAACTGACGGGGTGTGTGTGTGTGTGTGTGTGTGCGTGCGTTAAGCCATTAGTCGTCAGGGCTGAGAGATTAGACATGGAATGCCATAAAGTCGTCTTCTTAGAGGTCAGACACTTTCTGCAGATTCATCTTTCAATGAGACGCTTGAATGACGTCCATGACGGCTTGAATAAAAGCAAAGAAAACTTCAGAGAGGATTTCTCTCCGCATTCGTTCCTATGACTTTAATCTTAGTTTATTTGAAAAAAAACATTCCTCATGGTCACAACCAACAAGAAAAACCTCAGATTCTCCATTTCAAGCGTGAAGTAACTTTAAAAGCCTCCATTAGCGCACAAAAGTCTCACCCGTGAACCCACAAATATATTCAGATACAATATATAGAATTACATGCTGATGCCATGTTACTTTGAGTCATATTCTGCTATTCAACAAGCAGACGTGCCTCAAGAACACTAACAAAAGTGCCACCGCTGCCTGCATCGGCCGACGGGCAACGACTGGACTGCTGGACCAACTGGGAAACAAACTCCGGCCGGGAAGTGAAACTCAAGCCTGATGTTTAATGAGCACGCGGGGGAACAGGACACGATTAGCACGGCGCAGTCGGGTCATCATTCAGCATTAGTTAGCAACCAGTCATTAATACAGGAAACAAGCACAATTACGACTTATTTGTTCACATCAGATGGATGCGAGCGGTTATAGACCTGCTGTCCCCCCTCCCTCCCTCTCCCTCCCCACAGGGCACGATTCTCCTTTGGCTCGTCGCCTCACTACGGACACAAGAACAGGGCGGCCGTCTGATCACGAGCTCGAGACCCAACCAGGGCGAGTTTGCTGCCGGACGCTGGAAGGTGACTTCACATCGGAGTTGGTGTCTTTCTGGCCAGCAGACTGAGAGAACAGTTACAAAGATCTTTTTTTATGGGAGTTCTTTAGCGCTCTATATTGACCTGATGAATTGGGCACACCTGAAAAACATTTCTGAAGGATAGTTGCAAAAACAAAGGACAGTTCAGCCTTTTATTAACTGTTTTAAACTTTGTTGAAAAATCTCAATTGTGACTCGGACATGTTAGATAAAAAAGAGCCCATAAAATGAGAAACTAATTCCATCTTCTCAGCCATACATCTGCATTATTGATGAACTGATCTGATAAACAGCTTTGAACAACCATTGTAAAAGACAATAATTGCCCCCTCCTCCCCCTCCTCTCCCGCCCCACATGTACAGTAATAAAAAACCTGCAGAGATCAGTCGAATCCAAAACAATAATGTGCACAGGACATCAAATGCTGACATATGCAATATGCACACACCAACAGAAGAACACATCTTTAGAATTCTGGTACAAAGGACATAAAACAGGAAAGCAAGAAGAATCCTAACGTTTTGGTTCGCACGTGATGGGTCCGACACGTTTGCACAGTTACAGAGACGGCTTGCACAGGTGTCCGTACAGACCTGATGCTTGTGCATATGAACTGTGTGTGGCGACGGTGTGGTTCTTTTGTGTACATAGTGACGGCATCTGACTGCAGCAGTGTGGCGCACAGGCAGGGGCAGTCCCTCATTTTGGCTATGTACACATTCGTAGTCGGTCCACTGCTGCCCCCTCACGAGTGTCATTTCCTCAGGTCCAACACGCAGACCTGCAAGAACAGAGAGGACGACAGTCTGACACAATGCTGTGGAGCAGCGAGAGGCGGAGCCCGCGGGAAGAACTCACCGATCCGTCCGACGCGCTCGCTCCCACTTTGTCCCCCGTGGCGTTCCAGCACACTTCGAAGATTCCTCCGGTCCCCCGGTAGCTGTGAACTAAAGCACCCGTCTGAGGAAACACACACACATACACATATCAGCAATGAAATACATTCCGCCCTTGTATTCATGTAAAGTGTGTCCAGTCATTTGGGCTGTGGTAAAATGTGGTTAGATTTTGAAAGCATTTCCCCGGACCTGAGTGTTCCAGATGTGGACACACTTGTCAAAGGAGCCGCTGGCGAGGTGCCGGCCGTCGGGACTGAAGGCCACGCTGTAGACGGGCTCCTGGTGGCGGGTCAGAGTGTGGATGCACACGCCGCGCTCCACGTCCCACAGACGCACAGTGGAGTCGAACGATGCACTGAGAGACGGAACAGAGCGAAGAACGAGCTGAGGGAACCAACATATGGATCTGAACGGCTCGCCCTTCTCGCTTTATCATGTGAATCAGTTGATACACTAACAAGTATCAATTACCTCCCAATCCGATACAATAGCATACTTGTGTCTTTCAGTAATAACACGATTGTCACGGTCAGTTTGCCACTCCTGCTCTGACACGTTAGGAGTTTAGGATCGGCGAGGTTGGGATTATGGAACGGGAGGCTACGGATCTCTCAGCTGGAACATACGGTTTGTTCCTTAAGATGCTCGGGTACCGCTGTGTGCCCTACCTGGCCAGCATGAGGTTGGCGCTGGGATTGTTGGTCCCAGGGCCTGTGGGGCTCCACTTGATGGTGTAGATTTCTTTACTGTGGGCCTGGAGGTCGTGGACGCACAAGTCCTGCTTCATGCTCCAGATCTAAACCGGAGAAGAGACCGGCTTTTATCACCACGTCCGTCGGCACGCTTGATGCAGCTACATGTGCACGATAATCGCACTGACCTTTAGTGTCATGTCATCGGAGCAGGAGGCCAGCAAGCTGCCAGTGGGATCCCACTTGATGGCGTTCACCTCATTCTAGTGAGCAAGATTTCAGTTACAAAACAGTACAAAGCAACTGGACCGGTACGTGATATAATAAATGCACTTCCTCTACTAAGAGGTTTATAAGCCAATGCCTCCCAGTAAGTGAGGGACTTTCCTCTTAGGGTCCTTGTTAGACTTAAGAATAAATACACCTTAAGGGCATTAATTATCTTTCATCAGAAGCTTTCGTGAGTCAATGCCAGAATCCATATCGTTCCGTCTCACCGTGTGTCCCTGGAAAGTCTTGACAGGCCGGTCCTGACCCAGCTTACACACATGGATGCACATGTCCGTGCTGCAGGAGGCAAACGTGTTGTTGCTCTGCCAGTCCACGTCCAGAGCGGGCGCTGCAGGGAGGCAGAGGCACAGCTTAGAGCTGCTGCAGCAGTGTGGTGTGCGGAGAAGGAGCACGAGGACAAAAGACGTAACCAATATCACAGCCTGACACTAGTTTTCGTACTGCCACGTCGGGTCTGGGAATTCACGTTGACCGTTCTTGAAAAGGCAGAGCCGTTGTACTAAAGTGTGTAAAGAAAAGTTTGGCTGAATGTGGCTTGCGGCCAGATCAGTTAAGCTTAATTAAATGATATGAGACTATCATCAATATGATCTCAGCAAAACCAAATCCGTCTAGACTGCACAAGGACTCCCATCACTCACCGGAGTGGAAAGGGAATTGTTGTTTTGCCTCTCCTGTGTGGGCGTCCCAAATAATTGTTGTCTGTGTGGAGGAGGACATTTTCATTATTAATACTAAACCAGTAACGTTCATGTCATGAATTGAATAAAAACACAGACATACAACATAGAAGAGGATGCTCTTATTCAACACCAGTTGACCTGAACAATGGCAGCGAGTTACACGGTGACGGTAACATATCACACACACATTTTCATGCCTCACAGCCTTCAGCTTTTTAGCATTCAGATGAAAGCTCAAGGTGACTCTGCGCATGCAAATATATTTGTGTACACTAGATGGCCACATTGGACACAGGAGGTGGGCCTGTCTGGCTCTGTAGCCCGTCAGTCTGTAACATCTGGGAATGTACCAGGAGCCCTACGTGCAGGGATCTACTGAGGACGGACCCTTCGAGCACGTCCACGCAGCGCTTCCATTTGCAGCTTTTCAGCTCCGCCGGCACTCGGCACGAAGGAAACTCGTACCGATCGCATGCGTTTTAATGACACACCAGCTACTCAAATGCGCCTCCCGATACGCATCACTAATGGAGCCACGTTAGGAGAGGCTGATTAGTCGGAGAAGGGCACCATGGAAGTTATTTCACAATAATAAGAAAACAAAAGCCAGACCAACGCTGTCAAACAGGAACCGGCCGTCCATTCTCTGCAAGGCCTTTCGAAATAAATCTGTGTCTCATTTGTTCAGAGATTATTAAAAGCTGCAATGTGAAGCAGCTGATCTTTTGAGAAAACGTACACACTCGCATCCAAAACGAGGTCACAGAAAATAAAAAGCCAGGCACGCTATCTTTCACTTCACAATTGGATTGGATTGAAAGCAGCAGCAAGATACAGATTTAAAAAATGAAGTACTACATTTTAAGCTTTATGTTTTTAAAATGCAGCATTTATTTTTTACGTGAAAGATCAAAGACTTAACATAATGTTTGTATTATTATACTATGTATTAACGAATTCATCTAGTGTCAATTGAAAAACTGACAATAAATAAAGTTGAGGTATTATTGAATTTAGATGTTTTTATTCAGGTGTCAATAAAACTAATTCAATAGTACTAAATTAGAGCGCAAGTGAGACATTACTGTGATGTTTCTCTTGAAGTGGAGACAGATTGTGCCTCACCTTCCAGTTCCCATTCAGAGGGCTGTCACGCTCGAAAGGATTATCCATCAACATTTTTACACACGATAGATTATTTCTCATTGTTACTGCTATTTTCAAAACACTGCATATTTTTAAAGATGCATTATCAAAAACCAGATGACTTTGCTCCCACAATATTTTTCGGTTCAATATTAGTAATGAATGGAACAGCTGTGTCTCCTTGAAGGTTAAAAAAATGATTGCAAAGAAAACCAACAATGAAAAACAGCTCTTGTTTTCAAAAAGTCGTAATCCTCCTAAGGGAGATTTTGGTGATATTTGAGTAAATACAGTTGTTTAAAAAAGATGATTCCACCGCTATATGAAACAGACATAACAATTAAAAACACCCTGTTTAACTACTAACCCTTAAATAATTTTTGATTCATTATACCATTTATCAAAATAAAATACAATCATTTAGTTCCTAATCATTTGCACAGTGTGTTTTTATGCAAATAACCAATAGATGACAACGAGTGAAAAGGTAGCATTTATCATTTTTGACAGTTTACATTGAATTCTTATCGGTTGAATATTCTTTGGGACGTTGGTAAAATACGTTATTCTAATTACTGGTAATTTTCTCCCACATTTTTGAATAATTCCACACTCCAGTCAGTCATATATCATATTTAAGAACCATCCAGGTGTTACATCCCTCTTTAACAGTGTTATAATGTCACACTTTTAGTTTCCTTTACAGTGGTAATTCAAAATAAGCAAAAAGTGACCCAAAAAATCCTTTGGCAAACTCATTCTTCTAAAAATCCAAATCTTAAATCAATGAGCCTTACCTTGTCTACGCCAGCACTGAGGATGAAGTTTCCTTTCTTGTTCCACTTGAGTGCAAATATCGGCCCTTTATGCTGACCCAAAGTACTGGCCAGGTTACCTGAAAATATTACACATTTAGCACAGCGTAGGAAGTGAGCAGAAGCACTTCATCGTCCGTGCGTCCTGGCAACCCGCTGGTCTTACCGTCTTTTGTCCATATTCTAGCAAAGCCATCGTACGAGCCCGTTGCTAGCAGCGTCCCCTCGCTCTGAGACAAGGACAGAGTTTCAAGTCACATCAGTTTCAAGCTACATGCATCTTTCTCAGTTTTTATTTACATACGAATTTGGCCGAGCGTTACTGTTAAATGGCACTTCATCAAGGAGAAACATGAAGATGGAAGTAGTTAATTAAAGACAAGAAACGGAGCTGATTTGCTGTTGAGAACTGACTTGTACAGGTCAGATAAAAAAAGGTTTGCAGCTGAGCAGCATTAAAAGCCCCCCTCCCCGTGGGAGTTGCCCACCCCCATATATCTGGAAGACGGAATGCCTTCCAAGCAGAAGGGGTCCTCCCCCCCCCCCCACTCTCTTACTAGAACTGCCCTCAGTGGAACAGACGTAACACATCGACGGTTCAAACACACACACACACACACACACACACACACACTCACATTCCAGTCAAGTGAGGTGACGTCTTTGTTGCTGGGTACGTCCTGACCCCCTTCCCGTATGCAGTGCCTCAGAACCAGCTGAGTGGACCCGCCCGTACTGTTCTCAATCAGGTTCCAGATTCGTGCTGTCGAGTCCCCGGACCTGTGAACGCACACACACAGACACACACAGACACACACCATTAGGCCGCTAACATGGCTTCGACTCTCATAATCCGTACTGAAAGTGATATAAAACTGACCATCGCTGCTCTTTAGTAGGGTTGAGGTTTGAAAGCATTTTATGGAACCTGAACCCAGTATCAAATCCAAAATCTTTTTAAATCCCTATCAAACCTTTTCACATCATCTGTTGAGGAAAAAGGAGAAAGAAGTTTTACAAGCACAAAACTCATTAACTGTACGGCCCCTAACGGAACTTTGTTGAGGTGTGCTGATGCGGAGAAGCAGGCCTGCTGGATAAGTTCCTCATTTGTTGTTTGGAAAAGTTAAATACAAACTACTAATAATGATAATACAAATTGGTCCATGTGCTGTGAACTAATTGATGTTCTGGATTACAATAAACTTCGTTTTGGATTATGGTGATTGACATTTTTTCATTGTCATTCATTGTCATCAGAAAAGTCATCAGACAAATTTCCACTTGTATCTCCAATGTCCACCAATAACTTCTTTTAGTCAACAACTGACTTTTAAATCTGATTAAAAAAAAGTTGTGTGGAACATTTGCTTCAGCTCCATTCCTCCCTGTTTACATCATTGATGGGCAGTGAATTCCCGCGTGAGGGTTCTTATTGCGCTCTCCTGTGGATTGGTTTCCGCATGTGATCGGGTACGTTTGCTCTGAAGGGTTTGGCTGTTAGGAGTGACGCTTCACACCGACTCTCTCCGCGGTCTTCGAACATCGGAGACCAACACTTGACCTTTTTGTAGAACACCACGTGGAAAGACTTGTGACATTTATTTATCAATTACAGTGAAAAAAGACGTTGGTGTGCAGCAGCGGACGGACTGCTGCTGCTGCTGTCCCGCTCGGGATGAGACATCTTATATCGATGGGTTTCATTTTTCTATGCTAATCTTTCATTGGTCAAAATGTCTGTATTTTGAAGAGTCTTTGGTTGACTGTGATATAGCCGAGCTCTTGTTTTTGTCCCAACTCTGTTCTTTTGTTTGGTTGAAAAATAAAATTAAAAAAATAATCTGAAGCCACGAGTTTCCACCTAGTGTGCGAGTCACCAGCATGGAGATCTGTTTCGATATGGGGACTTGTGCATTTTGCTTGCTTTGACCCTCCACAACAAAAGGAGGATGCAGTGAAAAGCAGTAGAGTGAACAGAACCCTCCTCTTGAAGCAACTTGTCAGGTTTTGCTTAAGACAGAGGAAATAGTCTGGGTTGTTAAAGATGATGAATGAAAACAAACTTTCGCACAGGTGGCTCCTCAAGTCCACTATTGAGCAGCCAAATTAGTGTACAAAAAACCAATGACTTGAGTCAACAAAGAAGAAGGACTCACAAAAAAGGCTCACTCTCCCAAACCTGTTGTCCCCGAACAAGACAATAATACATGTTCAGATAATCAGCTAAATGACCAGTAATGAATATTTTACTTTAACTCACGGAGGTCATTTTATGTTAAATAGGATAAATAAGCCTACTCTTGGCCAGAAACTGGAGTAGAATGTCATTAAAACCACATTACTACTAAATGTAAAAAAATGCTAATAACTTTACTCACTTCCTGCATTAAGACAATAATGCATTCATTGTCAACTGTCTCTGTAGGAACGACATGTTCCCACAATATTCTAAACCAGGGAGCGTGCGTTATGACCAGCGAAGCGATGGATGAGGTGGAGCTACTGACCCGGAGGCGAGGAGGTCGTTCACTGGGTTCCAGGCGCAGATAAAGACTTCGGATTCGTGTCCTCTCAGCACCATGGCTTTGCTTTGCGGGATTTCCACGTCCCTGTCCACCTCCATCATCTCAGAGTGGTGATCTACAGAAAGGTTACCAAACAATGGAATACATGAGCTATCTTTAAAAAGATGAGGAGGATTATGGCGTATTATTAAGATTTGATTAACAATAGATTATTCAATTTAAAAGTAATAGCCAGCGTTTTCCTACTTTTCTGGCCCACTTTTTCTTTACGGCTAAGTGTATGAACAAAAAACTATTTAAGCCCCAGCAGAGACTCATGGGGAAAGTCTGACATCATCCGATTTCCTACGAACCGGAGCAATTCCCCAGCAGGATGGCAGAGGAGCTGGTTCTCGACATGGCTCAACAACCATGTTCAGAGTGTAAACCAGCTTGAATACCCAACAGCTGCGGATTTTAGGAGCACGGTGTTCTTGTTATTGCATGACTAAGAGTGGTTATAGTAAGCCGCGGCGTGTCCAAATAAATAGCCACTATTCACGTTATGGAGCCCATGTAGGACACTGCATGGCAGTAAGCCAATGCTGGACCCGTCTTTAGCACAAACGAACCTGAATCCATCCCTCAGCGCTCTGTGTAATGGGATTCTGAGGCTCAGCGCGTTATTTTGATTACAGCACGTTAGGTGGTTTTGAGGAAAAAACAACCAGACCCCATTTTTTCCATTTTACGCTAAAACAAACAAACAAAGTATGTTCAGGGAAAAAGTGAGTAAAAACAGGAAGGACCAGACCACGAGGAAACACATGTGCCAGTTTCAGGAAAACACCATTGTAGCTTTGAGTAATATCAGGCAACCCACAGAGCGTTTACAAAAAAAATAAATCCAAATGTTTTTACTGCAGCCGTCAAGCGAAAACAACCCGCAAGACGCCCCATTGGTTTATCTTACTGCACGCTACTTCAAATATACTTTGCTATGTACTTTTATACAACACAGCCCGTCTTTGTAGAACTCAGGTCTTTTGTTTATTAGACTGACAAAAATAACAATGTTTCCTTTTCTTTCAGTGATGTTATTTATCACCACACCTTTTATCAACAGTCTGCAGAATAAACCAAATGGCGTTTGCGAAGATTATAACAGAATTAATGCCAATAATGGAGTTAAACAGTTTACACCAAATCTTATCAACATGAATTTGATAATATTAAAGCGTTAAACAAAAAAGTGTATAATTCCGAGTAAGAATCATTCCTTGATTTTGGATGACTATTCCCTCCACAGAGCACAAGAACACCAACCCTTTGATAAGGAGCTGATACAGTCAGTGTTCACAATCATGGGCTAGCTTACTGGCCAAGGCGTGGGATCCGTTCTCCTCCCCGTTGGCAGCAGGCTCTCCGTTCTTGGTGCTTCCCTGAGGCCCCGTCCCGCTGCCGGCCGCCTGCTGCTGCTGCTGCTGCTGCTGCTGCTGCTGCTGGGCCAGCTTGTCCCTGTAGGCCTGCTGCCTGGTCTGGACCACATCTGGCATTACGGCGTCGATCAGAGACAGCGACTCGATGGGCCGCCCGTCAAATAAGGTCCCATCCTACAGAGGCAACATATTTATATTCATTATCCCAAAGATCATCCACCAATTCAGAAACAACGTTCAATCCAGAGAGCGTTCTGGAGTCAAAATAAAGCTGACGGGGCACCACTTCTTGCCAACGTGTTGTGGCGCTACAGTCATTAGTAGTGAACAGTGTAGAGAGGGAGCTTGACCTCATTGATGCTGACTTCAGCCTCCACATACTGCAGGCCCTTCTGGATGATGGAGATGAGGGCAGCAGGGGGCACAAGGGCTCCATTGATGTTGGACTGGCTGATGTGGCTCTCTATGCCGAAGGTGAATGCTGAGTGGGAGAAGCCTTGAGGAGGCACGGGTGATTGGGAAGGTAGGATGGTGTCAAAGATCAATTACAAAAAGTCAGGAGCAGAACTGCACCATGTTTGCATTCTAAATATTTAAAAAGTAAATACACCAGAGATTTACCTAAAAAAATGACTTCCCTGATTCTTGCAGGTATCTGTAAACCAGGAAATTGACTTCATCACTGCTTATGCTCATTTTTAGTCCTGGTGATTAAACCATTGGGTCAGCATAGGATACGAGCCTGTAAAAGCCAACCACAGAGAGAGAATCTTGCTTAATTAAGCTTTGGTAGTGTTAAACACCTAAGAACAGCTGAGAAAAGGTTTGAGTAGTAAGCAAGGTAATGATAGTTAAAGATGATATGTTATACGCAGGGGCACTGTGCCAAGGAGCAGAGGAAAGTACAGGCACACACACACACACACACACACACACACACACACACACACTATGGTGTTACACTACGAGCTCACTAACAAACTGGCACACACTGTGAAAAGAGAGAAGAGGAAGAAGATCAAATATCACCTCGCTTGACCTAGATCTTGCAATTTCCATACAGAGATGCAGAACAAGGCAAGCTGTGATCTATCTGGTGCATGGTAATGTTTTGGCTACCGAAGCCTTCTAGCACTCGGCAGGGCACCAGTTTCCATTCATTAACCTACAACTGGGAATAATTATCAGCTGCCTTGGCAAAGCATGCTGGGAAGTTTGGACCAAAATGTCCAGAATAAATGGGTTTTAAACCTCAGCAATAATAGATTCTACAGCGCTTGCATCTGGGCTCCTCATTCATTTATGCAGAACCCGCACTGTTGAAATGGGACTGTGGAAATAAACAAGGGGTCTGGACGGAGGACTGTTTCCAATACGCCAGCCTGCTGAAAAGTCAACATGTCTCCTGCAGTTTCCCAGAGGCTGAGGTCCAAGACCAACTGCACCAAGAGGCGTGGACTCTAGTAGAAGCATACCAGCTGTCGGGATTCAGGGTCCTGATGGCTAGTAGGCTCATGTTTCTAAAAACCCTGCTACCCGAACGATGACCGAACGTCTGTTGACCATAAATGCCAGACATTTTTCTACATAATGTAATTCTAACAGTTAACCCTACTTTAAATGTTGTACCATCTTGTACAAGTGTAAAAAAGTATTAATCAAATTTAGTTTGAAATTTATTCAAAAATGTTATCAATTTCTGGTTCTCTTTTCAAGCACGGAAACTTTCTTGTCACGGAAAAATGTTTAGCCACCGTTTGACATTAAACAGTGGAATATATTACCCATGCGGTCGCGATGTCTTCAGATGTGCATCATAGCGCCGTAGTCCTCAGCAATTTTTCAGCCCCTGAGTGTAAAAAAAGAAATTGAGTGCTTCAAACAGATGAATTATACTAAAAAATCTGGAGTGGGCATCACAACTGATGCAGAGGGCAGTCGATATGTCGCCTATTCCCTTCAGTACTGTAAACAACTGTATCTATGATGTAATTACTACCACTAAATAAAGAAAAAGAAAAAAATACATGTAAGATAAATTCAATTATATAGTCTCGTTTAAGTGATTTTTAAACTTCCCACCATGTGTGATGGTTTGGAACATCACACATGGAACACTTTTGCTCATGTTAACGTGTTTCAGTCTTGGCTGAGCGGGAGAAGAAGCATATAGGACAAATCAAACACACATACACCTGTCAGTCCTGTGACAAGTTATCTTAGTTAGAACCAGCGTGTCCATGTGGGTAAAAGGGGGGTGAGCAGAAAGTGTTGAGAACAAAGGGGCCATGTCGGAGAACAATAATATAAACTGGGTCAGCAATACAAAAGAAGCAAACACATCCTGTGGGTATTAGTGCAATACATGATGTATACGTGAAAGACAGTCAGGGGAAGTGTGCTGACATCTGGTACCCCCCCCATGGGGCCAATGACTGTAATGTCTTAACCACTATTTCTTTAAATGTGTTTTTTTTTTGAGGGGGGGGGGGGGGGGTCGGCTGTCCCCCCCCCGGGATGGTTGAATAAATGCCAGTACATGGTCCTCTGCCGGAAGCTAAACAAGCAAGCGAGCATGGAGAGGTACCTGAAAAGTATCCCCCGGGCACAGCGCGACTCGTGGGCTGGAGAAACTACAGTGTGCACGTAGCAGACACGCTGCGCGGAGCAGATGATCGACTTCAACTAAAAGTCAAGTCACAATCAAATGTCCGCTCTTATACCGGGGAAACAATCAAATGCATCACAGCACGGTCTCAGTAAAACGCATCACTCATTTGCCGCTTTACTGTTCGTTAACGTCAACTTACTGTACCGACAGTCACTAAGTGGATGTACAGGGGAGCTGGGAACACACTTTATCCGCGCATGTTAGTCTGGGTAATTGTCCCGTTAACACGATATATTTGCCCCTTTTTGCTTCGTTGACAAATTAAATCGACGTATTAATCTACCGCCACATGGAACGCTCTAGTTCCACTTTGGTGACCTGGCGTTAGCACGCAGGCTAACATGCGTGTTATCATAGTTTCACGTTGTGGCGCTAACGGTCACCACACATGGCTGTCAGGCGATAATAGGCTGAATTTAATTTATTTGATTCGGGGCACCCACATTTAATAACACCATGACAAACTAGTGCATTGAAGCCATATGGTTTAGCGTTTACAGGTTTTTGGCTAACAATTGACTCCAATAACGTAAAGTTAGCTTCTTTGAAACAGCATTTCTGAGTACAGTGAAATCAGCTTGACATCACTTCTAAACCTGCTAGCACGCTAGCTATGTTGCTAACACTAGCATGCTATGCTAATGACAGCGTTGCTACAATCTCGTACCTACTTGGATAAAACCTTTCAATAGACGAGATCTTCCACAGCTCGTGTGTTCAACTCAGACCATGTTATCTCTTTAATCGATCGCAAGACCGGCTTTTTACGCACATGTATAACTATCGATGTTATAATATTTAAACTTAAGCCCGGCGGTAAAGACCCAGCAACGGCTTCAGACGTTCGACTCGGTGGAGTGACCAGTCATGCAAAAATGAGCTGCCTGTAACTACTGTTATTCCAAAGCGCCGCTTTTTAACGCTCCACGTTATGAGCCGACGAAGGCAATGTGTTCACCGTCTCCTCTGTTAAATACTGCAAAATGGGATAGGTGACTTATGTAAGATTACTGTGAAATACAAATATACGTCACAACAGCAGTACTCGTACCGAGCATTACTAGGATATCAAGCTACGTTAGGTGACAAACCTAATTCTTCAAAGACCTCGTGGTTTGCTGAGGTGAAAGTCGCCCTCAAACGTTGAATTAAATGAGCTCCTGGTCCGTTTGACAGGTTCACGGCAAAATGGAGCCACATTTCCTAGTTGAAACCGACCAATGAGACGCAGTTGCAATGTATACCCGGGCCTCTGGAAGTTTGTCCCGTAGCCAAGCACTAGTCATAACAACGGTGCTCGCCCATCCCCCACTACACCCCATTTCTGCTTGTCCGGTCATCACTAGCCATGGCTTAAATGACACCCCGCCCCCTTTCCTTTGCTCGGTCATTCAGACTGGTAAAGTCTATGGCGTTATATTTGTGCCACAATCCTGAGCGCGTAATTTTAAGTTTTGAGCACAGAGAACTATGTTGTAGCAAAGAAAAACATTCCGTGCGCGCAGTTTACTGAGGTGCCCTCGCCACAAACTGGTTTTCTGCGCGCAGGCAGCCGTTGCTGCGCTCTCTCCACCTCTTCGCTCTGCGCTCGCTCGACGGTTCACTCACGCCCTCGCTCGAATTGCAGCAGCGTTACATTTGTGCCACAAAACCAACCAATCAGAAGAATTAAGTCACGTCAATTGTGGATTAGCTGATAGGGTCTCCCATCCACAACGTTAGTGGACTACCTACATCATCGCGGAAGGCTCAGCGAGTTGTTGAAGTTTGCAGCATTTGTGCTAAATGCTAATGGCCTGGATTAAAACACTTGCTGTTCTCATCATTTGCTTCGGTCATGTCTGATGGTGGCTAGTCGGACTTCTAATATCACTCGTTTTTGTCTTCTTTAGGAAGCGTTGTGATTGGAGACCAACCGCCAATCGCAATTGACCTTCTTTAATTCTCTGATTGGTTGGTTTTGTGGCACAAATGTAACGCTGCTGCAAGTCGAGCGAGCGCGTGAGTGAACCGTCGAGCGAGCGCAGCGTGAAGAGGTGGAGCGAGCGCAGCAACGGCTGCCTGCGCGCAGAAAACCAGTTTGTGGCGAGGGCACCTCAGTAAACTGCGAGCACGGAATGTTTTTCTTTGCTAAAATATAGTTCTCTGTGCTCAAAACTTAAAATTACGCGCTCAGGATTGTGGCACAAATATAACGCCATAAAAGTCAACAACAATCTTACGTCACCGTTGCAATATGCGTTTTACACCGTGTTTTTTTTCAGTGTACATAATCCATAACCATATTCACTCATCCAATGTTCCCAAACAAAGATTATTGCCTGACATTCATGCCCTGATTCTCTGTAAGATCTATGAAAGATTTGCACGAGTGTCTGCAGAGCTTCAACATTCTGTGTGTCATTCTGTCGTGGATCACAGTCACATTTACTGTAATTAGTTGCAGTTTAAGTGACGGCAATACCTCAACCTATTGTGATGTGAGATGATGAAATAGCATGACATTTGAATTGAATTAGGGAGCCTTGAATTAGTACAACAGCAGTAAGAGTGCAGTATGTACTTTTCAGTGCAGTGTTTTTCTTTTTTTCCTGATATCAAAAACTTGCTTTGCTGGGAGCACAGATCCCCTTGCAATATCCCCTCTTCATTTATGACATCCCATGCATCCTTACAAACAAAGAACAACCATAACTTTAAAAAAATATATATATATACATATATATATATATGTTTTGTAAGGCAAATCATTTATTAATGCAAAAATGTCCCAGCATTCACCAAGTTGACAATAAAAATGTAGCCGAGGTACAGATTTAGCATGCAATTGGGTGATAAAAGTCTCATAGGGTACCCTGTCTGATTTACTGTGTTGTTGAGCGATGGATTATTTGTCAGGCGCTCTAAACCACTGCAGCCCGCTGACTTTGTGCCTCTTCTTCCTCAGCCTCTGAGCTGTTTGATCCTCCCTCTTCACAGTGCTCATCTGGTCCTTTGACAACATCCTTGCAGTTCCATCCATCTTGTCTAAGAACTTGAGCAACACATTCACCAATATGAATGGCAGTTGATATGGTATGTTATAATGCATTGCCTATTTTTATAAAACCTAGAGCAATATTAGGAGGATTCGACTCATTCTCTATTTGTAGTAGTTCATTCAAGGGTGATTTCCCACATTCTGCCTCTTGATTCTTTCTCCTCAAACTAGGAGGAACAAAAATCTGTTCTCTATCACTCCCACTGTGTGAGGGTGTTTTGGCTGCCAGCTAAGAAATGTGAAGCAAATTCCTCCTCTCCAAAGCTTTGTTTGCAGCATGCGATTCCATCCGCTGTGGACATTGTAAATTGACTGATCGCTTCTATAATACATGTACATACTGGACTTTAACGTACAGTCAAATAATATGTGTCCAGCATCAAATTTTCCAAATGTCTACAACACAAGTTGTTCTTGATAAAATAACATTATCACTAGTTCCCTCCATAAATGTGAGGATAGAAGGAATACATCAGTATCTGTGTGGGCGCGAGGAACTAATCTACAGGAGAATAACACAAGGTTGCTAGGGATGCGATGACAGCGGCAAGACTGATAAATATGTACCAGGGCTGTTGGTATTGTGTAATTTCTTGGATACTGGTACACGAGTGTCAGCCAGTTTTATCCCCTGCCTCAGCAACAGCAGGGTCGTGTTGTCATTTTTTGTGTGTAGAGAGGAAGTAAAACAAGCAAGATATTGCTTATATATTAAGATATATAGAGGCAGATAACAATTCATAGTCTTAGATTTTCATCTCTTAAAAATAGCAAATATATAAAGCTGTGAATAATAACTGGATACCCCGCCCCCTCCAAAGAGAGAGAGTTCGAACCTGAAACTGTGTTACTTCTTTCAGCAGAGGGATGCACAGTAGTTGACTCTTTACAACACAAACCCACTGACCACCAAACACTGCCTTGGGTCCAAGCTACATGCCATATGTCAAATAACAGCAAATCAAATGTAGGACTCAACTTAACAGCTGAGACCCCACTGCATCATTAACGTTACATTCTGCTCATGTCTGCAAGAGAGTAACGGACAGGAAGAGAGGAAATGGGAGCAAGAGAGCAGACTGGAGCTCAGCTTCACTGCTTCCTCAGCAAGTGCTATTTTTAGAGGCCGATAAAACAAAGAAGTAGAATTGCCTTTCATCCCCCCTGTTTCACCTCCAAATGTGGTACTCAATAACAGTCTGCGTCTCTTTGTAGCCATGTGAAGGCAAATAAATATGCCTTTCCATCTGCCCTTGAGTTTCTTTGTTGTTGTCCTACAATACTTGTGCATATTCTTTTCTCGCTTAATGTATAAAAAATGGACTGTTCTTTTTTTTTCAGGCTAAATTTAAGCCCTGGGTATAATTAAATGGGAAAGCATGTGAGCTAGGAGGCAGGGAAGCTTTGGAGTTCTTTAGAGAGATATTTTTGTTCTACATTGTACGCTGTGGCTGGATGTGGCTTGGTGGATGGGGTGGATCTAAAGAGGAAAGCAGTACACGCTTCTCAGGATCTGACCCGATGCTGCGGCTGGGCCGAGATGGCTCACCCACACTGTGGTCTAAGCGAGAGAAAATCCTCCAGCTGTTCGGGCCAACATTGTCGGTGAAATCACAGCCCACATAACACGTCTCATAAGAGAACAATAACATCTACAGATTCAGTTTGTTTCAGGTCTAGCATGCAAAGCTAATTTTCTGGTGTATAGAACTGAATAAAATAAAAGAAGGCATATATTCCACCCGGCCACTTCAGGGTTTATGAGCATTCAGTCCATCAAGGAGACTCCTAGGAATTATTATTGTTCATTTTCTCAGAATCATATAAAAATAGGTCTAATTAATTTACCTGGAAACATAATGAGTTTCTATGGCAGCAATACAATATAATGGTGATGTGTGACTATGTTTTAATCGATTGGTAAGACAAAACAATAGCTTATGTCTGCAAATGTTCTCAGTCTTTATTTTTGCCTTAAAGAAAAAAATGTCTCTGGGGAATAAAGGTCAAATTGCGCCTTTACCAACAGACCACCTAATCGGTCTTTAGCAAGGTACTTTTCAACACTTATTAACATTTTTCCACGCTTTTACATTTGTCATATTATCAACATGAAAGCATCACTCCCAAAAATTCCTAAGTATTCAACGAGATCTGTTGCTTTGTTCGGCTGCCGAGGTTACAGAGACCTCTTGTGGCAAGACGCAGGGCAACGTCTCCCAATCAGAGACCCAAGCTGTGGCCTCCAAGTTGTTTATGTGTCCGGTGCATTCTTTGATATGGAAAGGCAGAGGTGTTTGAAATCACCGCTCTTGAACTCCTCTGAGGATGTGCTGCAACGTGCATAGCAACGGCCACACGGTCCAGCCAACCACAGACAGTGAAGATTCATTGTTCCAGACCAGCTAATTTTAAGCGTGACAACATTGTACAGGGAACTCATGTTACTAACACAGGTATGGCAGGCATTCTCTTCACTTAGGGACAGACTTTAAATAAGAGGTAGCCAGCTGCTATCCCTGGGAGGGACCATGTTGGAGAGCCACAGCTGACAGTTGTAGCCTAAGGTCCGGATTAGCATAACAACACGGATTGAAGAGGTAAGATCTCACTGATTGTGAGTATTATCACCACTATTTCATGTCAGCTTACATGGATCACACTCAGACGCTGTACTTTGTATGTGCAAAGACAAGAGGTGATTACAGGCTTTGTAAATACCAATTGAGACCGTCTGCTGGAAATTGATCACAACCAGAGGTGAACCTGCAACTGGGAATAGAATGGATTGATTAGGAAAATATTTCATCGCATACAATCAATTTTTTCCAAGTGCATTGATGATTCTTAACTAGATAATATTGGTAGAATAACGCTGTTTTTCACTTCTGTGTTTGTGCGACAACTTAACAGCAAACAGTTGCAAAATACTATTAACTGTGAACTGATGACTGGTTTTCATACATTATGCAGAATGATATAAACTACATGTTCATTACGCTTGAGACGTGTCATTTGTAAAGCCTTTGCACTGTTCACACCATCTGCACCTCGGTTAAGTGTTTACTGCTCCGCTTTGCCTCGGTGGGGTGCTGTGCAGTGCAGCATGAAGTCACCACACACTATAGGGTGACTGACGTGACAGCAATAATCACTGGAGGGACAAGGCAAAAAATACCTCCTGAGACATTCTTTGTCAAAGGGCGTGTTGACAGCAGGTCGGGCTTTGAATTCTGCTGCGCTGTTCAGCACGCAAGGTGAAAGTAAACACCTTCCGTACTGACTTATTTACACAGGCTTAGTTTCTACATCATGAACACACCTTTATTTCACATATTATGTACGACTAGATTTTCTCTGATTGACAGAGACCCCAAATAACCCTTTAATCCGTAGTTGTTTAGCGTCTTTTGTGTGTGCCCTTTACACATATCTGTCTTTAACGGCTGCAGCAAAATTCTTCAATGCAGCTGTTGGTTTAAAATCTACTGCTGAACTTTAGTAGTAAAAAAGACGCTGTCTGCTCACAGGCCCTCTGACCCATACAGTGATACGTCCACGTGTAAGATAACACCGGCTCTGTTGACGTGTGGTCCACCGCTTGCCATTTTGGTCTACCACTCATTCAGTCAGGTTCATCAGTCACAACATGGGAGAGAGGCCGCTGGAAGAAACATGAACCGAGGACACATCCATAAAGATTATACAGTGAGGTTGACTGATCCCATTTCCCTCCGGCTCTGGATGTGTAGTCCATTAAACTGATAATCGGAAAATGTGAACGATAAGTTCCTGCTGGGGAAAGCAGTTTCACACTGGTGCATTTATTTGGAAACAACAGACTGCCTCCAGTGCTTCATGTGGTGACAATGCAGACTCAGTAGCTATTAAAAAAAACATGATAGGACGAAAAATGCATTTAAAATATTGTAATTTTTCTCCTTTTTTTTTTTACGACAAACGCTATCTGAAATTTCTCTCAGATTTAGCCAGAAGTTTTAGCCATTTCAATTCAATGATTTCTTGAAAACTTTAAGTATTTCCTAAGTTGAATATCATTTCTACCATTTGATTGATTGTTGATTTTGGAAACTGAGAAAAAAATGATTGAATATAGAAACTTCAGAAGATAAGAAGTTTTGAATGTCTAACTAATGTCAATCTAGCCTGCCTGTCCCACAAACCAGAAAGGACTGTTTATTCCTTATATTATTAATCAGACAATCAACTGCCACTGTAAGACCCGCTGACACGAGGCACGGCTACAAATCCACCGCTTTCAAAGCCCTTTTAAAAATCGGCTCATGGAGTATGAAGCAATTTTTCCGAAAAGGGTGTGTGTCCATGTTTAGCTGTAACCAATACAGACATGTGTGGAACTTGAGGGACTCCAGTGGCAATGGTCAGCGTGCTGCAAGGAGAGAAATTGAAAAGTTGTAAGACGGATGTACATGGGGGGGTACACGAGCAAAATCCTGTGAAATATTTCTAAAACATTTGTGGTTTCCTTCAGATTCCCTTCGTCACACGGGAGTTGTCTCTCAGCAACATTTCCCCTAAGCAGCTGGAAAGGCAATACAATGAGGAAATTACTCATCTATGAGGAATTCCTTGGCTTGTTTTCTAACTACTCTGCAGCTTATACTCTGACAAGGTTGTTATCGCCCACAAAATGAAAACAACATTCTTATTGTACTCACTTGTTTGAGGGCTGAATGGAGGCATGCAAGGTGTCCTTGTTGTCCCAAGAGAGGACCCAATGACTTTGTGTTGACAGAAGAAGTGTGCAGGACACAACAGGTAGGTTTTTCATGAGCACCTCATTAGGAATGAACGCCTTTCATCTGCTGCTATCTGTCATCTTGTTTTCCCTTTGTAGAGTTCCTTTGTGCTGAGAAAGTGATGTTTACCCAGTGGAGACCACTGTATCAGAGGTGCTTCCTGTCCCAACACTGCATGCTACTCAGACAAACTGCTCATTGCAGAGTTACCAAGGGAGGCATATGCTTCATAGTGCTATTGTACAAAACTGGACATATATTTGCAAAAGTAGTGGGTTTGACCGCAACAATGCACCAAAGGTACTGTATGTTTTCTTTTGTCTGACCTATTTGGTTTGTAACTGGGGACTTGGGACTTCTGTTGTGTTTACCATCCTCGTGGTTTGTGGTTTGTGTTTGCGGGACGCTAAACATGGGAAAAAACTGGCCATGATTCACAGGTCCTTTCAGCAATCCTTCCGTTCCAGCTCAGCAAGCAAAGGAGGACGTGGACCATCAGGAAAGATGTTTTTCGTGGCCCGGAACAGAAATGTAGCAGGTCAAGGAAATGAAAGGAGGTAACAGCAACATTGCAGAGGAGAAAAACAGGGCCTTTGTGGCCGTGTAAAAAAAACACCGGAAATCTCTAAAATGCAATTACATTTAATGTCATGATATTTGTATTGTATTGAGAAAAACAAGGTCTACTCATCTTCCCCATCAATAGGTCAATTTATCAGAAATTTCGTGACGTAGATTTATTGGACAAGAAGAAGACAGTGACTGCTCTAAAGCCCGGTGAAGATCGAGCCATATTTCTGGGACTCGGGATGATCCTCTCTTCAGTCATGATGTACTTTGTCCTGGGGATCACAATATTACGCTCTTATGCAGAAAGGTACAGGCGTGTTGTTTAACGTCGGCTTCTGGATGAAACATGTTTTATTCATCAGATGTGCTTGGTGACAAACTGCATTCAGTGCTCTCTCAACCTGAAAAGTGCAACAGTACAACAATACATAGCTCATGCCAATTTTCATATCATCAGATTCCTGAAATGTTTTCTGCTGCATTTAAAACTGGATCTTCATTTAAATGTCAACAGTGTGTGGACAGAGGAGGGCGTTTGCGTTGTTCTCAACTCCACGGTCACAGCAGACATGAACTGTTCCTACAACTGTGGGTCGGAATGCTGGAGAGCCTCCAAATACCCCTGTCTGCAGGTCTACGTGAGCGTCAATAACACGGGCCGCGTCCGCCGCTTATCTCACAACGAGGAGTCCCAGGACACCAGCTCCGAAGTGAGTACAGGGCCAGACGCACCTGAAGGAAATTCTGAAAATACTCCCATCACGATTAAAAGAAGCGGCGCGGCCCTCGCTAAATACAAAAAAGCATGACTAATCCCCCCTGGATGACCATGGTGTCCTTCAATCCTGTCCTTGCAGTGCGTCTACGTGCCCAGGTGCCAGAAGGACAGGGTGGCCATGCATGTCATAGTCATGAACATCTCCGAGCACCTGAAGGTGAACCAGCAGGTCCCCTGTTACTACGACCCCAGCGAGCAGCAGGAGGCCGTTCTCCTGACGAGGCTGTACGACCATCGCGTTGTCTTCCACTCGCTGCTCTGGCCCTCCTGCATGCTCACAGGAGGGGCCCTCGTTATCGTGATGGTCAAGCTCACGCAGTACCTCTCCAGACTGTGCGAAGAGATAGGGAAGATCAAGAGGTGAAATACGTGCAGTCACCGTCAAAGCATTTGCTGGTTTGGTGATGGACATGTGAGATGAAAGGAATTGTATCTACTAAACACCCTTTCTGTGACCTATTGCAAACATTCCTCTTCTTCTGAGGCATCGGGAAGAGCTGACTCTGTCTCCAGATCCAGGATGTGTCTGTTTATCAAATTGAACTAAATGTTCCAAGGGGGGGAACTTTTAGAAATGCAACAAAAAGACTTTTGTACAAGGAAGTCTATGACTGGATATGCCTGGTGTCAACGCATTGTAAAATGTTTTATGGATATTTTCTATGCTCTATCTCAGATATGGTAAGTTATGAGCATGTGGTTTAATATTGACAATGCCAACTTAATTTGACGGAAAAAAATTCTGTACGCATTATTAATGTTGAGGAACAACTTTAACAACTATCTCAAACATTTCTTAAATTCATTTGTTATCTCCTCAACTTGATCATATGTGTTTATCTTATGAAGTGTTTTTTTGTTTGCTGTGACTTTTTAAAAACTGTAACCATACCAACAATTCAAAATGTAAAGTGATTGAGACATTATTGCACGATGTCAACTTCGGCACCGGTTTACCAAATAAAGCTTACGGCCCAGAAATAAATTCTGATCTCAAATTCCAGGGTCACAATTTCCCTCTTTAAAACAAAAATGATATCCGTTTACAGTTTATCTCATAAATAACCACAAAAAGGGAAATGGATAGATTGCATGACTTTGCAGGGCCCTTACTAAGCTGTATGGGCACACACTTCTTTTTCCTGCAGTAGAAATAAAAGACCATTTCCCCAGGATGTTTGTGTGTTAGAAACCACACAGAGAGGATGTACTTCTGCCACACTTGCAAAATCTTTTTACTTTAGTTTGAACGGTTGGCTGATTTGGTGGCGATAGCCATGGTCTTTGCATTCCTATCCTTGAATATATGACTATGTCTGTACAAGGATTTATTTGAAAATAATTAAGATTACACCAATATTGTTTGAAGTTAAAACATAGTTTACAGTTATATAACTTAGTCAACAAAAAGCAGACGTATTGAGACATAAGCGATGAAAACCTACAAATAATTCAACTACCAGTGAAACTTTTCCCTCATCTAACCTTTTTATTCGGTGGCTTTTCTCGTGTGCTATTTACCGGGCGTTTGCTAAGTTCCATACTCCATAAGAAAAACAGTGGTTTCCATCTCATGACGACCAGCTTTTCTGCAGCAGCTCAGACGCGCACTCGGTGTGGGAGGGAAGGTCCACGGCGATGAGCCCGCTAGCAGCCTTCCAACCGGCTATCGTTAGCTGCGCGCGGCTAACTCGCCACCAAGCCGTTCACTTTTGTTTTCGGGACGCCACGATGAAGAACGTCGCGAAGTATTAATGGACTTATTCCACTGTAGCATATCGACAAGAACCAACGGGGTCCCCGGGGCGTCTTTTCTCCTAATAACATCGGGTCCGCGCCGACCCCTCGGTGTCATTGTTCGGATGGACCGTCGTTAAGAGCTAGCGCCGCCGCTCCAGACTTCCCGAGCGGGCACGAATGGGATCTGCTCGGCTCGCGGCTGCCACTGGGTGTACTGGCGGATTAGCTTCGCGGCTAACCGGTTGGCGTTAGCTATCTGACACAGGTAGCCTGATATTTGGGTATTTTGTTTGTGTCGTGCGTTGTCGTGTGTGTGTTGACTTTCAGCTGTTATTCAGAAATACGTGAACGTGACCCCCGGGTTACATTGTGGGAACGCCAGACTAACAGCAGCTTAATGTCTCAGGCGGGGTACTCGTATCGTAGCGTTAGATGACATTGGTCCCCTTGGATAACTTGGCTAGCGTGATTTCCCCAGCTAGCTAAGAAAAGGCACCCAACGTTAATGCTGATACACCGAGCAGCAGCAGCAGCACAACACAAACTACCTTAATAGTTCGGGGAGACTGTCGAGCCCGGGTTAAAAAACTGTAACTTAACGTTAGCCGCGGTTACCGTCTAAAGCCCGAGTGACATCAACGCTCGCTAGCAAACATGTTTGTTTACATGCTTTTGAGGCGCTTTCACTGGACATTTTCCAATCAGCTCATCGTTGCCCTCTCCGAGTTAGCCTCGAGTTATTCTAAACGCCAACTCGCCAAGCCTAAGTTCCTTTCGTGTAGTTTCCGTCCGCTGTGATGACACGGTGTCGTTGGGTGAAAGCTAACGCTGTAATGATTGACAAACGTGTGCGGTGACATCTTGGACGGCTGCTAAGTTTAATTGTGACAGTTCAGGCTGCGATGTGTCACTACCGGCTCGCAAACACGCAACATAGAAATATGCGGTGGTGCCACGGGCATTCCCTGTTATCCCGTTGCTACATTTCCCATCAGCTTTGGGCACCCAACTCTGGGTCTCTCCCCCCGGAGTGTATATATAGCATCATTATAGCCTGTCACTATGCAACTCTAGCATAGGTCCAATGTTTACCGCAAGCCTTTTGCATTAGTGTGCACAGGTCAGTGACTCTCTTCAAATTTTTTTCTTCTTTCTCACAGCTGGTTGACATTGCACATGTGATAATTAGTCGACTCAGAAAAAAGCAGATTCCTTGGCACGACCATGCCTCCAAGGCCTTCCTCGGGAGAACTATGGGGGATGCACTTGATGCCCCCCAGCATCCTGGTGGACTGCCTCCTGCCAAATGGCATGATCCTCACGTTGGAGTGCCTCCGGGAGGCCACGCTCGTTACAGTCAAGCACGATCTTTTTAAAGAGGCCAGGAAGTACCCTCTTCACCATCTGCTGCAGGAGGAGAGCTCCTACATCTTTGTCAGTGTCACCCAGGAGGCCGAACGCGAGGAGTTCTACGATGAGACCAGGAGGTTGTGCGATCTCAGGCTCTTCCAGGCCTTCCTCAAAGTCATCGAGCCGGTGGGCAACAGAGAAGAGAAAATTCTCAACAGAGAGATAGGTATGGTTCATGAATTATTCATAATGGGTGTACGTAGACCGTGGGATTATTATTACCCATAGTCAGGGAAATTAACATACTGTTGTTGCACGGCAAATCAAGGCAAATGTGTTTTTATCAAGCCCTTGTTCTTCCTTTCAGGTTTTGCCATTGGAATGCCCATTTGTGAGTTTGATTTGGTGAAAGACTCTGAAGTGCAGGACTTCAGACGGAACATTTTAAATGTTTGCAAAGAGGCTGTGGACCTCAGAGACAGTAACGGACCCCACAGCAGAGCTTTGTACGTGTATCCTCCCAATGTAGAATCGTCTGTAGAACTTCCCAGGCACATCTATAACAAGCTAGATAAAGGTGAGACGCTTTATGTATGTACGCAAACATTTACAGTCGTGTTGTTTACTCCTTCCATACACATAGAACAATTCTAAACTATTTTAATTGGATCTTTTGTACTCTTTCCCTCAGGTCAAATCATCGTGGTCATATGGGTTATTGTGTCACCAAGCAATGACAAGCAGAAGTACACCCTGAAGATCAACCATGACTATGTACCGGAGCAGGTGATTGCCGAAGCCATCCGCAAGAAGACACGTAGCATGCTGCTCTCCCAGGAGCAGTTAAAAATGTGTGTACAGGAGTATCAGGGAAAGTACATCCTCAAAGTCTGTGGCTGTGACGAATACTTACTGGAGAAATACCCTCTGAGTCAGTACAAGGTAATCTAATTTAATCTTGCGTGTGCTGCATCTTAATAGCATTGTACTTAGTGGGGGAGAGATCCATTTTGTGTCAAATTATCACGTCAATACAAATGTGCCTGACATTTATGGGATAAAATTAATATGCTGATTTAAGGATAGAAGCTAAACACATCGTGGTATATAAGTACAAACAACGGAATGTCTGTGTTACTGCTCAGTTGTACCTTTTTAACATCCAATAATTTGCATGTTGATAAGCCTAGAAATTGTATGAAAGGGTATCAAAAATGTCAAACTGCATGAAAAGAACCAAAATGTCACAATCCTGGCCGCTTCAGAATGTCACTTTCTGTGTCCTTGACAGTACGTCCGCAGCTGCATCATGTTGGGACGGATGCCCAACTTGATGCTAATGGCAAAAGACAGCCTGTATTCCCAGCTGCCCATAGACAACTTCACCATGCCGTCCTACGCGAGGAGAATATCCACAGCAACGCCCTACATGAATGGGGAAACGGCCACCAAGTCCCTCTGGACTATCAACGGAACGCTGAGGATCCGGATACTCTGTGCCACTTACGTCAATGTCAACATCCGAGACATTGACAAGGTACGCCCGCTGTGGTGCTGTGGCTGCTTCACCTTGTTTTATTTACAGCTCCTCTGCTTTGACAAAAAAAAAATACATTCTGGCGGCTGTCTCTCATCTGCACCTCCTTGGAGGTTCTGAGAAGACGTTCTTCATTTCATGCAGTCAGGCGTCCAGTGAACGATATCTGCCCCCGGATCAGCGTGTAAAACCTTTTGTTTGTGGCTGCTCTAGATCTACGTCAGGACCGGGATCTACCACGGCGGAGAGCAGTTGTGTGACAACGTCAACACCCTGCGCGTGCCCTGCTCAAACCCCAGGTAGGAACACGCCATGCAGACCGGCGCTCCACGCTGTGGGAACATTTAGCCGCTATGAGGTTTGATTACGTTAACGCCATCGTCCCCGTTTGTTCCAGGTGGAACGAGTGGCTGAACTACGACATGTACATTCCAGACATCCCGCGTGCTGCCCGACTCTGCCTCTCCATCTGCTCGGTGAAGGGAAGGAAGGGAGCTAAAGAGGTTGGCTACGTTGAAATCTGTAATGCTTGAGATTTCTGCTTTGGTAGATTTGACGTTGTGAAGCTCGTCATCCAGCAGCTCCACGTGGTTGCTCTCGCTTATTTCAGCACTTTCTGCAGCGGATAAAACTGTTTAAGAGTACGAAAAATGATAGAATCCTATTTTTGTCATCGCAGATTTCTAGAACTATCTTGTTAGCTTTGCCAGGGCAGTGGAAGAGTTAACGGTAAACAACGAGGCTGATAACAATGGGTTTAAACACTTACTCGGGATTACATTCAGACATCTTGCAAATCCCCTCATGCGAGGTTGGGTCATTCGAGTCCAGCGTTGCAATAAAACACAATTTTATATCAAGGTCAATACGGAATGTTAATGCATTGGCTGTTTTTAAAAAACAAAAAAGCATTGCCAGCCTGATAAATCAGGGTGGGACTTCACCATTGTAGATTTGAATGTTATATTTAAAAATAATTTTACAATCCACTTCTGTTTGGTCGTTATTGAAGTAAACAGTCAGCTAATATAAGCGTGGGAGACAAACATACTTTCGTTTTCTTAATCTCATCGTCTTTCTGGTGTTTTCCTGCAGGAGCACTGTCCTCTCGCCTGGGGCAACATTAACCTGTTTGACTACACCCACACACTGGTGGCAGGGAAGATGGCGCTCAACCTATGGCCCGTCCCACACGGCCTGGAGGACCTTCTCAACGCCATCGGTGTCACAGGCTCTAACCCCAACAAGGTGAGCGGCAAATGTCAGCATTGTGTCGTTTCTATTAGAGTCTCATCTTTCCTTACTGAGCGGCTTGATACACGTCTGAAACGTAACCAGACCCTGCTTTCCTTTGGCGGTTTGTCTGTGTCTGTTAACTGGAAAATATGTTTTTGCAATAAAACTAAATGTATGAATTGTAATATCGTCTCAACTTCAGCTACGTAGGGTAGTTTCGGAGGGTGTTGAAACTCAAAGACGATGGAATAACATTGCATAAAAGATAATCTTTTTGAAGCTTTTCTACTATGTTTTGTGCTCATGCCGGCGACTGACCTCTAAGCCTCATTACCCAGTTTACAGCAAGCTGGGAACTGGGAACTGTAGATTTTCAGAACTGGATTTAAGCCGCTTCGGTTAAACCTTCTTATCCCACCTAATTAAACACTCATTGTGTCAGGGGACTTTTTTTGATTAGAACAAATACCTTTCCCCTCTCACCACTTTCTAAACCTGCAGGAAACTCCTTGTCTGGAGCTGGAGTTTGACCACTTCAGTTGCCCCGTCAAGTACCCGGAAATGACCATCATTGAGGAACATGCAAACTGGAATATATCCAGAGAGCTTGGCTTTAATTACTGCCACACTGGTTTGGTAAGATAACGAGAATTTGTTATTGTTTTCCCCCCCTCCCCTCCCCACTGAGATCTAGTTCAATTACTTTATTTTAGCGCAAAAAATCACAAATTTGCCTACGAGGGCTTTACAGTCTGTACGTAGTAAGCCAAATAATGATTTAAAAATTGTTATTTGTAATCACAACCGTAGTAGAAATGGTAGATTAACAACGATAACAAGCCTGGATGAGATCTCATTGTCATTCTGAGCAGCCGCCACATTTTTTTTCCTTCCGCGGACGGCAACCTCCTTTTGACTCTGTTTAATGAGACACACCACCACGCTAACTGTTCAGCTTTCATTGATTGTGTTCTTCTGCGTCTTAGAGTAACAGATTGGCGCGTGACAACCCGCTGACCGACACTGACAATGAGCAGCTACGACAGGTGTGCAACAGAGATCCACTCTCTGAAATCACTGAGCAGGAAAAAGACTTCCTATGGAGACACAGGTAATGGGTCTGCACTTTCATACCAGTCTATGGGGCTTTTAAGTAGTTTAAAAAAAAAAAAACATTTCATTTTTACATAAAAGTCAGTGTACTAATTCATTCTCTCCCCCTCAAATCCTTCCAGACAAGACTGCGTCAACATGCCGGAGATCCTTCCCAAGATCCTCCTGGCTGTGAAATGGAACTCAAGAGATGAGATTGCCCAGGTAAGCTCAGGTTTCCACTGCTGACTCGGCTTCGTTTTAAAGGACGTTACTCTGGGAGATGGGTGTGTTCCTTACTTGGTTGTTGTACTACTGTAACTGATATTTACATATAAAGCGTGTGTGTGTTGTATCCAAAGTCATTGATGTTTTCCTTCTTTCTGTTTTTAGATGTATTGCCTCCTGAAGGACTGGCCTGCTATCAAACCAGAGCAAGCCATGGAGTTGCTGGATTGCAACTTTCCTGATCCTATGATCAGAGAGTTTGCAGTAAAGTGCCTTGAGAAATACTTAACTGATGACAAACTCTCCCAGTACCTCATTCAACTGGTGCAGGTGTGTGGTTCATTTGATGCCTCAGTTTCATACACTGTGTTTATTGTGTTTTAATGCCAATGTTTCATGCTATTTTCTATGTGTGTCATTTTGTGCCCAGGTTCTTAAGTATGAGCAGTACCTTGATAACCCACTGGCACGTTTCCTGCTGAAAAGGGCCTTAACCAATCAGAGGATAGGACATTTTTTCTTCTGGCATTTAAAGTGAGTTCATTTAAAAAGGTCTTCTTTCAAGAATTTGTGCAGCCGTGACTTGGAAGTTTAAACTGATGTTTGAATGTCGGTAAAGGGAAACGTTGCCAATTTTCAAGCTGCTTTGTGTTGTTGCAATGCCAGCAACACAAAGCCACGGATGACACACATTTAGAGGACTTGAGCTGGCAAATGAGCAGGCAGCTCTGGGCGCCGGTAACTCAAAGGAAGGCAGAGCTTTTTCACATACCACCCACATTGCAATGATACAAAGATGGTTGGAAATCTGCCACGTTTCCCTTTTTGAGTTGTCTGTTTCTTAATCCTAAAAGATTCAAGACAGTTGTGTGAACAGCTGATGGCGGTCGATGTTTCGGGATGCTCTTTGCATGCGTGCATTAGCGGCGAGGCTGTGGATACGTCTCCCGTTGGCACACAGGCTGCCTCTTCATTAGTGTTTCTCCTACATTTGTGCAGGTCAGAGATGCACAACAAGACAGTGAGCCAGCGGTTTGGGCTGCTGTTGGAGTCGTACTGCCGGGCCTGTGGCATGTATCTAAAGCACCTGAGCCGACAGGTGGAGGCCATGGAGAAACTCATCAATCTCACTGACCTCCTCAAACAGGAGAAAAAAGATGAGGCGCAGAAGGTAATGAGACAGCCGGCATCTGTTAATTGTGATCCACTGAATCGTTGAGTTTAATCTGGTCAACATCTGGACCAATCAAGCCGCACTCGAATGATAGTTTGAATGGTTGCTTTTTCATTTGCTTGCTGCGCAATACATTGCAACCCCACATTTAAAAAAACATCAATAACAACATCTTTTCAATAATAGGCATTTGGAATATGGAATATTCTTTAGCTTGTATGACTATTAAGCATGCTTTAATAAATATATATACACATTTTTATAGTAAAGAGCCTTCTAAGGAAGTGAATACTACTACATTCACAAATGAATGCTTCTTATTAGAAAAATAAATCTTTGCTTATTTTGAAGAGGACACTATTTAAAATATATAATAGGTATTTTAATATGTGACAGAGTAAACCTTCATATTTGTATTTTGCTAGCTCAAAAGGAATGTTGACTATGATCGTAAAAGTACCGGTAATGGTCTCTAAGCAAATGCATTTGTTAGCTGGCTAACAAGCAAATTGAGCTAATATCTTAATGCAACATTATGAATTCGCTAATATAGCATTCATCAATGATGAAAGGACCGGCAACCAGCCACACAGCACAACGCAGGTGCTGGTAGAAGCTGCATTCATCTCATTGTGACAGATATTTATGATGCTGCTGCTGCTGCTGACTACTCACCAGCTGTCTAAAACTAACATTTGATTAACTCATCACATCACCTTCTGTCTCCCTTTTAAGGTTCAAATGAAGTTTCTGGTGGAGCAGATGAGAAGGCCAGATTACATGGACGCCCTGCAGAACTTCACGTCCCCACTGAATCCTGCTCATCAGCTGGGAAACCTCCGGTACGTCAGCATCTAACTCCCTCCTCTGAAAAACGGCTGGCATTTAAAATTAATTTCCTTTTGCAGGTGTTGCTTTGGACTTTTCCTCTCTAGAGAAGCAAAGTTGTTACCTAATAAAAGTGTGTGTGTACATTTACGGACATAATTAACTCCATGCTCTGAAAACACTGCCTCATTTTTACAGCAAACCCAGTTGCTTTTGTCGAAATAATGTACATTCTGGTTTGAGAAAGGATTCTGGTGCACAAACGTATCCTTTTCTTTGTTTCAGTCTGGAAGAATGCAGAATGATGTCGTCAGCCAAGCGACCTCTCTGGCTTAACTGGGAAAACCCAGATATGATGTCAGAGCTGCTCTTTCAAAACAACGAAATCATCTTCAAAAATGGAGACGGTGAGTTTTGTCTCTGCGTCATTCCCTCGAGTCTCTATTGTTGCCTCTCTCTATTTAGCCGTCCATGCTGTATATCAGCACACACGCAGACTTGAAAAAGCTCTTGCTGAGCACGGCGCATAATTCTTTCTAAGCGCGTGGTTCATAAAATGGCACATAAACTCAACCCCATCCCCGTTCTTTACATAGAAATTCCGAAAGAACAAGCCAACTATCATTGGAATCGCTGTTAACGCATCGCTGTTTGAGCATTTTGCTGCACCATCTGTGGCATAATTGACTTTGACAGCTCTGCCCCATAACGCAACGTGGAGTTGATCAAAGCAACTAATATTCACCTTACTGTCATCCGCCTCCTCGGCTCTCTCCGCCTCCGCAGATCTGAGGCAGGATATGCTGACGCTGCAGATCATTAGAATAATGGAGAACATCTGGCAGAACCAAGGCCTTGATCTCAGGTAGGCTCCTCACTTCACCGCGACAGGAAGGATGCAGGTGCATATTAACAGGCGCTGGATGCTTTCATGTTCTGCACTCATACACAAATGCAGATTAGCAGCAAGCCAGCACAAGTCATTTACTATGAAGACCATCACTTCTTCCCTAATTATTTGTGCCTCTTTATGTTTCTGGTCCTTCCTCCAACAGGATGCTGCCGTACGGGTGTCTGTCAATCGGTGACTGTGTTGGATTGATTGAGGTGGTGAGGAACTCTCACACCATCATGCAAATCCAGTGTAAAGGAGGCATAAAGGGGGCCCTGCAGTTCAACAGCCACACACTGCATCAGTGGCTCAAGGATAAGAACAAGGGAGAGATGTGAGTGGCAAAACAGAGATTTATACAGCTCTTCCGTAGGATGTAGAATCAGTTATAATGTAAAGACTAAATACAAGATTAAGTGTCTAAAATAGTTGGATACAGCTACTGAATTGATTCTGTGACTGAAGTACTTTCCATGTGTTCTTAGGTATGACCAGGCCATAGATCTGTTCACGCGCTCGTGTGCGGGCTACTGTGTAGCCACATTCATCCTGGGCATAGGGGACCGACACAACAGCAACATCATGGTCAAAGATGATGGACAGGTAGATATTGCATTATGAATGATTTCTGTGAGTATAGATGCTGCAGCTATTGCAAAAATAGCTGCAAAAATAGCTTGCAAAAATCATTCATATTTACCTTTTCACAGCTGTTCCACATAGACTTCGGCCATTTCCTCGACCACAAAAAGAAGAAGTTTGGGTACAAGAGAGAACGAGTCCCCTTTGTGCTCACGCAGGACTTCTTGATCGTTATTAGCAAAGGAACTCAAGAGTGCACCAAGACGAGGGAGTTTGAGAGGTAACACCAGCTACCGTTTGATTTAATCAGGATCAAGATTATTCATCATGGACTTAGTAGAAATTTTGATTGACAGACTTGAGTATCCCGCACTTTTCTCATTTATTTTTCTCTGTCCACCTTCAGGTTCCAGGAGATGTGTTACAAGGCGTACCTGGCAATCCGGCAGCACGCCAACCTCTTCATCAACCTCTTCTCCATGATGCTGGGCTCGGGGATGCCCGAGCTGCAGTCGTTTGACGACATCGCCTACATCCGAAAGACCCTGGCCTTGGACAAGACGGAGCAGGAGGCGCTGGACTACTTCATGAAGCAGATGAACGACGCTCACCACGGCGGCTGGACGACAAAGATGGACTGGATCTTCCACACGATCCGCCAGCATGCCATGAACTGAAAGGACGACTGACACAACAGAGGAGTAAACAGCGACTAAGACCCGAGATAATACTGAGACGCGAGGGAGGTATTTTTCACCCAAACACACTACGACCTGGTGATACTTCTGCCAGCGAGTGACTGTGAAACATGCCAGAGCACCACGGGATAAAAGGGTGCTTAGAGGGCCTATTTCAGGGACATAATGCCTAAATGCGCCTGTTTCTACAGGTTTCTGACTTCTTTCCCTCGTTCGCTGCACTATGAACTTCAGATGACGTCATATTTCATCGGTCTTCTTCATAGGAACTAAGCAAGTGTAATGGACCTCGACAACGTTTGCCTTCTTTTGTGTGGACAAACTATCTACAATACTACTAGATTTTTATTTTTGTTTTTTTTCCTATTCCTTTCAATACATCTTCAACCATCAGCATTAAGAAAGCCACGTGGTGAAGCGGTGTACCATGAGCACAGACGGTTTTTCTAGAGAGGAACACTGCTTCTTTTCCACTACCTATTTCAAACTGATGAAAGGCAAGGGAGACCTCGGCGAAACAACGGGAAACGGGCGATGAGAAGCCTGGCCGGTGACCACAGAATCACCATTACCCCATACGACCATGAAAAAAGCAACTGCAGAACTTATAGGGGACATGCCGTTAAACACTTAATAGCATTTAACACTTAACGCTAACCAAAATAGCAACTTATTTGTAGCCTACAGATGACGTGTCCTTTAGCACTATCGCCAGATACCTGACTTTTTACAGCAGAATATCCACATACTTGTAGCAATCAGTGCACATGTTCCTTTTTCGAGTCTATTTTCCACTGAGCCAAAGTACTAGATGTTCAACCCCACTATTTAGCGTTCTTATTGTAAAAAAAAAAGATAAAGAAATAGTCACGACTATTCCAAGTCTCTTGTCTGCACTCACAGCACTGATCTCTGCAGTATTTATTTTTGTTTGTTTTCGTCTATCAGTATTATTTTGTGTTGTTGAAGCACAAGCGTCCGTCGTCCATCCCCACGCAGTCGTAACACACACGGACCAGAGGAAGCTCCCCGGTCGGTCACCTGTCATTCAGCTGATAAAGACAAGAAAGACCAGGGGAGACGGATGTGTAGTGTTCCCTTTGTGTGCTGTGCTGTTACACTATGCAAGTTGTGATACCTAAAATGTAATGAATACTGCTTGGGGGAAGAAATGGAACGAGTCAACGTCAAAGTAAAGACGAGGAGCGAGAGAGACGGATGCTTCTCTCCATCGACGTGCTCACGCTTTGTACAGACAGAACAGCGAAGAGGACGAAAAAAACCCGAAATCCTGCAATGTAACAGAATCCTCTACTTCTTCCCAACAAAAATAACTTTGAGAAAAGCCTTTGGACCTTGCCTTTTTCGCTTCTCCGTTTCAGGTTTATATTTGGAGCTTCAATCTAAGCCATCTGCATAATGTTTTCGAGCCGTGGTTTTGCTCCCGTCGTCTTGTTCTCAGTCACACGCTTGACAGGTAACTTAAGACCGATTCTCTGCTCGCATTTTGCCATGTTGTCCCAGATCGTGACGTCCAGGTAAAAACAAGTAACCGAAGTGAATTTCCGTCAACCTTCCAAGTGTCTTCTTCCCTCTTTCCTATGATTGTCACCCTTATGTGTGGAAGAAGGATCTCTGCAGGTTCGCTCACTGCTCAGACACGTACGTAAGAGGTCAGTAATTGTTCCAGCTTCACCAAATGATACACAGCGTTTTCCCGGACACTCAAGTCTGTGTGCGAATCCACTTTTTTTTGTTTTTAGTACCTGGCTATGGATTTATAAATGCCGGGGAAACCGATCCTAGTGAGATGCGCGTGCTTCTGTACAGGCGACAGAGCAGTGGGCCGGACCCAAAAGGAGAAAACCAGACCCCGTAAACTTTATTGAGCAACTCTAAAATGACGCTATTTCCCTTTTTGTAATTGTTGTTTCTTTCCTCTCACAACGCTTCATGCATGAGGTCCTTGAATTATCTACTTTTCTTTTTGACCTCATGTTGTTTACTTGAATTTCGTGTAAAGAAATTACCTGTTTACTTGTGTGAGGTACAACAAAGTCACGGCGACGGTAACTGATACTGACACTGCTACTACATGTGCAAATGCTTTCTTGAATTACTACAGAGGTAATATATTTTTGTATTTTGAAATGTAAGCAAACTCGTATATGTAACTGCTAACCAAAAAACAAAACAAAAAAAAAAGGACAGCGAGAGGAATCATGCATCATGTGCACCATCCTACCCAGTAGACAGCTTGTAGTTGTTGAAATGATATGAATGACAAAGCAGAGGTGGATTGTTAAATGAAGGACAGGGACCTGATGCTGTTGCCAGAGTACGATGTTCACGCCGAGTGGAGATCTCTCGCCCTGAGTGGAAGTCTGTAAGCACAATGAGGAGGAAGAAGAAGCTACCTGCATGTTTCAAAAGAAGCAGATCCCATATGTAAGTTATATATCCATCTGAGTATATATATCATTAAACTCTTCAAATACTTGTTTTAGTTATCCCATATGACAATGTCTGATGAAAAAAAACCCTGTATGCATTCATTTATTGTATTGTTGAATAAAAACATTCTACCGATCAAAAAAGATAACCAGACTCTTTTTATTTATTACATTGCTTTCTTGCAAACGAAATGTATGTAATTAACGTGCCACTTTTGTGCTTCGTGAAAAGATAGAAATTCACGTGGCTGATATCCTTCAATTTGTGCCCAACAAGGGAATCTTCCAATTGAAATTACACTAAGAATCTTTTCTTCTTCAGCCATACTGAATAAGCTTTCAAGAACTTTGACGTTACCGTTGCTTTTATTTCATTATAATAACCCTGCTTTCCAAATCACCTACTTTTTATTCAGCTTGCTTTTAACAAGTGTATGCTGTATATGCATTCCGTTTGGACCTACTATTTCCTCATAACATTGCTTAACAAGGTTCATCCTCTTTCTCTTCTATCCATTTCGCGCGCACGCGCGCGCACACACACACACACACACACACACTGGATGTGTCACGACGGAGACTGCACGCCGGATGGCTGCAGCATTCGGTACAGTTTGCCCTGAGTGTCCGTCGGTGTCAGCCGGCCCGCTGCGGCCTCGCTGCACATCTCGGAGGAGAAGTGGGCCAAGCGCTGCGTCAGCTTCACAAGGCCCACCAGCAGCGCTCCGCCAGCCAGCATCAGCCCGGGCCACAGCAACGCAGACAGGCCTTTCTTCAAGGTGTACTTCCTGCTCAGGATGACGTCCCCGGGGTGCCTCGTCGGGTCCGTGAAGCAAGACGACGCGCTCCCCAGCTGAGCGTCCAAGCTGTTTTTCAATGTCCGCACCTCCGCCAGAAGTTCGGCTCCGTCCGATTGACATTTGGGGACGTAGAAACACTGAGCGAGAGAGAGAGAAGATACGATTCATTGTCATCGAGTGACCTGCTTGTTTCAGTATGCAGCACTGATTGCAATCAGGGAGACGAGACGACAAGTTTCTCTCTCTCTCTCTATATATATATATATATATAATTTAGTATTTTGTCTGTTGCAGAGAAGAAAAAAAAAAAAGCCCTTCCCAGCCTCCATTTGCGGCTCTGAAAAATATGTTTTGTACAATTCCTCTGAATGGAGCAGACGTGCATCATGCGAGCGTCTCCTGATAGTATCTGCTGGCTTATATTCACAAGGGTGCAGGAATCAGTAGTTTTCCATGCTGTCATCGTGCTCAGTGCAGCTTTTCTTCCTCACCTCTTTTCTCAGGTGCTTCCTCAAGTCCCTGCCTGGATGTCTAATATGGAAACATTAACATGGATGACCTGAGTCCTGAACAAGCGACGCTACGACCCACTGCACGTAGTCTTCATGCTCAAGCCCACTAAACTCCTGCAGGTCTTTCAAGTCACCTGCAGGTTATCCCACCTGGTGTGGAGCAGATTCAAATCCGGTGCTCATGAGCCTTTGAGTCCAAACATTAACCCTGGAATGTAGAGCTGTGAATCCCTACCTGCGGAGCGAGCAGGACGGACTCCTCGTCAAAGTGGAGGAAAGCCCTCTTATTGGAGCTGGTGAGGTTGACCGTGACCCTGAGGCAAGGTACAGTGCTCACACCTCTGCAGTCCACCCACTCCTCCAGGATGTCGGCCTGCAGCAGCACGCAGCCGGCCTCCTCCTCCCAGTCACTGCAACACAAGAGCAGCATTCGGATGCATCCCAGCCAGAGCCACAGCCATCGGTAAGGTAACACCTTTTTTTCATTTGATAATATAATAAGTGTAATGCTATGTAAGGCTATTGGTAGGAATCCCCAGTGAATCTATGAGAACAATAACCAGTTGCAGCCCTGGTTGCCTCATCTCATGCTATAAGTTATGTCATATATATATATATTATACGTATATGACACATCTAACAGCATCAGCAGACAAACCACAGTGCACCTGTTCACGTAAGGTTTGACCACAGTGAAGCCGACCACAAAGAACATGAGCACGGAGAAGGCCATCATGGCGTAGCCCAGCAGGACGGCTCTGTCCTCCCCGACGCTCGACGCTGGCATCCGAGCTCGCTGCCCCCCGCGGCCCCCCACGCCGCAACTCCACTCCTGCTCCTGAGCCGTGTGCAGCAGCTCCCTGTGTCTCTCTCACGCACACGCACACACATACACACACACGCACAGGGTTTAAGGATTTTGTCCAACATTTTAAATTTAATTCATCAAATTTTGTTTTTGACTCGTTTTATGATTTGGTTCATTTTAATTAATCTTCTATTCTTTCAAACCATGTGATTCCCTTCTGTGCTCAAAGTATCCACATTCACTTTGTTTTTCTACATAAAACCTTTGTTTACACGAGTTTAAAGAGTGGAATTTAGTCTTTCAAATAACCTTGGTGACCTCATCAGATAATATTTTGTCGAATAGCTCACTCCAGGTCGACAGAGGACACAAAAGGCCTAAAAGTCCTTCTTCTCACACGTGAACTGACCTTGATTTGTCTTTATTGTGATGCAATTAAAAAAAAAAATACAAACTGCTCAAAGCGATGCGCCTGGACTTTCCGGCATGGACAGTTTGTTCGACCATACATCCTGTGTCCAGGAGTTGAAAATCAGAATTTGGAGGTCTGTTGAGACTTGACGGGTTTCACAACAGTCTACGGTCGATGGTCCTTCTCTTACCGTGTCTGCCGCCTGCGAGCACCCTGCAGGTTGATGCTGATGGGGATGGTGAAAGACCTCCGGGGAGAAGCTGTGTTCACGAACATACCCGCTCCTATCTCCCTCTCGGCCACCTGCCGCTCCTGAGTGTGTGCGTCCGCCTAACAAGCTCTTCTCCCTCTCTGAAGGTCAAGGTTTGTCAACAGCTGATCATCTTGTGTCTCAGATGAAGCACGGCGACTGAGAGAACCAGATTTCAGTTCATTCACAGGGAGGCTTCCCGTTGTTTACCGCGGCTCAAAGGTGAGTGCTACAACAGCTTCCGCCCTCCTGTGTGTTTCTATAGAAACCCCCACAGGTACAGTAAGCCAGGTAGGATGCTAATGGCCTCTCAGTGGGCCCTGGAGGCTCCGCCGCATGAAGCAGTTTGTCCCGGAAAAGCAGAATGAATCCCTTCTTGTTGCTTATTGTTGTGCACTGAATGAAGCAGCACGTGTTCGAAAACGATCAACCGCCTCTACACCCATTAAAACACACGTTCACAACAGATACCGACCCAAACACGCGTGTGCTTTGATCATCCTGCTGGCCTGTCGAGCTGAAAACCCCTCACATTGTGCAGAGAGCAAGTTGCTGAGCAAGTTTATATGTGTTATTCAAACGATTGAAACTCATTGAATTATTCATGCGCTGAAAGAAAAACATATGGAGGTATTAACTTGGTGACAGGTGAGTTTAATAAAACAAGCCCAAGGCTTGGAACGCGACTGCAGCTTGAGAATGGAGCCAACTATTCATTAAACAGAGAGCAATGTCACACCTAATTTATTCAGTGTTGAATACAAAAGAGCATTATTTTTGGAGGGGAATAAGGCATCTAATCTGAAAATGTAATTACAGTCTATCTGATGTATTTTGTACCCTGGATGTTTTTTATTACTCTGTGTGAGGCCTCATGTTTTCGAACAGTAAAGTTATTCACATGCATGGTCTACAACAGGGTACATGGGTCCGGATGAAGTGCTTTTGATGATGACATTAAAAATGCATAAAGCTCAGTGTACACTGTAAAATAGAATCCTAATTTGACGGGAAATAGCTCTAACTTTTTACTGTAGTTTTTCTGTTTTTATATTATATCCAAAACTGTAAAATCACAGATATTATCTGTAACTTTGCAACCCAACTCATTTCAGGTATTATGTTAATAAGAACAAATTAGATTTCTGTCAAATTTTTGTAGAAAAAATTGACTGTATTATTTATCTTTTTTCTTAAATTACATTAAAACATATGTACAATAACAATAATACTCTCAAGTTAAATGTCTAGCTTATTATATAAAGGTTTGTGTTCATATTAATAACATTTTTAAGGTAAATCGTTTTATATTAACTTCAAAATCATCTGAATCTCAATTTAGCTGTTTAACTTTTTCATCACCAAACACAATGCAGTTTTTTCAAAAAGTACAATGTTATGTTCAAACCTTTTAAGCTGCCGGTGGTTTTTTACAGTGTACTTTACCTCACCTGGTAACCTGAGACATTGCCTTGACCATGAGGCTCACAGCTTGCTGCTGGGCTGTGCACGTGACTCAAACTGAATGTCCTCTTCAACATGAGTGGAACTACTGATATAACCTTCCTGGACTGTGTTCTTTTCACTGCTCATTCTGATGTATTCTGCCACGTGTTTTTGACTTCTTATGCAGGAGAAGCGCTGCTGATCTCGGTTTTCCATCTCTTAGCGTCTGGATGAATTCCTGGGATAATCCGAGCCCGCGAGTTATACTAATTGAACGCACAGTGTTTCCTGTCATCTGATAATGCCGCTGAACAAGACTCTAAACAGCATGTGCAGTAAGAGGTTTGTGTATCAAAGGGCAGCAAGTCACTGAGCGGATGGGCAGCTAGTCACAATGGATAATCTCCAAAAGAGGAATCTAACTTTTCTTACAATTGGATTGATATTTATGCTGAACGGCATTGAGTACGGTAAGTTCATGATTGCATCTTTACGGACCAAACCACGTAAGATAATGGTCTCATTATAGCCGAATCTGCCTGGCAGTTAGGCTTTAAGCACGCATCACAAAATATATTCATTTTCTGTGCGAGTAAACAAGGCTCATTATTTACATATTACCCCTTGTTTTCCTCCTCACCCGCCTTCCCCCCTGCTTCTCTGGTGGTCTCAGCCGTCATTCTGCCCACAATATGGAGGTATCTCCAGATTTTAGAGGCCCCCCCTTACTTCTTGGGCCTGGGTCTGTCGGCCTTCAGCCTGAGCGGGCTGCTCACCGGCCCGCTTTTTGGCTTGTGGTCAGATCGGAGCCAAACGACAAAGTCCATCATCCTTTTCTCCAATCTTTTCGAGATTGCCGGTGAGTAATCAAACCACAAGAGAAATGTCACGACTTTGGGCTCGGTCAATGTTCGCTGCAGTGTACAGACAAAATAGATAGATTCGTTGCACCATGTTGTTCTTATATGTACCTGCTGCTAATATTTCCGTCCCAACCTTTAAGTGAGGTGTTTGTTTTACACAGGAGATGCATTTTTCAGCAGGATTTTGTCTTTATTTGTCCTCAGGGAACTTCATGTATTTTATTGGGTACTCAAAGTGGCTGTTGTTGTCCAGTCGTCTCGTAGCAGGTGACGCGCTCGCTCACCTGCACGCATATCACAAAACAACACCCGAAAGCATTGGCTGTGTATCCGCACGCTGCGAGGCGTAACAGAAAGACGCTGTTCCCGTCTCAGGTGTCGGCGCGGGAGCGGGCTCCTCCATCTTCGGTTTCCTGACTCGCAGCACTAAGCCGGAGGAGCGCGCCGGCGTCTTCGCAGCCATCATGGCCTGTCGACAGGCCGGCCTCCTCGTGGGTCAGTTCCTCCCCCTTCGTCTTACCAAAGACACAGGGTCTCATTTCACCTCGCCTCCGCCTTCCGCCTGTCTTCTCAGAAATATCGGACACAGGGGACGGTGCGGCGTCTTCTTTGATGTTCAGCTTCGGCTGTGAGAAGAAACCGTTCAACGAGGTTGGAGGTTTCAATCTCCGCACGTCCTCTGTTCTCACTCCATCTCCTCTTTAAAGTTCTTCTCCATGTCTCTCCAGGGCCGGCATTCAACCTGTTCCTGCGGCTGTGTGATTTCAAACTGGGGCCCTTTGTTGTGAACAAATATACATCTCCTGGGGTAACAGCATCCAGATAATAAGTAATCTAAGGATCTCCGAAAGCCTCATGAATACAGAAACAACCTTTAGAAATAGTCGCCCTACATTCTGCACTCCTCTTAGCTCACACGTCTTTTTTTATCTTCTTTGTAGAAGAATACAAAAAATGCCAGCAGCAATACTCGTAACAGCTGAAATCGATCTATTTTCCAGCTCACGGGTCTCTGAATAGCACACCTGTAGAACAGTTGCAACCTAAATGAGATATAACAAAGCGCTTACGTTCCATTATTCCACATAATTTGCCAATGTGTGTCTCTCTGTATTACACTGTGCCAGGTTACTTTATGTCTTTAACGCTGTCCCTCACACATCCAGCGCTTTATCTCTGCGGAGAGTTTTCTCAGATTTTGATGTTGTACAAATAAATAAATAATTAATCTTCTTCATCCTTCCTCTCAGATCTTTATGTGCCTGTTGTGGGTGCTGCTCCAGTTTGCCATCCTGGGTCTGTACTGGGACGTACCCCCCGTCAGCTCGGAGGAAGGATCAGCGATGCTTGAGATGAAACAGGAGGCCGACGATGAGGAAGAGGGGCTGCTGATTGGTTCTGACGAGGAGCCCCTGCCCACCTACAGAGCGGTTAACTCCGACCAATTGGAGGCCTCCACCTCGTCTGGGACGCGGCCCGTCCGCGGCGCTTCCATTCTCAGCGCCTGCAGAGGTGAGCGAGCCGGTTCGACCAGCTGTTTCGGAACAATGACTGTCATCTCTGCTCTGCCTTCTTTTTAGTTGTTCAGGTTGGAAGACGTGTCACTGCCAATGCACATGTTTTGTATCAGCTCCATTGATTCCCTTGCATGCACGCACACACACACACACACACACACACACACACACGCCTTCCATTCTTCAGGGCTCTCAGGAGTTCTGTGCGACGTGTCGGATCACATTCCCTGTGTATTGATTGGACTTGTGTGTATGTGTCGGGGTTATGTTATGAGTGTGCATGTATATGCACGATGTCACGTGTCCTATTGGATTAGTGTCACAGCAGGTTTACATGGGATGCAAGCAGTGATTGTGTGGCATTATTGATTAACGCTTTCTATATGCTGTTTTTGTGCGTTGTCCCCTGTGTGTGTGTGTGTGTGTGTGTGTGAATCGATTCACTCTTTGAGGATGTGCCAAAGGGATGGACAGTAGACTTTGTTCCTTATTGACCGGGTTGCTGCGGTGGGCTTGTGGATGAAATGGAGAAGGAATTGATAATGTGGTCAACGTTCTTCTCATTGATTCCTGTTGGAATTGTTCGAATTGACAACGCCGGAAACTTGCGATCAAAAATAGGGGGTCTGCAGCTTTTGCACATGCTGTCAAAGCGTCTGTTAGCTGTTGGATGGAATTCATTCATTCAAACATTTATTTAAGCCTTGAAAATCATCAAGGGCCCCCCTTATCGCAATAATGCAAATAAATTAAACAAGCCTAGTTAAACCACCTCCGCAACATTTTTTGTACAGCTAAAGAATCCGAAACTTGATAGTATTTATTTAAATTCACAAACAACTGCATGCATGTCCTATAATTAGCACTAAGAAACAGAAAGTAATGAATTGCAGGAAGAATTAAACATCTTGTTGAATAAGCTTGCTGAGAGTTAAATGTTACATTTCTTAGTCAGTCCAGACTAAACACACAAAACAAACAAGCAATGCGGCTGATTTTGTTTCTTTTGCACAGAGCATTGATGTTTCCAGATGTTTGCAGTCTTCACGCATAGCCAAGCAGCCGGCTCAAGCTTTGTATTCACCTTACAGAGAGTTATGTGGGTCAAATGAAAGACATTATCAAGTTGCATCATGGAAGTTGTCGTTTGACTCGACTCGCGTATATGGAGCAAAATCCTGCAGTATCAATAGTGGTAAAACATTGTCTGTGAAAATAAACCAAACGAGAGACCACTGATGATGTATTTCTAACCTGTGCCTACATAGAACTTGTAAATACGCACACATGAAATTCTGGCATGGAATAAATATGAACACTAGCTTTTTACACTGTAATGCAGTAGTTCACAACAATGAAACCACATCAACAACCGTGAACAGAGAGAAATGAACCGTAGTAGATCCCACACTGCAATATCAAGCCATTGAGCCATCTGGTGCATTCTTCCAAATTTAGCAAAGCGCCCGGCTCATTTTTACTTCTCTCCAAGTCAAGACGGGGGTTTTGTTCCAGGGAAAGCTGGTATCAAACATTGGATTTTTTTTTGTATATATCCAAATAACCTATTATTATACTAATTATTATTGTTATTATACATATCATTTTTTCTTGTGATCGTGTTTCCGACTCCCACCGACCTCTAGAAAAAGTCACGACTCATCCCGCCTGCCTCCTCCTGGCTGACGACCTTCACATTAATACGATTTACCCTCCTTTGCCAGTTGAAACTTTCAATTCATCGGCACCACTTGAGCTGGCTTCATCATTTTCTCCTCGCTTTCTCTGGTCCTCAGTATCCGTCTCTCCTGTCTCTCCCTCCGCAGAGCTCCTGAGAGAGGAGGTGGTTGTTCTCCTCACGGCTCAGTTCATCACTCTCTTCAATCAGACGGCGCTGGAGGTGAGAGCAGCTACCGTTGATATCCATCAGCCGGCTTTTCCAAGCATTTCACACAGTGTCACACTATTTTACCCCGAGCCTCATCCAGACTGCATCAATCCAGGCCTCACTTGCCAAGACTCGCTGTTACTTTGAGAGAATAATCAAGTATCACTCAACGCTCAAAGTGCGACTGATGCGTAATCAGTCTCGGGTCCCAGACGTGACACACGATGAGGTGTTTCCCCCTCTTGTCATTAAAACTTCTTCTTTTGATCTGTACTTAAATTAACAATTGATAAGAATCTCCTCCTCCGCTTCCGACAGAATCCCTTTGTCTAACCTCTCTCTAAAATCCCTCAGACCATGGTGACTCCCATGACGCAGCGCCTCTTCAGCTTTGGCGAGCTGAGCAACAGCCTGATGTACAGCCTGTGCGGGCTGGAGGTCATCCTGGGCTTCTTCTTTGTGCGCTGGCTGAGCAGGAGGGTGGCCGACCGCGCCGTCCTGGCCGCAGGCCTGGTCATCTGCTGCGTCGCTTGTATCTGGTGCCTCATCTTCCTCTGCAGCCCCCGAGGTGCTGACCTGTCCAGGGGAAAAAACACGCAAGCACCACACCGAGGCCAACGCGCTCTTAGGAGATGCAGCTCCGTGCGCAGGCCTCTCCGTCAGACTGCTGTCGCCGTCGTGTGCATTTTTGCAGATGAATGGGCCCTTTGAATGACATCATCCAGGCAAACTGGATCCTGGATGCTCACGTTGGCTCCGCGTCTGAGGCGGCTCGTCACGTTTATCACTATGATTACTAGTGGCAGGTGCTGGGGAGTGCCTGAGCAAATATAACAGGATTACAGTAATCTAATTAGACCAAAAGGCTATTTGCTAGACCGTATCCTACTTTTGTTTGCTATTTTCTACAGTTACAGTTAAAACAAGCAAACACGTGTATTACAACTTAGAAGTAGGGGTACCACAGGATAAATACATTTTTCTAGAATCATTCATTCAAAATCATCATTATGCAGGAACATCCAAAAATGGAGTGGGCACGTATATTCACACCAACACGTGCACACTGCAGAGCGGCACAGAACAAATATGGAGTGGCTGCCAGCTTGGCAGTGGTTTAGCTTTCACACGGAGCCATCTCAAGTGGTGCCAACCGGTTTTGTGCAAGGAACCTAAAAACTGAGAGAAGGAGGGATGGAAAACGAAAACAAGATCTGATGCGAGTCCCCACCACCACGAATCAGCTAAAATATATATTTTTCCAAATAATTGAACAGCTACGGGATCTAATATATCTATTTGATGTTCTCAGGGGGGAACAGGTTACATTGCAGTCAGTAAATGTAATTGCTTAATAATATGTTCCGACGTTAGGGGAAAATGAAATAATTCAATGGGCCTGACGCCGGGGTGTTATCTTTGCAATCCTGCCAGGTGGATATGGATGGGAGCTGTCGAGTTTCATCATCGGAGTGTTTCTGCAGCTGCTCGGGCTTCCCTTCGTGGCCGTGTCTCAGGTGTCTCTCTTCTCCAAAGTCACTGCCGAGAAAACACAAGGTTGGCTCCCTTCACTGCTGTTTACACGGTCTAACATATTCAAACAACAGATTGTTGCTCAGCATATGTGATGCAAAGAAACAGTTATACGTGCGTTTTTTTTTTTTTTTTACGTGCCATATTTCGGCGCGGGAAAAAAATAACTTCTCCTTATTCTTTGACGCTTTACCAAAAGGATTCAGCCAAGGTGTCAGACGCTCGGTGGGGGGTCTGGCCACCATCTTGGGTCCTTTGTGGGCTGGAGGACTCACCAATAATTTGTACATAATGTTGGGCATGATGCTAGCTCTCCTCATAATGATCACAGTAAGTAGAGCGCAGCTCACAAACAGCGTCCAACTGATAGAAAATGGCTAGAAATAAAGCAATTCTCATGTTTGCAATAGTTTATAGTGTGCATACTCTTAGCTCAGCTCTGCATTTAGACTGGAATTGATCAAATGGCAAGCCGTCTTTTGTTCTTAACGAAATGCCAATACAACCACCTAAGCATCCTTTACCTTTTAATGGGTCTTAACACTTTGATTTAAATCTTCTAACAACAATGAGCAAGATGCTTAATTACTTTCTTGAAAAGCGTATTTAAGATCATGAAAAGGAAAATCAAAATCTACATAAGATTTCACTCTTTCTTTGAGTTTTTTGAGACACTGAACTATTATAGAATAATATGGTTAATTAACAAAGCCGTGCTGAATGTCAGCTGCTTGCAAAGCTTCTCCTGGCTGTAGCTATTTTATTTTAAATCCATCTTCCTGAAGCTCTAAAGCACGACAGTTAACATGTGATATTTTTGTTTGATCAATACAAGTACCAGCGTGTAAAAAACACGACTTCTGCTTCTACAGGGAGGTATATTAGGAGCTGGAATTGACATAGTAAATACTCTTATCACAGCGCTTCTCCCCTCCTACCCTGCACAGCACACTATGTTCCTTCTCTATTAGAATCTATCGAACGGCGTGGGGTGTTTTAAAAAAAAACAACAACCAGTGGCTACTTGCCAGTTAAATCCTCATCCCAGCATGTCTTTGATAGCCTCTGTTTATCCTCTGAAGCCACATCACGCTCTTCATTCTCCTCAGGTCATGACGGTGTTGTCCTACGACCGCCTGACGGAGCCGCGGGCCGTGCAGAGCGCCCAGGGCTCTGATGGAGGAGGATAGAGCCGCAGTGTGTGTGTGTGTGTGTGTGTGTGCAGACAGACTTCAGAGAGAATGGATGCTCATTGCGGAGGAAACAGGAATGAGTGTGTGAATAAAAATTGTTCAAACCCCAATACGGTACCTGAGAAGCTGTCAGAGAGGTGATCACACAGGTAAAAGCACTTTGTGTTTGCTTGTCAGCTGGTATTAGAATCTATCTCCAATGCGCATTCCTATCAGACTCTCCATTATACTTCACACAAGGGGGCACCATTGCTCCCGCATCGAATGTTTCGGAGGCGTAATTGAAGATGAAAGCAATTATTTATAAACTGAACTATTTATATTCCCAGGTGTTGATGAGAGACGGAGTTTTTTTCCTCTCCACGTGACCCACGCACCAAGTTGTTCATTTCTTCCTTTCTTCCTGCAAAAAAAAGGAAATGAAACGGTTGACACAATGGGTGCAGAAGTGGAGTTGTCAACATCTGAGCAGCTCGGTGTCGGCGTAGCCGATAGAAGAAGAGGGTCAGATAAAGTGACGCTTTAGAGGATATTTATTTGTAGTGTTGCATTAAAACTTCATTTCTAGTCTTCATACAGCCTTGGATGCCGATAGACATCATCAGAGAGCATATTCCTGTATATCTAATGTGCAAATGAGCAGCTCATGAATTAAACCAAATTGGGTAAATACTTGTTAATTAGCCGGCTGTATCCGTTGACTTTGGGGAGATTTAAAGTTTAATTGCCTGTATTCATAATTCAAACCATGACAAGGTGTATCGTCAGCTGTTTTTTCCTACATTCTCCTCTAGGATGTGCTGTGAGCTACACTTGAGGAGAATGCAGTAAGCAGCATCACGGCATTGTGGATTCCTTTTGTTCAGTGTTCATGGTTTGGGCCAATCTCTGTGTTTTTGCATAATTGCAGATAAGGCTCAGTAACCTTTTCCTGTTTTCTACACCCAGCATGTGATATTTGGCTTTCCAGAGGCTTTTCGCCTGAAATGGAAATTTTAATCTTTGGGACTCAAGGATATAATATATATAAGTACTTTCATGCTCTGATCAGCGTATTCAGGTACTTGACATTTTAAGGGAGATAACAGGGTGCAACAGAAATCTGGTCAAGCCTGAATTTACTGTTTGAATACGCTGGCTTTTTCAGCGCGATTATTTCTGTGTTCTTCAAGAATCTCATTCACAACAACCTAAATAACCGGAAGCGTTTTGCAGCCCCTGAACACTTGCATTCAAATCTTCCATCTACGATGCTAAATATTCACAAATAGGAATCAATGTCTTGTAAGCTGTAAAAATGATGACCACACAAAATAATACCTTCCTCCTTTCACAGATGAAAAGTTGAATTTATATTCAATAAAACACACTGAATCCAATGCTACTGCAGTGCTACTCGGTCTGGTATCACCAACGTTGAGGGGAGACAAAATTACATTGCATTTATATGGAAAGTGTGTTAAGGATCATAAGACAAAATTGGAAGTAATTCACTATATTTATGACTAAAAAAAAAAAAAACGTTACACTATATTTCCATGTTATTGATGCAGAATTTGCACCCCGATTTGTGTGGGAACGCTTTGATCAGCTTTGACTGATGGTGAACAAGCGCCATTCAAATGTTTCAATATTGTGATGGCGTCACCTTTTGGTTCACAAAGATGCTTCTAACCAGCACGGACAGCTCAGAGAAAGAATGATTTGATTAAAGAAATGTCTGACGTGAAATACGAAAAAATCATTCAACCTTTGGCAGGAAATAGCGCGTTCTTATAGGACCCCACCGCTAATAGTAAAATGCTAATAAATGTATTTTAGGGCCTTTAGAGAGATTGCATGAACGCTTTGTTATATAACTCATAAACAGGGTTTTCTGTGTGGTGCCAAACAAGCCCGTTCTCCTCCACACCGCGATGATGCTGCTTTCACACACAAGACGCCATCAGCGCAGTCAGCTGAGGTAAAGGTGAAGGTTTAAGGATACAGAGAACAACCACATGATGCAGCAGCCAACAATTATTTGTTTTAAGGACAGACGAAAGTTGTCACTATGGTTGTGGAACAAACCAAGGTACAGTGGAGCTCCAGTGGAAGCATCTGCATGCTGCAGTACTACATGAATTTAAAATGTCTCGGTCTGATTTGTATACTAACTGTTTCCATGCCACGTCCGGGACGAGCAACCGGGCTCTGTGCAGTACTCAGTGGAGCGCAAAATATCTTGGTAGCTTCAACAGTTATTCAGTGTCGAGTGCTTTTCTCTTTTTTTTTTGGTCTGCTTGCTGGTGCACAATGAACTCAACTGTGAACACGGAACAACATTCCACTTTGTCCAAGGCTGCTCCTCCAGCTTTGTGAGGTGCGGATTTAACCGAGCCAGTTTAAGAGTAGTTTATCTTTCTACATATTGATGCCCTGAAGCAACACAAACACCCTCCCGTGTACGCTTTGAATTTACACGTGCAAGATGTTTCTGATGAATCAAACCAGGGGCTCGGATCTCCGTGTGAACACAGTGCCAAAAAAAGGGTGAGTTAAGTTTGACATCAATGATGCCACAAACATTCTGTGAATTGAACAAAAAGGAGACAACAACATATTCCACTACAAACGTTTCCTGTTTGGACACATGGTGCTTAAAATGTGATTCCTTGTTTCTTGACGGAGAGCAACGGCTTCATGAGGTAATGAGGACAGCTGTTTAGGAAATATTTGGCGAAAATGCAGAAAGCTGTTGAAATCACAATTCTCTTGTTTTTACACCCACTGTTGAGAGGGAGAAACATTTGGGACGGGGGTGAGAGTGTTATTTTCCCCAAAACAGCCCCAATTTGTGCACCAGATGACTAGTAGAACGAATCCACTTTCCATCAAAGGGAACTTTACCCGGGCCTGTTTTCACTGTTTTGCATTGCTCGCAATGAGAGAGTCTAACAGAGATAAAAGTAATTGGTCATAAAGAGGAAAACAGCATTCGACTGGAGCCAGTGTGTAACAATTATGTTAACGGGTGGATGTGCTCTTCCTGATGGCATCACAGTAGCTGGACTTCGTAGATAGATCGATGAGTTATCCTCTAGTGAGGAACGGGAAGCGGGATGAAATCACGCCAGCAATTTTACATGATTCACTTTTTTGCCATCCAGTCTTTGTGCAGCAAGATTTATCCCTACAAATCATCAATATATCTAATTCAACAGGAATATATTTATTCAGGATGTAATTTTGTTTCTGCAATGGCAGCAATTCATTAAAAAATCCCTGACATAGATGTCAACGCGTTGGTCTCCTGCCAACCGAGGTAAAGATTTACTGTTTCACCGTTTTTGTTGCTGACTGGAGGACCTGACTTCTGGATGTCATTGACAAGGTGTGGCTCAAGTCCAATTCTGTGCTTGTGCAGACACACAAAGGGAGGGAGGAGGAGGGGTGGGTTGCTACAATCTTGTGACAGTTTTTAAAGTATTTTCTTTTAGTATTACGTCTGTGAGCCGGCACAATGCTGTGAGTTTTTAACGTAAACCATTGCAGAAATATAAAGACTAATGAGCAGACAGGCGAGCGGGAAAAGACAAAGAGGAGGGACAGCGTGCACGAGGCGCCCATCGATGAATCACAATCCAGCGTTAGATTCAAAGACCTGTGTGTCTGGCTGGGAGGCAAATGATTTGATTCATTACATGTGATGGCGGTGCTCGTAGGGGGGGGTTGCACATGTATACAGTCACTCAGGAAGCCCCCCGCTGAATTTATTGTAGACTCCCACCACTGTGTGTCTGGCATCGCCTCGGATACATCGAATCAATTGCCTCCACCCACACCGACCATCCACCCCCGTACTCATATTAGAGCCTCGGTGAAGTGAATTCCTTCGGGACGTGAACGAGCGCCGTGTTTAAACGCAGCCTGGCTCATTGATTGCAGCCTTTTGTAACAGCAATGGAAATATATGCAGATAATTAGCCGGCGCGTTCAGGTATGTGGTTTGCTTGTGAACTTGGCGTTGCTTTGCGAAGTGGGAGAGTTTTTTTCTTTTCTTTTTTTCTTCCTGCAGCAGCAGCAGCACCAAAGAGCCTCGGAGCAGACAGTACATTTGCTCATCAACTGGTTTCGTTCCAGTGAGAGGTAAAAATTATCCAATATTTCACGGTCTGGCCCTTTGAAGGTGGCATTATTTCAGCAAAGCTCAACGCGCAATGGGGCCAAAATTGCCATAGTTGTTCAAACAGAAGCATCGTTTTCATGGGTGGATTTTTTGGGGGGCAGACTGCAGTAAACAAAGCACGTAAACAATCGACCCCGGTGGGTCAGGTCACACCTCCCGCTCCCCCCCCCCCCGAGGCGGCGAAAAAGCGCGGTCATGCTTGTTGTCTGCCAGCGATGCGGTCGAGGTTTATGTGCGAACGGACACGTGGGAGCTCATTGATCCCATTAAGAGCCTGTGAGAAGAATATTATAAAATGATGAGAACTTCATAGGAGGTCAGGCGAGGATCAATATTAAATCCTATCTCATTTATAATCCTGCTGAGCAGAGGCTCTGCCGGGCTTATCTGCTTAAAGAAAAACGTATTTGACAATTTACTTTAATGCTTGTTTGAATAAATGTAATGAGACGCAAGAGCTTTGAGATGAAATCTTTTTCTCGTCTGTTTGCAGGCGCTTCAGTGCTATTTCGTTGTCAACAAATCCACTATAAATACACTGATGGATGATGGAGAGGTTTGACCAAAAAAAAGGGCTCACATGCATAAACACAAGTATAATCAGGGAAAGTATTGAGATATAAAATTAAAAATTCAATTCATCACATTTTTGTTACATCTCCTGGCAGATTGATATTGTGTCCTCGGCTATTTTTAAGTAGATTTGGCTGCTCTTATCTGCAATCTCCGCCCTCTTAGACACAGCGTCTTCAGATCAAGGATTAACTTTCTCATTATACATATCACTTAGAGGATTAACCCGTTGGCGCACTCTCATCTCCCCCAGCTATGGATCTGACCTGTAAAAATGTAAAATACGACGGGGCCAGCTGCAAAGAAGCTCAGAAATCTTTCTCTCTCACTCTCCCAAAATCTGGAAATACAAACCTCTGATTTTTGCACAATCCTCGAGGCCAATTAAGCTGTGAGATTTGTTTGAAGTTGCAGATTGAAAGGAGAGTTTGACGGTCCGGGGCCCAAACAGTGGGAGGGGAACCACGGGGGTCCGGGTTCCCAGAGCCTGCATGTGTAATCCAGTCTAACATGCATGCAAATCTCATCTGTGCCCGCACACAATGGCCTGTCTGTGTGACGGAGGGAGGCGGGTGGAGGGGAGCAGAGGGAGGGAGAGAGGAGAACCTGTAAGTGTGTGTCCACTGCTGCCAAAGCGTATATACACCATGATAGGTGGAAGGAGGCCGAGCGCAGGCACACTAAAGTTCACAGACGAGTAAGACCCTTTTATCGGGGGTTGATATTCAAACATCCATGATTAATCCAAAATCTGTGGAGCTCTCCAAGGAGTAAAAAAAGAAAAAGAAACCCACAGCACAACCCAATGAAAAGAGAACATTGTGAATTCCTGGCACTGCTCTGAGTTCTTCTTCGTTGCGGTGTAAAAAAACAAAAGTTGGCAACCAAGATCTCGGGGGAAATTAAAAAATCGTTGTCTTATCCAGCCAATTAAATGATATACACCTTTTTGAACGTGGCTGGAGCTGGCCGCCGGAATCTATTTATGACAGTGTTGTGGTTTCCACCTCCACCGCTCACTTCAGAGAGACGTACACTTCCCCCCCCGCAGGGTGAGGCTGGAAACCAGAGGTAGGGGGGGGAGGGGCGATTTCCAGACACAGAGAACTTACTTTCCATCTGTCTTTATCATATAGATTCACAGGATTAAGCCAATTGCAGTTTTAGTCCTGAGCAGAGGCTCAACATTGGATTAGATAGTCAGAGAGCCTTTGTGTGTCGCCTCCAGTCTCCCAGCGTCTTACTACTGAAAAGCGGGGGTGTTCCTCGATGCACGCCACGCCTCCCACTCCGTCACATTTGGATAACTTTCTGCATGGTGTGTGCGTCTTTACTCTCCCGGGCTGCTCGCGCCTCTGCTCTGTCGGGACCCCGGTGGGCAGACCACGGCTCAGCGGGGGGTTTTCACTCCAATTTGCCATCGTTTGTCACCATTTGTTCGTCCTGACAAACGAAATGTTTGCCCTTGGTCCCGTCCCGTTTGGCCACAGTCACAAATGGCGTCAGCTGCTGTCTGCTTTTTCATGGCTCTATTTTTTTTCACTGAGTAACTCGGCCCTTCATGCCAGTCAGGGTGGACGATTTCTTCAAAATAGTTCCCCCGTATAACTACGTAACTTCATCCAACATTTATATTGTAGCATGTTGGTGTTGCATGGTTGGTGCCGTGCTTGTGTTTGGTGAGTTCATTAGAAGATGAACTGGGGCCTTTCGGCTGTAGTTTCTTCATCCGGGAGCCAGCGGGGCTCTGAGACTCCTTTTCTTTGACCGCGTCTTCTCGTCTGCTGTTAATGTGCTAGGACGTCTTCTCCAGGCTCCAGCTTCATTGTGTACCTAAATGTCTCTTTTACTGGCCCTTGGATTTCAAGCTAATTGCATGATGCACTTTAAACAGACATCCAGGAGGCCAGCTGGTTTGAGGCCTGACAGATGAGGTTGAGATGTTTCGGGCAGATACGGCAGGCATGGCGACCTTCTCCGTGGTCAGATG